TATAGGCTCTTTAGGATCGACGTACGTAACCGCTCTCTCGCTCTAGTAGGAGAGCGATAGAGTACTCTCCCTCTTACCTAGTAGAGCGTAGAGTAATACGCTTCTCCTTTATTATATAGGAACGATATTATAGTTTATATAATAGCGTTTAACTTACTATTTAATCTTACTATTTAGTTTATAATTATACCTAAACCTCTATTTTAAGATTATTTTAGTAGTCTACCGACTCTCTTTTTTTAACGAGCTCTAACTAAGGACTTAAGCTTAGTACCCGTACTAAGTAAGATTCTAGGATTAATAAACCGATCCTAATACTTTATAATAACTTCTCTAAAGCGTTCGATTTATATAGCGCGGCGTTTATAGCCTCGTATAGATAGAGCGTTAGTTAGGAGAATATTATCTAAAAGAAAAAGAGATATTATCGCCTAAAGTACGCGACGGGACGGAAAGTACTATATACTTATTATAGTAGCTCGGGACGAGCTAGGCTAGAAAGAGAATAGTATTACGGATTAAGTAGAGTACGTATAGGCTTCCTAGAATTAGCGTATATAACCGCTCTCTCGCTCTATTAAAAGAGCGATAGAGTACTCTCTCTTTTATCTTATAGAGCGTAGAGCGATACGTTTTTCTTTTAGTATATAGGAATAATATTATAGTTTATATAATAGCGTTTAACTTACTATTTAATTTTACTATTTAGTTTATAATTATACCTAAACCTCTATTTTAAAATTATTTTAGTAGTCTACTAACTCTCTCCTTTTAACGAGCTCTAACTAAAGACTTAAGCTTAGTACTTATTCTAAATAAAATTCTAGGATTAGTAAACCGATCCTAATACTAGATATCTCGTAATATACCTTTAAGCTTAGTAATCTAATTAAATCTAAGCCGCCTTAAGTATATATTAGCTATAGCTCTATTTATAAGCTATTATCGTATTTAAGTAGATATTATAGAAAAGTATCTATAATACTATAGTATATATAGAGATTTTTATTAATAAAATACTAGGACTCGTAATATTATTCTTTTATTAGAGCCGAGAGTATCTATAATATGTTATAGTAGCTAGCTAGCGTATCTATAAAGAGCCTAGATAGTACCTTTTTTAAAAACTATAAATATAGTACTCTAAGCTATTATTATATTAAAATATAAGGATATAAAGGATATAGTATTAAGACGCGTTAGTTTGTTAATATAGCCGAGAATAGTATAGTATTAGTAGTTAGGCTAGCAGGGGTTACTAACGTTTGTACTAGGGACTGTAGTAAGGAGAGGAGAGTTAGCGAAAGCACGGACGACAATGGACCAGGTAATAGATGCCGATCTTGCCGCCATGGATCTCGAATTCCGACACCACCTTGCTGCTTTGGCAGGGATTCGGCCAACGAAAGACAGCGCTGATCTAAAAGCGACACTCCCATTTGCCGATGGCTTCAGTCAGATGCTGGGTTGGATGAAGTCTGCCGAAGTAAGTAAATCTCCGCCTTCAGCCAATGAAGGTTAAGTCCAGGATCTCAAGGGCACCAGGGCGACGAGAACGCGCAACACGCAAACACGCGGCCTCGTGGCCAGCAGAGAGTTCGCCACCTGGATGCGTGCGGCTCGTCCAAGACTGGGGGCTGAAGAGGGATCGAGAATGTTGGTCTTCCACATCCCTGTGCCGAAGTTTAGTTACCGATGTGGCTGTTGCATGGCCGAAGTAGTGCCAGTACATGTACCTCTTGTGAGCAATGGACGATTGCGCTGGCAGCCTCGAGCCGATCATGGCCGAGAATGGGTCCAATTGTGTTGGCAGGAGGATCTCGTCTGCCGTGTAAAGGTCGGTGAGAATTGCCCGTCGTCCTTGGCGGGTGGTTGCAGGAAGAAGAGGATCAGTAGTGTCGATGGTATCTGCGACTGTAGGTACCTTCAAGACTGTGCCTTAGGGGATTAGCTAACAGCCAAGCCTCCCGTCAACTCTGTAGGCGACGGGGAGTGCTTTCAGACCGGGGCATCCTGGGCCGGTCTTGACACGAGCAGAGTGCGTGCCGACGCGCTAACCGTCTTCTGTAGCTGACGCCATCCAGATCGGTGTGAGCTTCGATTGGACAACTGCATGTCTCATTCGAGAACCTTGGCCATGATTCAAAATCTTGATGAAAGATTGCTCCGATCCTGCAGCGCGGCACCTTGCATGTGAGAGACGGCGCCGCGCCAGGAAGCCACGCCGAGCCAATACATACTCGACCCCATCATTTGCTCGATGAACGGGATCCAGCTGAGCCGTGGGAGGGCGACGAGACACGCTCCAGAGCTACCGAGAACACTCCCAGCGCGTCCGCGCAAAGCGAGCGTAGGTTAAGGTTGAGGCCGCGAAGCCTCGTGCGCGACCGTGATCCTCTTTTCACGTCATCTGAGAGACCCGCCGCAGGCGTTTCAAGTGAGATGCCGCAAAATTAGGCACAGAGGCGCTTCTCGCGCTGCAGCTGAAATGCAGAGAGCCAGTCACAGAGCTCGCCATCGCTTTGAACCAACATGGGCCCTGTCCCGCGCTGGACTATATCGGTCGGCTAGCCGCGCAGTGCTGCTGTACCGGCTGAGCGCCACTACGCCGCACGAGGACCGCACTGCGATCGAGTCCGCCACTTCTTCCGAGTGCGTGCGTACCAATTCCACAACCAGTTGCAACCAGCCGGCCGCATGAGACGACAGCCGTGGAGAGGCAAAGCTGGGCTGATCTATCTCGACGGGACGCGAAGCCGGGCAGGGAGAGGAGGAGACGCTCAATCAAAAAGCGCCCGCAACAAAGACCGAGCAGTGGAGACGATGGATTTTGGGGTGGCAAGCATTTTGACACGCAGCGGGCACATGTGGCCGACACTCTGCTTGGCGCGGGCAGACACGAGTCGCGAGAGCAGCAGTGATCGCCGGCAGAGCTGATGTTCGTGTGGGCGGCTCCAGAGCACCGGCAGCCGAGTGCAGCAGGAGAAGGACATGAACGTGCAGCGTGCAGAAGAGCCTCTCGCCAGGGAAACGGCATGAAGGCTGTTGGTGGTTGCTGATGTGAGAGCAGAGGACGTCGGCGGGACTACTGAGGCATCGATCTGCTGCTGGCAGGCCATTGCATCGGCAGACATGACCTCTGTGCCATGTACCCTCGCCTACTGCGTCGATGGTGGGAAGTGCGGCAGTCGCTGGCTGTGGCGTCTGGCTCGGGGGGCGTGAAGAAGTCAGCGCATGCGGTGGAGCCACTCATCAATGGCCGCCGACGCGGGCTGGCAGACGGCGGCCACACCTCGTCGCCCAACGCGGGTTTTGAATCCACCCGCCGCGCAGTACTCGAGCAGTTCAACGGGGTTATTTTCATGGCTACGGCGCTGACTCTAGATGCGGCTTCGCATGGGTTCAGGTTCATGGCGGCAGGCAAGGATGAAAGGATGGATCGGCAACGGCAGAGCCGGCCGGACGCTGCTGCTTGTCCGCCGCTAGCGAGAGCCTCTGGTCGGCGGCGGAGGTAGGGGCTCCATCTCGCACCCGCAACCTTGATCCCCAATTGGCTCCAAGCTTTGTTCCTCTCGTCTCGCCGCAGCCCTCACCCAGAAAGCCAGACAGCCCGACTGCAGACCTCACCCGCCCGCCCTCACCCGCCCGCTGCCCGCGTGCGGCTCCGCTTCGATACGACGGCACGGTCTGCTCGACTGGCTGCGGGCGGATGCAGACGCTGTCGGCCGTCCTGATATCTATCCTGGGCGGGCCCCGTTGCTCGGGACGCTCGCTGTGTGCAGTAGGGAGCCGCCTCATCGGCTGTGGTTCTTCACTTATCTACGCTGCTGCACAATCATAACCAGCGTGAACATCAGTATCGCCATCACGACATGTACTTGTCATCACCCGAGCCCTTATGGCACCAACCGCACTGGCGGCGGCGGCGGGCGATCGTCTCTCGGCGTGCAGGTGGAGGTGTAAGGCTAAAACTCTCGCGGACGCTGCCTGCTCGTCTTGCTGCCCGTGCAGGCCACCCTTGCTCGCGCGCCGTAGCAGTCCCGATTGACGGGGTCCATCCGTTGGCGTCTTCGGCAGTGGCTTGCTTGCTTCCCTTTCCTAGCACGCTGCCCATAATTACCATCCACCACCCGTCGCCGCCGCCGTTTTGCTGCGTAAACGATTCAGGCCGTGCTGCGTGCTGCCCCTCTCCAGAGCCTGTCTGTCTGCCGCCGCCGCCGCTGCTGCTCGCTGCTGGCGACGAGCCCCCCAGCAAGGGTCGTTGGCCTGCGAGCTGCTGTATCATTAGATTACTACTAGCCCGCCTCGCCTGCGCCGTCTGCCAGTCACTCCGTCCTCCTCACCACCACACCTCGTTATTCACCACCTCTTCCTCCTTCTGCTGCTGCTGCTCCTCGTCCTGCACATGCCCTCTGCTGCAGCGCCCGCCCTCTGCCCACCCGGCATCTGACACGCGCGACCTCGCTGCAGTGCCGAACGCCCCATCGCCCACGGTGCCTATGACCGTCGTCCGCTGCTGTGAACTGTCAGCACCAGGAGCCGAGCACTGAACCTTGTCCTTCCTTTGGCTAGTCATCTCAGCCTTACCCATCGCCCACGTCTTTTCCTCGCCGGCTTATTGCTCACCTTCCTGCCTGCCCTGACTTGTCTTGTCTTGCGCCCTGCCCTGCGCTGCACTTTACCGCGCTGCGCTGCACTACGCTCTGCTGTCGCTACTTTCCCGGCAGCAAGGCTCTCTGCATCCACTGCATGTACCCTCGCGGGGAACCACGAAACCACCGCCCCGAAACATCCAATCCCACTGGTCTCACTCGCTGCTCCGGCCCATCTGCTCCTGGACACTGCTGCTGCTGCTCTTCATGCACCTTGCCGCTCCATGACACTGCCAATTAACCATCGCGGCCACCTACCGACTCCAGGTGCATCGTCGTCCTTGTTGCGTGACCTTCGATGCCGGATTCTGGTCGCTGAACAACAACTTCACTGCCGGCATACCGCACCATGACCATGTTTTCAGGCGCAACCGCGGAACCGATGAGAGCATATCCGCACCATGACCGACACCCCAGCGACCAACTGCACTCGTATGCCGTTCCACCCCGACCTACGGTAGAGTTACCACGTCCATTGGAGCCCAGGCCGACATACAACTCACATTCCTCGCTGTTGGACGCCCCAGGCAATTCACGAAGACCAGATAGCTTTCGAAATCCAGGACCGGTGCAATCTGAGTATCGGCCGCAGGCTCAGAACTTACCTCGTTTGCATGACATCCTCACATCAGGTCCTCCCGAGCCACGTCCGCATACCTACTCCAGCGGCTGGAATGCCACCAATGGACCTAACGGCCACCAGAATGGCGAAAGCTACAACAGCAACCATTCCAGTTGGCACCCTCCACTCGCTCATCCTCCACATGAGCAAGCACAGTCCTATCCACCACCCCCGCAAAACCGACATTTGGAGCTTCCCATTTTGGAGACCAGCCCAGTAGCGAGACACGACAGTCATACTATTCCACTCTCGCCCTATCCGGCTTATAGAGATGCATCGCGAGACTATCGTGATCCTCGGCGGGATCGAGCGCGTCAAGCGTCAACCTCTGCTGGCTCATACATCCCAAATGGCGTTCCAAGCCCGTACACTCCCGCCGGACATGATGATACTGCTCAGCAATACCGCAGCCCTGTGGCGAGTTTGGAGAGGCCTTCCAGCAGTGCCTTTGGACAATCGGCGGCCGAGTCAATCAAGAATAATTACCTAGGCGTAACGGACGTTCCTGGCGAAGGCTCCTTCCACATGTACGAAGGTGGCTTCCGAATTCCTACCCACGTGGACGGCGAGACGGTCAATCCCGCATGGGGCCTCACCAAAGCCAACAAGCCGCGCAAGCGCCTCGCTATGGCATGTTTGGACTGCCGAGAGAAGAAGATCAAGTGTGAGCCCGGGACTGTGAGCTGTCTGCAATGTGAAAAGGCCCAGCGGCCATGTCGAAAGTAGGTCAAGAAACGCCCATGTCGCAAAGTTCGCACTAACCCTTCACTAAGAGCTCCTACCCATCAATCGCAAGCCGAGCCAAGTGCAACGACACCTGCCTGGCAGAGCAGTACGGCGGGCTCTCCTGGCCGCAAGCCTCCCACAGACCTCTCACCAAGAAGTGGCACAGCCGCCGAGCCCGACACTGTTAGCAAGCGACCACCTGCAGAGGAACCGTCACCAGGAGTTCCTGCGAAGAAGCATCGGTCTGCATCTCCAATGATGACAATGAATGGGAGTGTAGCGCCCGTCGTGAATGGCATCAATGGCACGAACGGCACCAATGGCGTGAACGGCATGAATCACCAGGTGTCGCCTGTGCTACCTCGATCTCCTGGAAAAGTGGTCTCTATCGAAGAGGATCCTTTCTCCATGGAACCACAGATGACGGTCCATCTTGTGGAGAGATACTTTGCAGCTGTTAACAACGTGACATGCTGCATCTTCCCACCGCATCACTTTATGCGCTGGCTGACAGCCTACCCCCGAAAGTGCCAGAACGAACGCATGGTTCTCTACGCGATCATTGCTCTTGGCTCTGTATTCGCCGATGATTGCTATTCGGGATATGGCAAGCACTGTTTCGGTATTGCCACGGAAGCCGCCTTAGCCAAGGCGAGTCGCCTGAACATGGCTCTGGTGCAAACTCGCCTGATGCTAGGTCTCTATCAATTTGCAAAAGGCGCCAACAGTTCTGCGTGGGATTACGTTGGGTCGGGAATCAACGCAGCCACGTACTTGCGCTTTCACACCGAGGCAGGGTGTCAGGACGATAGCGAACCCGTTCAAAAGGAGCGTAACGAATTCGGCTTGTCGAAGGAGCAATTGGTTGAATGCAAGCGACGTACACTCTGGTCTGGCTTCCTCATGGATCGTTACTGTGGCGCGGCTCACAGTCTGGTCAATCCGCAAGACATCTTCATTCAGCTTCCATGCACAGACGAGGCGTATGAGCGAAGCATGCCCTCGAAGGCTCCTTTCTACAACAACGGCATCATTGATTCATCAAGGGCCATCATCACACCATCAAGCGACATCTCACCCATGGGCTGGCTGATTCTTGTGGCCGCCACGTGGGGCGACGTGGTCAACTTCATTTCACGTGCAGTTCATCGCTCACCAATCTCGTATGAAGACGCCTACGAGCAATTCTACGAGAAGACTCGCGCAGCTCTGCAAGACTGGAAAGGTTGTCTGCCGGAGTACTTGCAACTATCGCAGGCCAACATCGAACGCAGCATCCACGAGGGCTACGTCGGTCCCCTCACCTCGATGCATGTCCTCTATCATCTCTCGTTCCTGAAGACGAACCGCTTCGTGAGACATGCGTGCATCACAAAATCCATCGCACGAAATGTTTTAGCCACGCACCGGCATGCTCACGAATTGCTACAAGTCATGAGCATCCTTGGAACGGCCAAGGAAGCTTTGCAGAAGGAAGGCCACCAAATTACACTGACATTGAGGACACCGTTCGTGGGCTATGCTATACTGGCGGCGGTAGATGTCGTCGGCGCGGGAGGCCTGGACTCGAATCTCAAGACGACACTGGACTTGATCAATTGCGGCCTACAGAGTCTTCGCGAGCTAGGAGGGCATTGGGACAGTGCTCGTGACCAGCACAAGGCTTGCGAAAAGCGCTACTACCAAATCCACAACGTGTTGAAGCATCCCTTCACCGCGCACAGCGGCTGCTGGCTCGGCCGAGAATGGGGCGTGGACTCATCACTGGAACGCGAATTTGACCTCAAGGACGACTGCATTTACGGCGTATCGAATCGTGACTACTTTGACGCTTTGAAGGACGAGACTCCTCTCGGGCGACCTCCAAACGGCAGTGTGCGGATGGGATGAACAGGGGCGTTTGAGCATATATCGACAGGGAATTTCTACCTCGCACTAGACTGCTGTGTGAAACAAAGTAAAGGAGGCCAGACGTTGTCACCACTCTACGAACATTTTGGGACCCAACAGCACCACGAATGATGACCTTTTCTGATCTGGCGATGAACAACAACATGGGAGGTGAGAAAAGCGCTTCGGCCATGTAATAATGCGGGATTTTCTATTATTCTCTCGGAACACATAATCGACAGAAAGCTCAGATGTACACAGAAGACGACGAAAGAAAGAAAGAAATCTTAACGACGAGTCAAATCACTCGCAAAAAATGAATGAACAATCATCAATCAATCACCGCATCTCTTCCTCTTCTCACTTCACATCCATGTCGTCTAACAATACATGTACCCAAGTACTTGGATCAAAACGTCCTCGCCAGAATTGTGGATCACGATCGTCTGCCTCACCGGTCCCGCTCGAGCCAACCCGTTCTGCCAACGCCAAAAAGATAATCTCGGCTACGGCGACGGCGTGCAATGACTCGGCAAGCCGAACGAAAACCCACAGGCGAGAAACACCCAATAGAGAGAAGAACCCTTGCCATGTGCGCGGCGGCGGCACCGTGCCGCATGATGACTCTGAGGATGGGAATGAAACCCAGCCCTGCCTGTCTACGGCGTCGGTGGAGTGCCTCTCGATCGGTACCTCTCGGGAAACGTGACACCCGAGTCGTAGCGAGCATGGCATGCAATGCAGGATGGTTCATCACAATCATTCGAATCGCTGATCTTGTCAAATACTCCCATCATTACCTCTCACTTACACTTTTCCCATCAGCAGGCTGCTGGCTGGACTTGTTTGTCACTTGAGTCGCAAGGACATGGACAAGGATACGGTGTCCGTCGGTTATCGGGGACGAGAGGCCGACGAGGCCGAGACATTTCTCACACACGCATACACGCACACCTCCCTTGCGTCTGTTGGTATCCAATCAGAGAATTACCGTGAGCAGTGCGCTGCGTGTTGCGTGCCAAGGTTGTGTGGCTAGCTGTGAGTCGGCATTTGAGTCTTGGGGGATGTGCGCTGTGCAGGATGACTGCGTGCTGCGTACTGCGTGCGCGTCGGTTTGTGTGGTGTTGGTGTGTGGTGTGGTGGGAGGAGGTGCAGGAAAACAACCATGGGCAGGGCGGGATACTTCCCTACGTACCTCTCATCGCTGATGATTGAGTGCCAAGACCCGTTAGTGTTGGTCACGCAGCAGAAGGAGCCGACTTCGCCAAGAAGAACCACCACATATAAGTATACACGCACAATACGTAACGACTATCGAGTAGCCGCATCAAGCAGGTGTGCCCCTCCCAACATGAACCCATTCATGGCATCATCGATGAGCGGTAGAAGTGATAGACAAGAAAGAGGGGGAAATCTCTTTCCGTTTTGGGGCGCCTGCACAGTATGAATCAAGACAAGTAGCCGGCAATTTTCCTCCTAAAACTGCGTCCGGCAAGAAGACAAATCGATTGCTTTGCCACTTCGCGCTGTTTGTAGACGAAGGAACGTACATATATTATTATGCGGGGGCTTTGTGCGCGTACATACGGCATGCAAGAGGCGTGGATGAATGCCGTGCCGTGCCGCGTCGGTCTTGCTGTGTGTGCAGCAGCAGTACTAATGTCTGGCTGTGGCACCAGATTGTGAAGAAGTCGAGCAGCAGTGGCACGACGACTACAAACTATCGTGCAAGCGAGCTGAAACGGACAGGGTAAAGGTGGTTGGTCCTTCCTCGCTGCAAAGCTGAAAATACCCACTAGCAAGGTACTTTTGGCGAAATGCGAGAGGGGGAGCGCATCACGCAAAGTACCCTGTCTAGTCTGAAGACAGACGAGGCAGACCATCAAACGCAAGCGAGCGATCCGACCAAGAGATACAAAAACCCCTGGCTTTGATCATTGGCGCAATTGGTGTGTGCGAGGAGAGGGTGTGATGAAGAGCGATTCCCGGCCTATAGAGATCCGACAGCGTCGGCTGCAGTCAGACGAGCACGAATTCCCTGTCCTTGTTTTATCTCTATCGCACAGACTCAACTCTGGACTTTTGCTGGGATCATGTCGACCCAGCGTGACGGTTTCGACGCAGTCGCTTGGCTAGACTTTTTGCGCGCGTGAGTCGGTCTTTGACTTTCTCCACACCCTGCGCGTTCGCGGCACGTTATTCCCGCAGTTCGTCGTGGTGGTGGAGTTTGCTTGCGGTTTCACATGATGTATACCCTGCTGCCGGCAGACGTATCCACACCACTCGCCACAACACCTTGCGGAATGGATCCTTGCAATATACGCTTCTTTGCTTGCTGTGGTGTAATCCTTGCAAGAGGCCAGAGTGGCCTGGCCAGCGGCTTTCGACCTCGCCTCGCGCTTTCGTATTCAGCAGTCCAGGCTTTGATGATAATGTAGGTCACGAAGCGAAGAGGAGAGGTGTCTTCATCACAAGGACGGGCTCCAATCAAGCCCGAGCAAATCCACATCTCAGTTGTGAGCATCTTGATCAGTCGTCATTTAGACGGCTTCGCTTCTGAGAATCCACCTCGCCATCATCACTCGTCGTGACGACATCGCGAGGAGCGCTGTAATTGTGAGCCTCTTTGCCCTTCTTCTCAACAATGTCAAGATGAGCGAACTCCGTCCTTGCGAGCTGAACATTGACCCTCGCAGCGTTGAACGACGCCTCGTCGCTTGGCATCACCACGGCCAAGTTGGTGTTCTCCGTAAGCCGCGTGATGAAGAACATGAAGGCGCCGGTCTTGATCTGCATCTCCGCGAAGGACACCTCTGACGGCATCTGACCAGTGTGTTTTGACATGGAGTGCTTGTGAGTCTTGAGGATGCTGCTGATCCGCTCGAATCGATCCTTGTACGGGTTGTGTGATTCGTCGCCGCGAGTGATGTAGGTGACGACCAGGCAGGTGGTGCGCTCGTAGAGGACCATCTCACGCGCATCCAAGACCTCTGCCAACTTCTGCAGCATACTCTCGATGACGGTGGCGTTGGGTACCAGGAAGTAGATGACCTGCGTCCACGCCCGGTACAAGCTCTGGTCCCATATCGAGCTGGAACAGAAATCGACTTGCTTGCCGACGAAGCCCTCGTCTTCGCACACGGCGCGGATCTCCTTGACTTTCTGCTGGTACACGATGTTCTTCTGATCGGGAGGGACCAGGTCCATCTTGTGGCAAAGCACAAAGATCTTGCTGTTGGGACTGAACTCCTGCAAGGCTCGGATTGTGGAGGCGAAGCTCAACAGGTCCGGCGCAGGTTCTTTAGAGGAGACGTCGAACACAAAGATGAGGACAGCGACGGACGTAAAGACGTGTGATCTCTGGTTGGTGAGATACGATTCGACGAACGAATCTTGACTGTGAGTTGATCCAGTCAGTCAACCCTACCCAAGGCGGCAATATGTCTTCGTCAGAGACGTTGTGCTTTGCTCACCCGCCGCAGTCCCACAGGTTGAGCATGAGATTGCCCATGAATTTGATATTGCTGTGCTCGACATCCACCGTCGCTCCCAGTCGTCGGACATCTTTAGCCACGTAATTGCTGAAGATGATGGATCTCATCGATGACTTCCCCGCTCCAGATCGTCCCATCAGCAAGACTTTGCGCTGCTTGTGGCGCTTGCCGCGCTCGGCTGTACTCATCTTGGCAGTTTGCCCGCTGTGTTATTCTGTTGACGGCGCTATCGAGGAGATGATTGCGGTCGAGCCGGCGATGTGCTTTTGGGTCAGTTCATGTCATCTCAATAGGGGCTCAGCTCGTAGATTGCGGAAGTGAGTGGGGGTTTGCGATTTGTTACGCGCGCTGTGATTGGCCAGTCTCGGCGGCATGTCCTTGTCGGGCAGCAACGACATGTCTTCTTGTGCTTCTTTTTCCTTTTATCTCTTCTATCATCATCAAATCTTTTCGCGCTCATGTACAACGCTTTGCAATGGCCATGATACTTTTCAGCTGCCTCGATATTACGTACGACCGGGCGTGGAAAGAAAACGCGGAAGATGCAACGAGTTCGATGCGTGATCCAAATTCAGCAACTTTCCGTGTCTGTGGGATAGCCGCAGTATCCGATAAGTCGCTCAACCATGACCTGGCCAGCTTATAGGCGATCAGACTGCAAGAGAGGAAAACCTTACAGACCGGCAACAGCTAGTTGACGCCCTGCACCATAGTCGAGCGGCCTATACTGCACTCAGGCGAGGGCATTTTCTCGACGAGAGTGTGATGATGCTTTGACACCGGGCCGCGCGAGTCCGCGAACACATCTCGCTTGGAGCTCTTTCAAGCGCGCAAGACGATCGTAGATAAGATCATTCCGCGCTTGCGATTTGAATTCTACCCACAGGTTTTGCTGTCCAGCGCCAGGCATGTACCCGAGCCCAATACGAGCGGGCTACTGTAGACAAGAACGACAGGGAATAAGTCTACAAATAACACATCCTCCTTTCTATCGACTTCGCTTATAGCGTTCAGCCAGGTCGGTCAGCAGCAACAACAGACCAGGTTTGAAGTCTGAAAACCAGGAACGAAGTCCGTCATCTCCCCACCACGCCAATCACCTCCCGCAACCCACCTCTTCGTGGACTTCACGTGTCGACAACAAACCTCGACGATTCGACCCGCTATGCAAGCCTCCTTGCTTATCTCAAACCTAATCGCTCTTCGGCATATCCCCAGCCAAAATGCCGAGCTGTCTGTCGCCGAAACTCTATCCTTCCGCCCACCACACTAGCAGCAACGTCAGGTAAGCAAGCCGCAACCGCATTCAATGAAAATCACCGACAAAGTTATGGGCGGATTCCTCCCTCGGCGGCGTTTGAAAGTAGGGCTGGTCTCGCGACTTTATCGTCTGCCGAACCACGATTTGTGTGATGACAACTGCCGGTAAGGCCGCCATACCCGCCGGCTCACGGAATGACTGCTGGAATGGGAAAGGACGATGACCTCCCGTCAGATCGTTGAAAGACCGGGACGACGGATCTGAAACACTGCGCTGTCCAAAGAGATGGTCTGCTTGGCTTATGAGAGCGGATTACAGAGCGGCAGACATATGAGGCTACTCGGTCGCAAAAGATTGCTTGCCTCGGCATTGCAACGACAATCCTTTGTGATATTTCCGGATCAGGCACTCGCTCGTGAGGACGGCTCGGCGTTTGTGTATGATAACAAGCAGACATTCAAAAGTGCGTGTTGTCCGAACGTAGACCATTGGTAAGACCCGAGATACATGCGAGGTATTACGGCAACAGGCTACTTGAACCAAAGTGGGCTGACTGCATATGCAGGAACGAGGGCAGAGGCCGAGAGTTGATGAGCACAGGTTCGCATTGGACTTTGATCACGTTCTATGGACGAGATCGGCTTCAACGAGCATACCGTCAACTCTGGTGGATGAGTACGACTTCTGTACAGATGCATAAGTGGCGAAAGCATATTTTACAACACAGGTTGGGAGAAGATGATGAGTGTCCAACCCAACAGGCAGTGTTCAACTCACTGCCATGCCCCGTCGCCAATCTCTGCAGACTCGCCTCATTCGCTCACGAAGGGTGGTATCGACTTTCGATCCTTCATCACTCGTCCTTCACCCCCTTGCTGGCCGAAGCAGCTCCCTCCTCGCAATCGACCCAGTCCCCACCACTCGCCTTTCTCTCCTGCTGTTCCTCCCTTGCTCCCTCAGACACCTCTTCCTTTCCCTCCTCCGGCACCTGAAACTCCGGCAACACCCACCCAAACACATCCAACACCTTCCACACAACCTTTCCCACCCTATCCAAAACATCCCAGCTGACATACAACCCCAAAGCCACCGACCACATCCCCACGACGGTATACGTCAACAACGCATGCCACGACATGTCGGCGGCGATGTGGCCCGTCAGCTGAGCCACCACGAGCCCCAGCACCGTGAGGAAGTATGTCGATATCGGTACGCCGAAGCCTATGAGGCTTATTGTCCGCGAGGAGAGGCATTCGAGCCCGCCGATGCAGCCGATGAGGCCGCCGCAGAGCATGTAGATGGGGAGGAAACTGATGGTGAAGGTGACGGCGTAGTAGATGGTGTAGGTTGTGATTTTTGACATGAACAGCATGAGAGCTAGGATGTCGTTTGGTGGGGATTGGAGGGTCATTGTGGATCTGGATGTATCGGTTGAATGTGAATGTCGTCGTTGTTTGATACGCGTCGAAGAAGGTGATGTGCTGTGCTGTGCTGCGACACCTCATACATTTTTATCTGCTATGACTCTGTCAACTGCGCCTCGAGGGCGAGTGCGACATATCGACTATTTAGGTCGTCAGGATGCACTAGGTACACTATCCAATCGCAACCACGTCAAATCTGAGCCATCTTTCTGCCTGAGGGTGAACACGAACAAGGGCGCGGCGTCGAGCCTGATATGGTATCTTCGTTCCTTGCCTCTATCCATGTTGACCGAGAAGTGCTTTCCTTCTGACCGCAATGCTCTCTAGCAATAATAGATGCACAGGTGGGGAAATCGAAGTCTCGCCTCCCAGGACAGAAATAGCATTTCAGCGAAACCAAGATGATATGCCATTGCATCTCCGTGACCAACAATGCCGACTGTGCTTCCAATACTCAAGTCCTCATTTGCGTCTCCCAACCTCCAACAGAGAGACAATCCTGACAATTCTGCTCCTGAAAATGGCCATGATTCGAGGTTTCAACAAGATCGTTGTCTTGAGGTCCCCCTTTCGTCTTCCCTCAAAAGTATTTCCCAACCATGGCGCTCTATCATCGATGCCTCGAAAAGCGGCGCACTGTTGGGATGGCTGTCAGGCTGGCTTGCGGCTGCACCGTCCAGCAATGCAGAGACTCCAACATACGCGCTGTACAGAGCCGCGATCGTGCAGGTAAGTAAAGAAATACAGGTCGTGGCGAAAAACCCGGCCCAAGCGAGCGTGAAGGCAAATGCCATGACGGTGTGTTCCTTCTCCATGAGAGCATTCAGACCGCAATTCAACAGTAAAATATGAATGAGTGTGGTCATGAGCAGCCAAGGCATCACCGCCTCAAGGACGGGTCGTCGGTATTTCCTGGAGTTGTGGCGACCCGGTGGCATGATCGCTCAGAAGAACCAGGCGATGAAGTAGCTGGAGATGAAGATGGTTATGAAACTCAGGGCGATCAGGAAGCAGCGCAGAATGACCTTCGCCATGGACAAGATGACCTCGGCTTCGTGGGCTGCGAGCGACATGATAGTGGTCGTTGTGGTGGTTGTCGATGTTTTCTGATGTCCAGTGTGGGAATTTGCCAGTGTTCGAGTTGTGTCTTGAGAAGAGGAAGGCCAGAATGAGAGTGCGTCCTTAAAGCAAGTCGCACAAGTAGCTGCCTAGCATTATGGAGCCGTAGATGCTGACCGAACCGTAGCAAGATTGGAGTATCCATGATTCTCGGCTTGGTAGCTTTTCCATTAGCTTTTGGTAAGACGAGTAATTCCAAAGATTGGCAAGGAAGACTCAGCACTCGGTGCTAGCCTCCAAATCTTTGCTGCTTTCGCGTTCCAGCAACCCATCTTCCAGTTCATGCGACCCAGTCGCACGGTCCGAGGCAGGCGAGTCTTCGACATCCCGCTTACCCACACGCCTTTCAACAGCCGCATAACCCTTCCAAGTGCCCCGGACGATCGCAACTGCAAGGAGAAGCCAAAGCCATGAGAATGTAACGATTGCCAGACCCCACAGCAAGAACGCGTGCAGCGGGAGCGGCCAACCTAGTGGCTCTTGTTCGCTTAGCTTGTAGACTAGGGCGACGACGTATGCGACGAAGCTGATGAAGGCGGCCGGCCAGCATCCAGGGGTCTTGTCGAAGTTCAGTCGGGCTGGCCACAACACGGAGTCGAAAATCCAACCGATCAGGATGGAGAGTGGCCAGAGAGCAACGAAGGACAATACAACCTGAGCGGCCTTGAGGACTATGTTGGCTGACTGCCCAAGAAGGGTAACAATTTCCAGATCTGACATTGTTGCTGGAGTTGGTATGTTGGCGTGTAGTGTTGAGAGCAGTATCGTGGGCGGTGATCTTTGCGACCTTTGAGCGATTGAAGTTGCAGGAAAAAGGGTCGCAGGAAGCCGACTCGGTAGAATATCGAGGAGTGCGGCCGTGTGAGCTTGTTCACGAGCCAGAAGATCCATAGAGGGCATGACACATGAAGTCACAATCTACAGCCTGGATGAAACCCAGAAAGGTAAATTAGCTCATGTACAAGTGAGGTAAGCAGTAGAGGTGTGAATAAATGGAAAGAAGGCTTCCAGTGAGGATAGGGGAAAGGGAATAGGTGAGAGTGTAAATGCATGCACAGGTGAGAACGGTCAGAGGAGATTGCCAAGCATACATTAATCATCCGACAGGATCCCCTTCTCTCTTGCTCATCAAGCCTTTGTCGACGCCGCAGTCGATTCATCAGTTTGGGGAGCACCACTCTCCAGCTCATGCTCATTGGTAGTAGCCACCGGCTGATAGCTTCCCGACTCGCCAGACGCCGACTTGTTCACGAAATTCGTCTGGAAGATATGCCACATCGTCCCCAGTATCAAGCCCCCCAGACAGAGCCCGAATACGACTGTAATGACAATGGCCACGCTGTACGTGATGACCGTCATTGCCGACGTGCCGTTGGAGCTCCATACTATGGCCAGGAAGAATGTGACTGCGCAATGCGCGATCACGAGAGCAACCAGGAAGCCCTTAGAGGTCTCGGTCTTTGGAAGTTTTCGTTGGAAAAAGTGTGCGCGCTCTTCGAAGCAGCAGAGCCAGGCTGAGAGGAGGGCGAGGGCGCCGATGGGGATGAAGCTGAGGGCGAAGACCAGGACCGCGAGCAGGATCTTGCCCATGTTGTGGAAGAGGGTGCCCACGTCGAGGTCAGACATCTTGATGTCGTTGAGTGAGTTTGACGAATTTCGTGGATGCTGTAGTCGACAAGTCGTGTTCTTGAGAGTATAGAAAAGAGACAAGAAACTTGGCAGCCTGCTGTGTTGCTGTATGCTGTGCCTCTGAGGAGGATCACCACAGCCACATATGCATAGCCTCCGAGGCCCCACTACAGCTCGTACGTCTTCTGGCTGGCGGCCTCGAAATTACAAGATGAGAGAACGAAAGCTTCAGGTGTATGAACAGCAGCAGAATCAACCGCCGAAAAGAGGTGATGGTGCGAGAGGTGATGTTGATAGAAAGAAGGAGTCTGAAGCCTCGGTGTCCGCGAGAAACAGCCGCCAATGGGATTGTGACATCACCAACACGTGCATCAAGTGAATCAAAGGCACGCGAGTCTTGACCTAATCTTTCAGGGAGGCACATGTCCACCCATTGAAACAACTCTTCCGTCCTTTCCAACACCACCAGTCCATCGTCGCCAACAACAATGTTCACAACCCGCCTCTTCACCTGCGGTCTCCGCACCCCGCTCTTCGCCGCCGGCTTGGGCGTCTCCAGCGCCCTAGTCTTCACACCTCTTCTCCAAAACTACCGACAACCCATCCGACTAGACTCGTCGCCCAGCAATGTCTCGCCAAAGGATTGGTCATTCTCGCAATATGCGACGGATGCCCGAACACCCATAGTCACATCCCAGGGACGCTTCAACGCGCGGGCTGTGAGGCAATTGAGCGCGGGGAGCATTATAGGTGCATCTACGGTCCCATCACCCCCCTTCACCCATTCCCAAGCTAACACGGCAACGCAGGACTCGTCGCCGGCCTAGGTGTCTCCCTCTTCTCCAAACCCCTCGCCCTCCTCATCGGCCTCCTCATCGCAGGCGTCCAAACCGCCGAAAGCTACGGAATCCACCTCGTGCCCTACAAAACGATCCAAGGATACGTGAGAGGAGTGGATCTGAGAAGTGCGGTGCAGGACAACATTGCTTTCAAGGTGAGCTTTGGACTTATGTTCGCGCTGAGCGCGTTTGCGGAGTTGCCGCAATGAGCTGGCCAGTGGGTGTCGAACATGGATAGAGATGCTGAGATGAAGATACGAGAGGGGAGGTTGTAAAACCACACCCATGGGAAGATATGAAAGAATCGCGAGTCTTGCTGATGCATCGACGTCTCGGACAATAAACGCCGAGACGATAGCAGCTCGTAGCGACGAAAACAACACCCAGGGGTGTCGTGTACGAGCATACATCTAGAGTACAAACTTGTTGGGCCTGAACGCTACCTTGGCCGTCAAACACACCACCGGCGCGGCCTGTCGCCAAAGTCTGCGATGTCGCCTCATGCACACTTCAAATGCCTCCCAAACGCCTCGCTTTGCTGAACATCGGGTATCTATCGATCCGCTGATTTGCGTCGTTGAGACAAGATTATTGCCCAAAACTCCTCGCTATGCATGCATTTTATTTCTTCTCCTTTTACTTGCTGGAGAGTTCTGGTAGCTGGAGCATATGCTCGTAATGGTAGTAAAACATAGAGTTGAATTCAGTCTCGGTCCTCGTCTCTCTTCTTGCGCCTGCTCGAGTGTCGACAGCTTTCTCGTGCGTGAAACATACTATCTTGCGCTTCGCCTCCGCTTTGGGTCTCCTGGAAATCCAGCGCCATCATCATGCGGCCGCTTCCTGCTTTCGGTGGCGCCGTCGTTGCGTGAAGGTCTGCCACTTCCGCCTCTCTCATCTTCGCGTGGTGGTGCTCCACCTCGAAAGTCTTCCGGTCTGCCTGACGCTCCCGTTCTGCCACCTCTCCTGCCACCATCGTTCTCGTCTGCACGAAGTCCACGACGTTCCCAATCTGGAGGATGGCCTCCTGCAAAGCCTCCAGGATTGTCTGTCGTCGGGCCACGAGACCGCCTCTCTTGCCCTCTACGTTCTCGTGATGCGCCGTCACGGCCTGGTGCGTCCCGCGGCATACGGTGCTCATCGCGCGGTGCTCCGCCACGTCTATCTCTGTTGTCATCTGGTCCGCCTGGTGGTGGAGGTGGAGGTGGAGGACGAGCCATCGGGTCGACAATGTCACGGCGTGGTTCCCGGCTTGGGTTACGACTACCGTGGGAGCGGTCACCCCGATCTTCTTCTCGTCGCCTGCCTCCGTCATCGTCTCGGCCTGGTCTGCCATAAAACAGGTCCGGCCGACCATGTGAATCGTCAGCTCCATGTCGGCCGCCATCGAAGGATGGGCGACTGCTCGGCGGCTCCATTGACGACGCTACTGTGGGGACAGATCCTCCAGATCTCACGCCTGGGCCGCTTGGAGGCAAGGACGACATGCTCGGCTGGCGAGATGATGCTCCTCTGAAATTGACGCCTTGGGCAGTAGGGCTAGGGGCGTTGCTGTTGCCCTGCAAAGTAGCATTGATGTTTTGACGTTGTCTGTCACCACCGTGCTTCCGTCTCTCCAAGCCTGATGCAGGTCCAGAGGGCGGCATGCTGTTGGCAGGCGATGGTCCTGTGGGTGTGCCACTGGGAGGGCCACCACGACCTGGTGCTCGTGGTCCAGCTGGAGGTCCTGTCGTGGGAGAACCTGCATTTCGCGGTCCATTGGGTGCTTGAAAGCTCGTCTGAATAGGAGCTGGTGGAGCAAACTGAGCAGCTCTGCTCGGATGTACTTGAGGACCATTTTCTGCGGCAGGTGTACTTGGCGCAGAACTTGGAGCGCTTCGATCAACGTGTGGTGCAGGGCCGCTCGGCTGTCGGCTAGGCGGCCCTCGAAGTGCTGCAGGTGACTCTGGTGGTCTGCCGGTCGTTGGAGATGGCACGGCAGAGTCATTAGGACGCGTGTTGACTGGGGCCGTGAAGTTTCGAGCGCCCCTGCCTGACCCGTTGAGCTGACGAGGCCCTGAAGGTGCATCTTGAGGACCGTTGAGACGGCCAAAGTTTGACTCGGTTTGCTGAGGAGGGGCCATCTCGCGAAGTCGCCCGCCCGCCCGCTTTGGCCCAGTGGGTGCCAAATCAGGCTGTTGTTCGTTGCGTGGCGGAGCATCCCGTGGTGCCTCTGCAGTTCGTGAACCAAAGGCAGATCCTGGGCGATCATCTGTTCGAGACTCCCTCTCGCGGCGGGGGTCTCTGTCCGCTGGCGGAGCATCTCTTCCGCGGCGAGGAGCCGGACCGCCAGACCCAGAGTCAATCAATGCCATGCGCGCTGGATTGACGTGGTGCTGGTCATCTTGTGATTGCGGCTGCGAAGGTGTCGCGCTTGGTGTGACTCGTGACGGCTGTTGGCCTTCAGGTGCTACTGCTACTGAAGAGATATGGCCCAGTCGATCCGGGTGCGTGCCTGCATCTGATGTCCGTCCAGTTGGTTGCGATCGATCTCGAGAGTCAAGCGGAGGGCGAGACGACATTGGCGGGCCCTCACGTCGCGGGTGACCGTACGGCTCATCACGGGCGCCTCTATTGTCATGAGGTGGTCGCTCAGTTGGTCGGTCGAACTGCCGCTCATCGCGATAGCCACGTGGCGTAGAAGCTGGGGGTGGAGTTCGTCCACGAGTGCGATGGCCAGGAGAGTGGTCGCGAGAAGCCGGCCTCACGTCGTTGGGTCTGTCTAGTCTGCCGAAACGCTCGTCTGGCCCACTTCGAGCCGGATATCGTCCGCCTCTGCCCGGAGTAGGCGCTCCTGGAAGAGGCTTCGTAGCATTGTGCTCAGGTCGGTTTGGCAGAGCATGGGCTGATGATCGAGCAGATCCAGGCTGTGTTGACGAGGGTCGGGATGGCTCCGCACGTTGCGAACCTGACGTGCCAGGAGGGTGCCTCGACTGAATTGGAGCCGGCGTCAACGGCTTGGAATCGGCTTTGGGTGTGTCGCGAGCCACTGTTGATTTAACATCATGCGATGGTCTCTGAATTTCTTTCTCGGTTGCCTTGTTGTCCTGCTTCGGTGTTTCTGGACGGTCTCCAGTATTGCTTACGGATTTGCTCTCCTTCGCAGACGCGGCCTTCTCGTCTTCAATCTCGCCATCCTCGGGGCCGCCAGCCACTGATTCTTTTCTACTCGTGCCATTCGCCTGAGTGGTAGACGTAGATTTGAATTCTGGAGCTGACGCATTGAGACCAGCTCCTGGCTGTGGTGTTTCTGGTCTTGCAGAGGGCGCGCGACTGGTCGGCTTGGCACCATCTTTGGCTGGATCGTTCAATCTGAATGCTTGTGGCAACAGCCAGTGCTTCTCTCGACTCTTGAGAGGGCCAAGTAGGGACATCGCAGCCAGCTTCAGATCCTGACGCGGGTCATCCTTTGACAGCTTTGTAACGTGATCGACCATGTTCTTGCCGATATACTTGATTGCTGGGAAAACCTGGACGACACTCTTCAGAACGATGATGCCGTTGCGAATGTGCATGTACTCGTCAGACTCAAAACAGGCCTGTAGCGCATTGCTCAGGTGGGCGTGGAAGTTGAATAGCATACGCCTGAATGTCTCGTAGTCGATGACGGATTTTGGCTCCCCGTTCTCATCAAACGCCTTGACGAAACCTGGGAGCTTCGTCTTTTGACCCAGAGCCTCCTTCTCATATATCGTTTTATCGGCGTGCCAGGAGTGCAGGTGTTTGAGAGTCTCGCAAAGGTAACGACCAAGATGCTGTGCTTCATTGGCGGTGCACTGGAACATCAAAGTTGCGAGCTGTTGCTTCTTGAACAGCTGATGCAAAAGGTGCATAAGGCTGAATCCGGGAGTTCCCTGGTCGTGCAAGATCTTCATCATTGTGAATGAGAAGTACGCATCGATGGACGACATTATGGCTCTTGGAATAAAGCATTCCTGGAGCAGACCTTGGTGCTTTGCGTCGATGGCAGCCCGCGATTCCTTTCCGTCTGTCTTCGCAAACCAGTGGGATTTCTCGGTCTTGTTGATTCGGGCTTTCACCTGTCGGTACGCACTTACGTGCACTGTTGGCTCCTGCTTCATCTTCTCACGCAAATCCATCAGATTCTTCTTTTTGCGTTCTCTCTCCCTTGACTGGATCGCGCTCAGGTCGGAACGGTCGCTTGCGATCTCATTGATTTGACCATCGAGTCGCTTCATCTCCCTTGAGTAGTTGTCCATGGGTACAAATACGTCGTACAGGTTCAGGGTCCAGAATGTGACATAGAACGGTACGCTGATGCGAGCAGCGAGCTCTGGGAGGGCCTCTTGGAGGCCTTGAATGACTGGTTCGAGGACCGGATGCCATGGACCAGTCTCTGCGGGCTGAGCCGTGGCGGCAGCGCCATCTTCAACGCCTTCCATCTCCTGGTCCATTTCTACAACACCATTCGATTGTTCTGTAGGTTCATGAGCTGCTTCCTCTTTGATGGTCTCCGCAGTATTATCCGCGTCCTCGCCAGCGGGAGCATTCTGGGCAGATGCGTCTTTCTTGTCGTCGAGCTCATGTTTCTTTGCAGCATCAAACTCGCTGAGGCGGTGTTGTAATGCTGCGCGACAGACTGTGAGCGCGACGCACGGCCCCACACCAAAGTCTCTCACCAGACTGGTGACATCTGGAACCGCGTCTTCGAACTTTTGTGCATCCAAGTTATACTTGAGGACTTCCATGTACTGCTGGAAAACAGCTTGAATCTTGTCCAGGTTGTTTCCGAGAACTTTCAGCGGCATGAATCTCGAGGACTCGTGTTGGGCGTACATCTGCTGCTCTTGCGCAATAGCCACAAGTGTCTGGCCAATGAGTTTTGGCTTGTCGAGTGCTGCAATCAAGCGTTGGGCTGAAGTCTTCTTCAAATGCCTCGTGTCCGATAGCTGTGACAAAATATGGGTTCTGAGCGTCTCTCCGCCGGCCATGGCCAATACCTGGGAGTCGTTGAATTCTGTATCAGATCTGATGCCTGCCATTTCTACAAGCACTTGCTCGAACAGCTCCAGGTCGGTCGAGTTCCCGCTTCGAAGTTCGGAGGCGAGATATTGCAGAATTGGTGACAGATTGAGGTGCGAGTATCGTGTGAACAGCGACGCGACGAATCGAGACAGTGCTTGCAACCAGGAACTGGTCAGCATGCCATCTGCTTGCATGCGATCCCGTCCCTGCCCGCTGACGGAGTTGATGAGGGCCCAATTCAAGACGTCGTATGCCAAGGATGAGAAGTACCGCGTGCATTCCACCAAGCTGGGAATCATGTTGTTGTAGCTTTCGAGCTGGTTGATCATTTCCATCATGACGATGCCTGGCGATGAAAGTGCGACCTTGCCAAGTGCTCGCGATTGCTTCTTGACGTAATCATTTGACACTCGTCGAAGTACATCACGGACCTCAGCTTTGTTCTTAGCGAAAGCAGCCTGGACATCGGGGAGACGAGATGTACGGCCAGTGAACCATTCAGCATACACCTTGTATCTCGTGGCGACCGGAAAGAAGCTCAGCAGCTCATACACGTGCTGTGCGAGCTGTGGATTGTGCTTGCTGCAGCTGAGCGCTGGCACCAACAGGCGCTTCATGAGTTCAAGCCAGCGTGAGCGGTTCTCATTCGAAGTATCGTCGGTCAGGCTGCGATAGGCCAGACGTAGGAGAGTGCTGTAGAGGGCAACGTCCTGTCCAATCTTTGGCCCAATGTACCCCAGGAAGGTGTTGCATAAGGCAAAGACATCGTCGAGCGATTGGCAAACCGGAATGTTATCGCTCCAGTCGGAGTAGTAGTGTCGATAATCCTGTCCGTCATCCTTGTCGAAGACGTCGTTGTACAACCACCGCGTTGTCTTTTTGGGCTGTCTTGCAGAGAAGGCCAGACTGCCGTCGAATCGAGGTGTAGTATCTGAAAGTTGCTCTCTGGGCTCCTGCAGGCCATCACGGCTGCTCAATGGATGCAAAGACTCTGCAACCTTGCTCAACATGTGTCTGGCCAGGCGCTGTAAGAAAGCCGGCAGCGAGATGTCAACCTCAGCCAGCCAAGGGAAGCGGCCCAGGAGATGCAAGGCCTCAGGAAGAGCTCCAATGAGAAGTAACGCTTTCAAGAGCAAGACTTTCTGGTTGACGGGCGCTGGCAGCTCTTCCTTTGGCTCGTCCTTCTTGTCTTGGGACGGGGTAGCATCGCCGCTCTTTTCCTTGTCTATTCGCCGGGAACCAGGCAACGAGTCATCAGCGAGAGCACCGGCCATGAGGAGAGCGTTCATGCCTCCGCCAGGACGCTCTTTAGCTTCCTTCTCTGCCTTTTCTTTCTCCAATCTTGCCCGCTCTTTTGGCATGTCTTCATCGGCGGGGTAAAGATGCGGATACAGGTCTCGCAAAGATATGAATCCGATCTTGATCAGGAGAGCTGCAAGGTAGATGAGGTTGTCCGGCAAGGTATCTCCGGCATCCCGCGCGTCAGAGGCGTAGAATCTCAACTTGAAGCCCAGCAGCTGCGCAGCGTCGTAGTTGCCCGACGGCGGGATGCTGCGGGTCTCTCGCATGTACTTGCGAACTTCGTTGAGCCGCATGCGCTTGTTTGGGTTCGTCTCTTTGCCTCTAGCATCCAACTCAGCCGAGACTTCAGATTGCAGTAACGGAAGTACCGAGTCGAAGTTGACAATCTTCTTGCTGCCAAGCTCGAAGAATGCGTCCATGCCGGCCTCTCGGACGTGATCCCAGAATCGAACATCACGCGTGTGCCGTAGCTGGGACAGCGCCTCCTTCTCGTCATCACTTTGCACCCAACGTCCAGATCCTGGCAAAGCCCAACTTGGCAGAGAGCTGAAACCTTGGTCTTCCCACTTCACGTTGTCGAGCAGCTCGTTGTCAGGCCACCAAGAGCTCGCACGATAGAATTTGATGAAAAACGGATAGGCCTTGACAAGAAGATTGGCGCTCACGTCCATAATGATGTCTAAGACCCTGCCAACGTCAAGATCAAAGGCACCGATCAAAGCCTCCACTCGTCGAAAGGCATCCTCAGCCATGAATGGGTCATCGTCGCGTCGGCTGCTGGCTTCCTGCGCCGTGTTGAAGTACTCAGTGATGAGTTTGGCATAGCCTTCGCTCTCCTCTCGAAGTAGATTGAAGTTCGCTTGCCTGTACAGAGCATTTGTGGTCTTTCTCGTCCGCATCTTGTCAAAGGTACTGCGGACAAGCCCGAGTTCTTGCAGCAGAGGAATGTCGAGCTCCTCGCGCATCCGCTGCAAGTCGATTCCAGTGGAAGCAACCAGAGGCCGCAACTGGGGCCCTTTATAGTTTGCATCGTACAAGAAGGAGATTGTGTTGAGAAATAGCTCCTCCACGCTCATGGAACCAAGGTCTTGTGATGCAATGATGTCCCTCACTGCCAGACCAGCCTGTTTGCCAGCCAAACGGTCCTCTAGCGATGACCGGACCAGCTCGGAAAAGAGATCGCTAAGTCGCAATTCGTCCAGGCCTCTCGCTGCGTCGACAATTGTTTGTTTCCCTGAGTCCGACCAGGAGGATATGATGTCGTCGGTGACGTGGGTGTACTTGTACAGAGCTTTCACCGGTACTGCGGTGGGTGCTCCCGTGCTATGCCCATGTCCATTGGGTTCCGATGGGTTGTTGTCGAGGCCCTGCTGCGCAGGTGTTCCGGTACCCTCACGCGAGCTCGAACTGAGGTGTCCTAGTGTCAGCCTTCCTCTCTCCTATCTGCTGGGGTAGCACAGAGCTTCGAGCGACTCACGTTGCTGCCAAACACAGATTGTTAGCTTTGTCTTCTGCAGGGCAATCGTGAATCTTACGCATGTTTGGAGCAGCATCTTCTTCTCCAGTTGTCTCCGCCTTCTCTATCTGTTGCGATGTTCGACGTGTCATGCGCGACTTCTCCGGTTTGTACGGTGAGGGCCGACTGGCTCCGTCATCTTCTGAGATCTGCCGCTCAGGTCGTTTTCGCTTATTACTCGAAGGCGCCATGGCTGACGAGGGCGAGCGAGGAGGACCGAGCGGGCGGAGAAGAGCGAGATCTGTCCTCTAGTGCTGCGGACATGTGGGTGTCGCCTCTGGGAAGCCGTTTGATGCAGTTATCTTTGCAACAGCACGCGCGCTGGCCGAAGACCGGCGAAGCTTCGCTTCAAGGGCCGTTCATATGGCGATGAGAGTACGGCGATACGTGTCCGATTTCTGAGTGTAGATGCCGTGATTGCAGTCGAAGGGTTGTTGATGATGAAGTTTGCGAGAGAGTCGTGTCTCTCAAAGCGACGCCTTGTTCAGACCTGAAGTTCAAAGCGTCGGCGGCCGGCCCGAGCCAGCCGCTAAGCTTTCTTCGCTCGTGGCTACCGGACGTCCACTGTCAACAACTCTGCATCAACATCGACTCACCACCCTTCACCTCGGAAAACACGCGAAGGGTCGCCGTTCTTCTCATGGCCGCCAATATGTCGACATAGCTTGTTCGATGGGCTGAACATTGCGTCTGGCCGTCCCTCGGATCGTGACGGGTCTCATTGCAGGCGGGTTTCGGGATGCTAGCAACTTCGACAACCAGTCCTCAATCTTTATATTCCTCACGGTCTGGAATATATGGGCAACAACGTGTCACTGGTCTGCATCGTAAAATATTCGAAACAGATGCCACCCCCTGGCACTTGCGATGCCGACTGTGTGCTTGTCCTCGAAGACTAGCCTTGACCTGGGACATGCTTGCTTCCCCATTGCCTGATCACTGGCTACTCGATAACGCGTCATTACGACCCCAAGGCATTCGAAATAGATGGTCAGACGCTCAGATGTCCTACCGTGTGACTTTGAGATTTCTGAATATGGAGAGATGCTTTCTTTTGATTCTCGTCTACACAAACTCCATCCATGGCCGAGCCTTCCAACCTGACTCTTCATGCACTCCCATCCTGCAGCAACGACCGGACAATGCGATATGCTTAAGAGAGGATGCTGGCAGCCTCCTCGAAGCCGGCCTCGTCGGCGCCCTCGACCTTCTTGACCTCCTTGCCGTCCTTGAAGATAACGATGGTTGGGACCTTGGTCACGTTGAAGTAGGACTGGCGTGGCGGTCAGCAGGTTAATCAACACAGGATCTGCACTGGATCCATTTGCTCACCTTGGCAGCCTCGTGCTTGGAGACATCGACCTTGTAGGCAGCGGTGGTGGAGGCGAACTTGGCGGCGTACCTGGACAAAGTCAGAAGGCGGCATTTCAACAGGAGTTTCTCGAGCATCGACTTACTCATCGGCCTTTGGGTTGACGGAGCCCTCGTAGGCGTAGATGAGGACGTACTTGCCCTGGGTGGCGAGAGCCTGGTCGAATTCGGCCTTGCTGTTGAGCTCGGTGTGAGACATGTTGGCTGATTGATTTGAAGGTGTGTAGAGGAATTTGGATTGGAAGTTGGCTAAGGACTGGAATCAAAAGAACAGAAACCATCAAGGAACGGAGCGAGCTCTAAATACCCTCTACTCGTCGCTCCTCCGCCTCTCTCGGGCATAGCTGTCCCTCTGGTGGAGACCCATTACGGTGAGGGGGATTGTCTGGCGGTGAAGCACGAGAATCGGCACGAGCTTCAAGAAATGGGTTCAGGAGAGCGATAAGAAGTGTCGAGAGTGACGGACCTGCAGCGCTCCGCGTGGGCACGATGCAATCTTCCTTCAGCTACAGCAAGCCCTCCGTCCCTCTCCCTCCAACCACGGCAGCGAGATGTTCACTCCCGCTCCGCAATATGGCTGAATCCGCTGCGGGATAGACGGTGATGGGCGAGCTAAGGCAATCAGAGTGCAGCATATGCTCTCAGGATCGTAGCCACCCGCGAGACGCTATTGCACACCTGCATCGTTCGCGCCGACCCTGACTACCCTTGCCTGTCGCTGAAGCTGTGGAGTTGTTTCACATGAGGGGCAGCTTCTGGAACTCAATGGCACTCCCCCCACAGCTCGGTCGACATGGTGGGGTGCATTTGTCGTGTGCAGAACTCCAACCCAACAGCCCGGAAAACGAGATCTTTACAATCACGACCCGAATTTGCTCGACTGGGCCTCATTGCATCACCATAGTGGTCTTTGACGACATTCACTTCCAGCCTCCCAGCGACTCACCGCCATCTCGGATTGGAATCCTCAGCGGACATTTCCAATCATTGCCGAGCCGTTGAACATCCCACCAGTTGTTTTCCAACGGCTTTCAAAACTCTATACTTTGCGGTGAAGATACGGCTTGGACCAACAGCGCTCGCTCACGACATCTGTAACTTTGGTTGGCGTCTGCGGCAGTCGGCAGCATTACAAGGAAGAGCATTGTTCCCAACATCGTGGGGCATGGGGCGGCGTCTTATGGCTGGGCGGAGCAGATTGTGACCGATCGAAGCAGGCATTGCATGCGGCTCCACAGTTCACAGTTCACACTGGCATTGGATTTTGCTGGCGGTCAAGCAGACCATGGCTCGGTATCGACAGCCTCCGAGAAGCAGTGGATTCGTGATTGTGCTCGGTGCCGAGATAGACGATTGTGGAATCTTTGTTGTTGATGTCGTTTGCTTGGATGCTCTTCTTGTTGACAACACTGACAGCTTGGCAGGTCGATCCTGGTTTCGAAAGGGAACGCCTGCATTGCACTGCAGTCTACTCGCGAGGCGTGCAACAGCTCTTCACAATCGACACATGAAAGCGAGCACAGACCCATCCGCAGATCATGAGTTTCTAGAAGTCATCACTCGGAGGCGGTAAGAAAGCTGTGCTCGAGGGGCGCGGCTGATCACGGCTCAGCAAACACAAGAGTTGGGATGTAGCTCGGACATTCGCCCTCTGTCGACCTTCAACAGGTCGAAATTGTTATGAATGGATTCGTTCTTGCTGACAAGTATTGAAGGTGGCTCTCGTGGGATTCGAATACCAGCAGCAACGACTGCATTGGACACTCCTTCAGGAAATGCGAGCTTTGTCGCCAGCCAGCCCCAGTACAACACATGCTACAGCACGTATCTACACGTCTGGATTATTGACATTTGCCGCCGAGCAAGTCCGTTCAATAAAAGCACCCACGGCCGAGCAGCAAGCGGGTCACACCGCTGTTCAAACCATTTCGCGGGATGTCGATTCAACGACAGCTGTCGAGCAGTGTGAACGATCTCGATGAGCTCGAACGTTGCTTGACCGATACCCGTTCAGCGTGAGCAAGCAGTAGAAGGAACACAGGTGGCTCGTCCAAACTGTAAGTCGATGGGAAAGCCTTGGACACTCAAGAGCCTGTGGGTGGCGAATAGAGACTTGCTCAGTTTTGCAAGAGCTTGGATATCCCCATAACCTTCAGCGAACGGCACCGGACGAGTTCGACCAAGAGATTGGAGAACTATTCCTGCAGCCGAGTCAAGATTCGCACACAGCCGGTAGTTTGACAGCGGTGCTCAGGGATGGCGACTGTGAGAAACGGTGGTATTTAGACTTCGCCTCAAGAGCCACGAGCGAAAAAGGCCGCCTTCGCAGGAAGCAACACGAAGCCAGGCAAGCTTGAGCAGCCCGGCACGGCAGTGCCTTCCACGCAAGTCGGTGACCTTGTACATCGTTTCGTGTAGCATGAAGATCAGTAGGTCTTTAGTTACAATTCTCAAGGAATGATACTTCTGTTACTTGTGGATGATCTATCTCCACCGGGGTATCTATACGCTCACCGTCCACTTGACGTCCAAAACGATTGCCACAACTATGAGACTTGCCTCCCTCGCTCCTGTAACCGCGCTTTTGCTTTCGCCAAACGATCGGCTTCGATCTCTTTTCCTTTGCTGACCAGCCTTCGTTCTGCGGCAACATTGCTCATTGCATTCCAAGCAGCTGAAGGCTTCATATTCTCCTCGTTCCTGAGCGGTTGCGACCTTCCCGTGGGCGAGACGTTCTCTTTGACGTCCGGCGCTTTCGGTGTAGGTCGTAGAGTGGGCTTAATGGGCACCGGCTGTCCAGTGAGGATGTTTGGGCGTTCTGATACTGCCTCTGGCTGAAACGGGCTCGATTCTGGTACCAGAGTGGACAGGTCGTCAGACTTCGAGTTTTTCCTCGACCAAGAGGATGGCCTGGGTGTGCTTCTTGCTGGAGGCTCTGGGCTTGCTGGAGGCTCTGGGCTTGCTGGAGGTAAGACCGGCGATCGAATCGGCGAGTCGTGTCGGCTCTCTCGTTGCGGCGATGGTGGTTGCATCCCCATTGACATTGCCAATGCCACAGATTCTTCATTCTGCGCGATGGTGTTGACACTGAGTGATTGCAGGGGAGCAGTGTTGGTCCCAGTCACTGCACGATTGGCCTTGGGTGATGGAGGGTTCGGCACGACTTGGGCAGGGGCCTGGAGACTTGACGAAGGTGCCCAAAGATCGTCTTTCAACTTTGTGTGGATCCGCCTTGGCCTTGGTCTTTGCTCTGCAGTGGTGATGCGGTTCTGATCAGACTCGGGCTGATCCCTCTGCTTCATGGGCTCCGTGTTCTTCGTATTCTCGGTCTTCATGTCCCGACGAGATAACTGAACAAGGCTCTCCCTCCAAGAGTTCCGTTCCGGCTTTTCCGCTTTCTCAACTTGTTGTGACGAGGCTAAGCTGATCGCACTACCATGTGGTGGGCTTTCGGTCTTTGCAGCGCGACTTCCATTCTCGCTGGTTTGTATCTGGCCTTGTAATTCCTTCAACTGAGCTTCCAGTTCCGCTGCTCGCTTCTCCAGTCTGTCCGCCCTCTTTCGCTCCCGCCGAAGTTCATCTCTTACTTGTTGACATTCAGCATCCTTCTCGCTCGCATATCTTTTGGCCGATCGTTGTTTCTCCACGAGCTTCTTGACCTCTCGTGTCGTTCGCTCTCTGTAGATGTCGTACTCGTGTTTCCAATACCTGCCGGACTCTGACACTGGCTCGGTCATGTCCATCGTAGTATCCAATTCCTCCTTCTCTTTCCGCTGCCGGCTCGACCTCGGCTTGCGTCTCGCAGACTCCTCACGTACTTGCTCAAATGCCTCCGTGAGCTTACTCCTTCCTCTCGGCTTCTCTACAGGCTCATCGCTGCTATCGGGTTCCGCTGTCGGCTTGGACCAAGGGCTGGGAAACTTTCCAGGGCAATCGTCGGGCAGACCACTTCTCATAGGTCGCTTTTGCTCGTTGTCAACAACATTGAGACCGAAGGAGACGGTCTTTCGGCGAGTGGTTCCGGTACCCGGTGTCAGCAGAATGCCCTTGGTAGGTGAAGGTAGCGGGGAGGAAGGTATTGGCTCCTCATCAATCGCATTGTCTAGCCGTCCCAGTGTCTGTGTATCGTTCGCGCTCTTCGGGCGTGGCATCGCCGGTCGTCCATTGTGACGCGGCCGTAGAGTCTCGGTGTTCGAATGCCGTCGAGGTTTGGCTTGCGTTGCTGGTGTGCCAAATATCGCGTGCTTAAAGGCGCGCACTGCGAACACTGGAGCAGGCGTCTCTGGAGGTTCTTCATATCCCGTCGCACCCGGATCTGTCGCTGTTAGCAGGGGCCTCGAAGCAGCCAGCCGAGACAAAATGCTCACCCGCGTCGTTGTCATGCGGTTTCTGGCCGGCGAGCCAATGTAGCATGTTTTCGGTGGAGCGCATATAGGTGCGAATGTTACCAATGCAGCATGGCAATGTCAGCGAGTGGTTGGACGCGTCTTTCTGAAGTTTCCAGGATGAAGCCGGCGATTTGTTTGCTGCTGTAAACATTGCGACTGCCCCGCTTCAGATTAGGTTGCGCTAGCGTGCGGCGCACGTGCAGAACCTGAAACTCTAAAGTGACTACCTTCGCCTTTCACATGCCAGCGGCGTCAGTAGGCCTTCTCATTCACTGTTGACCCCGCCACTTCACCCGCTTGGAAATTATGAACACCTTCGCGTAGCGGACTACAGCTTCGGCTGTACGTCCAGGTCGTCTTTATGGGACGACGCTAGCCCTTGCTGTCCGTCGCAGTCATGGCTCCGAAATCGCCTTGGAAGAATAAAACCAGTGTACATGCAAATGCCCGGCAGACCGTTGCCGCCAGCGATGCCGCCGCCGCCGTGTCGCCAGCCATCAACTATGCCGAAGTCCAAGCCGAAGAGATTGATGCCCTCAAAGCCATTTACATGGAAGACTTTGATGAAGAGGCCGTGAACACAGCTGCTTGGGGCAAGAGTACTGACCACACTTTCAAGATTACTATCAAGCCCACCTCCGAGGACGCCAGGCCTGACGACTATGTTGTCCTGTCTGTTAAGCTTACAGCCACATATCCAAAATCCGCACCGGTGCTCGAGGTCTCCGGTCTCGAAAAGTTTCATGAGCGGACCCAGAAGAGAGTCCGCAACGTGCTCGTGCTCAAACCAAAGCAGATGCTGGGAGACGTGATGATTTACGTCATCGCTGTTGAAATTCAAGAAGCTCTCGACGATGCTGTCACTGCTCGTGCACAAGGAACACTGCCCAGTCTCGAGGAGGAGCGCGCCAGCGCCGAAGAAGTCGCGCTGACCATGGCCAAAGAGGCCGAAGAAGCTGAAACTCGTCGCCAGCAAGAAGCTCGAGCTGAAGAGGACCGCGTGCTGAAGCAGATGGTCAAGGAAGAAGTCAGTCGTCGGGACAAGCGGAAATCAACGAAATCCGCAGGCGATATTCCCAAGCTCCAGTCCGAGAAGACTATGCCCCAGTCGATCGTCTTTGATCAAACAGCCAAAGTCCAAGTCGGCAACGACATCGAGTCGTTCACGGAGGTTACTGTGAATGGTCTGTTATTCGAAGGGGGCAAGGAAAGCGTGTACTTGGGAAAGCCAAAAGTCTCCACAGCCGCCGAGGCTCCTCTTGTCGCGATAGTGAGACGCAAGGTTGAGAAGCAACGTGGAGACATCATCGAACTGGAGGCTGTTCTGGAAGCCGCCCACAAACTCAACCACACGAGCCTTGTGAACCTGCTTGCGTTCCGTGTTGATCGAATTAACAATTTCAATTCGGAACTCATACTTTGTCGAGACTATGCAGACCGAGGATCGCTGTATGACTTGCTTTCGCTCTGCGACCTGCACGTTAGCAAATCTCGGCAGTTCACTATCCAGCTGCTGGAGGGTTTGGAACACCTGCATAACAACGGCATGGTCCACGGAGGCATCAGCGCTCGCACGATATTCCTTTCTGCCAACCCATCTCTAGCCCCCAAACTGGCTAATTTTGGCTATGCCTCACTGCTTGGTCTACGAGACGCCAATCTCCCATGCAAGTGGCGTTCTCCAGATGTCGACTCGAAGTCACAGTCGTCGCAGCGCCATGTTGATTTGTGGGACCTGGGGATTGTCATAATCCAAATGTTCTTGGGCCTGGACGCAACCGATACATATACATCGCCATCCGTTTTGCTCAGCAAACTGGAACTTTCAGAGGCTTTTGAAGACTTCTTGACGAAAATCTTCTTCAGTGATGCAAAGAAGAAGCCGTCATGCTTGGACTTGTTGCCCGCTGAGTTTCTCCGCGACGACTCGCCGATCCTGCAAGACACGCCTACACATGCTGCCCGCCGCAGTAGAAAATCGAGTTCTGGAGTTGCTAGTCCATTGCATCGGCGATCCAGACACAACTCATCCAATCTGCATGAGCCATTTTCCCGTTATGCGAACGACTTCAGCGATCTGGGGAGACTTGGAAAGGGAGGTTTTGGAGAAGTTGTCAAGGCTCGCAATAAGCTTGACGGCGGAGTCTACGCTGTCAAGAAGATTCGACAAACCCAACAACTCCTGGAGCAGGTCCTCAAAGAGGTCATGTTATTGAACAGGCTCAATCATCCGTACGTCGTGAGGTACTATTCGACGTGGACGGAGAGCGACATGCCAGGCTCTCAACCACAGGATGCGATCTCAACAACCGAGGAGACCCTGTCTGACAGCCCAAAAGTTGACTATGGGTATGCCAGCACTGGAGGGCTAGACTTTGTCAGCTCCAACGCCCTTCCTGGCATCCAGTTCGAAGACGACGACGATGATGATGACGATGAGAGCAATGAGAGCGACGAGAGCGACGAGCGTGATGATGGCGACAAGCGTGACGACGGCGACAGCGATGATGACCCGTTTGAGCGTAATGGCGAGAGTAACGGTCTGAATGGCACTTCAACCGTCGAGACTGACAGCGAGCTTCCAGAGTCAGACCTCCGCTTGAATAAATCCAGATCTGACTCCCGGCGCACGATTTCGACTCTGTATATTCAGATGGAACTCTGCGATCGACGCTCCTTGCGCGACATCCTTCGACGACCTATGGACGACGATGATTCGTGGCGTGTCATGCGCCAGATCACGGAAGGTCTAGCACATATCCATGGGCACGGAATCATTCATCGCGACTTGAAGCCGGACAACGTATTTATCGACGCCAATGGAAACCCCAAGATTGGCGACTTTGGCTTGGCCACTACTAGCAACTACAGCAACCAGCCAGGTCAGATTGGATCCGCGGGATACGGCAGTGTCGACATGACTCGGAGTATTGGAACTGCTCTCTACGTAGCGCCAGAGCTGCAGTCAAAGTCCGGTTCGAGCTACGACGAGAAAGTAGACATGTTCTCTCTTGGTATCATGTTCTTCGAGATGTGCCAGCCGTTCGGTACTGCGATGGAGAGAATCAACGAGATACAGCGGATTCGTCAGAAGGACCACGTACTGCCTCCTCCATTTCAATCGAATGGCGAGAAAGCCGCGCAGGGCAAACTGATCAGTTGTCTGATTTCGCATAAGCCAAGCGAGCGTCCAACGAGCGCAAAGTTGCTGCGCAGTGATATGCTGCCTGTCAAGATCGAAGATGAGACAGTAAGACAGGCGTTGAATGGCTTGTCAGATCCTCGCTCGCCGTACCACCAGCAGCTGATGTCTGCCTTGTTTGCTCACGATGCTGCCGGTAGCCAACTTGTCAAGGCACGCGCATGGGAGACAAAGGCAACGATCAGCCCTGATGATATCGACAGGGTGCGAATGAGAGGGATTGCTCGCTTTGCACTCCAAACTGTGTTCAGGAGACACGGTGCTGAAGAGAGCCGGCGAGACACAATATTCCCACGCTCTGGCATTTACACCAATCCCAACGTTTTTCAGCTTCTGGACGCCTCTGGCAACTTGCTGCAACTACCCTACGACTTCACGCTACCGCATGCACAACAGCTGGCCCGGCAAGTGTCCAAGCTGAGGTGCTCATTCACGTTCGGTGGTGCGTATCGCGATGCCTTCACAGGGGGCCCTCCGAGAGTGTCTGAAGAGGCCGACTTTGATATCGTCAACTTTGCACAAGACGATGTTGCGCTCAACGATGCCGAGATCATCAAGGTCATGGATGAAGTCGTCTCCGAACTCCCTGCATTCGATAACTCAGCCAATGTCTGCATTCAGCTTAATCATGGCAAGCTACTAGACGCTGTACTGGATCACTGCCGTGTACCCATTGTGTTGCAACACGTGGTGAAGGAGACTCTCAGCAAGCTTGGTGTGCAACAAAACACCTGGAAGAAGATCAGACCCCAACTGCGGAACATTGGCCTAAGCGACACTACACTTGACGATCTTCAGCAGTACGATTGGCGGGATACAGCGAACAAGGCCTTCAATCGTCTGCGGGCCCTCTTTGATGGCACAACCCCTCGAAACCGGTCCAAAGTCGATGAAGCAATACGGCACTCAGAGAAAATCCTCGGTTTCGTTAACAAGCTTGGCCTCGCTCGGAAATTGTTCGTGGCGCCTCTGAGTTGTGTGAATGCCAAGTTCTACAACGATGGCATGCTGTTCCAGTGTATGCTCGAGGGCAAGAAGAGCTCTGCTGTTATTGCAGCAGGAGGACGCTACGATAGTCTCATCCGGTCACACCGCATGCCCGAGATCGACGTGCCTTTTCAAGGTGCCGTTGGTGTGACGATTGGCATGGACTATCTCATCTCACATCTACTCAAGAATTGCGCTCCGGGATCCAAAGCGACCTTCCTGAAAGATCCAGACCACCAACATCATCTACCACGGCGCTGCAATGTACTTGTCGTCGCGAGTGGCACAGAAGCCCTTCGCAATGCAGGAATCGGACTTGTCAGCAAACTCTGGTTTCACGACATCAGCGCCGAGCTCTCGCAGGGCTCGTTGCCAGAGCAGAACTACACATTCATCGTCCACATGCGACACGAGACTTCTCAGACGGTCCGCGTGACAAACACCACGACAGATGGCGAAGACTCAGACGTAGCACTCACATCATTGATCGGACACATCCAGCAGGAACTTCGAGAACAGGCGACCAGCAAGTTCCGTCGTCCACTGCTGCGGAACCACTCCAGCCACCAGGACGGTGACCGCAAGAGCAACAACGTCCAGGTACTCATGGCTTCACACAGAAGCAAGAAGCCCAACAAATACGGTCTTGTCGAAGCAGCACAGCAGCATTGGTCTGAGAAATTGGAGAAGATGAAAGACGCACCGATTGTTGCCATTGAGACTCGAGATGAGGTTCTCAATCTTGTGCAAAACACTCGGCTCAGCGATGGCGAGAGTTGGAAGAAGGCGATACAGAGCGTGCAGCTCACTGAGCGACAGTATGTCCAACAGATTCAAGAGTTGCTTGATTCTTGGCGAAAGAGTTGGAACACTGGAGATGGTGCGAGGGAGGTGTGTGTTTACAACTTCCGCACCAGCAGTTGCATCTACTATGACTTGGGATTGTGAGTGAAAGAGAAAAGAACAGGAACATAGGTAGCAGGTCAACGCTTGTCTTGTTACAGATAGCTACTGCCGCGAGCTTGACCCAAAGCCACTCAAAGGCAATGCCAGTCAAGGCAAAGCCGGTATTAGAGAAGCAATGGCCAGCCAGATCATCAAACAAACGCTCACTTTCCGTCTTTCCACATGCTGCTGACTATATTCCATCCCCAGTGTCCTCCGCACTCAGTTGATGGTGGTTGTACGCCATGTCCAAGGCACCGTCAGGTATCCGTTCCTTCCTTCAGCGCCGAGCTTGTTGTGTGATGGTCGCGTGACTGGTGTTGGCTTTTGTTGCGGTAGGATGATGGGGTGTGCAGTCAAAAGAGGGGCGATGCGCTTATTTGCTGTGGGAAGATCATCAGTAAGGAGTCAGTGGATGTGGTTGTCGTTGATCAATGCTTACCTGCGGGCTCTCGTCTTTCTTCTCTTGCGCTTCAGGCGTCGGACTCGCTTCTTTCTCCACTTGGCTCTCATCTTGGGCGAGCTTGACTGTGGCGAGATATTAGTACATGTGCCATTGAGTAATGGGGGCAGCCTCAATGGGTCGTTGGGTGGACGCACCTTTTGCCTTGTGATGAGGTTGCTGAGGAGATGGAAGGAAGGTTTGGCTTGCTCGCTTTGCTGAAATGGATGTGCGCGCACGGACTGCCAAGAGAAACGTCACTGCCGCATGACTTTCGGCTGAGATGTCAGAAGTCGCGGCTGGAATTCTTGACTTCACCTCGTCGCAGCTAGCATCTTCACAAGACTCGCTTTACATCCCCTTACGACATATCCATCAGTGGCCAGCTATTCAACATGGCTGACGAATATGATGGGCACTACAGAGTCCCGGCAGGATGTCTCGTCTTTCGAAGTACAGATCAACCTGACTTTGAGAGTACGAGAAGAGCTACATCCATCTTCCTGTACATGGATACGTTGCTAAACACACACAGATCAATGTTTCATATATCCACACCAAGAGCTTGAATTCGGAAGACAGTACATCCAAGGGCAGCTCGTTATTGAAGACAGAAGCATCTCCAAGCACCACTTGCGTGTCCGCTGCATCGGCTACGACGATGGTGGTGAACACGGGGTAACGCCATTGATTTACGCACGAATCCTTTCTGGCAACGCAGCTCTTCTCATTCGATATGGGTTTGATGCCCCTGCAGCCGGAGTTGACGTAAGCAGGGACGACGGTGATGTCCTACTCAACCCGGGCGACCTTCTACGCCTGACGAACAAGATTTCTGTTGAGCTCAGAACCATCGAAGATCAGGAAGTGAACCCAAAAGGCCTTGGTGAGATCCAAAAGGCTGAGCGAGCGTGGTTCAGCGATCGGTATCGCTTGGCTGAGCGTGTGCTTGGTGCTGGAGGATACGCATGCGTACGTGTGGCAGTGAAGCTCAAGACAGGTCGACAATATGCATGCAAGATCATACCGTTACCCACCAGCGTCGATGATGACGATGATGGTGGACTTCGCCGCTCAGGCGATAAGAGATCTCTTTCCATGCTGAAGGATCGGATTGCCAGAGAGTACAACTTGCTGAAGAATCTCTCCCATCCAAACATCATCACCCTGGAGAAGGTGATTCATACTTCTCATACCATCTACGTATTCCAGGAACTCGTCACTGGCGGCGATTTGCTGTCGTATATGGAGAACAAAGGCCCTCTACCGGAGCCGCAAGCTGCCATGATCGTGAGGCAGCTTCTTGAAGCTGTCAAGTACCTTCATGAGAATCAAGTCGTGCACCGAGATATCAAGCCCGAGAACATCCTCATGACCTCCTGGAAAGAGGGCGCTAGGGTTGTGCTCACGGACTTTGGTCAGTCGAGGACGGCTAAGGAAGGTGAGGGTGATGCAAAGAAAGCAGGTGTCTTTCGCATGCAGTCGATGATTGGAACTCATGGTTACACTGCACCGTAAGTCTCCTGAAGATTCTCCTTGGAAAATGTACTGACTTCAATCCAGCGAGGTGTATCGATACATGTTCAAAGATCTACAGCGCGAATACGGCTACGGTCAAGCCATCGATTTGTGGTCCATCGGCTGCGTCACGGCGACCATCCTCACCAGCGATCCATTCTTCGCAGATGTGGACGAATGGCGTACGGGCAACATGACCCTCTCCGAGATCACCGATCGCCTCACTGTCCTAGAAACGGAAGATAAGTGGGAGCACATCGGCCACCGCGCGAAGACGTTAATCCGAGGATGTCTCACGCTTGACGAAACCCAAAGACTCACAGCTGCACAATGCCTGGCACTGCCATGGTTCCAACACCCATACTACAAAGCCGACTTCGACGCTGCCTACAAGCACGCCATTGCAGACTGGACACCACGTGAGCAAGACGACGACATCATCGAGCTCATCGATACCAGCGAGCTTGTGACCGAATCGCAGTCTGACAGTGAAGACGAAGAGAACTATTCTCACCACTTCCAACCAGCCCCTGAAGTAAAGCCTCGTGGAACCTCGAACGACATGGCCAGCAAAGTCGCCCGCTGGAGGCCCATTCACAACTACCAGCTTCATGCAAGCCCAGCAGACATGCTGGACTCTTTCACCGATGGCTTCGATAGGTTCGACGAAGTGGACGGGAATCTGAGCTTGGCTTCGCAGAATACGGCTGCCAACCGTGCTGCGCTCCAGATCCATGCTCGTCAACCACTGCCGGCGACTCATCGAAAGAGGATTTAGGCATGATTTGCGCACTTTCTGTGTACCACTTGCTGGCGTTTAATCATACTGCAAATGAGTTTATTTCCAACACCGACCTTCAAGACGAGCATCGCTCAAATAACGCAAGAACGAGGAGGTAATGCTTTCGATTTAATCCCACTGCCCGGCTTCGCTGTATCACATTTCAAACCTCTCTCCGCATGCATCTATATCTCTTCTATCTCACGCTATGCCATGCCTGAATGATGCATCGCTTTTTCCCGACTCCTTCTCGCTAAATGCCGCACACAAAAGACCTTTTCTATTCCAAAAACGTAAACAAATTCGTATGCACCACATTCAACGCCCGATCCGCGTTCGCCTCCTCAATCACACAGCTGATGTTAATCTCGCTCGCGCCCTGGGATATCATCTCGATGTTGATCCCGTGCTCCCCCAATGTGCTGAAGAATCTCCCACTGATGCCCACCATGCTACGTAACTGGCGACCGACGAGCGAGATTATCGCCATGCCAGGCACGAGGTCGACGTCGCCGTAGACACTGAGAGCATCGACGGCGCCTTGCAGAGCCGCGGATTCGATTTTGAGCTCCTCCTCGCCGTGGTCGGATAGGAGGGCGATTTCGCTGTGGAGCGCCATGGAGACGTGGACCTCGGAGGAGGAGATGAGGTCGACGGACAACTTGTGTTGGTCCAGAATGTGGAAGATGGACATCAAGAACCCGTGGGCGCGCGTGCGTTTCTTGGAGTGGACGTTCAGGACCGTGATGCCGCGTTTGGTCGTCACGGCCGTCGGGCGTTTGGCTTTCTCGTGCGCGCTCAGGGAGGAGAGGGAGCGGTTGCGGAAGAGGCCTGGGCGGCGGACGGAGAGCTCGTCTTCGGGGTCTGGGACCACGACCGTGCCTGGGTTGCGCGGGTTCATGACGTTTTTGATGCGGATGGGGATCGTGGCGCGGATGACTTGGTCCATGGTGAAGGGGTGGATGACTTCGGAGCCGTAGAAGGTCAGCTCGGAGGCTTCGCTGGGGGTGACGGATTCGAGCAGTTTGGCGTTGGCGACTTTGCGTGGGTCCGCGGTGAAGATGCCGTCGACTTCTTTCCAGATTTGGAGTTCTTTGGCGTTGAGGCCTACAGCTGTCAGAGCGGCGCATAGGTCCGTGTAGCCTCGCCCGATCTCTTTTAACAATCCTCCTGGGATACTGCCGAAGTAGCCAGTGATCACTGGGACTGTACCCGGCCCCAGCTTCAAAATGCGCTCGGCAATGGCCTTGCCCACATTCAAGTAGAAAGTCTCATCCAAGAGCTTCCCAACCTCAAACTGAATAATCTCACTCAGATCCACATACGCCGCCGGCACGCCCCTCGACTGCAGCAGCGCCGTCATATACAAACAACTCAACTTCTCCCCCGTCGAGATAATCATATCCTCCGTCTGATCCGTCACCGCCTTCAGAAACTGCGCGCTCTCCAGAATCCTCAGCAGCATGCGACACTCCCCGTTCACCGCCGCCGTGTACTGATCCAGGATCTCGCTGTTCGCGCCTCCCCACACCAAGCACGCATCTTTCCCGGCCTGAACATGGTCGCGACGAATGGTCTCGACAATTTCGCGGAACTTGCCTGACGACGAGTCCTGGCAGTCGATGGCGGCGCGGACGAGGCGGTTGGTGGTTCCCTCGGACTTGGACGAGGTGCTGCGGGCGGAGCAGACGATGGCGATGCGGTTTTCGCCTTTGGGGTCGAGGCCTGCCCTGGTGGATTCAGCCAAAATTCCTCCAGTCTTCCCTTCCTGTTGGGTGTCTCTTTGACTCACTGCACGACTTCCTCGGCGATCTTGACGGGGAACTTGCCCACGCTCGTGCCGCCGACCTTTTGCACCACCCAATTCCCTCCTCCCGGCAGGTTTCGCTCGGGCACGTGCGGTCTTCTGTCGCCGAGGATGCCGTTTATGAAGTTGGTCGCATCAACGGGTGTGCGTTCCCGCCGTATGAGAGGGAAGTCCATGGTTGTGTGTGTGACTGTAGGAATGGAGAACACTCGCTGGACTGTACAGGACCCTCAGAAGTACCGAGTACTCGTGCGGTATGGAATGGCGTGCTGGGTGACTGGCGGGGGAGGTTGCTTTTTGAGGTGCGGCTTTTTGCAGATCGACTCACACTTTCACAAGCTCCTCCATAGGGGTTCGGCGGTCGTGTTCAGGAACAGTCATTCCTCTCGGCAAATCACATGTCCTTCCAATGCCGACGACCGGCGCCAAACATCAAGGTGCCCGTCACCGCAATGGATGCTATACCCGTCAGCAAGAATATCGCCTTAGAACATTATCTCTCGCACATTGCTGAAGTGAGGGACAACCGTTGACGCACTGCGGGGCACGGTCGATGAACAATCTTTGCGAGCCGACGACGACAAAGACTTCTTCCTCTCACCTACCCATCAACCTTTATGTGTTGCGGAGGTACTTCGTATGATGAACAAGGCAAGATAAGTGAGGCGGACGATGACCCCGTCAACATGTCTAAACATTCTGCTAGAATCACGCCCCGCAGCCTCGTCGCCCCGAAGGCAACAAGAAGGCAAAACCATTCCTTCATGAACGCGGATCTCTTCGAGAGTCCATCTCTAACCCGGCAGACAGTTATGCAGGGATCCAATGGTCAATCGGAACAAGTCTCCAAGCCACAGTATCTTGCTATCCAGAGCAACAAACCCACGATCCTCTACGTTGAACTCGCAGCCGCTGTCAGGCCTGTTCAGCAACCACACAAGCTCGACCAACAAGCTCCAACAAAGCTTCACCACGCCCGAAAGAACGCCAATAAGCGACGTTGCATGCTATAGTACCATCAATTCGTTCCGCAAGAAACCCAAACTGCACCTTGCTAAAGCACCTGCAAGCTCTGGCGTCTGTGGCTTTTCACTGAGCTGCTCTTGTTGGAATCGTGCAGCTACTATATCTGCCGCCCCAGCACTGCTCGCTTATTCGAAGTATAACAGTGCAGTAGTCGATCAAACGTGGTCTTGGAAAGGCAATTCTGTGGAATAGACTCTTCGTTGTGGGATTGTCTAATCGTGTCGATCAGCGGCCGTGTAGATCTTCTGGCGAGGGAAGATATAATGTGCCCAGCGTGTCCTAAAGGTATGTGTGCCTGCTTCACGGGCCAGTCTTGAAAACACGCACAACCATACAATCAGCATGGCGCGCCTCCATCTTTCTGGACTACTGACAGCCTCGCTGCTCCTTACATCCCAAGTCACCGCCCAACTACCCTATCCAACGCGATCTACCTACCACGTCAAAGGAGTTCAACCCGAGTACGTATACCTAAAGGCAGAAGGTACCCCATCTCGTGTCCAAGACGTTCGCTGACCCTGCGCCATTCGCTTCAAGTTTCTGGCCCAACCAAGATGAAATCTCGGGCAACAACGCCGGTGGCGTCTCCATGAACCTCGTCTGGTCGACCTGGGAAGCCAACCTCAAAGCCCCGCCCTGCGCCAGCAACGAAGTCGAGTACGACGGACACTGTTTCGTCATCCAGCCCGAAGTCGAGCAGGCGATCCAGGGCTGGACGGCACGAGGCTTGGTCGTGACGGCCATTGTGTATGGAACGCCAGCGTGGGCGAGAGGAAGTCGCCCCTGTACGCCTGCAGCAGCTGGGTTCGAGATTTTCTGCATTCCAGACGATCCGTCGAATTTTGGACGTTTCGCGGGAATGCTTGCGCAGAGGTACAATGGCATGAATGGTGTTGGCAGGATTGCAGATTTCGTGAGTTGCGTGCCACTTCGATAGAGCCCGACCAAGCTGCTGATAGAAAGCCCAGGTCATCGACAACGAAGTCGGCAGCAACGACTGGTTCGACATCGGATGCGGCCAAGGAACTCCCTGTGGCAAGGACGACTGGCTGAACCAAATCGCCGCCAACTACAACAACGCCTACGACCGCATCACGGCCGAGCAATCGACCGCCAAAGTCTTCACATCCCTCGACCAGAATTTCGGCAGCGAGACCTACGACCACCCGGAAAACGGCGTCCTCTCCGGCCAAACCGTCATCAGAGGCCTCGCCGACCGAGCAGGAGGCCGCCAATGGCGCGTAGCCTTCCACCCTTACCCACCGAACCTCGTATGTATACTGGAGGGCAGAAGGTTACCCTATCTCCTATTCGAAACATTCGCTGACCTTCCACCCTTCACTTTAGTTCAGCCCCGTCTTCTCCGCCGACGACTACCCCAAAGTCACCTTCGGCAACGTCGGCGTGCTCGTCGGCTGGCTGCGCCAAACATTCCCCAACAACCCCTCCGCCTGGACAGTCCAATTCACAGAAAACGGCATCAACTCCGGCAGCCAGTCGAGCGAAGACGCGCAAAACACCGCCCTCTGCCAGACCTTCCGCAACATCCTCGGCACGCCCAACGTCGAGAACTACATCTACCACCGCATGGTCGACAACGCCCAGGAAGGCGGCCTGCAGCTCGGGCTCCGCCGATCCGATTCCTCGCCCAAACCCTCCTGGTCGACGTCGGGCGCTCGCGAACCGCAACTATGTCAACCCGCCGCAACTCAACTGCGGTTTCGAATATCTCCCCTACGTCCTGCTGACTCGTGGGAATAACCCCTCGCGGGGCCACGTCGCGTCGACGAGGAATTTGCCCTCTGGTTTCAACGCCGAGGCGAGCTGGCGCTTGCTCCGCGAGCCGGCGGATGGCACGCAGATGCTGTACGAGTGTAAAGTCGGCGAGCACTCGATGCTGAGCACGGATCCGGCGTGCGAGGGACAGTTCCCCTGGGGGCCTGTGGGGTATGCGTATAAGAATCAGTTTGAGGGCTCGGTGCCGTTGTATCGGTGTTATAGTCCGCAGACCGGAGATCATTTGGTTTCGACCGCTGCGAATTGCGAGGGGTATAATGTGGATTATTTGCTGGGGTGGGCGATTCAGTAGATGTAGGGGTCGAGATATTCGACATTTGCAGGTACGTACAGTTTGCGTAACCAATTCTCTTACACTCTAACCAGCTCTCACGCTTCGCATTCCTACTGCAACATCTCATCCCTACACCACTTAGGCGCCGTAACAGCATTACACCTCGCAATCTTCCCACCGTCCAACTGCACCGCGTAATCCCAATCCCATCTCGTCGACATACCATACGCCGGATAATCGGTACTAACGACATGCGCGGCACTCTCAAACGCCTGATCCCGCATCGTCGTATTCCTCGCAAGAATCGTCGTGATAGGTTCATCAGCCCTCGTGCGCACAAAGTATCCTTTCTTGACCAGACGTTGGATGTCTTTCACATCTGGTGAGTTGTGCTTGATAAACGCACAGTCCGCCTCGCCTTCGACAGCGTTGGTGAAGACGGTGCGGTTCTGGAGGGATTCGTGGCCATCCGCGCGGTATTTCTCGCGGAGTTTGATATCCGAGTCCGGGTCGTTGTCGAAGTAGAACATGAATTTTCCGCGGGAGTCTTTAAGGGTGGGCCAGCCGTGTTGGAGGACGGATTCCTCGAGGGTGAGGCCGGGCTTTCGGATGTCGTCGGGGACGATTAGTTTGTTGGAGGGTAGCACTGAGCGGATTTCTCGGTCGACTTCGAGGATTTGAGCTGTGGTCCAGTTCTTAGCTTCTTCGGCGCAAACTCCTCCTAGGAAGCATCCCAGTGCGTCGTTCTTGAGCTCGAGGTCGAATGTTAGCGGGAGATGGTGTGGATGAGCGTCAGACCAGTTCTTCAGCTGTGTCAAACACTCGACAAATGTATGGCAAATCGCATTCGTGTCGGCATCTGTTACATGAAACACTTTGAGACCCGGCTTGAGCATATTCGGATCGTGAAAGGGTGCGGTCTCGTTGGTCAAATTCGACAACTTCCAGATGAGTGGGTACGCATACAGTCCACCCTTCGTGTCCGAATGCAAATCGATCTCAAAGGACCGAACTTGTTGGTGGTCCAGCTGATCCGTCCATTTCGAGTGGGAGTAGTAGTAATTCTCCGGCGAAGGGATATGTTCTTCGAATTGCTTTCGTTCGGATAGGGAGATCTCGCGGTGGTAGGAATTATGGGTGCCGACGACTTGGATCTGGTTCATTCGGAGTTCGTCTGCCTTTCCGTGGCTGTGGCGCCAGAAGTTGCCGGAGACGGGTTGGATGAGGAAGCCATCTGTTTACTGTCAATCAACACGCGTGATACTTTTGTTGTTGAAGAACGTACGAGTGGCGATAACGGGGAAGATGTCTTGTATCTTCATGGCTGATTCGAATAAGCTATGCTCAACGTGCAAGCTGTTCCCAAGAATGCCTACCGTACAGGCCAAGACAAGTGACGAGGAAGAAGAGCACCGTCCCGCCTTTAAGTGTGCTTGTCGAGCGGGGGAAGGGCCATTTCATCGTCTGTTTCTCCTGCCACTTTGGGAAGAGCTACCAGGGCCGTGGCTTCTGGGCGAGCATTTCGATGATGGGCAAGTTCGTTACATGCCGTGTCTAGGCGATCGATGTGTAAGTAGATGTCACTGAATGTATTGTATCTCGTCGAAATCACTCGAGTGAAAGATGTTACTGGCTGAGAGGAGTAAGATTGCATGTGCCCATTTGTGTTGTGGCTCCGAGCGAGCCGAGGTGTGGCGGGGTGGCCCTTGCACGGAGACCTCACTTCACTTCATGCCTCTCTCACTGTGCCATCAACACAACATGTGGTACACGACAAACACTGGACTTCCACGGCCATTAGCTATAGATATCAACGTCGATGAAACCGATGAACATGGTGCACGAACAGGCCGAGGGCGACAACAGCGACACCATGTATACCATGGACGCGTCCAGGACTTGTACGGCTCCCCTGTTGGCAAGGTTCAAGGACTGCGATACCAGAAACCGGATCATGGAAAGAGATGACCCGAGAGATTTAAAATCACTTGGATGGGAAAGGCCTGCATCTGGTCTGGCTCAGTAATTAAAAAGAGACGACAACTTGCACAACTCGAGTCGACCAAAAGCACACAATCAAGTGCCGAAGTGAGCGCAACGACAACAAGTCCAGCTCAGACGTGAGTACTACAACAAGAACAGCAACAAGAACAGCAACAAGAACAGAAACGACGTCACAGTGGGAAGGTAAGGAAAAAGTGTTCGCGATATGGCAGGCAAGTCTCAATCCAGTTGATTCCAATTTTCAATTGTACACTCCCATCAAAAAAGCAGAATTCCGCCCGGAGTATTCAAACATCAATCTCAAGCCTACTTTGCCGGACGAGCCCACTCCATCCGGTCCAAGGTTGTCCTTCTCTGCACCAGGGCATTCCGAGCCGTTCGCAGGCGATTGATGGCGGGCAGGATGCCCAAGGTCTGGTGGAACGAGGCCTGGGCACGCAGGTTCTTGTCAACTGTCAAACACCTGACGATCGTCTCACAAAGGCCAGGAGTATCATACTCACGTGAGATTCTGAGGTCTGTTGGGTCCAGACCGATCTCTCGTGGCTCTGGCTCTTTGGCCACCATCTGGTACATGACTTGCCCTAGGGAGTACATGTCCATCGCAGTGGTTCTGCTATTGACCACTTTGAGCCAAGTCTCCTCGTACTCGGAAGACATGGGAACATTCTGGTGGATTGCGACGTCTTCTGGTGCCATGTAAGCGGGTGTGCCGGCGCTCAGCTTGGCATCCGTCTTGCTGGCCTTCTTGGCAATGCCAAAGTCACCAAGAACGACCTCCGGCATGCCACCTAACGACTTGTCGCTCCATCGAAGGAAAACGTTCTCTGCTTTGAGATCGGCATGAATGACCGCCTCGTGGAACTCGTCTTCGGTGAAGCGGCCATCACCTTTTGATCGAAGTCCGTGGTGGAGAAACGCAAGCCCATCAACCAGAGACACGAAGGTATGCAAGAGGAACTGCTCCGGCACTGGGCATCTCTTCCTCTTCCACCAATAGAGAATCTGACTGATCAGATCACCCCCTGAGCAATACTCCATCCACAAGAAATATCGGCCGGGCTCCTTATGATCCTCAGTGATCTGAACCATCTGCACGATGTTCCGCTGAGCCTTCAACGTCATACCCAAGATCCTAGCCTCGTTTGGGTATCTGTGAGTCTTCGAATCGAGCTCCTCCCTCTCCTTCGGGTCGCGGAGCCTGACTGCCTTCGTGTGCTTCACGACGAAGAGGTTGCCGGTGGTCTTCGACTTCATGACGGAGCACTGGCCCTCCCCACCCTCGGGTAACTTCTCTACCGTCTCGTACTTGTCGTTCCCTTTGAAGTTGAAGGTCAGCTCCATCGTCTGCTCAACCTGCTCCACCGTACGGGTCTTACCAATAACAGGGCCCTTGGTGAAATAGTCCTGGACATCGTTGACCATTCTCGTAAAAGAACTCCTACGAGGAAGAGCGACCGGCGCTGGTCCTCGACGAGTGGTTCTCGATTTGTTGGTTGAGCGACCCAACATCATTCCTTGCTGCTCTTCTTCGGCTGTAAGCGGTACCAGACCTGCCTCCTCTTCCTCGATGCGTTGTTCAAGGCTGAAACTCGAGTCAAGCGAGTTGCTGCTGGTAACGCTTGGGAGAGAAGCTGATCTGGATAGAGGAATGCTGTTGTGACGGGACACTGGAGGAGAAGAAGAAAATGACCTGCGAGGCGACGACATGGCGGGTATATATCCAGCTCTGCTGTCGAAAGGGGTTGGTGATTGGACAATGGAGGATTGGGACAAGGCTTTGTTGACTTCGTCGTGCACGTTGCTGTCGAAGTGAAAGAAGTTGGACAAAGCGCCATCGTGTCGCGTGGATATAAAGGCATTGTGGATCTATACAAAGGAAGCATGTGAAAGATTGCAATGTTGAAGCTGGGGGAGAAAGCGATTAGAAAATCACATGCAAAGGGAAGGAGTGGGTGAACGTCTCTTATGGGTGTGCGCGCAGACCACTTGGTGAGACTGTCTTTCAACGGAGAGGACATGGAAGGAGATGACGTTCGCTTTCTGGATGCTTCAAGGCTGTGTATTGTGCGATGTGTGGGTTCTGCAGAACACAGGGCTCTTCGAGAGGTATGAAAGAGGTGGTGCGGTAATATCGGTAAGAAGGTTTCCATCCAAGCTCACACATTTTACATTCAGTACAATTCCTGTGCTCCTTTTCATCCAGTCTATCGATTTTGCCCACGATCCAGCCCAAGTGAGACTGTCTCCCTTCTGTGCAAGCCACGTCTACAGAATCGCGATTTCGTGGAAGGTCATCGTCGAGAAACTCGGGCGCTGGGTTGTGGTCTGCATAGTGTCCATTCGAAGGCTCTGGGGAAGTTGGATCTAAGAGAGGGAGAGGCGATGCGAGTTAGGCGTTTTGGATATTTAGAGAAAAATGAGGGAGTGATTGGTCAAAAGATACAGCGCCCCGGGACGATGTAGTGCGTTCTGTGTTGACTGGTAACTATTCACTCTTCCTTCTAGGTAGGCTTGGCGTTCATATGCTTTACATAAATTGTAGTTTAGAGACACATCAAGTGAGAATGGGGTATTATTCCTGAGAAACACCTTTTCAAGACACCTCTACTCATTCATTAATCCATGTATTCCACGCATGTATTGGTATCACCGCTAATCTACGCAATTTCATATCATCATCATCACCATCAAACATCCTCCAACCCACCTCCTCCAATCCAATCCAATCCCCTTCCACCCCCAAAACCTACTCATCCCTCTCCTTCTCCTCCTCCCCACCCAACGTACTCGCTGCCCCACCCTCATGACTCCTCCGCCCCCTCTCCCACTCAAAATACGCACTAACCTTATCACTAACACTCTCCCCGCCCTCATGCCGCCCATAAAACTCCTTGCCCCTCGCCCCCTCGACCTTCTCGTACAGATCTCTCAGTTCCTGGATCTTCATGTCCCGATCCTTGGCCGCGTCGTACTGCAGATGGCGCTTGAGCACGACGCGCTCGAAGAGCGAGAGATGGCGCGGGTGCACGGCGATGCCGTGGTAGTCGTTCTGTCGCCCTGCGCGCACGAAGGACCAGTAGCGTTCCTGCTCGCGGAGGTCCATGCCGGTGGTATCGGGGATGAAGATCATGGTCAATGTGAACCCTATCAGACCGAACCAGCACACGACCCAGAATTTCGTGCGGGTCGGGATGTAGTTGTAGAGGACGGTGGAGGTCAGGGCGCCGAGTTTTCCTACGGCGGCGGAGAGGCCGTGGGCGGTGGAGCGGATTTGGGCGGGGTAGACTTCGGCGGCGACGAGGAAGGTGGTGGAGTTGGGGCCGAATTGGATCCAGAAGGAGGAGAAGAAGTAGATGAAGATGAAGCCCTGGGCGCCGGGGGTGAAGGGCGCGGTGTGGATATCGTCGTAGGCGGCGGCTGCGATGATGAAGAGGATGAAGCTCATCAAGAAACCCACTCCTTGCATCGTCTTGCGTCCGTAAGACTTGTGATCGACGAGGAAAGCAGCCATGTAGTAGCCCGCGAGTTCGCAGCCGACGTTAATGAGATTCCAGAGCCAGTAGGTGAAGACCTGGTTAGAATCGGTCGTAATCAGGGAAATCAACAGACTCCTGAAAATCTGATTTCCATAGAACGGGAAGTCGTTGCAGAACCAGCAGACGCTCGTGGCGAAGACGCGGTGCCAGTAGTGCGACATTGTGAGCTTGAGCGAGTCGATGTCGTAGCCCGTGACGTTGGAGGTGGAGCGGGAGGTTTTGAGGGAGTGGTCGACGTTTTTCATGTGGTAGATGCGGAGGTAGAGAAAGTAGAGGACGAAGACGGCGGCGAAGAAGAAGCCGAGGCGGAAGACTTCTTGGGTGTTCGCGTTCGAGTAAGGTGGATTGCCGCCATGGTGGAAGATGAGCATGAGGATGATGAGGGTTGCTTGGTTGGCGAGTTGGCCCCTGGAGTCGATGGTTAGCCCTGTGTATCCACGGCGAGTGTTGCATACTCACCATCCCTGCATCAAAAACGCCAAAAGCACGCTCCTCCCTCGATGCAACCGATCCGCCTTCGTGCTCCCCTTCCCATGCACTCCCTCCATCGCACTCGTACTGGTCATGGGATACTCCCCACCAACCCCAAATCCAAACACCAACAAGCTAATCGCATACATGACCGTCCAGCCATAAAGACTCGTACCCCCTGCCCGCGAAGAAAGCCATTAGCTATGATTCTTGTCTCACATCTATTCTTCACACTTACACATTCCTGTCAGCATCAAACTGCCAATAAACATCACCGTCGCATCCTGAATCAGTCCCCATCGTCGTCCGATCCAGTCTCCCGTCACGCCCACCACGCATTGTCCAAAGATGATACCGACAATTTCGAGGTAGTTTGCGGCCTGAACCCAGACTTTATTGCAGACGTCATAGTTACGGAAACATTGTGGGTAGGTACTCTCGAACAGTGGGAGGATGTTGCCAACGCTGAAAAGGACGTATCCCTCTGTGAAGAACCCCACGCCGGTGATGACGAAGTTTCTGCAGTATGAAAAGATGGGTTCGAGGGGATCTTCTTTGAACATGTTCCAAACGAGTTTGAGCTCGCGGAGGGTTTCGGCGTTCATCTGCGCGTTGATGAATTTGGTGCGTTCCTTGGCTGGAAGGTCTGCCCAGTAGACCTGATTCTTAAATGCATCGTCGGGGTAGATCTCGTCGTGGAGGAGCGTTTCTGGGTTATCGGGCAGACGGGCAAAGGCGATGTCTTTCTGTGTTGCGCCGGGGTTGCGGTAGTTGTCATAGCCATCCTCGCGTTGGACCTGAGGTTGAGGATAGTTGCCGTTGGTCTGGGGTGTGGGATCTGCCATGGCAGGCTGTGGGGTATGGGGAGGAAGTGGAGGCTAAGAAATGACCGATGCTTGGAGGATATGCTTGAGCGCTGACCTACCTATATTTGCTTTCCATCGTGGTTGACGTACGTGGCACGGGCATCATTGTCTTTGTTGAGGCACAGTCTGAGAAGGGCCGCAAGTATGTCCTACCGGAGTTAGCAGACGTACTGCAATCGCGGTACGAGACGTATGTTGAAGATAGGTCAATGAAGGACCGATGACTGCAAAACGCGGGTTGAAATGAATCCTTTGAGGCTTCCACGCAGCAGTTAATATACTGTCCTGCAAATGAGATCAGTGTTTCAGACAACGTGTTTCACGAGATGGCGGGAGGAAGATCAGATGGTGCAGATGCGGGTGTTGGTTGATGACGTTGAAGCTGAGAGAGATCGAGATGAAGTCGGGATATTGCATACGGCATACCATAATACTGAAGTAAGCCACAATCTGCTCCTGCGGCGTACCAAACGCCACAAGCGCTCCATTTTCGCGTTTGTAGAGTGATCTATAACACGTCTTGTAGGCGCGTCCATGCTTTAGAAGGGTCATTCGGTATCGTTCAGTCCATGCCTCATTCGTGGCCACCGCAAGGTCAGCCGCACTTTTCTCTACCGCCCACTGTACGCCGTTTTCAAATGCAGTCGTAAAGGTGCACTACCATTGCATGGTGGATGGTGCCCGATTTTCTCCCTAGGTCCACTTCTGGACTACCACACCACCGCGCTTGAAGTCGCTCATCTCGCCGAGGACTTGCGACTTGTCGGAGAGCTCCTTCGAGGGAAAGGTAGTCATGAGTGCGTACGGACGCTGCTCCGAGGCTGGCGATGCGCGGTTCACGAAGTCGTAAACATCGCCTATGGTCTGCGTCGTGTTAAAGCGCGAGGATAGACGAGTGCCATCGCCAAGGCGAACTTGCAGCTGGACAGTTGGCTGAGATGGGTCCACTGCAGCGTCTTGTGGCGCGCTCGATGTGGCCGAAGACGCAGCTGGCGCAGCTGGAGCGGGCGCAGACGAGGAAGACGAAGCAAGACCTGGCGTAGGGGAGCCAAGACGCTGACCTTGACCACCGAACGGCTTGTACTTTGGCTTTGGTGCCACGTAGTTCTCGCCCTTGTGTGGTTCGAGGTTGAGATCGACCTCCTGGTCTGGCTGGACGTCCAAGAGTGCCTTGGGAGCTCTGCCCTGGTTGATCTCTTGCATGATGTGCTCGTTGGCTGGGTCATCGAATCGCAGTAGTGGTCCGTCGTCGATACTCACACCGTCCGCCCACAGATGCAGAGTCCGAGTGACGCGTGGAAGAAGACGCTGTCGCTGCGACTGCGAAGCGGCTTGCGGGTCCTCGACGACCTCGCTTGGAGCATCGTCTCCTCCCAGAGTCTGTGCACGGCCGCTGAAGTGGCTAGAGCGAGGTTGTGGCTCCTCCTCTTCGTCTTGTTCACCTGGTGGACGCTCTCGGTTTTGACGTGCCTGGTTTATGATGTTTCTGAAATGGTCAAGCGGCCTCGATTGTCCCTCGCCTGGATTCTGAACCGCCAGTCCGCTCTTCTCGCCACCTGCAAACATGTCCTGGTCCTTCTTCTCCTCTTCCTCGTCGTCATCACCGCGCTGGAGATCACGCAGGGTCATCTGCTTGGGACGAGCTGTACGCTGGCCTCTGCTCGACGAAGCTTGACCAGCAGCTGAGGAAGCGGTCGGAGGAGCTGATTGCATCTCTTCTTCGAAGTCGTTGGTGTCATCGTCAGGGTCGCCTTGTGGATCTTCGTTGGCGGCGAAGTAGAGCGCAACGGCCTCTTCGAGGTTCCAGTCGGCCGAGTTGAGTGCACCTTGCGCCTGGCATGTGTTAGTCGATTCGATTCAACAAGAAGATGGTAGCGGCGATGTACGTACGATGCTTGGGTTGGCGCCGGTGACAGCGCTGAACTGAGCGACTTTGTCCTGCTGCTCAGAGTCCATGATGGTGGTGTCGGAAGGTGGAGCTGCTGTTTATGCGGTTGTTTGGCGAGAAATGGAAATGGCAGTATTTCTGTACAGCGGGAGACACATGCGCGGGTTGAATGGCATGTGGCGAGGGGAGTTGAGTAGAGGCGGGTTGTTGGTGAAGCAGGCAGAGCGAGTGGTCGTCAGGCACAGAGTCCCGCAGGCCTTCTCTCGACGTCACGAGCTTGGCTTGGCTCGACTTCAGAGAAGCGCCAACTGCACTGAGCTTCGAGGCGGGAACGAGCTCCGTCTCCGGCCAATCCACCTCTTACTCCCGTCCAGCTTTCTCGACACCTCGTTGCCGAGTGTGTCAACAACATCCCGTCCGGCGCTCTGAGCGCGACTCCTCCAAAACACACGACTCCGACATCCTCACCTCGACTCTCTCCTCCCCCGCTGCAAACGCGCTCTTCACACCGCCGGCCATCCCCCGAACATGTCTGCACGCGACCTCTCCGAATCGCAGACGACATTCCCGTCAGACAGCGAGAACTATGATGCCAATCACTCCAATTCGAACGACTCAGACGACCCCCCCTCAGACTCCTCGTCGCCCATGATCTTGTACCAACCGCCTACCTTCTGGAGCATATTAAGAGGAGCCGCTATCAATCTGTTTCTGCCATTTGTGAATGGATTGATGTTGGGATTTGGCGAGTTGTTTGCACATGAGGCGGCGTATAGGTTGGGCTGGAGCAACACAAAGGTATACAGGAAAGCGTTTATAATGTGTCCTCATGTCTCAATGCAACATGAACAGGGCACGCCCGGACAACAGCTAACCACAATTTCAGGTCTTTCCCTCGCACAGAAACGCAAGACCCATAGGACCAGGCGTAGAGATTCGTGACGATCCCATCGAGCGGAGAAGGAGAGACGGGAGGGAGTTGGATGCGTACACTTCGCTGGAGTGAGATGCATGAAGGCGAATTTGATACCAGGCTATCGCTCACCGGATAGACCTCAAAGTGTACATAAATTAAAGGATGTTGCCCAGTGGCATAGATTGGGGCAGGAAGTTCTGATGTGCATGGCATGGAAGGCGTTGAGAGGAGTCCAAAAGATCCGACCCATGCACTTTACGGCGGGCTTGCTAGAGCTCCAGCATCAAAGACTCAGAGATACCATTACTCAGATCAATGAATCTATATATTCATGTTAGCTGCAAATACGTGGTGGTGTTGCATTTACATTCACGAGGAGGGACCTCGGTCGAAGCGTAGGCGATCCATCCCCGGAGTTGATCCCTGAATGAAGCTGGCAAAAGTTTGGCTTGCTCGTCGATCTTGCACATGAACATCCACCACACCCACCATGATGCCCAGCAGAGGCCTACACACGGTTGCCAGAGCCAAAGTCCCACGGCTAATACAATCGCAATGTAGAAATGTACGCATATCACTGCAGCCTAGCCTTACAGAACACTGACCTCAATGCCCAGTTCTCGTCTGCTCCGCGACCTCACCTCCAAAGCGTGTCGCATAACACCTCCTCCTTAACACGCACATCACAACCATGGACGAGATCAATACCCGCGACGATACCCTCAATAGCCGCCCTTCGATATGCCTCCACCGCACAATCACAGCCCGCCGCTGGCTCGCCTCCCGCACCAGTAACGCCGACCCCCAGCGAAGCGAGCTCCTTTCCTAATCTCGACACGATAACATTGGACGACATCAACATTGACAAGCCTGAGGCTGTACCGGAAACAATCGGCTATCTACACTCGCTGGGGCTGGACTATGGCTGGGGACCTACATCATGCCTCGAATGGTTCCTCGAACACTTCCACGTCTGGGGAGGACTGCCATGGTGGGGTGCGATCGCAGCGACGGCAATGACAATGAGATTGGTCATGTTCCCACTATACCTCAAGTCCAGCGACGCCATGGCCCGCCAGACCGCCATCGCAAGCGTTACGCAGCCCATAAATGATCGCCTAGAGAAATGTCGAAAGACAGGCGACCGAGAAGGCATGATGCTTGCATTTCAGCAGTTGCAGGCAATCCGACAACGAGCTGGCATCAAGATGTCATCTCAATTCATGCCAATGATTGCGCAAGGTGTCCTGGGATACTGCGGCTTCAAGCTGATGCGCGCATGCGCGACATTGCCGGTCCCTGGATTCACGGAGGGCGGCTTTCTCTGGCTGCAGGACTTGACTCTGAGTGACGGATTCCTGGTTATGCCTGCCCTGATGGCCCTCACAATGCACTTGGTCGTCCGTTTGGGTGGCGAGACTGGAGCACAGACATCAACCGCCATGTCGCAAGGAATGAAGAAAGGTTTAATGTACGGCATGCCGGTGTTGATCTTCGGCTTCACCTGCTTCCAGCCTGGTGCGGTTGCCGTGTGGTTCGCCGCATCTGGTGTGATTGGTATCACCCAAGGACAACTGCTGCAACGGAAGCCTGTCCGCGAATTCTTCGGTTTGGCACCGCTCTACCGCCCCAAACCTGGAGAAAGCAGCGGTGGAATTTTTGATGCATTCATGAAGAACAACGCACCACAACCCCATGGGCCTTCGTCCGAGTCTGGACCAGGTGGCAAGAATTCTGTCTACATGGCCCCGACCTACCAATCGCCGAACCTGAACGTCCACAAGAGCTCCAGCAATGTCATTGACACGACGCTCGCGACGCCAAAGACCGAGGGGCCTTCTACATCTACATCGAGCGACATGATCCAGCCCAACACTCCAGCTAAGCCGAAGCAGGGCATCATCGACTCCATCTCTTCAGCCGCTTCGAACACTTTCAAGCAGGCGAAGCAGATGACCGACCTCAGAGCTGGCGAGCAGAGCGCCGAGCAGAAGAAGGTGGCATGGAAGAGGAAAGCAGATGCTTATGAGCGGAATGCGCAGAAGCGAGGCAGGTAGTCCATCGATTCTTCGAGCCGTTGAGGTACCGGGAAGGGAGGCGAGGAGAGGACAAGACGTGCTTGAATGTACAGTATCATCTGCTTCATGAATGTGTAAATGTTCGACGGAGGCATTGGTTAGCGCCAGAGCGGAAAAGGGGGAAAATAGCATCGGCCGGCGCAAGATCGAAGCACGTGAATACATGGCATTGAGGCGTAGAGAAGCTATACCTTATGTACCTGCAGAACGAATCGCACGCGGCTCTACTCACCAGACGAAGTGCACGTTGTTTCGAGCTTCACCTGGGATGCATTCTTGGCACTAAAATGACTCTTTCTTGGGAGTTAACTTGATATTTTCTTCATTCATAGAAATTTGGACTCGCTAAAATAACAGACAACATGACTTTCGCCTCCCGTTGCAAGAATCGTTCTGTACAACCCCACTCCTCGATCCGACCTTTCCCATCTCATGCAATTCGAAGTGACTCTTTTCCATACCTCTCCTCGTCGAAAGCCTAAACCTTACAACAAAGGCTTCGCATTACTCGCATGCGCCCCCAGCGGCGCAAGCACAATATCCAACTCCAGCTCCCTCGTCGCGGCGCCTCCCGGCCCCTGGTGCTCGGGGACGTTGGAGGGGAGTTTCTCCAGAGGCTTGAAGTCGACGACCAGGTCGTCTTTGACGGCGAAGACGGTGTCGGTTGCGAGCCAGGGGTCGTCCTGCGCGAGGAAGTAAGTATATGTGTGTGTTTGGGGAGAGGGGGGTTTGGGAGGAGGGGTGGCCGTACCTTGGGGTATATCTGTGTAATACAAGGCTTGTAACCTTCATGCGTAACCATCAAATGAATATGCGCGGGCCTCATGGGATGGCGATCGATGCTCTGCAGCAACTGCCAGCTGGGACCATCCTGCGGCAAGCTATACGCCGTCGGCCGGAGACAGTACAGTCTGTACTCGCCATTCTTATCCGTCTTGAACTTCCCCCGCAGGTTGTTGTCGGATTGGTTGGCGGGGTCCTGGAAGTCGTATTTGCCGTTGGAGGACGCCTGCCACATGTCGAAGGTGACGTTCGGGATGGGGTTTTTCGTTTGTAGATCTCGCACGATGCCGTGCATGTAGGTGACGGTGCCGGCGTGCGGGTCTTGGATTATGCTGTCGCCGAGGTTTCTCCTGGGGATGTGGTGTTAGTCTTTTGGGAGGTTTGAGGGTGCGTGTGGTGGATGGTGGGGCTTACCAAGGGGCGTTGGGGCTCCAGAATGGTCCGAGGATGGCGGCGGAGGTTGGGACGTAGTTTGGCTCGTCGACTTGGACGTAGTTGGCGATCTCAGTGACAAGGCTGTCCTCAAAGTCAGCAAAATCATCCTCCCACCCTAGAAGAAACCCTTCAACTCCACTCACGATTCCAATCCAATGATATCCGACAACCTGTGCATCTCGTTCCTCTTGCCGTCACTCTCCGCCCAAATCTTGCCCGTCTCGTTCAGGAACTTGACACCCGCCAGCCATTCCTCGGGAGTCAAATCCACTTCCCGCGCAAAGTCGTGGATGTGTCTGACCAGCCCGGAGAAGATCTGGAGCATGCGAGGGCTGGTCTTGGGGCCGCAGGTGTCGACGACATGCTGGGTGAACTTGGGGTCATATTGTCGTCCCGAGGCGGACAGTGCAGGTGCGGGTGTGGATTCTTGTTGTTGTTGGGTCGACATTGTGTTTAGAACGATCAGAGGGAGCTAGTTGTGTGAGGTCTGTCGTCAAGCTTTCTAGCCAAACAACAATCTTTGCTCTTTCAAGAGTAACAACTGAGAGGATAGAGAGACGAATGCGAAAGAAAAATACAGCCTCCCCCTCCAACACGGACCGGCCGAGTAAATATACCTACACTGCTCTCCAAACACCCACCTCACCGACCCTGCCGCTTCTAGCATGAGGACGGCAGTTCGGTCGGCGAGCTCACTCGCGCAATGCGTCGACTGGCCACTCACAAGTGCCGCATTGCACGCATCAGCCTGTCTCGTGAGACTGCGGGGTACTGCGGGCGCCAGACGGATTCCCAAGGGGCGTTTTGGGACGTGGGTCAGGATCACAGGATGCGAGTGATTTGCTCGGCGACTGAGGTCGGCTTGGTGGGCGGCGGTGGGAGTGCTGGATGTGAGTTCACGCGGTCGGGTAAAGACTCTTCCAGTCTCCAACTTCACAGACTGACTGCGTCTTACGGCATCGCACGCTTGCCTGTTCTGTTCATAGTAGGCGTACGAGTCAAACAAATGGATCCGGACAGTGCTATGGACTGCTCGGACATGCGTTGGGGTCCGTCCGAAGGTCAGTTTTGACCATGACTCCACATCCTCATTTCCGCATTACGAGTCAGTGAATGTCTCTTGAAAAATCGACTTCATTAGGAGCGCACTAGGCACATTCTATAGTCCACTGCTGGTCGGGATATCCTATCTCTCTATCCCACATGCACAATTCAAAACGCCTCCTCATCCGTCCGTAGGTCCTTTTCCTTCACTTGCTAGGTGGAAAGATACGATCCACCAATTGCACCAAGCTCCTTCCAACCAGGGCGGCAGCGGTCACAGGCACAAACATCTGCAAGAACTCGACGGGATTCCTCGGCCGGACATCAGTGTTGATGTAAGGCGTCTTGAAGCTGTCGGTTGGTCCGCCCTCGATCTGCACTGCGCTCTTGTCCGCCGGGAACTTGCCAGTCTTGTAAAAGGCGTCGAGAAGATCGTCCTTGATGCGCCATTGCTGGAACATCCATTCTGCAAATTGGTCGTGGTCGTCGATGGGAAGGTCCTTGACTTTGAATCGCCGCCAGTGCATGTTGACACTGTGAGGCGGTCGACCCTGGAAGTAGACCGATCGGAGGGTGTATATCTCGGATCCAAAGCCACCTGGAGGGATCGGCTCGTATCCGATAGTACAGTCGTATACGTATTCGACCGAGTCACGAAGCTCTTGGAGGCAGAGCTGCAAACCTTTCGTGCGCGGGATGATTTGGTGCTTGTAGTCTGCCTTGCCCGACTTGGCTGAAAACTCCGCAGACTCCTCCCGCGTGTTTCGTGACAAGTTGGTGCCCTCTGGATAGATGAGCAGCCACATGGGATCTAGTTGACGCTTGCCGTTCTGACCAGACATAGGTCCAGAGCTTCTGGTCTTGAGCTTCTCCAATCTTTCGCGCATGCGTGACTGATCTGCCGCCCAGTTCCGAGCCATGAAGACGAAACCGTAGAGCTGCATCGCAGGGCCGATCAACGGCGTCCATTTCAACGTCGCCTTGAGAATGATATAGATATGGCCATGCATGGGCTGCACATTGGTGTATGCGGCCCACCACATGTACAGCCAGTCTGTGTATAGCTGGTGATTTGCCATCAAGACAGCCCGGTCGCCAAAGTCTACCGAAACCAGTCCATTCTCATCCTGTTTCAATAGTTCTGCAACGCTCTTGTCTCCGCTGACCCGGACGGTGGTCGGGCTCCACCACTGTGTCATGGTTGTGATGAGAAGGCCAAAGAACTGTTTGGTCAGAGCACGGGCAGCGTAGAACCAGTCCTTGTTGATCCAGTAGAGGGGGATAGAGAGGAGTTGTGCGCCGTGTATGAAGATACAAGAGCCGAAGAAGTAGATGGTGAACAAGACGATGCGCAGCAACTGCATTGCGATGCCATGTTTGACCTCGCCCACAGGATGCTCGTCGGCAGTCTTGTTTACATCGCCATTCGTCTTCTCGTCCGACTGAGCCGCGGTCTTTCGCTGTTTGAGTCCCTCCATCTTGGGCGAGATGTTCTTTGGATTTGCGCGGAAACGAAGGTGGGTTGCGGAAGGTCGTTCGAGGTAGCAGGAATGTGTATAGCAGCGTCGCCGGCGGCGCTGGAGGGACAGCGTTCAGCACATGATGCGGAGTCGAGAGCAAGAGTGGGCGTTGGCAGGTGATGGATGTGTTAGATGCCTGCTGCGCGCCAGCCTCACATCACATCATGCTCAGGCTCGTGATGGTGGGGTGCGAGAGCGAGCGAGCGAGCTGCCCCGGATGACGCTGCGATGCGAATTCAAACCTACACCACCACGCCTTGTCTTCACGTTATCTCCGTCCTTCTCAATATCATCACACACGACATTGTTTCGTTCTGGGCGCGTTGGCGACGATGATGGAAGGATGAGGCGAGCCTGGCGAAGCTGGCAAAGCACACACGCGCCACAAACGCAATCATTTTCAACGTCCGCACCGCGAAAGGAGATTCGGAGCATCACTGAGCTTCCGCCACGTGTGCATCCAAAGTTTCAAGGTATCTTCTAGCTACTAAGGCCCATGTGCAAGAACTGACGTCTTGACAGAGACGAGCAACCATGAACTTTTGGCCTTGCAGTGGCCCTCTCCGCCCCGGAACGTACTGCTGGTGTGCAAGGACGACGATACCGAAGTCGGCAGCGCCTTGAGCGAATACGCGAACCACATTCACGAGGTCTATCCAGGCTCATCGTTGATATTTGAGCCCGAGGTTGCGAAACAGATTCATGAATCCTTCTCTTTCCCCATCTACGCCACCAACGGCGAAGGAAACAGCGCATATCAGGAGAATGTAGACCTTACGTCCACCCTAGGCGGTGATGGCACTATCCTTCATGCAGCCTCTCTCTTCGCCACGGCCAAGAGCGTGCCTCCCATCCTATCCTTCAGCATGGGCACCTTGGGCTTTCTAGGAGAGTGGAAGTTCAACGAGTACAAACGAGCCTTTCGCGAGGCCTTCGTTTCAGGAGCGCCTTCTCCTTTACCTCCAAGGAGCACTGACGAGCCCGAAACCAAGGACAGGCCTCAAGGATGGGTCCAAATGCGCGGCAAATCGATGGGAGCATCTCGCAACTCCAGGATTTTGCTACGCAATAGGTTGCGAATTGGCATATTCGACTCGAATGGACAGCGCCTTCCCCATGAACCGCCGTTCGCTCACGCGGACAACAAATGTGAGGACATTTTCGCGTTGAACGAGGTCCTTTTGCACAGGGGTGCCCTGCCACATCTTTCGCATATCACAATTCTGATTGGTTCTCCGCCACATCAGCGTACCTTGACGACAGCTATTGCAGATGGGTTTCTGGTTTCGACCCCTACTGGTTCGACAGCATACAGTCTGTCATCTGGTGGCTCTATTGTGCATCCATTGGTGTCCTCCATTCTTCTGACACCCATTTGCCCTCGATCGTTGTCTTTCAGGCCTCTGGTCTTGCCTGCAAACACTCCCATAACACTACGCATCGATCAGGAGAACCGCGGCAAAGAGATTGAAGTCTCAGTCGATGGTGTGCGGCGACAGAAGGGTCTGAGATCCGGCATGGAGGTTAGAGTGGTTGGTGAAGAAGTGCGGTCGCAAGGAGCGCCGGGTGAGAGAGACTGGCTGCGTGGCGTCCCCAGCATTGTCAGATCTGGTGGTGCAGCAGACGGCGAGGATCATTGGGTTGGGGGTTTGAACTCGTTGTTGAAGTTCAACTATCCTTTTGGCGAGGACAGCTGATTTGAGTCATGCTAGATGTCATAGAACATAGACAACAGTCTCCGCTCAAAAGGCAGTAAGTGTCGAGTTACATCTCAAGCATGCATTGACCAGGCTGAGCCATCTGTCCTCCGGACCTTGGACACAGATTTCTATTTCTCTCGCCGTGACTGCCTATTCGAAGACGCAGGCCTTGTTGGTGCAACCAGTTAAGCTCTACCCAACCTGCAGCGCTACTGCAGAGGCCCCTGGTGTGAGGGCGGCCCCAGGCACAGCCTCCCGTCCTTTGTTCACCGCGGCTCAACAACCATCTCCACACGCAACCTGGCACTCTGCTCTTCTCTTCATCTCTTCTCTTCATCATTTGCAACCAACCTCCAACAACATTTCTACCGCAAGAAATCGCAGCTAGACATGGTTTATAACCATGTGGCTACTCAATGTCGGTACCCGGAAACTCGAGGAGTACGTCTCAGAAGAAGACAACTACGGACGGTACGCCATCCTCTCCCACGTCTGGGAAGACGAAGAAGTCACCTTTCAAGATGTCTGGAACGGTATCGCCAACCAAAAATCCGGCTACAAGAAAATCGAATACACCTGCCAGCGCGCGGCGCAGGAGGGCTTGGATTTCGTCTGGATCGACACTTGCTGCATCGATAAAACCAGCAGTGCGGAGCTCTCGCAGGCGATCAATTCGATGTATAGATGGTACTATCAGGCGAAAGTCTGTTATGCGTATCTGTACGATGTTCCGGGGGTGGAGTTCAGGGAAAGCAAGTGGTTCACGAGAGGATGGTGTTTGCAGGAACTCATCGCGCCGGGATTTCTTGAGTTTTACGATGCCGAGTGGAATTCGGTTGGAAGCAAGATCAGTCGAGTGACGGAGATCTCTGAGATTACGAGTATTGATCCGAAGGTGTTGAGGGATAGGGACACGATTACGACGATGAGCGTGGCGAGTCGGATGGCTTGGGCTGCGAATCGAAAGACTTCGCGCCAGGAGGATTGGGCGTACTCGTTGATGGGGATTTTCGATGTCAATATGCCGATGTTATACGGCGAAGGACCAAAGGCTTTCGCCAGGTTGCAAGAGGAGATTATCAAAAACTCGACGGATCACTCGATCTTGGTCTGGCAAGCTTGGAAACCTGGCCACGACACTCTGCTCCTCGCCCCGTCTCCATATGGATTCCGCCGAGCTCACAACATCATGAGCTGGACGCAGCCTGGCATCGACGAATCATTCATCCTCTCGAACAAAGGCCTCCGCATCTCCCTCCCAATCCTAGAGAGCATGAAAGATCCCACGCTCCTCACAGCCGTCCTCAACTGCCGCTACTCTGACAACACAACCTCCCAAATCGCCCTCTTCCTCCACAAACAACCCCGCGGCATGATCGTCCCGACAAGGAACCTCAGCAGCCTCGTCTGCGCCATGTGGTCCTACCCCAAAGGCGACGGAACCCTCACATCCATCCACAACCTCGAAAGACACAAACTGCCCTCGGCGAAATGGCACGACCTCATGATCCTCCGCGAGCCGCCGAAAGAACAAACCGGCGCCCCCGCCGCGATCTGGAATCAGAAAATCTCCTTTCGCAACACCGTTACCCAGCTCAGCTTTTTGAAAGTCCACCCGGACGAAGCTTGGGATCCCACGGGGAAAACCATGACCTTCGTCATGACCGGCTCTCCCGAGCACGACCATGGATACATCGTCCTCAGCGAACGTGACGGCAAGCATAAGTTCATTCTTGTCTTCAGCCAGATCATGAACTCCGGCACCGTTGAGCCAAGAGTCTGTCTCACCCGCAGCACGACGCTCCCTGCATCACGGTCTTTGGACACGACGCAGGTGCAGAAGCGGAGCAAGACGGAGTTCAAGAAGGGCGTTTCAGATCTCGTCGCTGAGGTGGAGAGGAACCTTTCAAGTACGGGGGAGTTGGAATGGGTGATTCACATTCGGACAGAACAGTCGCCGCACGCCTCAACGACCTCCTTTAAGAACCCCCTCACGCACCTCGTCCGCGACATGCATATCACCAAAACCTACGCCTGATCTCAAGCTCCCGTCAAAGCCCGCAAACACCCATCATACGCCGCCTTCTTCACCAACGGCGTGCCCGCCCCCTGCGGTTGAAAGAACAAATCCGCATACCCCTGTCCCGCAAACGTACTCGGCACCCACGAATACGTATCGACGAAATCCCAGACCGTGACGCCAATGCACCGCCTGACGTTCACGCACGCCGCGACCGTACTGTAGTAATCCTTGACCTGCTGCTCCTGTACAGCCAGCGTCGGCGGCAGCGTGACGCGGACGTCCAGCTCCGTGACGGCGATGTCGACATTCAGCGCCGCGAAGGCGTTCATATTAGCCTCCTGGTCCGCCTGACTCGGCGTGCTCCCAGCGATGAAATGACTCTCGAGCCCAACGCCATCAATCCGGATTCCCCTCCTCTGCAGCTCCCGAACCAACTCCTGCGCCGCCGTAGCCTTCGCCCCAGGGAACTCGATATTATAATCATTATAATACAACTTCACCTTCAGCTTCCTCTCCCGCACGACATCCGCAGCCGTCTTGAATGCCAGGGCCACGTACTCGGGCCCGATGGTGTCGTACCAGATATTCGAGGCGTAAGACCCCGAGGGACTGTCCGCGAAGGCCTCGTTGACTACGTCCAGCTATAGCAGCGGTCGCCGAAGTGCTTGACGAGCGTCTGGACGTGGTTGACGAGGACGGCGCTGAGGGTTGCGTTCGTCCAGGGCGTGGAGGGCGAGGTCACCCATGCGGGGAGTTGGCTGGACCAGATGAGGTTGTGGCTAGGGGGAGGGTGAAGTGTCAGTGTTGTTGAGCTTAGGGCGAGAGAGAGTCACTGACTTACCAACGAACCAATTTCCTCCCGCCCTCTGCGATGCGCAGGAATTGCTCCGCGCCCGTGAAGTTGAAGACATTCTGCTGCGGTTCCGTCGCGTCGAATTTCATGATGTTCGCGGGCGTAGCTGGACACCAACAAGTCAACATCAATAAATATTTGAGACGTCAAACCATGAAAAAACCATTAAATCAAACATCCTCCACCTCCTCCCCTTTTCCCAAAACAACCCCAAAAAGAAAAAGGTCTACTCACCCTCCCCCCAATCCCCCCCATCCCCAAACTCGCGCATATAAGACCCATCCTGCAACTCCCCCGACGTCCCAGGAAAATCCGCCGCAGTGCCAAACCACAACTTGCCCTTCGCCCGGGCGGCTTTGTTGAGGCCCGAGTTCCTCGCCGTGGCGGTGGCTGTCAGGGTCGTTGACGGGGAGGTGCCGTCTGCTGGTGGTGGGGAGGTCGTGGTGGTGGCGTCGGTGCAAGAGGAGCCTGATTTTACGGGGTTGGGGAGGGCTGCGAGGGGGAGGAGGGTGAGTGTGAGGAGGGTTGTAAGGAGGGGCATGTTGGAGAAGGCGGGAGGATGGTAGTGTGGTTGTTTGAAGACTCTTGCAATAGGAGGGTTTGAGTGGTTCCTGCTTGATACTTACTCTTTATACACCTTTTTGTCCTATTAGCCTATGCAACAATTTCAATGTCTCCTGTCTGAGGACGTTGCTTTAGGAGAGAGAATGGGCTCCTCGGCTAAATGCTGTAAAGTGCCCATTCAGTTGTGAGTTCTAGATCAATGACCAGGTGTGGCTTCGCTGTAATATTGTCAATGGTCGAGCCATCCCGCGTGTGGAGCAACGAGTTGGAGCCCCGCATGGAGGATGTTGGTGAGAATGCAGGAACAAAAACAAGAGCGTAGCGAGGCCTCGGTGCTAGTAGTTCTCCGGCTAAATTGTCAACTTGGACGTAGATTGTGGCTGACGATCCGGGTATTTGCTAGTCTGATGATGCTTAGTATTAGGCTACCTTCTTTATTCTCGCCACCGAAGCGGTAGTTGTAGTTGAGTCGAGTTCTATTACCTCCATTAGACCGGCGGGTGAAATGCAGTTCGAGACATCAGAGCCAGATGCTTTCTGAACGCACCAGCTTAATCTTTCCCTGTAATGGTGCTCTCTTTTACACCCTTCATCTTTCATGATCCGGTGCTGTACACTGTAGTGGAGTTTGACCATTGTGAGTAGAGTTTCCGTGCCCAGGTCGCCTCCTCAAGACCTGAGCTTGAGTGGTCGTGGCTTCGCATGGCCTCGCTTGTTGGTAGATTCGGCGCTTCGTGCTTTCGTGACCATCGGTCGAACATGGCGGGCAGAGTGCTGGGTCCTCGATGCCATGCGGGAAGACAATGCTTCGCTAGCCGCGTCCCTCTGCTCGTATCCTCTCGCGGTCCAGGCATCCCTCCTCTTGTCCCTTCCATATCGTCTTCTCTTCCCTCTTTCCTCTTCAAATAATAGGATCCGCCGCCCGATCGTTACTCTCCATACGCATATACGTATCAATCGCCGCCGAGAAAGCCGCAAAACCCGCACACCCCACCGCCATCGCCTGCGGACCGGCATTCTTCGCCAAAAATGCCCCCGTAAAACACCCCGCCGCAACTCCATTCGCCAAATCGTTCTTCGCCCGGAACCCCTCAATCGCACACTCCGACCCAGCGAAAATCGCGCCGATGTATCCGAAATTCTTCGCGGAGGACCACGACGACCGGCCCATGTCTTTGAAGCCCATTTTCAGCTGCTCGCGCATCGGGATGTCTTTGATTTGGGTGCCGACGCCCCCGGGCATGCCGGCGGAGAGGGGCGTGTCGTAGCGCATCGAGGCCATGAACATTCCGAAGAGGCCGCCGAGGCCGAAGCCCATTGTGCCGGCGATGGCGAGTTTGGCGGGGCAGGATTCCATGGCGGCTTGCATCTAGATATCATCGTTGATTAGCTGATGGGGTGGATTGCGGCGGCTTGGGTTTGTTGGATGTACCGTCTTGATCATCATCTGCTCCTGAGCCTTTTGCGGGTCCATGTCCTGAGCAGAACCGGCTCCTGGGAATCCTGGGAACGACATGGTGTATCTTCAGATGTGACTTCGATGCAGATGAGCAGTGCGAGTGCCGGAGCAACAGTCGTGGAAGATATGTGGTTGAGGCGATGGGGTGTAGATTCAAGAGGAAGTGTTGACACCTCCGAGGCTAGACTGAATTTGGACAGACTCCGCACATTCACTTCCATCGCAGCGCCAAGATATCTACATTCCAACGTCGCTATGTAGAAGTGTCTATTCACCAACATCATAGGTCATCAATCATTCTTCCTTCTCGAAGCTCCATAAGCAGCAGCTTCAGCACTGGCCCCCATGTAATCCGATGCCTCTCCTTGATATTCTTCGCCCGGGCTTGGTGTGAGACTCTTCTCCCACTCTGTCAGGAGATTGCTTGCCGTCCTGCGGAGACTCCCGATTCCAGACTTCTTGAGCGCTGGCCATGGGATAGCATCCTTCTTCGACAGATCTCTCGACTCGCGATTTATGGCCAAGCTTGTCCTCGGGCTGCCAGATACCGTTGAAGGTAGCGTGGTGGCTTCGGATGTAACGCTACTGCTCGATCTGGACTGCTGAGGGCTGTCGTCCCAAGTATCCCAAGCTTCACTAGAGGCTGTCGACAGTCGCTTGGCAGGCTCTGCAGGTCTTGCTTGTCTAGAAGTGGGTGTCTTCTTCGTAGCCGCTTGTGGGGGTGGTGGGAGGTTCACGCCATGGTCAGTCCAAAAGGATGGGTTGGCAAGATCTGGAAGCGCTTTCGATGACTCCTTACGGCCAAGTGTTGGGTAGTCTTTGCCAATCGTCGATGAGCTCCTCGAAGACCCTTGTAGACTGCTCTTGCTGCTTTGCTTCCTTGCGGTCTTGAGAGTCTGCGTCGAGCTTTTCCTTCTGGGTGGTGGCGGTATTTGTGTAGATTCCTCGCCTACAGTGGCCTGCCGCAGATCCTCCCAGAAGTTCCAAAGCCCATCTTTGAATCCTGTTGCGACCTTTTTGCCAGCACGAATGAGGCTTTCGTGATCAAGTGCTGCTGCGTCTGCGGGATTTAGACCAGCAATGGCCGGGATAGGTGCGTCACTGGACACATTTCCAGTGGTTGATGCTCTATTCAACCGTGGTTGTGGGGTCACTCCATCTGGACGCTCTGGGATTTCCTTCCTAAGGCTGTCTTTCCGCGGTGGAGGTGGTGGAGGTTGAATTATAGGAGTCATCGTTTTGATGTTGTCTCTTGCCGGTGAAAGCAACGATAGTGCTCTCGTATGCCGCTGGCCCGGAAGAACAGTGCGATTACTGGTCCTCGTTGATGACAGAAGCGCCTTGCGACGTTCCATCTCCTGCTGTATCCAAGCGCTTGATCCATCTGTATCATCGTCGGGTACTGACGCAGGTAAGGCAGTTTGCAATGTTTGGAGTCTCGTCAGTCGCCTGACATCATCACGTTTCTTGTTCGCCTCGTGTCGTGCCCAATCTCTCTTTAACCTATTCAGATCTGCTTCTGCCTTCTGCAACTCCTCTTTCAATTCCAGCACCCGCCGTTCCTGGGCGGCGATCAGATGTAAGTAGTTGCCGTCCGACGGATCATTCTGAGTATCTGAACCCTCTATGCTGTCCGTCGCCTGCTCCCGTACAGGTGAGGTTGATGTGCGGATTGGACTCTGTAAATCTGCGGGAATTGGAAACTGCACGGAGAATCGGTTCGTTCGAGGCGGCACTGCGCTTTCAGACACCATTGATAGGTGCCGACCATGGCTTTGAAAGCTCGTTCTTCCAGAAGATCCGGCCGAAAACGTTGGACTTGTTGGCGACGCTATCTGCTCGGCTGGGACGTTTCTTGGGTCCATGGTCTCGATCGGTCACTCAATAGGGAGTCTGCGTAAAACATTGATATGTCGTGACTCGTTATGATGGAGGTGCATTGACAAGAAGCACAAACAATATGAAACGCGTCGTAACACCGCAACCCTTACAAGGATGATGTAGATGCGAGGATGTTTGTGGACATTGGCGAGACTCGTGTCGGAGGTATCAGGTTGATTGAGGCGCTGCGGGCCGCAAAACCTTGTTCCTCGTGGCTGCTTCGTGGCTGTCAGGCATACCAACTTCACTTCTTCCACTCACCTCCCCATCAATAATATCGAATGGCATTGTGAGACCTGCGTCAAGGACAAAATACTTCCATTGGCCACCTTCCAGGTGCGCTGTTGCCTCCCATCCCTAGCAAGACGCTCGCGACGAGCCTCCGTCTGCCCATCGCCGTCTCGCAGCTTGGAGGACAAAGAGAACTTCTCCCACGATCATGAGCTGGAGTTCACAAGGTATACCCTTGTGATGAAACTGATTTGTTAAGTTATGCGGAAGTCTTTGAATCGTACGGCGCTTCTGGCTGAAGAGACAAGGTCTGAAAGCTTCTCTCGCAGCTGTTCATGGTTGAAGAGTCTACAACATCGGCTTTTGACCACCGGCTTTTGGCCACTGCACAGCGAGACAGCTCCTCGCTGTTCGTATGTGATGTGTCTTATCTATGTGAGCATAACCACCAAGCCCGGTATCGGTCACAACACCTGCAATCGCCTCCATGACCAGCGACCCTCCTTGGAGCCGATACCACTTCATCCAGCAAATTTTGATCACTCGCATGATGACTGGACTACGCCAACAGCAATGGTTGAGATGCATGCATGAATCGACTTCATTCTCTCGCCGCGGAAAAACGTTCTTCGGAGTAGACACGCATCATGCGGTCTTAGATTCGTACGACTTTGGTCCCTTTGATATCACTGAAGTGGCCAGGCACCAGAGCAAAGTTCCCAAGCTGCAGGTTCCTCGTCTATTCGGCCTGCATTGAGTACCTACCTTCCTTGGCGTGTCCCTCTACACTCTGCTCTAGGCTGATCTACCTCACCGCCCCAAGAGCATCCAATCCTAGATCAAGCATCCTGCGATTGGTTGAGTACGGAGCGTCCATCTGCCCGAAAGATTGTTCGATGCATCGCAGTAGTCTACGAGAGGATCGAAGGAAGAGCGCATTGCGCATCTTGATGGCTCAGCGAAGTCTATTCAAACCTCACCTGCCTATCGAACTCCACCAATTACCCCGAACGAATAGCATACGTGCCGATCAATGGCTATACATCAGCACGGTGGGTGTGGAATCGATAAGTTTCTGCCTGTTATGGTGGGACCGCTTGGCGAGGCGGCAGATCCGGCTTCACAATTCCCACATGCAGGCAGAGCACTTGCAAGAAATGATCAAGGCTTGCAGAAAGCTTCTCAATCCTTCTGTTTGCACCTTCCCCAGGTGTTTCCCCGTTTCCCACCATTGGCAGTCATTGGTGTGTATGTGCGAACTCTACAAGCGATAGGGAACGCGATGTGAGGAACTTGACCTAAACCCTGCCTGCAATGACACGAAGATCCTTCGATGTAACGCGGAAGCCACCTGCTGGGCAGCTATAGCTTGATTAATAAGTCTTCCTTCAGACTGTACACTTTGCAACTCCGGCTCAGAAGGCTGCACAGGGCGTAGTGACCGAGCGTTCCGGCGGCCGTCTGACCACCGCCATCTCACAAACTCCGAGAACCTCTTCAATTCTGTTTTGCGAATGTTTTGTGATGCTCTCTGGGAGGCAGTGAACTGGCGAGGTCGGCTATGTCCGAGATCAGCGCTCGATGGCTTCTATTCTGGAGACGACCGTTTGAACGATGTGGGCACGCGATGCACGTGGACTGAGCCAGTCTTCGAAGACCTGAACGTCGAGTAAGGTTCGGCGAATGACCGATTGGGCGGTAGGTGATGGGAACAGCGATGATGTGCATGTGTACTTTGTCAAGCGGATGGGCGAGAGTCCGCAGTGTGGTCAGATGCCCTAGACGACTTGGACCTGCTGGTGCCCCCTAGCGGACGCCACGGCCAGTTGTTACTGGAGGCGTCGTCTCATGGTGCTCCTGCAGGGACGGCAGACGGTCGAGTGTGTGCGAACCGAACAGTGCGGGGATGCGGGCGAGGCTTTGCAGGGCTTTGCGCTCGCTTTAAACCCCAGCGTCGCCTCCACCAGCGACTTCTCTCTCATTGCTCTCCACATACCGCTCTGCCTCGACCGTCGGCCTCCACTGGCGCACCCCGTCCCAGCAGGCGTCATGGCCTACCCTCCTACGCCGGAGCCTGCGATGGATGCTCAACCATCTGCGCCGCCCGCAGCCGATGACGACGTGCCCGAGCCGGCCGCCAAACGTCAGCGCTCCAGCGACGACAGCGCTGCGAACCCCGAGCAACCGCCCACCAGTAATGGCTCGGGCGCGGCGAATGGGAGCGGCAGCACTGCCACCGCTGCTGGACCCCCTTCGAGCACGCGCCTGTATTCCTGCGGCAAGTGCTCCAAGAGCTATGCCCGCCTCGATCATCTCTCGCGCCATGTGCGCATGCATACGCAGGAGAAGCCTTACCAGTGTCAGATCTGTACCAAAGCCTTCGCGCGAGCGGATCTGCTCAAGCGACACACCCTGGGCCACAGCAAAGATGATCCCCAGGCCAAGCCCACCATCATTCAACACAGCCGCGTCTCCCAGGCCTGCGAAGCCTGCGCTGGATTACATCTGAAGTGCGAGGAAGAGAAGCCTTGCAAGCGTTGCACCAAGAAGGGCATTCAGTGCAACTTTACCCCCAACTTTGCCCCCAACGAGATGCATCGACAGTCGCCGCCAGAGAATCACTTCATGCCGGACCAGCAGCGCTACGGCGAGAGCGTCCAGCATGTGCAAACCATGGGCCCAATGACCCCCATGCATCCAGTTCAAACTCCCCAAATGCAGCATCGTAATTCGTTTGGTCCCCCAGGGCCGCTTCCTGCCATGCAGATGGCCGACCAAGCTCAACCGCCACCGGCTCAGATGGGGATGGAGGGATCGATGATGCCGCCGCATACGCCGAACGGCGCCAACATGTTCGACTATCTTAGAGATAAGATGATGCCGCATACCAGTCAACCAAACGGAAACGTTCAAGTCATCGACTACCAGGCTGGACCGTGGACTCCAAGGGAACTATTCGACTTTGGCGTTGACACCAACATGGAACTCAACGACCTGGACCTCAGCTTCTTGGACACCTACAACAATGCCAATCCCTTTGACTTGCGCACTCCCAGTATAGGGTTTCCGACGACAGGTTCGGATATCATGCCTAGCTTCACGTCTGCGCCAGCGCCACCGATGGACACTACCGCTTTGCCTAAGGCGTCCGTATGGCGGTTCCGTCCACTGTCCAAAGACTCTGGCAGTGCTGAACAAGAGAACCTCTCACTCCCGACACCGACGAGTCTGGATATTGATCGTCGAGTGACGTGCGAACCTTTGTCTCAGACCTCGAGGGACAGGATCCTGGCCATGATCTTAAGCACGTGCAAGCCAAATAGCATCCCTCGAGCGGTTGCTTGTTTCCCTTCGATAGGCTTGCTCGATAGCTTGTTCCAATTCTCGTTAACGTCGCCTGGGTCACACGCTAAGCACTGGATACATGCGTCGACGTTACTGACCGGTCAAACCAGGCCCGAAGTACTTGCTGCCATCGTAGCTGCTGGTGCCGTCCTGACACCTGACTCGTCCATAAGGAAGCTGGGCTATGCGATCCAAGAAGCAATCAGGACTGCGATTCAAGTCCAACTGGAGGATGATAACACCATGATGCGAGACCTCCAGATTATGCAGGCGTCGTTACTGCAGCTCAAAATCGGCTTGTGGAGCGGCGACTCCCGCAAGATGGAGCTTGCTGAGGGATTTCAGCAGAATTTGGTAACCATGGCGCGAAGAGGGGGCTTGTTCCGCCGCGGTACTTACGAGCGTATTGTGCCGTATGCTGAAGATCAAGGCGACATCCTCGAAAGTAAATGGCGGCAATGGGTGAAGCAAGAGTCGCGAAAGCGGTTCGCTTTGCACTTATTCCGCCACGACCTTGAATCTTCGGTGTCTCTTCTCAGCAGCCCGCTTATCTCCTATGCAGAGCTCTACCTACCCTTGCCAGAGTCAGAGAACTTGTGGCACTCACCCTCTGCCGAGTCGTGGAAAGCCACGTACATGCGCAATGCAGGTCCACGGCATGACCGGCAACCTTCACTGGTCGACTGCATTCAGGATCTGGACATCCTCGCTGTTCGAGACATCTTCATTGATCAACGACAAGCGTCGATGGCCGTTCTTGGTGCTGCTTGGAGGATGATCTGGGAGTATCGACAACTCGACTCCTCGATGAAGGACTACAACAACCAATGGAGCAGTGGAAACCTCCTGATGAACACTCGCCATGCCGAGCTGACGAAGCTTCTACAATGCTTCCGCATCAGCTCTGTTGAAGATACTAAAGTCACGCTCATCGTCGAGCTATTACTAATGCATCTTCACCTATCACTGGATGATGTCCACCTCTTCGCCGGCGTTGAAGGTGAAGAAGAATCTCGAAGAGTATACCCATCTCTTGTGCAGTGGACACGCACCACAATGGCACGACAGGCGCTCTGGCACGCCGGTCAAGTCCTGCGCGCAGCTAGGAACTTACGGCCTGGACTGACCTGCGACTTTGCCGCTATCGCCGTTTACCAAGCCAGCTTGGCTTTCTGGTCGTATGGCATCATCACACGAGCCACAGAGCCAGGCCCGCTGGTCAACAATAGCCCCACCGCGTTCCTCGATGGCGGTGATGACAACATCGTCAAGCGATGGATCAACAGCGGCAAAGGCAATGCCGCTATCCGCACATGGACCATCAAGCCGCCTGCAGAGGGCGCTGCCATGGTTGCGAACCCGGACGATGTTGTGGGTGCGGTCGTCACTACCATGCGGCGCAATCACAATGAGACCAGGAATCCTCCGCTTGTTGACAATCTGATCAATATTATGGAGGGGCTGCGCAAGGCAGCGAGGACGTGATCGCATGCGAGGGAACGTGCGAGACACGTCAGTAACACTCATTGCCAGGTCTGACAAGAGACCCAGTCTGCCTCACGCCATCGCCGACCAGAGTTCCATCCCCAGCGGGTCTTGGCTTTTTCATACGACTCGGAGGAGCGCATGCGTGACGAGGTCTCTCTGGCCAAGCCACGCCGTGGTGCTGCCTTAATACGTTTGGGTATTCTCACGGCCCTGACAAGAGAAGGCGCTGGGCACAAATTTGTAGTTGTAGTCATGATGACGAGGAAGATAAGGAGCAGGGCTGGAAGTTTTGTAACCGTGTGGAATGATATCAAAGAGGAAAAGTTGAACTTGTTGATGTTGATGATAACCACGAGTACGTAGTTGTATAGGATGAATCGTTGTGATGGAGGCCTACTTGCCCATTTCACTCCAGCTGTGTAAGGAGTTGGTCTTCTCATCCACTATCCCGTCACGTTGACGAGGATCGGAATGTCTCGACTGGGAGGAAGACATCATCGTCTCTATCGTCAGTGCAAACGTCGTGCACCGCAGCTCTCAGCGCGTTGAAGTTGCGAGCGGTCGATCGCGCTTCTCTTCAAAGGCACACCGTGCTACGAGACGGTACGGCTCACCTAAACAGTGAAGTAACCTTCAACTCTCTCCCTCTCACCCCATAGACTCTCACCCATTCCCATTCGCCTTCCCCTGCGCCAAACTCGGCCCAAACAAATCATCCATCTCCTTACTACTCTTCTCCCTCTCCAGCTTCCTCCGCTTACTCTTCTCCTCATCCACCTTCCCCTCCTCCACCCCATTCCTCTTCATCGCCGCATGGCTCTTGATCAAATCCTTCGTCGTCGGATCTCGACATCGCTCTAGTTTCTTTTCCAGCGCGTCGCGCTCGTCTTTCGACATGCTTGCGTTGGGGTTGAATGATGCTAGCATGTCTGCGCAGGACTGGATTGTTGAGAGGATTTTGGAGCGGGAGGGGGAGGTTGGGGGGAGTTTGGTGTCGAGGTAGAAGGATGTGAGGGGTTCGTCGGCGAGGTGCAGGGCTGCGAGGAGGATTTGCGAGGGCGTGTAGAGGAAGTAGGCGTCTGTGAGGGAGGCAGGGGCGTCGAGGAGGTAGCGGGCGGCGTCGTAGGCGGCGCGGATGCGATCGTTGAGGTTGGTTGTGGTGACGGTTCCCGAGGGCGCTTTCCAGGGAGTTTTGCACTCTGCTGAAGAGGGTTTGAGGCCTAGCATAGTCTGTTGCACTTCCTTTCCACTCTTTTGCTCTGTCCCGTCCAGTGTGCCCATAAGTCCCTCAGCCATGTTCATCAACTCCATCAAAGCCCCCTTGAGTCCACGAAACGGCTGCCGAACATCCAGCGTGAATCGCAGCGCTTGCATGAACTTGTACTCCGGCGCCAGAATAGCATCCGCATCCGCCCTGATGCTGGCCGCGAACTTCGGCACTGTGATGTGAATGGCTTCGGTCTTGCTAGCGAGGAACATGGCGGTCTTGTAGATCTCCAATGGGGGATATGTCATGCACGAGTTGGAAAGGTAGAAGCGCTTGAGGTACTGCACCGCGGTCGTTTTGACGTTGATGGGCCATTTCAGATGCTCGGCTGTGGCTCTTATATTCACGCAGTATCTTTGTACAAGTCGCAGCTCTTCCTCTTCCGTGAGGTACTCGACATTACCGGCGTCGGAAGCTCCATTCTGTTCGCCATCCTTGCTGGCATTTTGTTGCGCTCGGGCGATGGCGAGCTCGTGTGTCTTTCTACGTTGGGCTGCGAGTTGGGCTGGGGAGTAGGACCATAGCCGGTATTGTGTGGAGGTGCGGTAGATGTCGTCCTCGCTCAGGCGCGTCGTCATGGTGGAAAGGTGAAGTCGCGTTTCGAGGTGGATGTTGTTGGCTAGCTTGGAGATATGCTGGCTTAATGGGTTCGGATTGGTGGAATAAGCGAAGTGGTCTGGAATCGTGAGATCTCTGAGACAAGTTCGACCACTTCTCGACTTCGACATGTGCAGAAGCTCCTATACTGCCCCCTGACGAACTTCTGAATCGACCATCAATAGGAGTCGTCCTACTCTCTCCAAGCCCGTTACCCACTGTGCCATGCGACAGCCTTCCGAGAACGCTCACACAGTTCCTGTCTTCCTGAGACGAGACACATGGCTCTCATCGATCTGCCAGCTGAGTTGATCAGTCACATCTTCACTTACTTGAGAGACGAAGATGTCTTTTCAGCACGCCTTAGCAGTCGCACGTTGGACAAGGCCAGTTTCGACTACTTCGGACGCCACTTCTTCCGCAAGAAAGGCTTCATGATCACAACTCCAAGTCTAACAGTTCTGGAAGAAATTGCCAACCACAAAGAATTGAGCAAATTTGTTCAACATGTCTGGATCAATCCCGATTGTTTCACTCTCACGGACTTTCGCTATGAATGGTCAGAGGACGGTGGGCGCAGCCAGAACGACGGTGGGGACGACCCTGAAGATGCGGACTCTTTCACGGATGCTCAAACCGCAGCTGCGGTAAATCGCGAACTGCCTCAAAAGACCAACGAGCAAATCGAAGCGTATCTCGAATGTACAGCGGATTACATGGAGGTTCTGAACGACAATTATGACGGACGGCCGACTCCGCTGGAAGCCCGCCTCACGACCGCGTTTGCGAAACTGCCGAACTTAACAACCATCGGCATGAGACGCTCTGAAAACCACTCTCCATATGGGTGGTCTGCTCTCCAAAAATCAGTCGGTTCCGACCCAAGGCAACTAGGTCCCCTCCTTCCGGTTCCTTCTCCCAACCTCTCCCCTTCGTCAACACTTTTCATCGCCCTTCTGTCAGCCGTTGCGCAAACTGGTGTTCAAATTAGAAGGCTCTATACCGACGTGATAGAGCTGGATAACATGAATTCTGGGCAATTCCCTCGGTCGAAGCTCAAAGCCGCCTGCTCGTCAATGCTCTACCTCGAGCTCAACATCATCCGAGGACTACTCGAGCCAACGCTCAAGCCCACAAATCTTACTCCACGTCTCCTAGACGACCCATCCAACAGCGAATTCGGCGAAAACCTCGTCACCCTCCTCAAATCCATGCCCAACCTCAAAGAAATAGGCCTCCAAACCCTCCGCGCCAGATCCCTCGGCCACTCCTCCATCGACGCGATCAACCCCGAGAAAAGCTACCCCTACATAGCCTTCAACCGCCTCGCAACGGAAGCCCCCCTCCCACATCTAACCCGCATCAAACTCGAGAAAATCACAACCACCTCCTTCACCCTCCAAACGTTCCTCCAACCTTGCGCCCAACGCCTCACAAGCCTCAAACTCCGCGACATCTCCCTCCAATCCACCCCTTCATCCCCAGGCCCCTGGCGCGAGCTCTTCGACTTCCTCCTCGCACACTGCCCGCGGCTCGAATACATCCTGTTCTACCATCTCATGCATGACGCAGGTGGTGTGTCATTCGTCGAAGCGGAGCCGGAAGCCAGAAACGGAGAGACTGCGGATGAAGGTGAGGAATATGTGGTCGGTCAAGCGGTGTTTGAGAAGTATAGCCATATCACGTTGGAAGTGAAAGGCAGGGAGGCGGTGAGGGAGAAGCTCGAGGAGGTGAGGGAGAGGCATTGGTATCATCGGCCGTTGTTTAGTTATGCGATGGATGAGGAGCTGTGGCATACGGATACTAGTGATGAAGAGTGGTAGTGGAATCGGTGGGAGGTAGTGGAAAGCGAAGAAGAAGTTTGCAAGTCGATGTCAATGTCGTGAGGAGTGAGTGATAGGACAGGTGTATGAAGAGTGAAATCGGAAAATCAAGCCAAAAGTCTGAACAGTTTCATATCATAACTCTCATCTACTGGGCATCATACAATGTACGTCCCACAGCGCGAGTTGTAGAGGGGGTATCTCATCCCTTGCAAAAAACGGCAAAACGCCAACGCTAATCTCTGATTCTAATTCGTTCATCTCGTGACACATAGACGGCGGCAGTGTTGGGCCATCTGAGTCCTGCGCTCTTAAAAAAACGCCTCTATGCATTCGAAACCCGCACGCCATACAGCTGCAACCTCGCCACCACACGTCGACGACAAACCGGGCAGACGTCGATCTGCGCGGCACAGTCGCGGCAGGCGACGACGTGGCCGCAGTCGTAGAACGCCGTCGTGATGTCCTTGTCGTAGCAGATGTGGCAGTGGCTCTGGTCTTCGTCGGTGACTTTGCCCGTCAAGACGAAGTCGCCGTGCTTCTTGCCATCTCTGAAACCGCCTTCGTAGACATTGCCAGTCGAGGAAGCTTCTGTGAGCTTGCCACGGCCCTCAGGCCTGCCATTCTTGAATTCGCCTTCGTAGATGTTGCCGGTGAGGGCGTAAATGAGTTTGCCATAGCCAGAGTATTCGCCGTCTCTGAACTCGCCGAGGTACTCGTCGCCATTGGTGGCGATGTGGTGACCGCCGCCGTGGAAAGCGCCATGCTCGTTGAAGTGGCCTTCGTAGTAGGCTTGGCCGAGCCAGTCTTTGGTGCCCGCAGATGCTACCTTGCCATCGTACATTGGCGACGTCTCTTGCGATTCGATATCGAAAGTCGAGTCGTCGTCGGCATCTCTCATCACAACGTCCTCTCCATCCATCATCGGAGGCTCAGGCGTGGCTTCGGTCGCCGCTTGGTCGATGCGTGCCGCTATCTCTTGTAGGCGGGCGAACTCTTCTTCGGTGACGGCAGGTGGAGCGTTGATGTTTGGGACATTTGCGTGACCAAAGTTTTCGTGGATGGCTGATTTGATAGGCAGGTCGTAGAGGTCGTTGATAGGCTCGATGTAGTCTGGTCTCCATTCTTCGACATCTGGCGCATTGAAAGTCTCTTCAGCCATGTCGTCGCGCACGTACATGACAGCACATGTGACTTCGCTCGTTGGCTCGTGGAATTCGCTGAATGGCGAGTCGTAGCCATCTTCGGATTTCCGTGAGCCGTTGGCGTTACCTTCGGCACCAGAGTGTCTCTCACGAGCTTGCTTCTCGGTGAGACGGGTGACATTGCTGTCTTGGTATGCGTACCAGCCCTTGCCAGGACCTCGTGGACGCACATACGAGTTGTAGCGACACGATCGTAGATGGCCGCAATGCGTGATGAAGGCAAAGAGTGTGTATGAAGTGCCACCGACGTTCAGCGTCTCGTCGCACTTGACCTTGTTCGTCAGCTTCTTCCACTTGCGCTCGGTCTTGTCGTGCTCCTGTCGTTGCAGCTCGAGCGTGAGCAGCGCAGGGCGAGCTATGAGCTTCGGGTGGCTATCGACAGCTTGCTGAATGGAGGGATGCTCTTTGGTGTTGAGCCTGTTAGAGCCACACACAGCTCCCTTCTCGGCATGGAAAGAACCGACTAGTTCATTGAATCTGCCGCTTTCAGGCCCATCGGGATACATTCTTGGAAGACCAGACGCCATTCTCCAAAGCATCTCCATGACATCGATGTCGAACTGCGAGCCGCGATTGCCGTAATTTGGTGAGCGTTTGCGAGAGTACATCTTCAGCAGCAGAGGGTGTAGCCAAACGCTGGCGTTCTCGGCGCCAGGGGGCAAGTCTTGTGCAAACTTGCGGAACGGAGCAAAGTGGAGCAGGGGGATAGCACTTGCAGTGTAGACAAGTGATCTCCTGAAGGGCCGCAGACCAGTGACTGCGGTGATTCCGTCGGCGGACTGGTCACCATGCTCCCACAAGCAGCCAGTCGGGTCGTCGACGGTGCGGATGTATGCTAAAAATGCAAGCTTGTCGCCTCGGAGGATGGCCTGACGTTGACCGTGTTGTCGAACGTGGAACTCGTATCTTGGGAAGCGCGTGAAGTACTTCCAGCCGTAATCGGTAGACATCTTGTGGAACTGGTGTGCCTCGGTCTGGTACTCGAAGACCCGTGGCTCATCTGGGTTGTACATGACCACAGCGAGCTGTGCAGCAACCGAGCGACGCTTCTTGACCTTGTTCTGCTTCGAGGATGCGAGCCTCAAAAACGGGAATGGTGGGTCTTTGAAGTCTTCCATGGCGGCGTAGTCGTCTGAAAGCATGCTCACACATTCGATGAAGACCGAAAGGTATTCTGAGCCAGGAACACCACGTGGGTAGAGCCGTATCTGCCAGTCAAGACCGCCGATGCGCTGGATTTGAGACCGCATCACCTCTTGGCTGTTGGGATTCTCTTTGGTGCCGTTGAAGCCCTCTACCAGCCAATCAATTCGGCCGCTCTCGAGAGGTGTGATCTCAGGGTCGTCGATCGCGAAGAACGCTTCCTTCTCCCAGTGCGTGTAGTCTGTCGCACTTCGGTCGCCCTTGGACTTGATGTATTCCAGCTCGTCGGCACATGGCTCAGACTTGTCCTCTTCGATGGGGTACCACCGTGGCATGTCGTCGTCTTCTTCGCTATCGTCGTGGTCACTGCCTGAACCGCCATCTTCTGAGTCTTGACGGTTGGGCTGAGGGTTCGCGGGCGGCGGTGGTGGAGGTGCCCCGACAGCAGCTGGCTGTGCTGGCGGCATAGCGTTGGTTGGTGCGAGGTCAGTGAATGGAAGGGTCGGTGGAGGAGGAATGGCGAGGTCGGTTGGGTTGAGGTTTGGAGGAGGCGGTGGAAGTCCGCCCGCGGCTTCCATGGTGGGCGATTCTTGGTGGGTTGAGGCTGCGGATATGAAGGTTGGTGGTTGCTGTGTGTGAGGATGAGTGGTTGTTTGCTGTGGAAGAGGAAGAGGAAGAAGAGAAGTGTTCAGTCTGAATTTGAGCCAGACGAGGCCTATTGTGGGGGTCCAACAATAGGAAGCTTTCTGAATAGGCGGCGTTCTTATTGTGAGGCTGCTATTGTGCCGTCATGTGCTGCGGCTCCGTCTGTCGAAGCTCGTGACGTGGAGATAGCCGGTCTGCTTGCCGTCCAATGCCCGCCAGCGGCCCGGTGCGTTTTTGATGCGATGGTGGTATGATTACAGTATTTCTCCCGCAAGCCAGAGCCAAGACGGCGGTTGTACAGGTCTTCGAAGGTGTGAGTTGTCCAGAGAGTCGCCTAAAGAACACGCCGCATTTAAGCTCTCGGCTCATCTGCAGCTCCTCCCGCACCACGCTAGCGTCAGAGGACCCACATGCTGCCTCAGATGACTGTCGGACCCCTCAATATTCGCCTTTCACTGCAATCATCAGCAAATCGATCAACTGGAAAATGTGTGTTGGATGGAGTCCTTACCGAGTACTTGGATTTACCTGCTCAGCCAAACCGATACATATCGACCAGCCTCGAGGACGATGTCCAACTGCGTGACACGTCGAACTCGCATGCATACGCTTCATGCAGGCTCGCCTGGGTTGTGTGCCTTGCGTAAGCGTGATTATTGGCCTCCGCAGGCAGCATTCGCCCACTCTATCCAATCCAGCAGCACTTCAAAATGCTCGGTGTCGATACCGGTGAGCCGTCATTCACGTCATGGGCGTGACTCGATCATTTGCTGGCTGTCAAGCGGTCTTCGCTACCGGCTTGTCCACTTTGGCAAAGGTGGAGGCTACAATGAGTGGGAAGGCCACCGTGGCTTCGGCGTAAACCTTGTCAATACGTTAGTGACTCCTACCAGTGGGTGATGGTGTTGCTTTCTTTCAGCGTACCTTGACACTCGCAGCGTCGGCTTTGATCTTGCCCCAACTCACAGCCTCGTCCGGTCTTGCTCCCGCATCGGATCCATCAAACTCCTGGGCGGTGTTGATGTAGACAGCACTCTCGGCGCCATTACGCATCAGGTTGGCGTTGGCGATGTGATGCTTGACGATGCCGCCGCCGAGAATGATCATGCCACTGCGCTTGGCTCGGACGGCGATGGTATTGATCTTCCGAATGTCCTCCACGATGTCGACTCGCAGCTGTTTTGGGGATGCCTTGAAAGTGTGGAAGTAGAGCATGTCGCCCAGGCTACCATCTGTGAGCGCAGGGCAGAACACTGGGATGTCGTTCTTGTACGCCCAATAATACACAGATCGCTCGTCGCTGATCTCCTTGCCGAGCCTGGAGATGATTTTGCTTGGGGTCCAATTCATCGGCTCTTCGTCGTTCTTCGAAGCCTCTTGCTCCTCTAGTAGCTTGTCCAGTATCGGCATGACCCAGTCTTCGAAGTGGCAGTAGTTGTCATTTGGGACGAACAAGTTTCCAATTCGGTTCATCCCTTTGGCACGGAGAGCAGCTCCAGATGCTGTGAAGGATCCGAGGTACGTCTCTCCCAGACATTTGATGAAGTCTTCTTCCACTCCTCCAGCAGTGGTCACGATGGCAGACACATGCTTATGCTGCACGAGCCATCTGAGAGTTTCCCGTAGCCCGGATGAGATCAGGTTGGAAGTATAGCCGAGGAAGATTGTGGTCTTCTCTCCCGTCTCTGCATCACGCCAAGTCCGCTGCGTAACAAGTCAACACATTCCTCCGATGAATACACAAAAGTTGAGAAAAGACCGACCATGCCGTTGACTATATCAACTGCCTGCCCTATCGAAGAAGCTTGGAAGCCCACCTTCGCAAGGTTCTCTACCAGCTCGGCGACCGTGACATTGCGATCAGCGAACGCATCGAAGTCGAGTCCTTTCACAGGTACCGCACCCTCGGGTATGGGATCGGATGGCTTCAGGACGGCATCTGTCGCTCCTGAGGGCGCTGTGCCGTTTGGCAGTGCTGTGCTGGAAGCCATGGCAGCCTGGTCGATGTGAAGCGAGAGCTCAAAGTACAACAAATTGTTGCTGAACTTTCTTAGTTTGGGTCTCGGCGGGCAAGGACGCTCTCAGACCGGCCGCGTGGGGCTGGGGTTCTAGGTTAAAGGGTAAAAACGGCAGACAGGCGAGACATTCCAGATCTCCAGATGATTACGTCTCATCAAACAGCACAATCGCAAAGAATACACTCCCAAGCACGATATGCAACATTCACTCGCATCGTCAGTATATAGTTGTTGGTGCAGAAGAAATTGGTCGCGAACGGTCTCGTGTGCCTTGGAGCGCCATTACGACATCGCACAGGATTACACTTTTGCGGGCGTGTCGCTTGCCAGGATTCGTGCGCCAAAGGCCCTTTGAGTTTAGGCGCTAAATTTGAGCTGCTGGATCAAATTGTGCAGCACCAGGCGCATGGCCGCAGACGCACGCCGTGGGAGGAGCTGCTGCGGAGTGGGATCTGGCTGGTGGCCCATCCTGCCGCTGCCGCTCGACGCTCTCACCAGTGCCCCGTCGGTCCTCATGCCCTCGCGCGCCGCTTGGTCGAGGCGACGTCTGACAGCCTGCCGTGGTCGTGCCCGTGTGCAGCTGCGTGCGGCCCCAAAAAAGGAGATCTTCGTTTTGGAAACGGTGCTGCGGGTTCTCGGCAGAAAGACGCCAGTCCCTTCAAATGCACCCAACCGCGCCACCCTGGCCAGTTGGATCCGATGCGCCGTTTCCATTGGCCGATGCGCCTGAATTGAAGATGGCGTGGATCATGCTGCATGCACAGAGAGAACACGCTTGTCGCCCTCACCCTAGTCCCGTTCAAGCCTTGCTTAGGACACACAAGGCCCCATCATCTTGTCACCTTCATCATTGTCACCAATTCTCAGCTTTGCCAGTCTCGTCTCTGTCCCCGCCAAGACCGCGTCCATTTGAAAGGGCGCGCCGGATACAGCATTTCCTTGGAGTTTCGTGATTTGTTTCCCAGGCGCCACGGAGATCTGGCCTTGCAAAGTCCCCCGACCGACTGCACCACCGCCGTACCCTACGGCCTTGCTCGCGACGACACTGCCAGACAGGAGAGTCATTGACGAGTCGAGAGCCGAGTCCGCGTCTTCCGCCAGGCCTGTTGCTGCTGACCGTCACCGTCACGCCGTGAGCGGGTGTTTGGGCGAGTGTTTCCCTTCAGCTGGCCCTTCTCCACCTGGCTGGCTGGCACACGCACCTGCAGCCAAGGTCGAGCCGCAAGTTGACTTTGGCGAGGTCCGTGCGCGATCCGCTTTACGCTACCACTAGCGCATCCCGCCTGCCGAGACTCTGCACTTCGAACATTGAACTCCGGCTGCGAGGAAGAAGCGACCTGCCTCAATTTCACGAGTCCGCCGCATCACACGACACCGGCACACCTTCGATTGCACAGCACGGCCATCTCGGGCTTCGACATCGGGACCGGCCAATGCTGTGTCAGATCGGCCTGACTAAGCTTTGAAACACTCCTTGACACGCGGTTCCAACTCCGCTGTGGCGCTGCTGAAAGCGCTCCGGCCTCCTCCTGCTCATGTCGTATCGCGGTTCTGGATACAGAGGACCGGGAGACCGATCGCGTTCGCCCCCGCGCTTTGCTGACCGTCGCCCGTCGAATGCGAGCATCTTTGACGGCAGACATCCTGGGCCACCACCCCGAAACGCCTCTGACGCGCCAAGAGGTCCTAGATCGCAATTTGACGGGCCTCCAACGCGGGGGCCACCTCCTGGCGGCTTAGGCTCTGGAGGCGCACCACGAACTTTGCGCGATGCACCACCCTTGGGAACGACTGATCGCTCGCGGTCATTCATCAGAGAGCGCGATTATCCAGACCGTCGCGAACGCTCACCACCGCCGAGAGAGAGGTCGCCGCCAAGGAAGTTCCCAGAGCCGCGGGACTTTCCTCCACGTGATCTCGATGTGAGAAGCGCGCGGAGAGCGTCGCGGGATGGGCCGCCTTCCGCTGGCTCAAATTACTCCGACAATCCCCCATTGTCCTCATCTCGGGGAGGTTTCGGGGGGCGAGGTCGCGGTCGTGGTGATTTCTTTGATAGAGGCAGCACTCGTGGAGGCAGACGACCTTTCGATGATCGAGCAGACCTTTTCCGTCGTGAGCGTAGTCCGCCACCGCGCTTTGGTCGAGATCTATCACGGGACAGCAGAGATGCTGAGCGTCGAGACGAGAGGAGATTTGAACGTCGCGAAGATGAGAGACGGCCTGAATGGCTTGACCGAGAGCGTGAACGAGAGCGAGAACTCGATCGACCAAGAAGAGACCCACCGGTTGGCCGGCTGGAATCACGAATGTCGACTGAATCCGTCCCGACGAGCGCAACACATCAATCTGCACAATCACTGCCCATTAACCCTGAGCGGCTAGCAATTCTCGAAAGCTCAGGAGCCGATACTTCAATCCGTAGGCCATCTTCGGCTTCAATAGCTGCTCCCAAGAGGGAAACGCCGTCAGAGACACCGGCATATCTCAACGGGCGTGCCGATGCAACAGCGAATCGATATGGCTCTCGTGGCTCGTCGCCTCCCACTCAAGCACCACCCGTGCCCGCCTTTAGCTTCTCCGTTGCACCAAGTGCTGCAGCGCATCAAGTTGCACCGGGGTCAAAATCTACGGCTGAATCTCGATCACTATCGTTGACAGACGAGCGTCCTGCGGTAGAGGAGCAGAAGCCTGCTCTCGATGACAAGTCAGCACCGCCAGCCAACGCGCCTACTGCGCCAAAGGCTGCTCCTTCTGCACCCAAAGCACACCATGCAAGCCCACCGCCGACTGCTCCCAAAGCTCCCCGGGCCCTCGAGATTGAATCAACAATCCCGGCGTCTAATAGACTTCAGGGCGTAAGATCATTGGAGAACCTGGCAGGGCCCAACAATCAGGCTGTCTCGCAGTCTGCACCAGTGCCTCCATCGCCACTGTCATCTCGACAGTCTCTGCCGCATCTGACATCTCCTCATCCGCCGGCTGTGCCCCGTCATGCAGATGTAACGGCTCCCACTGGCCCAAAGGCGGTGCGTCCCTCGCCTGGACAAAGCAACATCTCCCCAAGGCCTGCCTTTGCATCGCCGCGCTCCGACGCTGGTGTCTTCCAACATGCGAGTGGTATCTCCCGTGGCCAAACACCTCCGCCTTCTGCACCGTCAGGCCCCCGCAATCGATCTTTCAGTGTCTCGCCGAAGGTTCAAGCGTCAGTGATACCAACAGCCCCTAAAGCAGCTCGAGCGTCGGGGCCTCCAAGGGGTGGGGATCGCACCATGCCTCCCCAGAGCCGTCCACCAGAGAGACATGCTGCTATGCCATCATTTGCGCCGCCTATTGGTCCCAAGATGTGGCACCAATGGAGAAGACCTGGTGCACCTGGCTACATGGAAAAGTCTTGCCCTGCTATACCCGCGAAGAGAGACTCGAACGGAGACGAGAAAGATAAGGCACCATCTGGTCATCCTCAGTCTTCCGTCAAAAACCACACTGGTCCTCCAGATGTCCAAGCCAAGTTGGAGGATCACGACAGCGCTGCACCCAGCACTCTGAACACTAGCCATGAAGACAGGATGGACATTGACGAGCCTCCGAGGCGTAAGTCTAACCATAACGAAAGCCAAGGTCATTCTGCAAGGCAGTCATTCTTCGGCAAACGGATCGAGAAATCTGAAGATGAGATCGCCTCGTCCAGCGAGGATGACCTTTCCGAAGATGAGGACGAAACACTATTGGAAGCCAAGCATGCGCGCAAAGAACGACAGCTCAAGGAGCAGATGGTAGACCTGGGTGAACGACAGTATCGTGCAATGACTCCACTGGAGTCGATTGCTCGCTTGGCTCGATTGACGACCAACGATTTGGAGCGAGTCGCAGCTCAACGCGACGACGACATGGATGTAGATGACGATGTCGCCGACGCCCCACTACCCGTTCCGGCGGTAGTGCACACTTCAGAATCTGATGATGGCCCCGACATTCCAACACCGCAAGGTGATGATGCTGCTGGTGCTTCGGTTCGCAAAGACGCCACAGATGTCGTTCCACGTATTCGAAGGCCTACACCTGAGGTCATCTCGCTTCCATACCTGTTCAAAGGGGAGGAAGCACCGCCTCTTCATGAAGATGACGCCTTCCAAGACAACCTCAAGTCCCTGGAGGAGCCCGGTGACGAAGTCATGGCCGTTCTTGAGGAAGAGATTGAGGCCGAAGCTGAAGCTGCGTCGAACATAGAGCAGGACTTCGCCGAACTCTATCGGGCGTGGCGAGAAGAATGCGAATCGTTGGATAAAGTCAAAGAAGACGCCGAGAAAGACCGTCAGCAGTCCGCAGAACCGGGGCCTGAATTCGATGCTGCTCTCACCGCTCCCATCAATCCTGTGCTTGAGGGCAGGAGACTGCACAAGTACAGCAGTGAATATGCCCTGGAGCAGGTGCTGAAGCAATCAGAGGAGACTGCGCGCATCGAACAGGAGAGGCAAGATCGTGAGGCCAAGAAAGTACAGGCCGATATGGAGAAGGAAGCGAGACTGCCTGATCAACTGTGGCCTCAGGAAGCGGCTCGCTATAACTTCATCAACGCCAACAGACTCCGAGAGCCCGAGACACTCACACAGGTCTTCTCTTACCTGCCACCAGCCGACACCTTCACAGATAAAGAGCAAGACGTCTTTATTGCGGCCTTCAAGGAGACGCCGAAGAAATGGGGCGAGATTGCGTCGCTTCTGCCTGGCCGCACTTACAAGGATTGCATCCACCATTACTATGCCTTCAAGTGGGACAACCGTTTCAGGGACAACAGAGGCAAGAAGCTCAAGGGTGGTCGCAGAGGCAGGGGTGGCAAAGGCTCCCGCCCTTCACGAGGCTCGGCGCTCATGGCAGATCTTAGGGGCGGCGAAGAGCTTGTTGCAACAAGTGACACAACGACTGGACGACCCAAGCGCGCTGCTGCCCCTACCACATTTGGCGAACGTGAAGTAGAGTCCAAGAGCTTGCTCGCCAACCCGTCCCCTGCCAAGAAACTTGGGCCTGGGTCCAAAGAGGGCAATGGTGAGAACGGCGAGAAGCCCGCAAAGAAACCTCGACGTACTGGCGATGCAAAACCTGGCAGGAAAGGAAAGACTCAGTTGGCTGCGCTGGCCGCCGCGCCCTCAACTTCACCCAACAAGCCATTCTTACCGCCAGGCGTGCATACCCAGGAGGAGATGGCGCGAGCACAGAGTCTAGAAGATGCCAACCTTCTAGCAAACCTGCAAGCAGGGCCATCTCTGATCCCAGACCAAGCCACGGCGATGATGTTCGACCAAGAACGCTTCAACCACATGACAGAGGGACCAGATCGGCCGAGACCGACCGTGTCAGCCCCTAAGACAGGTGCTTCGAGCTATTGGTCTGTGCCTGAGCAGACGGACTTCTTCAAATACATTGAGCACTTTGGTACTGATTTCGGTGCTATCGCTACCCACATGGGGACGAAGACACAGACTATGATTAAGAATCATTATCAGCGTCAGATTGACGGGGGTCGTGGTGACCTCGAGAAAGCTGCAATGGCGGCCAACACGCGCCGCGAGGCTGGTGTGGATATTGGTCCACCACCAACCCCAACTCCCATTGTAAAGCGAAAGTACGACAACCCTCAATCCAGCACTCCGCGGACGATTGCACCACAGACCGAAGCAGGGAATATAGAAGAGGCGATGCCACCTTCACATGCAGTACCGCCAAAGCACGCCTCTCCTCCGCAAGCTGCGTACCAGCCCAAACCCCAGTACTCGACTTCAGCCCAGAGCACACCGATCCCTGCCCAGAGAGCGGTGCCCAGTCCGCTACCAGTTGCGTCAACGCCCGCTCCAGCCCCAATGCCGGCTGCTGCTCATCCTCGCGGAGGCCTGCAGCATCCACTTGGATCTCGACGTGGATTCCTGACGTCCGAATCTCGACCTGGTGCTCAACCGCCATCTCCGTTTAGATTGGGACAAGAACAAGCGACACCTGCAGCGGCACCGCGAAGTCAACCCCCACCGGCGCAGCCTACACGTACGCTTTCGAACGTGTCAAATGAGTTCATGAACAGCCTACGACAAGAGCAGGAGCGTGCGTTGAGGATGCAAGCAGAGTACGATACCGATCCACGTGTTGAGCAACTCCAGCAACAACCGCCGGGCCATATTCCTCATACTCATGGCTCTCCTGCCAGCCAACCGATTGCGGCGCCTCCGCCAGACCGCAAACCACTCATGGAGGAGCGCGCCCCAACACCGCCACGAGCTGGATTCCCGCCCATTGCCTCCACTCGTCAGCCTCTATTCGGGCCCAATGCAGGCCCAATGCACTCGTTCTCGACACCCTTGCCGCCGTTTGCTGCCCGCGGCAGTTACAATCAATCGCCAACGAAGCCGGAAACTTCAAGGCCGGGTTCAGTTCCGACGTCTGCTCCTCTACCACCTCCAGCGCAGGCACCCATGCCATCAGCAACGCCGGCGCCTGCTGCTGCTCCCACGCCGGCGCCCGAACCGCCAAAGAGGTCCAATCTGCTATCAATCTTGAACAGCGAGCCTGAGGAGCCGAAGCCAGCTAAGCGCGATAGTCTGCCCACGCCAAGTCGTGTTGCCTCGCCTGGACCAGCGTCGTTCCCTCCTTCATCAACACCACAGCCGATGCCAGGTATTCAGTCATCCAGAAGGGAGACGTTCGGACAGCCATCGATGCCACACTCTCACTTCCATCGTCCATCTTATTCGCAGACTTCTTCGACACCGGTGCCACCTCCTGCAACACTCAAGCATGAGCCTTCTTCTGGGGGTATGCGTCCAATGCAATCAGCTCCTAAGCAGGACTGGCCGCCACGTATGATGGGGCCTGGTAGCCATCCAAGTCCGCCAAACCCTACCCCGCTGGACAGAGATGGGCGACCAGCGTTCTACCAGCCTCACCGCAGCAGTATGTTGGGACTTGGCACACCGCGAGCTGGACCATCACCTCCGCCAAACGCTCTACATTCCCGGACGCCGTCGCTCTCAGCTCAGCAGCAGTCGGCTCCTCCACGGGACCAACGTTCAATCCTAAGCGGACCGCCCCAGGGAACTCCGCACCAAACGTCTCAACCTTTGCACTCCAACCCGTATGGAGTTCAGCCACAGCAGTATCCACCCTTCTCACAAGCGCCGACACAAATCAATCGAGCCCATCACTCACACAACAGCTCGATCAATGAAGGGGTGTCAATTCTGCAACGCATGCATGGCTCGCGCGAAGAGGCCATGCGTTACGAGGAAGAGGCGAGAGCCAACGAAGAACAGCGTGTGAGGCAGAGATATGATGCCATTCATGCGGAAAAGCAGCGAGCCGACCAGATGCTTCACGCTCAGCGAGCCGACCAGATGCTTCACGCTCAGCGAGTGCAAGAGCAAGAGATGGAACGACAACGTCAGCAACAACAGCAAGAGCAAAGTTACGGGCGTGGACCGCTCCCACCTCATGCAATGCACCCTTCAGGCTTCAGCTCTTCGCCGTTCCCACAGCCCAGAGCGGGCATCACTCTTCGAGAGCAAGCTGCCAGAGAGGCGGAAACGGCGGTAGCACAGGAGCAGCGACGTTTCCACGAAGAGCAAGAACGGCGGCGTCAAGAACATCAACAACAGATGCCTCCCCAGGGCTATCGAGACGCGCAGACAGATTTCAGGCGCCGAGCAGACGATCCGTTGTACCATCAGCGACGAACAACACCTTACGGAGGACCTCCCTACGCCCCACCTCCTCCGCCGGGATCGAGAAGATAGGGTGTGGTGACAGCCTCTTTGGATACCCCTTTGGAAGCGAGCGCATATGTAGCGTTTACTGCCCTTTTGTTTAGATTAGAATTGATTTGCATTGTTTGTGAATTTTAGATGCGAGCGGCTGTCGAAATTCACACTCAACTTGTCCATCATTACACATGCTCTCGCTCATCTCATACTATCACGTCTGGACATTCATGTCGTCACAAGTTTGTCTTCATTTCGTCCCACGCACGAGAGTGAATGAGCGACGAAGTGAAGTTCAGACGGCATCGACTTCAAGACTTCACGTGCTCAAAACCTCACCTGCTGCCTACATCTTTCCTTTCGCCTTCTGCTCCTCTTTTCTCTCCTCTAAATAAAATCAAGACACCACTTCTTCCAAAACACTGTCCGACTCACAAAGCCTCATCCCCTCAAAGCAGACCTGCACACCACCACATCACACTCCAACCTACCACCACAACAGCCCACCATGCCAATGCAATGGGACACCGCAGCCGACGCGAAGCTCTTCGCAGCCGTCGTGCGCGTCTTCGACGTCAAGCTCGCCAACGGCGTTGGTGAGAAACTCGCCAAGTTGATGGGACCTGGTAAGTCGCGACATGCCCCTACACATGTTACCAGGGGGGTTTTGCTGACGAAGGGGTTTTGTTGCAGAGTGCAACGCCAAATCGATCCAGAATCGTTTCACGACGATCCGGAAGCGGGCGAATGAGTTGGGTGAGGATGGGGAGGAGGGTGGTGCTAGGGTTACGAAGGCGAAGAGTACTGCGAAGGCTACGAAGGGGAAGGGTGGGAGGAAGGGGAAGAAGGCAGCGGCGGAGGCTTCTGATGACGACGATGAGGAGGGTGCTCCACCGGCGAAGAAGCAGAAGAAGGGCAAGCATGAGGATGGGATTGAGGTGGGCGAGGATGTTGGGGAGGGACTGAGGAAGACGGCGAAGGTCAAGGCTGAGGTGAAGGAGGATTCTGATGATGAGGCTTGAGTGGGTTGGTGATATGAAGTAACGACTCGGGGATTGGCCGAGCAGAGTTGTCGAACAGATGCGAAGACTTGCTATTATAAGATGGGTACGGAAGTGGGCAAGACAGATAGGAATGGCCCTCATCACCACAAGCAAGCGAACAAACAAACGGACAGAAGAAAGAACCAGAGAACCAAAAGTGCACTCTCAGACCTCACCACAGCCTCCAGAACACAGAAAGGCTGCAAGGATCGAAAACCAGATCCGATCACATATGCACGATCCCACCAAGAACAAACATCCACTCCAGCTCAATCCGCCAGTTCCAAACTCACAACCCTCCGTCTTCAACGCAGAAAAGAACCAACAACACCCCCCTCCACCCAGCACACCATCAACCCCATATCATTGGCCTCACACCACGTCTACCTCCGCTCCAATTCGCCCATCCCCAACGGAAACTAAAGGACGTCCGTCGATCAATGTTGTTCCCCAAACTCCACTCACCCTCCTCGCTACTCGTATATGCAGGCACGGAGAGCCGCAACTCGCTCAAGAGTCTGCAGACTTCAGACCGGTTGTGCGGTCTGCGGACCTTGCGGTGGGGAAGAGAGGGAGATCTACAGTCGAAAGGTGTATATGCATGTCATCAAGGGACATATGTGTGAGAGAAACCGGAGTTGGTTCCTGAACGGGCAGTTCGGGTTTAGGGGAGCGTGAATGTCCGGGTGGGGGAGGAGGGAAGTTGGGCCGAGAGATGTAACCTCACCTCGTGGTTGTCTGGGATCTCTTCTTGTGAATCGACCCTTCTCTGCAACATGTTGTTGTTGGTCCTTTCGGTCATCGATCAATCAAGTGTCTCCACCGATCGGTGCAAAGTCACCGTGATGATCAGTCATGAGCACCCAGCTTGCGGAAAAGTCGGTGTCTCATCAAGAGGTTTTACACAACAGCCTTTTCCTCAACCCGAGAAGAGAGGCTCTGGTTTTAATACACTATCCTAGCAACACTCCTCCTTCTCTCGAGAGGACTCCCTCCCTCCCTCACTCACACACTCTCCTTACCCATTTTTCGCCGGGAAAAAAGCCCACATTTCTACATCACAACGCCAATGCTCAAAACAGCAGCAAGCCGGGGGAAAACGCGCAGTTCCAAAACAACCAAAAAGGGCCAAGAAACGCAACACCAACATGCCATGATGATGCCGAAATCTCATCTAGAGGGTTTTCTCTCTTTCTCTCATCGAAAACAGTCCAACCAGCCTGGTCGAAAGACTCTCCATCGAACATCGGCGGTGCTGCCTCCATCTCACGATAGAAACTCCAGAAATATGTCGATGCTCTCTCTGCTTGTAGCTCCCAAAATAAAGATTATCCTCCATTCGTCAAACACGACGACGTCCTCTCCTCTTCTACGCTCTCCCAAATCCGTAATCGATGGCTGCTGATGTCGTTGGTGTTCTTGCTCTTTCTGCGGTCGAAAGCCTTCCTAATCACATCCTCCCGCAGAGGCTGAAAAAACTTCGGCGCGGCACCCTATGCTCGCGGCGAGTACTCTCCATCTTCCGTCAGTTCCTGGTGCACGCCCAGCCCGATGCCGTTTCCGTTGTGACCATTGTGCCCGTTCATGCCGTTGGGGACGGGCCACTGACCCTCCATCACGTCGATACCGTCTTCGTCACCGACCATTTTACCGCCAGCAATCATGCCGTTAGCATCGAGCTGTTGTTGCATTACGGCCTGCGCGGACACGATTTCCGCCAGACGTTTGAGGCGAGGCGTCTGCAGCCAACTAGGCGTGTACGTCTCGAGTGCAGTGATAACGCGGGGTTCTGCGATTTCGTACGGGCCTGAGTCTTCCATGTCGACGGCTTGCAGGAGCAAGACATCGGACTTTGGATCTGTCACACGCGAAGCAACAGCCTTCATGATCTCGCCGTTGATGGGCTGTTCGTAGTCGGCAACGAGGTACTGGTTGAGAAGCTTCTGGATCTGGTTTGGCGACAACCTGTGAAGTAAGTCAGTAAACGTCGACAACAAAAATGTTTGTGAATACTTACATCCAGCAAATATCCTGGATGATCTCGATATCGTTCAAAGTCGCCTTCTTCAGCTGCAGAAGCTTGGTCGCTTGCATCAAGTGCTCGAGTTGCAAGGTTCCCTCGGGCATATCGTGGCTCTTGCACCACTCCTCAATCCTGGTAATGTTGTAGTTGATTTGGAGACCACGCTTCCATGACAGGAAGTTTCTTCTCATGAGAAGATCGTTGAACGCGGTCACACCAACCAATCGTAGAAGCTCGGTCACGGTCTGTGTGATGATCGTATCCTCAAGGTAGAACGCCTTCATCGCCTTGTAAACATTGTTGAGCAGACTCAACAGGTTGTCCATGCTGAAGGCGGGCTGGTTCGAAGATTGTAGGAGCTTGCCGAGGAAGCGGTTGTTCTCGTTGGTGACGAAACCTGGTAGGGACTGCGACTCGATAATGGCAGGCACGATCATCTTGTGGAGCTTCTTCTTCAACACCTTCATCCAGGTGTGATAGATGTTGAACTCCAAGCTCTCCAGATCATGCTTCACAATCTCAAGCAGACGGTCGTACTCGAAGTTGTCGGTCTTCTGTGCCTCGTACCAATCTTCAGCCAAGAAGACGAAGGATAGCATCTCATGCACGTTCGACAGCCAGAAAGCGCCAGGATTCACCGCTTCGTCGCCATCGTGTTGCATCACCTCTTGTTGGATGGACTGCATCACGTTGGCCAAGAAGCGCTCAGACTCCTTGACGAACCCATTGTTCCACATCTCGCTAGTAACAAGGTTGATGAGGTACGCAGGGAAGAGCACTTCCTTGTCGGTGGGTGGTGGATTGGTACCAGGAGCCGGGATCTTGAGATTCCTAATCAGACCCATCGTGACCTCGTCATTAAGGCCATCCTCGTCTGCAAGCAAGTTCTCCAGCTCCATCTCCACGTTCTCCAGCCCAGGATTGAACGTAGACCCGGATAGGTTTTGTGTGTGCCCACTAGCCGACGCACCAAACGCCATCGAGACCGGTCGCGGGTTAAAAGCGCCGCTGAATCTCTCTGTCTGGATTTGCTCAGGACCTGCACTCCTCCTTTTCGGCTTCTTGGACGCAACGAGATTGATGAGCCCGGACGGCTGACCACCGACCGCACCTCCATTGGTAAGCTCGCCGTTTGTGACGGGTGCGGCCCTTTTGGCTAACTCGAGTTGGTCCTGCAAGTCTGCCACTTGCTGTCGAAGGCCGAGCTTCTCGGTTTCGGCGACAGTCTTGGCTTGTCTTGCAGATTCCAACTCTTGGGTAGTAACTCGAAGGTTTTCGCGGAGGTTCTTCTCCTCGTCTTGCAGACGGCGCATGTTGTTGGTGCTCTCCTCGTAACTGGCTTGCAAGCGTGACATGTCTGCCTGCATCTGTTCCAGCCGCGCGGCACTGATACCGGCTTGATTTGCTTCTCTCTGCAGCTCGTTCGTCCTCGCTTCCAAAGTGTTGTACTTCTCGCGCGAGCTTTTGAGCTGACTCTCGTAACCTTGAACTTGTCCCTTGAGCGCCTTGTTCTCTTGGCGCATGCTGCCCAAGTTCTGCGTGAGCTCGACGACCTTGTTTTCGAGCTTGTACGAGATCTGCTTAAGATCTCTCGCTTCTTCTCTGAGTGTCTTGTACGTCTTGCGAGCGCCCTTACCTCGCCACAGACTCTGCACAAGCACGACCTTCTTGCGATACTCGCGCCAGCCCTTGAGTTGCCGGTAGCTTCTCCAGTTCCTCTGGATGACACGTGCAGCATCGGAGAACTTCTTGTCGAGGATCATCTTTCGGCACAGCCAGCCCTTTGCCGCCGCTTCAAAGAGGATGAGATTGTCTCGCTGCTGTAGGTACCTTTTGCGTTCTTTCTGCCCTCTCCAAACGCGCTGGATGGTCGTGGCACCCCGTTGCCGACGTGCTTCTTCGGCCTTTTGTCGTGCCAGGATTGCTCGAGCTCGGGCCTGAAATGCACGGATGCTGTTGATGGCTTCCAGGTAGCGACGGCGGTAGTATTTGGCCTTGAGGTTCTTCTGGATCATGATCGCAGCTGCCGTAAGACGGTTCGTCCGCAGATTCTCCAAGAAAGCAAGCATACCAGCTCGGAAGAAGATCTTGGTCAGACCGAGCTGATACTTGTCAGTCTTGTCTTTCTTGCCTTCGCCGAGGGCTTTCTTGAGGATCGCATTTGCCATCTCTCGGATCTCGGTCGTCCATTGTGTCGAATGTATCAGCATGTAGTATCGTAACGCGAATTCTTCATAAGTCCATCTCGTTGGGTACCCAGCACAGCTGATTCGGACAGTCTCCAACACACCGCAAGCTCTCAACTGGCTCAGGACCATGGGGCCTTCGAACTTCCATGCCTCTTTGCCCTCGTTTGGCTTGATACAGCGGATGTAGTGCACTTCGGTCGAGTTGATGGTGTCCATAAGCTGAATCAAAGAGCTCTTGAAGATGCCTCCAAGGGTGGGTTTCTTGGCCGCAGCAGCACCCATCCGCTTTCCAGATGCACCGTTCGCCTTGGGATTGAGTGCCGCATTGTCTCGTTCCCGTACAACCGCGCTGGATTCCAGGACTTCGTTCAAGAAAGGATTCGAGCTGTTCCGCAAGACCTCCAAATGCTCGTCAGGAACGGTGTCTCTGTTCTTCTCGATGAATCCATCACTTTCGTAAGTCACATCAACAGCGTAATGGCAGACCGTGAAAGCGCTCTTTCCGAATCGTGGCTTCTTGTAGAACTTGTGCTTGTCCTGTGAGAAGTTGTGGTGAAGCTTGTTCACGAAGCTCTCGTCAGAACCCATCGGCAGCCTGCTCTCTTCGTCCAAAAGTGCAAGGATACCCAGCTTGCCTTCGATCAGATCGATACATGGCTGGTTGTCGCTGAAGTCGATAAACTTCCAGTCGATCTCTTCCCGCAGGTATTCTTCTTGCTCGAGCTTGAAGACGTGCTGGTTGAACTCTTGCTGCAGCTTTTCGTTGGCGTAGTTGATACAGAACTGTTCGAAGCTGTTTTTGGCGAAGTGCTCGAAACCGTAGATATCGAGCACACCAATGAAAGAGTGCATCTGTTCGATGACTTCTTGCGGTGCAAGGAATCCGTTCATGGTCTCCACGAGCCAGTCGAATAGCGAAGAGTAGATGTACTTGGCGACAGAGTCTCGGACCACGGTGGCTTGTTGTGAAGTGAGGTTGGACATGATCTTCTCGCCTCGAGTCACCAGCTGCTTCTTGACAGTCCACTTGGCGAACTCGGTAGCATCGATGCCCAAAAGACCACACGCCTTCTCAAGTGACGGCTCATTGGCAGCCAGCTGGGAGTCTGTCCGAGTGGCAGTAATCTTAATATTGCCAATGTGCAGCAGCGCAGCTAGTATCTTCCACAAGTTCGCCTGGACGTCTGTGGACACACCAAGCCTTGTGAGAGATTGCCTGGTATCGTTGAAGTCTTTTGCATCGTCCACGCCATCAATCTGCGGGGCACCACCCTGGTTGAGGTAGTCGAAATGCTCTACCGGCACCAATCCCAGCTCTTTTCGTTCCGCATCAGTTGCACCAGCCACGAGCTGGTAGAAGATGTGGTAGTTCCGCTCCTTAAGCGGCTGAAACACCAATCTTGACCGCTCGAGCAGGTACGTTCGTATCCGAGCACCGATGATGTCGGTCTGCTTGTTGAACATGATCTCGATGTACTTGCCGAATCGTGACGAGTTGTCGTTTCGTGTCGTCTTGGCGTTACCGAAGGCTTCCATAATGGGATTCGTGGCCAGAATCTGCTCTTCCGTCTCGCTCATGGTATCTGCACGACCTCGACTCCGCGTACCAGGCTGGTCGGGAGGTTCTCTCGTGGCGAAGTATCTCATAATGTACTTTGCGCTGACCGTCTTACCTGCTCCTGACTCTCCAGAAACGACGATGGTCTGGTTCTTGTCATTCCGCAGCATATCGGCGAACGACTCTTCCGCGATGGCGAACAGATGCGGCGCCTGCGAGGCTCTGTGCTTGCCGGCGTAGACTTGCACCATGCCCGGTACGTAGAGGGAGTCCACTCTCGCAAAGGGGTTGGTAGCGATGAGGACAATGCCTGAGTATGTGTAGATTTCCTTTTGGGCATACCGCAGCTTGATCGCCTGCAGCACGGCAGGCTCGTTCAGATGTGACAAGTTCGTAAGGTCATCGCTGGCTTCGAGCATGGCAGGGTTCATTAAAGGCGGTAAAGTCGAGCTCATGGCATCTTTGGAAAGCTCGTCAAGGGTGGTCTCGATGGTTTTTTCCTGTCCTTATCAGCATGCAAACACATTCTTTCAGATGGATATGCTCTACCTCGCCATTCTCGAGGGTAAAGACGAGCGTAACCTTGTCGCCGTCGACATTCTTGCTGGTGACCTCCGAGGCGACCCAGCCCTCGGTCGCATCAGGCTGCCAGGCCTTGGTGCCAACATCGTAGGTATGCGACATGGCGGCAGCGGTGGATTAGGAAGGTTGCGGTGTGCGGTGGCGGTGATGTTCTCCCCCTTCTCTCCCTCTCCCCCGGCGTTGCTAGTCCCCCCAGCTAAGCAGGACACGCGGAGCGTTACAGGAATGCGCGGGCGCGGCGGAGACGATGTGGCGGGCGGGCTGAGCACAGCGAGACACTCATGCTTCAGCAGCCATGCGAGAGATGGCCGGCGGTGTGAGAGGTGGTGTGTAGGCGGTGGTGAAGGCGGCGATGCGGTCGTGAAAGAGAGGCCAGTGGGCGGTACGGAGGTGGTGGTGCCAGGATACACTTTGGACTTTCTGCCGATGCTTTCGCTAAAGGTCCGCCGTTGCACGCAGGCGCGTCTGATTGGGCATACCCTGGTTTCAGGACAGCACTGGTGCCGCACCCTCATTCACCACCTCCACAGCAGCCTCTCTTCCATATCGCTGCGGTTGAGGCACTGTTTCTATGGCTCTTCTAGCCGCGGACACGCGCCAAACTGCTACCAAACATGCACGCAACAGGAGTCTCAATCAATGATTCTTCACCTTCACCGCCGACAACACCTCCATGTCATGTCATCACATGCTTCACGCCCCCTGTCTGCTGCTCCAACGGCCATATTGCCGTCCGCAGCCCCTATTGGCTTTGTCCGCCGTGACAGCTTACACCTTCTCCTTCACCACTGCGCGTGTCCGGAGCGCGCTCAACCGCGTGCAACGTCTATACCGCTTGCCATCCAAGTATAGCTGTTGGCAAGTGGCAATTCCGGGCGATGGGGGCTGGCTGGTCATCTTCAACTGGCTACAAGGCTGCTCAACAGTGCTACGCTGGCGGGGATTGCATCAGCATCACATGCCCAGGCGTTTCTCTGCCAAACACTGTCGCCGAGCAACCGTTGATGTGATCCTTGATCTTACTCGATTGCGAGACGATCAGGGACCATAACTCTCTGAAACGACTCTGTTTGTTTGGCATGTTGCGTCACTGGAACCATGCCCTCGAGAATTCAGGATATCCTGGTTAACATTAGGAGTTACCTCATCGACGGCGAGGCTTACATCTTTGATCGAAGTCAATCCAAACCACACTTCAAAGACTCAGAGATGATTGAAAGTATGCTTGACACGTGCGCAATTGTCATCATCAACGTGGTTGTAGATTTGCAAGGTTTCGCTCCAGGTTGGGTATTAGTACAACAAGGTAAGTGAGATCCTCCAAGTCCCTCGTCGTAACCGCCTCTTATGCAAGTTTTATATGTCCTTGGTCATCCGCCGGCTTGTCTTCCCCATCTACAGACGACGTAGCCTTCTCCCGCGCGGCCTCAAAGTCACTGGCTGGTCCGGCTTTTGCTGGAGTTTGTGCATCCTCCTCTTGAGCTTCGTTGAGCACCAGCACCTCGCTCTCTTCTAGCACACTCTCCGCTGGTACTTCTTTCGGCGGCGAGTCGGCTATCTCCTGAGCAATTGAGTCTGGGCTGTTCGAAGAGTTAGAGACTTGTCCTCCTCTTTGGGCATACACGTCCTCAGGTACGGCCTCGGGCATTTCGTACTCAAAGTTACTCGAGTATATGACGGCAGCGAACGACTGCAGATCTGGGACTTGATTCATTGCGGCCAGGTACTCGTTCTCTTGTGCGGCTTCCCCTGTGATTGCATCAAGCTCTCCACTGCTCTGTGCAATGACATGCGCCTGCTTGCAGAATACGGGGAGGATGTGGGCGACCTTGCATTTCGTATCCGGGATCTCGGTTATCCTTTCTTCGAACGTGGGTGCAGCTGGACCTGATGTCTTGTATGCCTCGACTGCTACTCGATAATCGATTAAGTGTGAAAACGATGAGTCGAGCAGGCGGGTCAAGACGTATGAGAAGGTGGGTGAATCGACCAAGTCAGAAGTCTCGTCGAGCAGCCGTCGGAGAGATTCGCTGATCATCTCGTCTTCGTCCATTGGATCTGCAGGTTGTGTATCCGGCGACGGTGATTCATCGCTCTCAGACATACCGGCCTGTCGAATCACGAATGTCTCCTCTTCTCTCGGCGGTAGTAGATATTCGAGCCATTTCATCCTCCTTCGCTCTTCCTCGGTAGCACCTTCAACCTTCCTCCGCACTTGCATAATCAAGTCTGCCAATCTCTCCAAGGTAATGTCCTCCCTAATATTCACTCCTCCAAAGACATCCTTTACTGCCGACATTACGCGCTGCATGAGGTGCTTGCTTCCTCTGTGCAACAACCACCAGCTGAATGTGAGGTATTTACGGTTTGTCTCAAATTCATTGCCGTAGACATTGTCGTAGTTGTCGTCGTCCCGGTTTTCTAGCGAGATCGTGGAGGACTGGGTGGGCGGAGGCGGGGAAGCGAGAGCGACGACGGACGAGAGGTAGGTCCTGCGGCCGAGGAGGTTTAACTGGATGCGCGTGAGCAACGTCAGTAGCGACAGCGTGTAGATGAGCGTGAGCGCGCGAGCGATGGAGTGAATCTTCATATCCTGCCATAATTGTGCCTTGCTGCGTTTCGGGCGGGGTGATTGTTCGCCGATATCCAGAGTGCTGTGGGCGACCTGGCTGGCATGAACGTAACTGCTGCTCTGCAGACTGGCCAGACTCCTGCCATCGTCGTCGGTAGCGCTGGGCGGGGCGGACGGGTATTCAGACGACGCTGCCTCAGAAGCCCCTAATCGCTTCAACCTCTCCTGCCTCTCTTGCTGCAGCTGGTCGGTGATCTGCTCGACTGGCAACGCGCCTATGATCTCGTCTCGAACCGTCGGTAGGAGTGCAAGCACCGTATACGTGCAATCGTCCTGGTTCTGTTCGAATCGTCGCCGGAGGCTATTCGGCTGTCAGTGACGGGATTTTCGACGCTCCCACCGCGTGCTCCATACTTCTCCTTCGCAATCTTTTCCTCGCGCATGCGCTGCCGCGCCTCCTGGATCTTACCCAGCACATACTGGGTCGCGAAGTAGCCGGCGCCGATAACGCCAGCTCCTATGAGTAGACTGTTCCGATTGCGTCGCAGCCAACGACGAGTTGCCGCAATCATTGCACTCGCAGCATCAGGACCAACCGCTCAGCCTGGCCGCCAGTCGCAAGGGTGCTACAGGGTGGGAGATGTTGTACTGGGCGTGTAAGAGGTTGCCGGGAATAGCAGAGGTTGGGTGAAGGTGCAGCAGATGAGGTGGATTGACAGCACGCGATCTGAATGACGCTGGCAAACGAATCGTCTGCCTCGGCCTGCCCTTGCTGCATCCTTGCACATGCGCCGCACCTTTGCCGTGGGCCTCGCTCACTAATCTCCCCTTCATCCGCGAGACATCCTGTCTACTTCTCTCAGAGACGACTGAAATGGGAATACGAAAGAAGAAGGGATGCACAATGCCGCTCGATATATTGACCAAGCTGTTGGCGAGTCATCATGGTCCGTCTTCAGCAGTATGAACGAGCAAGAGCTCCGACATGCGGAGTAAGGTAGTATAGATCCTCCTCTTCCTCATATCTTTCACTACATTTCTACTGCATCTGTCAATCTCATAACATTAAGGCATTGGATATGGCTTCAGCTGGAGAGAAGTGGTCAGCCGGTGCCGCTGCATACGACAATCGCGTTGCCCAAGTCACCGGAGACGGCAGCGAGGCCTTGATCAAGCTGGTTGACAAGATTAAACCCTTCGACAATGATTCCAAAGTCTTCGAAGCTGGAGCCGGCACTGGTGCTACCACGGAGCTGCTAAGACGACAAAATGAGAGCATGACCATCGTTGCCGGCGATCCAGCTGCTGGGATGCTCGAGCAGCTCAAGAAACGTGACCTCCAGAACGTCAACATCCTTTTGATAGAGGCCACTGAGGATCATGTTGCAAGTGGCCTTGAAGCAGGCTCCTTCTCGCATGTCCTCAGCAACTTCGTCCTCCAGTTTGTGGTGCCTAGAGCTCAAATTGCCGTCAATGAGATGTTCAACCTGCTCAAGCCTGGAGGGATCATCGGTAACACTATGTGGACAAAGCCATCGGTGGGCGAGCCATGGTATGTTTCAACTTCCTTCTCGTAAAGATGTGCCACAGCTGACACCTCGTTTTAGGAACATTGCATGCAAGAACTTGGATCCAAATTTCGAGCCAGTGACTTCCGCCTTTTCTGATGCGCTCAGAGTCCCCGGAGACCTGGAAAGACTGTATAAAGCGTCAGGTTTCGTCGACGTTCATAGCGAGGAAGTGGAGCTCTGGTTCAAGTTCAAAAGCGCAGAGGACTATGCCGATTACTTTCTACATTCGCTGAACCCGCCCTTCATGTCGATGCAGACTTCTTGGAAAGGAAGTCCCGAGGACGTAAACGAGGAGCTTGTCAGGGTTGTTCAGGAGCAGTATGACAATGGCAAGTTTCGGATGATCTCTGCCACGGTCGTTGGGAGAAAGCCGTGAAGGGATATGTAGCAAGGAAAATACTGCCGGTGAGAATATATCCACACATCAATTTGTACAGTAGGGAGCAGCTGAAGGTGAATGGTAGTCTCAACGCACGCAACTGCTTCATGCTGGCAGTAATCCTACTAGTCACACCTCCGCCGAAACGCGGAGCCAGCTCGCCCGTATCTCCGGCGAAAGACATTTCACCTCTTGCTCCCTCCAACTCCAGACTCTCGCAACGATGGCAACGGATATTTCAAATGCCCTCAAACGTCCTTCGGATAACGAGAACTCAGCACCAAGGAAGGTGCGAAAGGGCACCCAGAGTTGCTGGGAATGCAAGCGACGCAAAGTCCGCTGTACCTTTGCGGCTTCTGAAAACTCCTCCTGCGAGCCTTGCACGCAACGAGGAACGCTATGCGTTAGCCAAGAGCTACCAGATCCAGGCCGGACTTCGCAGATTGACGACAGACTCGGCCGCGTCGAGGCGGTCCTTGAAGATGTTCTCCGCCGGTTGCCGGCCCAAGAAGCAGATCGCCACAATCCTCACCAGCAGCAAGATTCACAGCCTCCTGCACACGTACCACCTCCAGATGTTTCCCCCGCCCGTCATGATTTTCATGATGTAGCCACTGAACTGGTCCTCGGACAAGTCGATCAAGAATCGCGCCCGAGCGAGAGCTTGACCACTGGATCTGACGAGCTATCTCGTAAACTCATATCGGCAGCAACGGCGCTACCTACTCAAGATGAACTGGAATTGATTTCACGTGAACCATTTGAAGTTCCGAGCTGCCTCCAGGGCCTCCCATGTGTGCAGTCGCTCAGCGATAGAACATCGGTGTCATGGCGAGAGTTGATGCGTCCTCCGGCGACAGGTTCTCACCCGGTTGTATTGACAAAAATACACTTGATACTGGCATCTTATTTGCAAACGCTCTCTCAGGGAGCGATGGAACGACTGTCCTTGTTGGGTGTTGATCATCAAGGAATTGCGTCGAACGCAATACAAACCGCTCGTCGATTGGTTCTCTCCAACCATGGGATGATACGCTCACTCGACGGCATTGAGTGCCTATACATCGAGAGCATGTATCACAATAATGCAGGTCGGCTCCGCGATGCATGGCTTATACTCCGCACTGCAATATCAACTGCGCAGCTACTTGGAATGGATCGCAGAGCCTTTTCACAACTCCCATTCACGGAATTTCACCGAAAGGAGAGCAGAGAGGAATCGATATGGGTTCATTTGCTTGCTTCTGATCGGTATCTGTCGTTGGTGTTAGGCTTGCCACAAGGTGCTGCCAACAGCAACAGTTTCTCCTTTCCCGAAGCGATGGCGCCCCATACTCCAGATGAACGGCTTCGCAGGACCCATTGCGCAGCTGGCGGAATCATGCTCAAGCATACAGATCATCGCGATAACGATACAGCATACGTCGAGGAGATCAATGTGCTCTTGCGTGAGGCTGCAGCAAACTTGAACCCGCAATGGTGGCTCATCCCAGAATCCTTGAATCGAGGCCAGCCAGTGACTGCCCAGGACACCTTACGGCTAATGACCCAGTTCACCCATTATCACATCCTCGCTCGACTACACTTGCCATATCTACTAAAATCTCCAGCAGATGGCACGTTCGATCCTCACAAGCTCACGACTATCAACGCCAGTCGCGAGATCCTCGTGAGATACTTGGCCCTCAGGGGCTCGAACTCGACGAGCAACTACTGTCGAGGAGTGGACTTTCTCATGTTCATTGCAGCGGCCACCCTCTGCATCGCACATATCAATTCATCGCATTGGCGGCGGTTGAATGGACAGGGTCCGCACTTTGACTTCCTGGCACATCAACGTCCTGGTGATCGAGGGCTCCTGGAGCGGGCCTTGGAGGCCGTAGAGCATACTGGTCGTCAGAATGATGACGAGATTGACACGAGGGTTGCTGTTGTCCTTCAGCATCTTCTAGACAACGAAAACAAGGCAGCAACTGGGTCCATCTTCACCATATCAACGGCTGCTACCAATTCGACGGTGAATTTCCCGGGAGGATGGAGCAACGATGACGGAACTCTCAAAATCGACGTTCCAAATATTGGTCTCATCAAGATCGAGCGGGGGCGTGTGTGTGCTTCACGTTCGTCAATCTCGAATGTTGCTGGACTTGATGGGCCTCAGAGTCACGACTCTATGAACATCCAAGGCCAGGAGTGGTCTCTCCAAGGCATCGATACTACCTTTTTCAATGATCTTATCCAAGACTGGGAAATAGATGCCCCCGACCTGTGACAATGATCCCATTTGCTTATCTCCAAGTGTTCAATTCGTGGGCATGGTCTCACCTCTGGCACAAGAATTGGCAAAATTGGCCCCTCGTGGTTGGCAGTATGGCACCAACCTGGGCGACAAGACGTCTTGCTCTGAGAATCTCTGTGACATCTCCACAGTTTGAAGGGAGCAAGAAAGCTGCTTGCCATGTGTTGACGCCGTCCATTCGGCCGAACGACCTCCTTGCTCTCTGGCCATGTAAATGCTTTCTTTCGCAGTTCAAACAAGAGTTTCGACAGACACTAGAGCTTGCGCTATACTCACTCGTTCACCAGAAATATTTTCACGCGCGAAATGGTGAGAATCGCAGTTGCTGGAGGGTCAGGCAGTCAGTGAAATCTGTCTCCAAATTCACATCGCAATCTAATTCACTGGCAGACGTCGCACTGGAGATCATCGACGCTCTGGTCGCGACTAACCGCCACAGCATCCTGATCCTGTCTAGGAAGGTATGCGGGTCTCGGTACCACGAGCGTGGTGTCGATGGCTAACGGGCAAGCCAGGAGCCTGATGGCAATGAGCAACGACCTCATGTCACTGGGGCTATGACAGACTACCAGAACACACAACAGCTTGACCAGATCTTACGTGGTGTTCATACTGTACTGTCGTTCATCACCACACAGTCGGATACGGACAATACCGCGCAGAAGAACCTCATCGATGCTGCGATTCGGGCGGGAGTAAAGCGCTTTGCGCCCAGTGAGTGGGCTACGTATGTACTCAAGCGTTTTTCGTCAATGTTGTCTTGCTGATAAGGTGCCAGGTCGAGTTTCGAACACATGCCGTGGTACCAGGGTAAAGGCGTCATCCGCCAATATCTACAGGAGATCAACAAGGAGAAGAAGGTATGCACAAGAAGCCACTAATCGAAGACTATCTGGTACAGAAATGCCCACAGAGCTAACCTCCCAAAGATCCTCGAATACTCCCTCTTCATCCCAGGCCTCTTCACAAACTACCTCGCCCATCCGCACAAATCAGCAGAACACTTCAAGTCCTTCGAAACGCACATCGACTTTCAGAATTGTCGGGCTCTCGTGCTGGAAGGTGGCGAAAATGATTGTATCACACTCACCACCGCACAAGACCTCGCGAACATCGTAGTCAAGGCCGTCGAGTATCAGGGCGAATGGCCGGTTCTTGGTGGGATCAAAGGCACAGAGCTATCGATACAGGAATTGACTGAAATAGGGGAGAGAGTTCGAGGTACGGACATCCCTCAAACACCGCCAACATCCTCCATTGTAGCTGACACAGCCCTCACAACCAGGCAAATCCTTCACAATCACCACCCTCCAACGCGCAGACCTCGAAGCGGGCATCACGAAATCCTCCTGGCTGCCGATGATAGATCATCCAGGCATGCCGAACGCCCAAGAGCTCGCGTCGGAACTCAGCGCGGGTATGATCTTGGCCATCTCGGCGGGTGCGCTGAATACGACGGATGAGTGGAATCGGGTGTTTCCCGAGTATACATTCATGAGTGCTGAGAGGTTTTTGGAGGGGGTTTGGAAGGGGAAGGATTGAGTGCGTTACTGCGTTGGGTTTTTACAGCTGATCCTGATCTACTTTATGAATAGTCGTCTGAGTATGCTAGCAACCCGCATCTGGTCGATTGCCATCGTCGAGACGTTGCGTTGTGGTATTAGATTTCTTGTCGGTGGTGCTGTCGCTCAGATTTTTCATGTCTTGCTCGATGTCCTCCACGTCTCCTCGCGTTGAAGGCATCGGAACAACGATGATATCGTGCTCTACTGATTTGTCCATTGCTTCTTTGATGTCAGGTCGAGAACGTTCTTGAGATGGGCTGAACGAGGCGCTAAATAATGAGGAAGAGGGGTTCACAAGATCTACACAGTTAGATTGTTGAGATCGGAGAACCCTCAGATACGCTTCGCTGATGACAGACCATTCAAATACATCAATCTCGATTCAGATCCACCGTGAAAAAATCGCCAGTCCAACACAAACACCACATCTCCCCAATCGCGACCAATCCCCATCCGCCATCCGCTTATACATAGCATCATACCCAACCCGTCCCTTGCTCTCTCGATACTTATCCCACCCGGTCTTCTTGCCATCAGGCTTGTCGACTTTGGCGTTCTTGTCTGGCTCGCCCTTTCGCGGGGAGGGCTTGAGGAGGATGAAGTCGTTTTCGATGTAGGGGTTCATGGTTACTTGTGGGGATTGTGATGGGGAGCTGGGATGGATGTTGGAGGTGGTTGAGTTGATGGTGGGTGTGATTCTGGGGGTGAGAGTCGAGGGTATTTATGGCTTTGGCCAGGGACGCGGATGCAGCGTTTACGGCTGTGTGTTGGACGGCGAAGTGATGAATGCTCCTGTGAGTATTGGATTTCGTGCCAGTGTGCGATGTTGGAAACCAATAGCTCACTTCGCTACCATCACGGCAACGTCCAGTACGGCAGCTGTGAATGGCCTCATTCGTCTGCCATACCTTCGACCTCACGAATTGAAGATGCGGGAATACAGCAACTCATGCCTACCCATCCACAAGTCCATCGTCGGCACCGTCACAGCAGCTCTTTCGACACCATTTCCTTCTCCAACGGTAGCCTCTCGTGCTATACAATCCTGAATCCAGCGTTGCAGATTCGCACTCGCCATGATAGTATGCGACTGATAAGGCCCCATGACACTCGCCCTAACGCCCGCGGAGAGCACAGCTTTCGCATGATTCAAGAGAAACATGTACGACGTGTCGAAGGCGGAGAGTCCCAGAGCTGCACATACGGCGCCGAAGAGAGCCGGGAAGTGGGCTTGGAGTTGGAGGCCAAATGAATCTGGAGTGTTGCTTTTCAGGCGCGCGGCGAAGTTGGCGACTTCCTTACTTGCTGAAGAAGTCGTGCTGGCTGAGGAGGATAGTGCTTTCTCCCAGAGTGCGATCAATGCTTTGCCTTGCGTTATGCTGGCTCTTCGAGCTACTGTACAGGGCGTGCTGGCGTCGAAGTCGTTGTCGAGGTCTTGTAGCGTTTCTGGTTTGCGATGAGCCGCGAGGACGTATGGTAGAGCTGTAGAGGATACATTCGCCACGGACTGCTCCAGAAAGCCTTGAAACGCAGCTATCCTGGCCGACGCAGAAGAAGAAAGATGGGTATTCGATAGCTTCTTGTGTCCAAGGAAAGACTCCAATCCGGAGGAGAAGGCGAACGATCCGAGGGGAAGCTGAGAGTCGGAGAGCAGAAGCAAGGCATGCAGAGACGGATTCTCCATCTCAACTTCTCGTACGATCATGTCCAACTTCCAAACTCGGTGCTAGTCCAACGTCGAAACGTTGAGTGAGGTGAATGTCTGCTTAGTCACCTCCATTCGCGTGGGTCAGACGATATCGGCGCCGGCAACTGCGATAGGCCACCACTTCGAGTCCACGCCTCCGTCTTTGCCCCTCTCACGGCCAACGACGGCACACTTGGATAGCGGGCGTACTGTAGTGTACACGTCATGGTCAGACTTTAGGTTTGTTTCGGACAGTTCTGACTCCCTATTCTCAAATCTGCCGCGTTGCCATCATCTCAGCCTGCTCCGCTCTCTATTTATCCTACTTGTATTCAGTTATAGTTCAGCATGGGTTCTACCAATGAGCAATGGAAAGAGATCTCGGCCAAGGCGAAGCAGAAAGTTCTGGATGATATCCCTTCGGAGTGGAAGATCCCCAAGGACAAGTTGCCCGGTGACGATGTCTTGGATGTCTTGGATGTACCAGCCAAATCTGGCATTTTATCTCAGCACGAGTTGGATATCACTGAATCGTATGCCACTGATATTGTCGCGAAGATTGCGAAGGGGGAATGGACGGCGGAAGATGTCACGAGAGCGTTTTGCAAGAGGGCGGCGATTGCTCATCAATTGGTGAGTTGCGGATACTAGTCAAGACGGTTTTCGAGACACTGATCAGTGATGCAGACAAACTGCCTGACTGTCATCATGTTCGACGATGCGATCAAGCGAGCAAAGGAACTGGATGCCAAGTTCAAGAAGACAGGCAAAGTCACCGGGTCATTGCACGGCCTGCCGATCTCATTGAAGGATAACTTCAACGTACCCGGATATCCCAGTTCTGTTGGATTCTGTATCTGGGCTCTTGAGCCGCTGAAGGTGGAAAGTACCATCGTTGGAGTGTTGAGAGATCTGGGTGCTGTGGCCTATGTCAAGACTAACGTCCCTACTGCGATGTAAGTCCAACTCGATGAGTATGTGATCAGAACTGATATGTGCTGGCAGGATGATCGCAGAGTCAGTCAACAACTGCTATGGACGGACAACCAACCCTCTCAACCGCGCGACCACATCTGGAGGCTCTTCGGGGGGCGAGTCGGCTCTGATAGCCCTCCGTGGAAGCCCACTTGGAGTTGGGACTGACATAGGAGGATCACTGAGAATCCCAGCAGCCTGCACGGGCATCTTCACAATTCGACCCTCGTATGGCAGATTCCCACATTTCGATGCAAGATCTGGCCTCGCTGGCCAGGAAGCAGTTGGCAGTGTCCATGGACCAATGGCTCGCAGCATAGCAGATCTTCGGCTCTTCACAGAGAACGTAGCCAACTCGGCCCCTTGGCTCAAGGATCCGAAATGCATCGAACTCAACTGGCGCAGTGTAGAGCTCAAGGCAAAGCCAAAGATTGCCGTGCTCTGGGACAACGGCACGATCACACCGACGCCACCTGTGACTCGCGCACTCAAGGAAGTGGTGGAGAAGCTCAAATGCAAGGGCTACGAAATCGTGGATTGGCCCAACACGGATCACGCAGAGGCAGTGGAACTTCTTGGCAAGTTCTTCCTCGCGGACGGTGGCAAATCAGTCAGGAAGCTGCTCGAACCAGTAGGAGAGCCTTGGAGACCGGAGATGGAGTTTTATGAAAAGGCCACTGAGATGGGAGTCTACCACCTGTGGCAGACACAAAGTCAAAGGACCGCGCTAACGAAACGATTCCTGGATCGTTGGAATTCGTTGGGCATCGATGCCATCCTCGGTCCAACGACACCGTATGCATCTCCCAAGAATGGCGAGTTCCGGTATGTTGGATATACGGGCGTGTTCAACGTTGTGGACTATAGCTCCGTTTCGTTTCCGACTGGCATCAGCGTCGACAAAGAGAAAGATGTGCAGGTTGCAGAGTTCCAGGCTCACAACGAACTGGACAAGCGGACTGCACAGGAGTACGATCCCGCGTTGTCGCACGGTCTCCCAATTAGCTTGCAGTTGACAGGCCGAAGACTTCAAGAGGAGAAGATCATGGCTTTGACAGAGAAGGTGTTGGACGATTTGAAAGCCTGAGCTGATGTGTCCAGACGCCCCTTCAAGGCTTAGTTCCAACGCCAACGTAGACACAATCGATGCCTCGCACCCTGCCATCGGCATCAGCGATCTTAGCCCAAACTTCTTTGAAGAGTTTCTTCGCTTGCTCTCGAATCTCGGCCTTTCCAAGACCACCCTCCGCGACGCCGTCAGCAGTTGCCTCGAAGATCTTGTCAGCATCCTCGATTGAATACTCTTTCTCCAGCCTGGACCTGGCACCAGCTGCCAAATAATCTTTCAGATCATTAGTTCCTTCGATAGCCAGCTGTGCGATAGGTTTCACCACCACGTCTTTCAATCCAGCGTACGCAAGTGCATCGCGAAAATCCTCTGGCGTCTCAAAATTGAGCCTGTACCATGGGATATTCACTCCAAGCTTTCGCCCAACTCGTTCGTATGTGATGCCCGTGAGCTGACTCTGGACATGGGTTACGTCAGTGATCAGTTTGCCTCCTGGCTTCAAATAGCTGGTCCATTCCTTGATGGCCTCTCGTGGCTCGGGTAGAAGAACGAGTGCGGAAGCGCAGGTGATGAGATCGAATGTGCCTTTCCGTTGCTTCAACACCTCGAGCGTATCCAAATCTGTGATTGAATGTTGATAGAAAGCCACATTTCGGACACTCGGCTGGCTCTCAAGTTTCTTCTCCGCTTGAGCAAGCATGCCACTACTGATGTCGACCCCAATCACCGTGCCAGATGAGCCGACGGCGTCAACAGCGGGGAAAGTGACAAGACCCGTTCCACAGGCGAGATCGAGGACTTTTTGGCCAGGCTGGAGCGATGCTATCTCCACCATGTGTCTGGCAAAGCGAACGTGCCAAGAGTCGTCGTAGGTGGCGGATCTGCCGTCGTAGAGTCGCTGGGCATCGGCAGACTGATTGTGTGCCATTCTCCCGGATAAGGTCTGCTAACGCTCGTTATGTTAGGACGATGGTAGCTGAGTAGGTGAGAAATCTGGATGGATGAAGAGCAGTGATCAGGTCGCTGCTATGACACATATTCATATGCCACCACCTCGTATTGCCGTCGTGAGTCGGATTGCCAGCTTCGGATGGCGCTTTCAACTCTGGAGATATTGCAATGTAGATGGCAACTCTCACCGTGTGAACGGACTGCAGTGCTGTGTCCTACCGCCAATCATTCGATCACATCTGAGAACGCGTGGGTGCCCCTAATCGCGTATTGTCCTCCGCCTGGACTGGAGATGAATCATCTGCGTCTTCGGAGCGGCGCCTCCAGCTGTTTTGCGTCGAGGCTTCTCGTCTCAAGGCCACGGACCAAATGAAGAGGCTGCCACGGCGTGGAAGTCACGAATGTTGCACGATGACGGGTTGGTTGTTGTTTTGCAAATCAAAGTTCAGAGGCACGTCGGAAGGGCTGACCAAGCGCAGCGAGCGGTGACGGCCCGTCCGTTGTGGCTGGGAGATGGTATAAAACCTGACCTCCCGCAATACCCGATCGCTTCTCTTCTGTCGCTCCACCACATTGCCAGCATTATTATTGCTATCCAAGATGACTACTCAGAATGGGCATGCAGGCGTCAAGCGATCCATAAGCCCAGATGACGAGGGTCATGAAGTTCACCAAGGGCGACAGAGATCCAGAGCCGCCTGCACGCCTTGTCGTCAGCGGAAACGAAAATGGTGAGCATTGGAGAGACAGTCATCATATCTGACGTTTGGATTGTGCATCCGTTCGGCTTCCTGTAACAGCGCAGTCAGGCTATCGCTGTCGCCGCTCATTGTGAGATCAACAAGGCTGTAATGCTAATATCAGCACAGCGACGGCAAGCTTCCATGCGCTACATGCGTTCGATATGAGTACCAATGCGAATATGCGTCAAACGCAAAGCGTCCCTCTGCCGCACACGCAGATGTTGCGCAGGAACCGCCGCCTCCGCAACCAATAGGCAGGACGCCTCCCAGTATCATCCAACTCCAGGCCCATCCTTTGACCGCACCTGGGGCGAGATTCCACCACCGTGGTATACTGGACCCTGTGAAAACTCGATTTGTGAGAGCAAACTCAGCCATTGCCTTTCCGCGTATCCTTGGCATGGACCTGGAGTCCGATAGCATCCCAAGATTGCATTCTTTTGCTTGGAATCTTGGACTACGCCATGAGCCGCAGGAGCCGTCCGTCGATGTTACCACTCACTTAACATGGGGCGAGATGCAGACCCTGGCAAGCTCTTACTTCAAAAACGTGAAGACCGAGTTTGGCCTCCTGGACGAGGCTGAGTTCATGGAGCAAGCGTCGTCCCGGTTCTCTGATCCATCTGGCATCAGAGATATCGACTCGGTAGTTCTTGGTGTCGCTGCTATTGGATCGTTCTTCTCCGCAACTCCACACCCCAAAGAAGATGTTATCTTCTTGGATGCAAGAAGAGTGCTCGTAGCCAAGAGTATTGGCAATTCTCCTGCACCAAACCACGTCGCGGGGTGGATCCTGAGGACGCTGTATCTGAGAATGACATCTCGTCCTCACGGATCATGGATATCAAGCTGCATTACCATGCATCAAGTTGAGGCCAGTGGCCTTCACAAGGAGATGCAGACCATTGCAGTGGTCTACCCACCAACAACAGCCGACCACAAGCTGGCAAAGGGTCGGAGACGACTGTTCTGGATCGCCCGAGCCCTCAATACAATCTTGTCATTCGAGTATGGACGGACACGTGTAAACTTCGATGTTGTCACGACGAAGAAGTTCGCAGCTGAGAACGGCAACCATGGCCATCAATTTGTTGAATTGGCTGAGCTGCTTCCAAACGATTTTGTTGACCGTGACCGAGAGCCGGATCCCCCAGCAGCCCTCAGCCACGCATTGTCAAGACTCGAAGCACTGCAGACCGACTCGCACTTCATCTCACTGCTGAAAGCGGACCTCTCGTTCGCCATCTATCGTCGCCTATGGCTGATGAGTCTGACGGACGCAAAGGACAGAGCTGATACGGTCATCGGAATTGGCCGATCGGCCTTGACAGCATCCGCAAAACTACTCGCGAGCAGGACGCCATGGTGGAATGTTATCTGCACGCCGTTCCAATTCCTGTGCGTTATCATTGCGGTAGGGACACCGACGAGTTTGTCCCATATTCAAGAGGTGATGAATTTGATGCACACCATCGCTCAGACGTACGATACGCACATGGTCCGAGAAGCGTACAACCAAGCGACGGCTCTGATAACCATGGCACGTAAACGAAAGCATAAGGAGCTCGAAGCGCTGAACGCTGTGCCAGAAACACCACCATTTACGGACCATCCATCTGCCGGGCCTAGCAGCACACTTTCGGATGCGCCGAGCATGGATTGGGCAATGGACATTCCGTTCGAATGGGAGATGTTCATCAACCCAGACCTACAAGTTGTACCTGACCAACAGGTACCCATCGTCGACCCTACCGCTCCGCTGAGTTACACAGCACCTCATTTCAAGGTCTGAAATCCATTCGTCGTTTCTCGACGGAGAAACGTCCAGCAACGCGCATCCCCAAGACCGAATCCCAGCAATACGAAAACCTTGGCTACCAGGCATGATCCTGCCCTTTGGACGGATAATCCCGACCCAGTTCCAACACCTGCGAGTACCATCGTCGGCGGGCGAACTTATTTGGGCCTTGCTACCGAATAGTGGTGATCTTGCCGCCGCCAATGTTGCATAGGAACGCAGATCCTGGAGTCAAAATTCCGCAGCTCGCCGTCGGGTTGTTCTGAGAACAAATCAAAATCAAGAACAAGCCACTTACACCAGCCCGATCGGCATCATGCAGGACTTGGCATTCATCTGGGAACACTTGAACTCCGCAGATAGCTTTCATTGCTCAGCCTCTAAATGGAAGGTCAATTGACAGAGCGAGGCTGATACACGTGCAACAACTAGTCGACTATCGCTCCATGCGCGTTCGCGAAGCTATGCAACATACATTTGCAATTTCTGCAAGGGCGACAGTCACTTGTGGGAAGGGCTCAGGTTCACCCTGCCTATATAAGAGGCCTGACCTGATCATTCAACACGCCTAGCTCAGTATCACGACTTCAGCATCTCATCATGGGTTTCAAGACTGTCTTCATTGCCACGGCTGCGGCCACGGCTGCCTTTGCTGCGCCCATCAACGATCACGTCCGACGAGGAAACCTTCCAACGCCCGTGTCCGCTTCCACTGCTCGATCGTATCTCAACTCGATCACTGTCGCAGCCGAGTCCAACAGCCCAGCCTATGAGCGTGATTACTTCAAGACGTGGATCACCATCGACGGAAGCTGTACGCAGAACGGAACACTTGTCTGATGGGGCCATGCTGATTTAAATCAAGGCAACACCCGCGAATATGTGCTGAAGCGTGACGGCTCGAACGTTGTGACGAACAGTGCCTGCACGGCGACGTCTGGTACCTGGTACTCGGACTACGACGGTGAAACTTGGACTGCCGCCTCCGACGTCGACATTGATCACATCGTCCCATTGAAGGAGGCTTGGGTTTCTGGTGCCAAGGACTGGACTGCCAGCCAGCGTGAGGCGTTCGCAAATGAGTGAGTAGACCTTGCATCTCGTCGCCAGTGTTTTTGGTATTAATCCGTTTTCTAGTGTTACTCGTCCGCAACTTCTCTCCGTCACCGACAATGTCAACCAGTCCAAGGGTGATCAAGACGTGGCAGAGTGGCTTCCACCACGCGAGGCCTACCAGTGCGAATATGTTCGTGCCTATGTGCAAGTGAAGCACTACTATGGCCTGAGCATGGACAGTGCCGAGAAGCAGGCTGCACAGGATGTTCTGGACGGATGTTAAATGACGAAGAGGGTCAGCAGAATTCGACAGCAGAGCCATACTTGAAACCATTCAGAATGATCATATGTGTTAACGATAAAGTGAATCAACTGCCTTCATCTGTGTGTCCAGAAACGCTACAAATGCCTATGCCGATGCTAAAATACAAACGCTACGCTTCTGGTATCAGTCTGAATCCTCGAGAAAGTCACAACCCACATGCAACCCAACGCCAGAGCCATACACTATCACCCACGAGCATCATATCATACAGACTCCATCCAAACTCACATATAGCCCTCACAGCCCCAACGGATTCTGCCCGGTCTGAGTATTCCCACCAATCCTCTCCCCACCCGGAAGATCTTTATCCTTCTTGTTGTTGTTCTTGTCACTGTACGCCATGTCTCTCTTGGCTTGATTCTCGACGTCTAGAAGGGCTTGGCCGTTCGGGTTGCCGATGGCACCTGTTACGGCGCCGATGGGTTTGAGGCCGACGTTGAGGACTTTGCCGAGCGGGTCTCCGATGAAGGAGAGGGGGCCTGTTGGAGAGGATTAGAAGGGAGCGGAATGAGGTATGGTTAGGGTGTTTGACCTTTCTCGTTCTCGGAAGCCATATTGGAGGTTTGTTTGCGGAAGGGAATCTGTTGTGTCGCTATTCTTCGAGAGTCCAGCGGTTTGTCTCGCTCTATTCTGTTGTTGCTAGATCGTTGCACCAATCAAGAGGTCAACTACTGAGTTGACGAGGAGAGAAGAGAGGACTAAGGAGTAAGAGCAAGGAGGTCATATACCTGGAATCCTTCCACGAGCACAAAAGGACGTTTAACAAACTACGTATGATGACGGCAGCCCATGGAGCTTTGTGGAGGAGATCGCCACTCACAAGCCAAGTGTCGACCATGGCGCATGACATGTGCTCGAGCTAATCGCGGCAGCTAGATCCTGTCGTACGGCAGACAACGTGATCGCGTTTGCTTCGATTGGATAGGCGTGGTTCTTTAGTATACTGCGGTGGTATGGTAAGTGTTTCATGTTGGGAGAACTTATGCTGAGCAAGTGGTTGGAAAGGAGGATGTAAAGAGATCGTCGGCAGGATTTCGGGTCGCAACGTCTGTATACGATCGATCGATGGTGGAGCCTGTTATAATGGGCTTTTGTTTGCATCAGATATATCAATAGCGGGTTGGATATTGCGGAACGTACAGACCAGTCTATAAATTGTGAAGAATCTGAACAAACCAATGCAATTATAGAATGTCAAGAATATAGGATTAACACCTACGGTCAGCTGCGAGGTCTGCGGGACATCTTGCCGTGCGGTCTTCTTTTGTTCTGGCTGATGGAAAGAACACAGTCGAGTTCAAGAATTCTTGACCTCGAGTTTCACTCGATCGCTTGCTTTCCAGCGACTGTGATGGCACCAAGTTCTACAGCGTCAGCCTGTATTACCCGCATTCGAGATCCGCAATATGCTTGAGAGCTACCGAAGTCCGGAATTAGTTGTTGCTTATGGACTCGCACAGAGCCGGGTCATCAATAAAACTAAATTCACGTCATGAAGCCGTTAGTTCTGCTTGGTCGGTCCAGCAGTCCTGATCGATGCTCTCCAATACGATTGCACTTACTATGGCCTGCAGCGCGCTCGAGGCTTCGGCGCTCAGGAATACGAGGACGCTCGAAGTGGCGACGGCTCAGCGACTGAGTCGAGTTGATGGAGGGCAGTGTGAATTGATGAGAAATAACTCGAATGGCAGAGGAATGGTGAGGTCGGAGGTGGTGGTGGCGCGGCAAATATCTTGGTATTGACCAAGCGCACTGACCAGCCCGGGAAATTTTCGGGAATTGAGTGACTTCAGTTTCGCGCCTTCGTTTTGCTCATCAGCCCCCACAACATAGATACTCAACATATATCTGTTTTGTGACAGCTGTCAAGGACCAGACTTCTGCTAACTGCAGCACGATGGCTGCGACGCGACCTACAGCATAGCACAGGTCGACTGCTGAATGACATGGCCACAATCGCGCAGAACAATTGGTCTCTCCAAGCAGCTGGCACACCAAAATCACGCGTCGACACTGCCACATGGTCCGGATGTTGATAGGCAGGCGTGTCGAGTTCTTTGGTACGCATATCTGCCGGGAATGTTGGTATGAAACGCCAGTACTCAGGATGAGCACGGTGCTTTCCGACTCCCTCGAACAACCTGCAAAGTCTACAAGGCTGTAATAAAGCAGCCAGGACTCCATCTGGCCGGCTCTGCATGCACTTGATACCACGTATCGCGCGCGTTCTTACCAGGCCATTCAGGATATATGGGATTTTTCTGCAGTCTTGCCTGGTTCCGGCACAGTCCTTGACTAGCAGGACACGACGCACCGGCAGTCGATTCGAAACTGACGACTCGAAATTCCAGCAGCATGATGGAGATATCGGTCACGCCATGTCTTGTGATCGCGATGCACAATGTTCCTGTGGAGCAGTAGGTAGTGAAGTTGTTCGCAGACAAGGGCTTGACGCCGGCGCTACCGAAAACAACCGCATTTGCCGCGTCTTCATTCCCCATGGCGGCGACGAGAACAACAACTGCTATCCAAGCTTTCCTGTCTTATACCCGGCAACCGGACCGGTTCACAGTCGATGCGGGAATATGTTCATCGCGGTGCAAGAACAGAAAGGGACAATTACTGAACCGCCTTCTCCTCAGCACGACCGAGCGACTCCAATCAAGCATTTTTCATTGGCGTAGGCTCTGAGCTATTGGAACGGCGGGTCCAGTTGCCCTTGCAGTTGGTCTTACATGTCCTTTGCGACCGAATGTGGCAAACGCGATGCAATATAAGAGTATGATGGGCCTCAAAACGAATGCATCTATGTCATTCCTGCAGCGCGGATCCATTTGGCGAGCCGAGCCTCTCTGCACATCATTGCAGATTGACGTCAAATTTGAGGTTTTGTATCGCCGGAGCTTCAACACTGAACGTGCCTATCAACTGAAATCGCATCGCTTTTGAGGAGCCCTCAAAGCCTTATCATGGTGGAGCATTTCTCACGGGTTTGAGGGAGGCACGACTTGCTGTCCGAACCGCCGAAGAGTTCCCCAGACTGATTGCGATAGAGTTCAAAGCCCACGTTCACACCTTACCCAGAAAGGTCGGCAACAGGACGGCAAAGCACTAAAAGAGGAGTCGAGCAAGTGCTCGAGATCAGTGCGAAATGCGGGGCATATGTCATGGTGGGCAATGGGTTAAAACCCCAAGCACCGTCCTGTTCACGCGTGGTAAGTGTTTTTCGAAAGGCATTGAACGAACATCATGTTGTCGACGACTCCCAGTGGCGAGATCTCCCCTGCAGTGGCCAGCCTGGGTGCACTTGCACTCGGGACTGTGTCGTTCTGGGGATACTTTCATCGTTTCGAGACGCATATGTATGCTTTTACTTATTTCTACACCTTTCTTGCGGCGTATATTGGTCTTGCAATCGGTCTTTGCAAAGGCTACTCGTACAGCATTCCTTCGTCGGCAGCTACATCGACTAGTGTAGCTTTGGCCTTTCTTGTCGGAGCTTTTGGGAATTGCTTGATCTACAGGTAAAGAATCCCGTATCTTGAAGCCTCGAATTTTGCTGAAAGAGTGGATCGCATATAGATTGTTCCTGAACCCATTGAACAAATTCCCCGGCCCATACCCAGCTCGAATCTCGAACCTGTGGCTCTCAGCCCAGCTGGGCAACTCAGATGGCTACTACTGGCTCCAAGAGCAGCACAAGAAGTATGGCAAGTTCCTCCGCATCGGCTCGAACGACATATCGATCATCGATCCCGCGGCCATGGAGCCCGCCTATGGCAACAAGTCCCGCGTTTCAAAAGCCATCTGGTACGACAACGACTACCCCCTGACATCCATGCACACCTCCCGAGACAAGGGTCTTCACGACCGCCGACGAAGAGTCTGGGCGCCAGCCTTCTCTGAGAAGGCGCTTCGAGACTACGAGACCGAGATTCAGAAGTTCAACGAGAAGCTCATCAAGCAGATCGGAAAGCACAAGGGCGAGCCGGTCAACGTCACTAAATGGTTCAATCTCTTCTCCTTCGACGCAATGGGTCTGTTGGCATTTGGCCGGGACTACGGCATGCTTGACAAGGGCGAGAAGCCGCATGAGTTGGAAATGCTGGACGAGGGCATGCAACCCTTGGCATACCGCTTCCCATCTTGGTTCTTCCGCATGCTCACACAGATCCCCGGTCTTGGAGAGGGCTACAACAAATTCGTCAAGTTCTGTGTCAGCGAACTCACATGGCGAATCAAGCACGCGGACCAAGCGAAGCGTGATTCGGATATCATGGGCTGGCTGCTCAAAGCATACAAGGACGTCCCTCACCCAGAGAACGACTCCATGCTACAAGCCGACGCTCGTTTAATCATCGTGGCGGGCTCGGACACCACCGCCGCGACGTTCACGTACCTCTTCTACCACCTCGCCTCAGACCCGGAGCAAGTGCGAAAGCTGCGCGAGGAGCTGGAGCCCATCTGTCTTGGCGATTGGCAAGAGAAGGACATCCGCGGCTGCAACCACCTCAACGGGTGCATCAACGAAGCCCTCCGTCTCCACCCACCCGTCCCCTCCGGCGTCAACCGCCTGACACCCCCCGAAGGCATGAAAGTCGGCGAGACCTGGATCCCAGGCAACGTAACCTTTATCACCCCCCAATACGTAATGGGACGCGGTAAGTCCCCCTTCCCATCCCCTCCCTCCCAATCCCACCCCCCACTAATCCCTCCCCCCTCACAGACGAATACATCTACGCCTCCGCCAACTCCTTCATCCCCGAACGCTGGTACAGCCAAGAAGACAAAGTGAAGCACAAAGACGCCTTCGCGCCCTTCAGCATGGGGCCCTTCGGCTGCATCGGCAAGAACCTCGCGCTGATGGAGCTGCGCACGCTGACTTCGCGACTGGTGCTGAATTTCGATTTGAAACTGGCCCCGCAGGAGGATGGGATGCGGTTGATGCGCAAGACGAAGGATCATTTTACGGTGGATTTGGGGGATTTGGAGGTGGTTTTTACGGAGAGGACGTAGGTGAGGAGGGCTTTTGGGTGAGGGAGTGGAGATCGTGGCTTTTTTTTTTCCTTGTTGGGATTAGCTGTGCGCTGTGGTTGGAGAGTTGACGATGATATCCATTGATGATGATACGGCTCTTGTCTGTCTGTGTAGGGGACCGTCTCTGAGCAAGGAGTTACGATGGGAGTAGTGGCGATGAGGAAGGCTACGTATGGAGATTTCCCAAATTTGAAGCGAATTGAACAATCCAATCTATGCAGACGTGTACTGCCTTTGGAAGACATGCGGTGTTGTGTGCTCGAGGCAGGACTTTCGTCTTGGCAACCACATGCAAACCACTCACTCGCACAACCACCACCATCTACACAACACGACACAACGAAAGCTCACGATGAGAATACTGAACTTCCATCGCAGGAACCCATCCTCCATGCGTTGTGCTCACTACTACGTAAAAGTGTATCGTATTCATTCGCTACAGTTACAGCCAGCCCATCGACGAACCCGCTAATAGATGGAATAGAAGAGGGAGTTCGCAAAGAATCTTCCCTCAACTACTACAGTACGACTACTGTTACACATGCATGCAGTTTGATACACTAATTTCTCGAAGCAATGGGAAGCCATTCTCCTCGCTCAACATCTCAGGGAGAGAGGCAGGTCTGAGCCTTGGAAACAGGTCCTCAAGTCGAAGTTCGAAGACTCCCAGGTGTGCCGGCACCCAGTTCATGTTCTTCGCTGTGTTGTGAGAAAATAAGAGAGACCCGCTCAGTTCCTTGTTTGCGGAGTTGAGCAAGCAAGCAAAACTGGGTAGGATGCTACTGGCTCTCTGTCGAAAATGCTGGCCGTAGAGTCTGTTGTGCTCGTCGTTTCGTCTCGTGGTGGTGATGCGCCGCTGCACATTTCGCACAGTTCGCACACCCTTTCCTACTCCGCCAACGCCGTGCGATAATCGATGCTGCAATGCCAATCACCAAATCAGACGGTTTCCTCTTGTTTTCGTACCGCCGTTCTTGTCCACTTTCCACCTTAGTTCCTCCTCAAATCTTCACATCCTTCATTTCGCTCTCTACGCTTGGCAGGCCTTCATCCTTCGCTGGCGAGAGAGGCGAGGTCTCTTCATCGCTACTGCTCATCACAGTACCGCCGAGCCTGCTTTTGGGAAACGGCTGGCTACTACGTCTCTCATTGAGCGCGTCTTCGGGTGGTTGCCGAGGGCTGTCCACTGCCACAAGCTTTCCTGCTTTGACAGATCCTGGAGTCTCCACGCCAGAGATCAACTTCTCGGTCGACTGCTCCACATTCGTGTCAACCGTCAAAGGCAATGGCTGTGCGTGCACCGGTGAGCTCTCTTCAGCAACACGTGCCAAGGGACTTCCAACATGACCTCTCGGGCTGGAAGTTCCATGTGCAGGTTGCTTTCCGTTGCCGTTGCTGTATCGATGGGGTGATCGTCCTCGGTCTTCCTTCGTGGGCGAACCATATGGCGAGAATCCAGTTCCACCTGGCGAAACATTGCTGTTGACTCGCAAAGGCTTCTTCTTGGGCACTCTTCTGCCGAACTTCTGGTCTGACCTCCATCGCAGAATGTCAATGTATGCCGGCTCAACACCCTGATGTCTGAACTCGCCCAACTTCAACTCTTTCGTATCCTCGTCAATGAACCACTTGTCGGTGTGCATATCGTCGGCGAGGGTTGCGAGGAAGGCCGACCATGACCGTGATACGACATATTTGCAGTCGTAATCGCGTCCCATGAGGATGACCTGACCCCATCTGCCGGTCGGGCCTGGTGCGAGATCCACCGCAATGTTGTTGCCTCCCCAGTCTCTTGCCAGTGGAATCCATCCTGGATGAGCATATGCTTTCTGGATGGCGTTTGGAGGTTGTGAGTCCTGCTTGTCAAGAAGCTCGTCTCGCCAGCGCGGGTTTGCTGATTGCTGAACTTGCGCTACCGGGACGGCTGATGAGGACGACCCAGCAAACGCTTTGAGGGGTGCCTGAGGGATCTCAAACTGCTGTGCATCGTTCAAGTACGCCTCGTTGACGGTCCTCCAGTTTTGCCATTCCTGCAGGATCTCCTCACAGTCGAGTAGCATACAACCGAAGATGACACCCGTGGGCATTCCGCCGCGCTCTTGACCGTCGTGAACCTGCAATGACTCTCGAACCTCCTGTGGCAGCGTGCAGTCTAGGTCGTGTTCCAACTCATTGACGTCGTTGACCGTCGCGCCTTGACCCATGTTCTCGAAGAGCTCCTCATAATTGTCCTCCAACCATCGATCAATGCGCTTCCAGGAGTGGCTTACCGGGGGAGGCGGTGGAAGGCCGTCGCTGAAGTTCTGCATCTGAATCTCGCCTTGGCCCATGGCCTCCATCCTACTGTCCATGCCAGACCCTTGTCTCTGTAAGCTGCGGCGCACAGGGGGTGAGTAGGGAGGGCTGGTGGTGCCGCCCGTGTGGCTGACGAAGCCATTCCCGGCTTCGAGATCGAGGTCTGTTCTTGACTCTAGGGCGCTGGTGTTGGTTGACGTTAAAGAGTTCTTCTTGGACTGCGGTATGGGGTTGTGACCGGCCCGGTGTGTGGTGTCGGGGCCGGCATGGCGGTCGTTGGAGGTCAGAGTGTGCCAAAAGGAGCGCCATTGCGAGGCCAGTCTGGAGCGCGAGTGTCAGCAGGTGCAGTGTTGCAAAGAACGCGTGTTGTCGGCGCATGGGGGTGTATTCTGGGGACAGGAAAATTGTGCGTGGAGACGTACGTGGAAGCCATGCCTGGACGGTGGTGTAGAGGCACAAAGGCCGGCGGTAGCGACAGACGTTGTGAGCAGAGTGGACGGGCGGGCGTGGGTAGGATGGCGAACGGTGGTGAAGGGGACGTTTGCTAGTAGTATCGTCGAGCAAAGGCGGGTGGGAAAGGTTTGTTCTGGAAGCCGAGCGCAGCAGACACGACAAGAATGAAGCCGGCACGTCACCTCCTTTCCGCTGGTGCTGGCTGTGCTGGGGTGGGTGTGGGTAATTGCGCTCCGCTGCACGGCGAACCAATTCTGCTGCTGCTGCTCGCTTGTCGCTTGCTCGCCGGACTGCCGCGCCTCACGCCCACTGCCGCGGATATATCAGACTGTCGCGGCGATGGGATGGCGGGACTGCTGCGTGAAGATGGCGGATGAGGATGATTCTTGGAGCGAGATCAGATGTGTGTGTCGGCTGCGTGGCTGCTGCAGGAGGACGATGGATGCAGCACAACAAACCGCGCAAGCTCTCCTACGGCAACGACGACGCAGGGTCGATCTGCCCACTTCGGTGCTACCACCTGCAACTTTTTCTATAATAGCACCACCACGCTGCTCGCTACCGTCGTCTGCTTCGGTGCATCCACAGCGTCAATCCATATCAGCCATATTAATGCCCGGCTGCCCTTAATGAAATCTCGTTCAGAATCCAGGGACGGTTCAGGTACCGGCCTCGCCTCCGAGGCGGCTCTCCAACAGCCGTTTTGATTCATGCACCGACCAGCAACATGAAACACCTTATCACAGCCAATCACCGTCCGCCGCCCCTGGTAGCTCCAAGACACTTCGGCTCAACTTCTGCTGCACTTCACTCCGTCTGCTGCTGGACCGTCGCACATGACACCTGCCCAGCCTTTCGTTGTGTTGCACAGCATCGTCATGTCACTGTGAATGCTTGGAGAGGAAGGGAAGCTGTCAGAAGGGCTTCGCTTTGCAAGAAGATTGTATGTGACCCGTCTCTCCTGTGTTGCAACGACACGGGCACCGTTGTAAGACGCTCGAGGGAGCATGGTAAGATATCTTTGTTTGGGATTCTAACCCCGTGAATTGAGAACATTACGAAGGACCGCTGGCACGGGCGTGTACAAAGACGTCTTTGGATAGAGAGGGAAACAGGCTCCATGAACTCACAAACACAAGGCACTCGGGATGGGGTGACGTTCAGACAAGCTCTTCGTGTCGATGAAGATTTATCTTCTAGGAAGGAACGTCTTCGCTCCTTCCACAAACAGATACCTGCGCTGCGGCGCAGTTGACATCATGAGAGTATGCACAAGACTTTTGGACAACGAAAAAGAAATGCATGACTGGAATCTACCTGTTTTCGACTACATAGCAGACCGGCTGCTGATGCTTATTCACGACACTCGACGCCCACTCTCCAGGAGCACGCAGAGCAGCACTACACCTGTGCCTGTGCTCTACCGACCACGGCCTACACGGACATCCTTGTTCGAACTCCTGACGGTCTGATACTCATCGAACCACGAAGTCGTCTCATCGGCTTCCCTCGTCTGCCAGCTGTGGTACTCGCTCTCCTGCTCGCCACGCATAGCCTGGAACTCTCCAAACTCTTCATCATCATCATCCGAAATATCTGCGATGTCTTCGACGACAAAGTTCGTCCCAGTGGCGGTGCCGAAGCCATGAGGCAACCATTTCATCGCCTGAGCCTTCAAAGCCTCCTTCTTCGCTACCTTGGCACCGGGGCTGTTGTCCGTGTCGCCAAAGTCGGTGTCAACACGAGACGACATCGTCTTTTTCGGTGCTGTGGAGTTCGTTGAGTTGAACAACTCTTTGGCGAATTCCGTTCCAAAGTCAATGTGCAAAACGTAGCAGGGAATGATCTGCGCCGGGTCAAATACAACGTACTCCATCCCGTCTGGCGATACGTGCGAGTTTGCGTGCGAGTTGTCAAGTCCGGCCTGGTCCTCGACCTCGTCCCGAGACACTTCTAGCAAGAGACCCATCAGCGTTGCACAGACCAGAACTCGCATTCCTGGAATGTCAGCACCTTTTCGCCATCCGGAAACACTCGAGTCTTTGTAGTCGAATTCGCCATAGTCTGCCGCGAAATCCAAGGAAGGCGAAGAGTATATGCCCTTTCCGAACCACGCATTCACGAACCGCATAGACAAGCTCTCGCCGGTGTCTCCGATCTTGCTTCCCGGAAGCAGGAAGCCATAACGAATGATGGGCGACATCACCTCCCTTTCAGCTCCGTGGAAAGTAACATGGGGTCTGACAAGGTACTCTGCCATTCGCTCCGCAGAGTTTGCAGAGTTACGGCCTGGAATGGCAGATCGACCGACGCAGGATCTCAGTTTCTCCTTGGGCAGGTCCATTAACTCCTCCTTCATCTTCTGTTGTCGTTTGAGGAATCTGTCAACCAGATCAGGGCGGAAGACGGGCTCGACGTGCAGTACTCGGAGATCATCAGGAATGTCTGACAAGATGTCCGAAATTGACTGGCCCAGAACATGTCTTGCGGTGTCGTCCACGGTGTTGAGGTTGACGCCATATGGGTTCGTCAAGATCCCCGACACGTCATGCGCGGATGAGTCCCAGCCGTTCGTCATGGGATCTGGCTTTTTGCTCGACTCAAGGGCATTTCTGAAGTCCAGGAGATGACAGCTGGCTTCCTCGGTCAGTTGCAGGAGCAGAACGCCAAATCCGATGGTGCTCCAGGACGACTCGAGTGCTCTGCCGAGGATTGCTCGCAGCTCTTGTCTAAGGGGGTCCAGACGTTTCCGGGGAATTACATCGCTGGATGCTGTTACTACAATGCCTTTGGAGCTCTCATCGCTTAGCTCGACAGACAGATTGGTGAGTTGAAATCGCCATCTGGTCTGACTGACTGTCCAGTTGATGTCGGATGGCAGATGAGTTTGCAGCAGCACATTCAGGGTATCGGCTACAAGGGCAGCTCGGTCCTGGAAGCTGGAGCTGTCCAAGGTGTTGTTTGGGAGGACGTCGAGGTTGTTGTACTCGGAGGCATGGCTGTCTGCTTGTTGAGGAGGTTTGCTGTTGAGTGAGTTAGCGACTGGAGCCAGTCCAGTCGGTAGGGGATTCCACTTGGACGAGGAGGAGGGCATACTGACGTTTCACAGGCCTGCTGTGACTGATGAATTCCTTTGGGGTATTGACGAGATCTGGGCACCCAAGTATGACTTACCTGTCCTGCGGTTGTTGGTGGTCTGAAATGACCAACATGCAGTGGGCTATGGCACATGGTAAATACACGAACTGTGAGTTGGTCTACTTTCCTTTGTGTTAAGATTCTCTTTCTTACGTTGCTGACTTCCTCTTCTTGTCAACAAAGCTGCATTCTGTTCTATTGTATTGCTCTTTGTGTCGTTTGGGCTTGTCTCTTTGATCTGATAACACAATGGCTTGCTGGCTGGAGGACCAATCGCCAGGCAGACTCACCTGTCAAGCAGTCTGGAGATTGTGATGATACTTGGAAGTACTGAACGAACACGAATAAGAAGTCGCTCAGAGCCAGGTTGACTCAGCATTGGTCAAATGGTCGCTGGGTAGTCTATTGTGTCACACGGCGTTCGTAGACTGGAGGCAACATTCGAAAGCACTGAACGTCGGGACGGAGGATCTCTGCACAGCGCGCCGGTGCGATGTCCCATGCATCTACAAGGCTGATCGAGATCGAACATCTTGCATCATGCATTGGCCAATCGGAAATGTGTGAATCCCTCGGCCGCGTCTTGAAGGATGCGGCCGCCAACTCGAAGGCATCATAGTGTCGGCGAGACGGAGCTGCCAGCGATGAAAATACCGCTGAAGCTGAAAACCACCGGATATATGATCAAGGACAGCAGAACTGGGCAATTGAAAAAACCTATCAAGATTGTTTGGAGGTTGGATTGCTGCAGCTTACGCTGATCACGCTTATCTGAAAGCTTGACCACGATCCTACAAACAGCTCTGAAAATGTCACCAAAAGTCCTCATCATCGGAGGCGGCGTCGGCGGCTTAGCCCTCGCCCACGGCTGCAAGAAACACAACATCCCCTTTCACGTCTACGAACGAGATCGCACCGAAGCCTACCGAGCCCAAGGATATCGCGTACGGATAAGCGGTTTGGCTGGTACAGCACTGCAACATCTCCTGACCGAGCAACTCTACGCCGACTTCGAGCTTTCCTGTGCGGACAATCGAGCAGCCGACATTGCAGAAATCGACGCGGAGACCGGACGAGTCGACTTACCAAAAGTTGACGACAGTGTCCGGGCGAAGCTCGATTGCAATCCCTCGGGTTGGTGTGTGGATCGATCTGCTTTCAGGAACGTCTTGATCAAGGCTTTGGATAAGGATGAGATCTCGTATGACAAAGTGTTTGAGCGGTACGAATTGAGTGAGGACGGCGTTGTTGCGCATTTCGCAGACGGATCTCAGGCGAGCGGGACGTTGCTTGTTGGAGCGGATGGGAAGAACTCGAATGTGAGGAAGCAATTGCTCCCGCAGGTGGAACTGCTGGACACGGGCGTGAAGTGCATTTATGGCAAGACTCTTATCACGCCGGAGATCCTGAACACTCTACCAGCAACAGCTGCCAAAAGCATGTCGTTCGTCAAAGACCGCTCGCAAGAGAACCTCGCCATACTGGGCCTCGAACCGATCACATTCCCCAACCGCGAGACGCTCGAACAGCGAGGCATCGGCTGCCCACCAGACTACCTCTTCTGGGCCCTCACAGGGCCCTCAGAATCCCTGGGTTTCGGCTCAGCAGAGAAGCGATACCTCAGCATCGACGAATCGGAACAAGCAGCCCTCTCCGTAACCCAACACTGGGACGCCCGCCTGCGCACCATAATCCAACACCAAGCCCCCGGCGAAACCTCCGCCTTCTCCCTCACCGCCATCTCCAGCACCCTCCCCGTCTGGACCCCCAACGCGCACATCACCGTCCTCGGCGACGCGATCCACCCGATGGCGCCGACGGGTTCTGGCGCGGTGATGGCGCTGAATGATGCGTCGATGCTGTGCGAGGAGCTTTGCGAGCATGGGGTTGGGGAGAAGGCGGTGGGGGCTTATGAGGAGCGGATGAGGAGTGTTAGTGGGGAGGCAGTCAAGATGAGTTGGGCGGTGGTGACGAGGTTGGCGGGGATGAGGAGGAGTAATGAGATGCATCTGGGGGAGATGGCGATGAGTATTAGGGCGAGGAATGCGGAGAGGAAGGCGTGAGGGTTGATGTTGGAGAGGGGAGGGGGCTAGATATCCACTCTGATTTGCTCTTCTCAATGAAGCCCTCACTCATGAACTTCTCGTTCCTTACTTCCGTCTCTATTGCCTGTTTTCTGCAGCCTCGTTTGCAGACTATTTGAGCACATGTGCAGCATGACTACAGAAGTAATGGAGACGAAGCAAGAGCAGATTGAACAAGAAACTTCACATGCCGCACTTACCGCCCAACTTTCACCTACCAAACGCAACGTCACGTGCAACCGGATGCCAGACGCGAGCACTTTACGCGCCTGTTGCCTGAGACGCGTTCCGAACCCCGGCCAGATTTCGCCGAGCAAGTGAAGGTTTGGCGAGAGCGAGCCTTCCTCACGAAAGGTTTTGCTTCTTTGACCATCCTTTTCGACCACAACTTCTCCATCACCGCAAGACGTCGTCGAATGCACCGACAAGACCAAATTCCGACTTTGTTACTTGCGCACCGCACTGCACCGTCGCAACGCGTGCGTGGCAAACCCGATCTCGCCAATCGTGCAAACCCCTGCATTGGATTGATCCCCGGCCGATTCTCATGCGATCCACTTAACGCCTCCACACCACGCGCGCTTTGACGCTTCGTGACAGTTCGCATCGAGTGAGTCTCTTTTACAATTCCTCTCGTTTTCTGCACCTTTTTGTATCGAGACGGAGAAAGGACTTTGTCTGTGGCGGGTCTTTCATCTGTCAGACGTCGAGCCAATCGAGCTCCTGCGGGCGGCGAGCTGATCCTCCCATGGCGAGACTTAATAGACGATCCGGGGGCCGCACCGCGAGTGCGACGACTTGTATGCTTCTTACTTTTTCATCGGCAACGACGTCTTGTCGACACCATCGCTGACTCTAATGTAGCCGACGAGATTGCAGTTGCCACCAAACCAACGAACTCGCGCACTCCCGCGCCTCGAAGCCGCACCCGCCGAGTTGCCACCCCAAAGCGAACCCCAGTCGTGCCCGACTCTACCGATTCAGACGACGAGATCGTTGTGCGACCTGCTATGAGCTCGCGACGCATTGTTCGAGGTGTCGCACTCGCACCAATCGATCCAATGGCCCGCGACACTTTCCAAAAGCCTGCGGGCAAGACCAAGACCAAGAGTCCGACCGATTCGTCGCTTTCCTCTATCGCCAACACTTCGCGCGATTCATCTGCCGAGTATGAGACGCCAGGAACAACGCCAGCTACGTCTACTCGAGGAGCAGCTTCAGGCTCGAAGCGCAAGCGGTCGACGCTTGGACAACATGTGCTGCAGATTGACCACCCAGAGGATGTAGAAGAAGATGAGGACGATGAGACGTTGGCTATGCGATTGCAAGAGGAGGAGTACACTCGTGGAGGTGCAGAGCCGGTAAAGAAGCGAGCGAAGATCGCCATCTCAGACTCAGAGGATGAGAGCGAGCTCAGCGAGGCTGCGTCTTTGTCTTCTATGGAGTCCATGGTCAAACCATCTTCGAGCAAGAAGCAGCCGGCGAAGTCCTCCAAAGCTAAGGGCAAGGCTCCAGCCAAGGCTCCGGTTCGTGGCAAGAAGACGAAGCTTCCCTCTCGTGCGGCACGCAACAGTGGCAAGAAACTCAAGGTTGAAGACAGCGAATTGTCCGACCTGGAGGAGGTCAATGATGGAGACAGCGAAGATGAGTTCGTCGTCGAAGATTCTGACGCAGTCTCGACTGGTGTTAGTGACACTGAGTCTGACATACCTTTGGCATCCATTCGACCCGTATCCCGGACGCCCCTTACTGCCCCGAAGCGTCGCCGACCTGCGCTCTCCAACCGTCGCAACCGCCGTCATGGCAACATCAGGGCCGAGGACGCTCACGAGATTGACGATGCACTCCGACATTCGCTGCTCAGCCGCAAAGAGAAAGAGCGGCGGAAGCTCGAGAAAGCTCATCCGTCGATCAAGACCATGTGGAAGGATCTCGAAATGATTCCAGTCATCAAGCCCGTGGCTGCCTCACAGCCTGATAGCATCAACCGTAGGCTCAAGCCATTCCAGCTTGAAGGTCTGGATTGGATGGTCAAGCAGGAGCAGACCCAGTACAAGGGTGGTCTTCTTGGAGATGAGATGGGCATGGGAAAGACGATCCAGGCTGTCTCGCTCATCATGTCCGACTACCCGCAGAAGGACCCTACACTGGTTGTCGTTCCACCTGTCGTAAGTTATCCTAAATTCACTATCTGACCAAGTTCATGGCTGATGGCATGATAGGCTCTGCTTCAATGGTCGTCGGAGATCACAGAGTATACTGATGGAAAGCTCAAAGTCTTGGTCTACCATGGTCAGAACAGCAAGATCAAGGGCATGAAGGTCAAGGATTTGAAAAAGTAAGAAAATGACTAACAGACATCACACGGACAAGCCGCTGACTCTTCCTTCTTTTCAATAGGTACGATGTCATCATGATATCTTACAACAGCTTGGAGTCACTTCACCGCAAGGAGACGAAAGGCTGGAGCCGCGGTGAGGATCTCGTTCTCGAGGACTCGCCCATCCATGCGATCCACTTCCACCGCCTGATCCTCGACGAGGCGCACAGCATCAAGTCTCGAACTACCGGAGTCGCCAAGGCCTGTTTCGCATTGACGGGTACTTACAAATGGTGTTTGTCCGGTACTCCTGTACAAAACCGAATCGGCGAGTTCTTCTCGCTGCTTCGTTTCCTCGAGGTGCGTCCATTTGCAGACTACTACTGCAAGAAGTGCCCTTGTGCGATGCTTCATTGGGCGCTCGACGACGATCACATGTGCAAACACTGCAAGCACTCTGGAATGGAACACGTGAGTCTCTTCAACCAGGAGCTTCTCAACCCCATGACCCAATCCGAGGACCCCGAGGATCGTGCCAAGGCAATGGACAAGCTTCATATGATCACAGCCCGCATCATGCTCCGTCGTATGAAGCGCGACCATGTCAGCTCGATGGAGCTTCCTCCCAAGGAGGTCATTATCCACAATGAGTTCTTCGGCGAGATCGAGCGTGATTTCTCGAGCAGCATCATGTCCAACACTACTCGAACGTTCGACACTTACGTCGCTCGCGGTGTTATGCTGAACAACTATGCCAACATCTTCGGCTTGTGAGTACTTGCCATCATCGTCGTGACTGGGAATAGCTAACGTTTTACAGGATCATGCAAATGCGTCAAGTGTCTAATCACCCCGATCTCATCCTCAAGAAGCACGCTCAGGAAGGCCAGAACGTTCTGGTTTGTAACATCTGCGACGAGGTGGCTGAGGAGGCTGTCCGATCACAGTGCAAACACGACTTCTGCCGCGCCTGCGTCAAGACCTACGTCCAGTCTGTCGAGGATACTGGTGGAGAGGCCGACTGCCCGAGATGCCACATCCCGTTGTCAATCGACTTCGACCAGCCCGAGATTGAGCAAGACGAGGAGGTCGTCAAGAAGTCCTCCATCATCAACAGAATCAAGATGGAGGATTGGACCAGCTCGACCAAGATCGAGATGCTGGTGTACGACCTCTACAAGCTTCGGTCCAAGAAGCAAACCCTCAAGTCGATCGTCTTCTCGCAGTTCACGTCCATGCTCCAGCTCATCGAGTGGCGTCTGCGACGTGCTGGATTCAACACTGTCATGCTTGATGGATCTATGACGCCTACTCAGCGTCAAAAGAGTATCGAGCATTTCATGACGAACCCAGACTGCGAGGTCTTCCTGGTGTCGCTGAAGGCTGGAGGTGTCGCCTTGAACCTGACGGAGGCTTCGCGAGTCTTCATCGTCGACCCCTGGTGGAACCCCGCCGCAGAGTGGCAGTCCGCTGATCGTTGCCATCGTATCGGTCAGAAGCGCCCTTGCGTTATCACTCGACTGTGCATCGAAGACTCGGTCGAATCTCGTATCGTCATGCTTCAGGAGAAGAAGGCGAATATGATCAACTCGACCATTAACTCCGACAAGGCCGCTATGGAGAAGCTCACGCCCGAGGACATGCAGTTCCTTTTCCGCGGTACCTAAACGCTTCTTACGACCACGGTCGCACGACCTTTTGCTGGACTCGTGCATGACTGCATTGTTTTGCGACATCGCTTTGGCATCGCTGCGTTTGTTTTGCTGACTGCATGATTTGTGAGAGTACTTTACTACGAGGTGACTTGTTTTGCTATGGCTTTGAAGGAGTTTGAGCGGTTACAGGAGCTCGCTATACCCAGGTAGACCATAGACTACCACTGTAGAAGATGAGTTGACATTTGAGTGCTTCTCCAATTTCCTAGTTGGTCGTATCGTGCAGCTGTCTTAATGAAAGCAGCACAAGTCTGAAGTCTGAAACACGATCACACCCCTCTCTTTTTGTAAAGCACAACCGATAAGAGTTTCTGGTATCTGGCTGACGTTCATGGTTCGGCATCATCAACCAAATAAATATCACATAGAGACAAAGTCCTCCGCTCATATCCGCACAATATCCCACGACCCATTAACCAGAATCAACTAAACACCACCGCCTTCCGGTCCAACGGCCTCCCATCGGCCCCAATCCCCTCCCTCCGAAACCTCGCCTCAATCCACAACCGCCTCGCCTCATCAAACGCCACCCCCCTCCTCCTCATAATCACATAAATCTCCCGCTTCGCGCCCTCGTCCAGCCCCTGCCGGCTATCCCCCGCCTCGATGTTCTCGGCCAGGTTGAAGTTCGCGCTGTGCAGGCCCGCTTCGGCGTCTTCTTGGAAGTTGGTCGTGGGGACGCGGCTGTAGCGCCAGGAGTCGATCCAGGCTGTTAGGCGGTCGGAGAGGTTGTAGAGGGGTTCCGGGATGGGGCCCGGGGTCGTGAGGTAGGGTATTGGTGGGGCGTAGGGTTTCCAGGTTGTGCGGGTTAGGTAGAGGACTGTTGTTTTGAAGGGGGGAGGTTAGTTTGGAGGTGTGGTTTGGGGTTTGGTGGGTTGGGTTGTCTGCGTACCTGTTGCGAGGATGAGGAGGACGAAGGAGATGGTGTAGAAGAGGAAGGCCATGGTGTGGTTGTGGTGGGCGCGTGCGGGCGGCTTTGCGCGGGTCGGCGTGTGTTTGAGGTTGAGGTTTGAAGTAGAGCGTGTCGTGTTGATTATTATCGAGAGGGCTGCGGCGCCCTGCGGCCTGCTACGACGGCATGCGGTGTTCTCAGAAGGGTGGAAGGCTGCGACGTGCTGTGCCTTTCACGGGTGTCGTCAGCAGCTCGCCCGGCGCATCCCTGCCTTTGACTTTCGGGTTCGGCAGCGGAGCTAGATCCGCTTCGATTGCTTCCGTTCAAAACTTCGATCTGGGCATGCGACACTGCACAGCACAACAACACGGGTCAACATGTCGGGCGCACGACACTGGGAGCAAGATAAAGACAGCACTCTGTATGTCGGCAACCTCGACGAGCGAGCTACAGACGCCCTAGTCTGGGAGTTGATGCTCCAAGCTGGTCCAGTAATTAACGTCCACTTGCCCAAGGACCGCGTCACGCAACAGCACCAGGGATTCGGATTCGTCGAGTTTGGAAGCGAGGATGACGCTGATTATGCGGTCAAGATCATGAATCAGATTCGATTGTGGGGGAAGCCGATACGTGTGAACAAGGCATCTGCGGACAAGCGGGGCGGAGAGAATGGAGGTCTGGGTGGTGGGCAAGGAGTTGGAGCAGAGCTTTTCGTCGGCAATTTGGACAGTCTGGTGGATGAGAAGGTGCTGTATGAGACATTCAGTCGGTTTGGGCCTCTGGTTGCTGCGCCCAAGGTCGCGAGGGACGACAGCAATCTCAGCAAAGGATATGGCTTCGTGTCGTACGCTACCTTTGAGAGTTCGGATCAGGCGATTGAGCACATGCATGGGCAATACCTCATGAACAAGGAGATTACGGTCCAATATGCGTACAAGAAGGACGGCAAGGGTGAGCGACACGGAGACGCGGCGGAGAGAGCGCTGGCAGCACAGGCGAGAAAGCACGGCGTGGAGGTGCAAATACCCGCATTACCAGCAGCCCTCGTCATGCCCAGCAACACCCCATCCCAACCGGCGGCCATGAACGGCGGCTACCCTCCAGCAGGACCACCCAATGGGATACCCAACAGACCAACACCGCAGCCTCCGCCAGCATTCGGCGGCTATGCGTACGGCGCACCGCCCACCCCAACAGGCTTCGGCGGTCTCCCAACACCCACAAACACAGGCACAATCTCGAACGGCCACCCTCCGCCTCCAACTCGACAGTACACGCAATCCCCCCTCCAAGCACCGCCTTCGAATGCCGGCTTGCCTGCGCGTCCACCTACGATCAACGCGGGCTACGGCGGTCCTATGAATGCTCCGGGCATGAATCAGAACTTTCAGGGTCAGCCTCCCACACCGACAGGTTTCCCTCCTGCACCGCCGCCGCCTGGCTTGCCGGCGCCTCCTGCTGGATTTCCGCAAGGGTTCAGGCCGCCGACTGGATTTCCACCTGGTCAGAGATAGGGGGGATTACTGCGGTGTGTTTGTACATTCACAAAAGTATAGCGAGGCGTTGGATGGAGTTTCATGAGAAAGGGCAGGGCAGGGCGAAGCATCGACTAGAGATACCCTTGCTTTGTAGTCGAGCACAGGGAGACAACGGAGGAAAATGTAAAAGTAAAGAAAAAGCAATCCAAGCATCATCGAACATTGAAGATCAGCGGTGGTCTCCCCGCCTTGTCATTTCACTTCAAGAATTGCACGCCGTAGCTTTTCTCAGCCTCCAGCTCTCACACAACGCCGACCCAGACTGAATCTAACGAAGCATCCTTCTACGAGCTCTCCTTCACCTCAGCGGCCTTCCGCGCCTTTGCACCACGGAGCTTCTTCTCATAATCCTTCTTATTCTCCCTCTGGGTCTGGCGGATCGCGGACGCACGCGACACGGCCTCGGCGCGGAGGTCCGGACGATAGCCCTTCTTGGCGGTGGAGTTGACGACGGATTTGTAGAGCTTGCGGGAGGGGGTGGAGGCGTTGAAGGAGGAGGTTTGGGTCGATTTGGCGGGCTTGTTGGTGCGCGAGGGGAGTTTGGTCGTGAGGGTGATGGTGTTGGAGTCGGGTTGGATGCCGATGGCCTGGGGGAGGTGTGAGTTTGGGGGTTTGCAGGTTGGTTTGTTGGTTTTGTGGTTTGGGGTTTGACTTACCTGGTCGTTGACGTAGCCCTCGTACTTGCGGCTGTGCTTGTTGGTGAGGTTCAGCGGGTCGCGCGAGAACTGGACGCCGCCGGCCTGCTTCCTCTTCACGAGGAAGGAGGAGTTGGAGCCTGTGGAGAGATATCCCAATCATCAGCCATTCGTTCTTCCCTCCAATGTCTTTCCCAATATCTGCCCTTCATCTTTTTTCTTTTGCCATGGGTGTAAACGTACGGGTCACCTCCCAAAGGAGATCGTTGCTGAGGTTCTCGAATTGCGCGGCCATTTTGAATTGCTGGAGGTGTGTTGTGGCTTTGCGATGCGTGCAGCAGGTGACGTTGAAACCCGGCGACTCTGCTCGAATTGATGTGGGATCTTGGCGTTTTTGCGGGCAAGTCGGGAATGCCCCGTCGGCTGATCTTGCCGAAAGCTTGCAGCGTGGTCGACATTTGGGAAGGAAGTTTGGAGAGACTTCACTTGCATCGACTTCACTTCAACCGCACAAGATCAACGGAAAGCACATCGAAATGGCGTGGTTGGCATTGTCTGAAGAGAGCAAGGTATGCGCTGGACAAGATGGATGAAAGGCGATCAGAGGCTGACTCTTCAATAGGAGCGCATCGCTCGGGTGCTGGACCTCTCGAGAGTCGCGATTCATTAGTACGCACCCTCATATCCGACAAGTCGGTCTGCATCACGCTGACTGCAGTATAGCGGTTACCTCCCTCTCATAATCTACCTCGGATACACACGAAGCAACCCGCGACCGAACCTCATCTCGTCAGTCCATGGCCCTCCGGAATCGTCAAATGTCTTCACTAACACATCGTAGAATGTTCTCCCCACTGGCACAGTAGACTACTGAGGCGAGGAGGGAATAGGAGATTGTGGCAAGAGACGCGGGACTGTACAATAGATGGAATTGATACCTTGACCATGAATGGGTGGAAGACATCAACGGACATGGGAATGGGAAGCATAGCAAGGCGAAGAGGCGTTCGCCGTGTACATTGAATTCAAAGGAATCACCTCTATGGAAGCGCCTGTCGGTTCTCAGCCAAATTCCTGCCCACGGAAGTATCCTCCTCGGTCCGGTCAAAGTGGAACGTATCGAACTGCCGTCTCTCTGCTTTTTCGTAAGAGACAGCGCTGCTAATTGCACTCCAAGCTGCTTAGAGGGCTTTAAAATGATAGGGATAGATGCTCCACTTTGAGCAGAACATCGAGAGTACTCTGCGTCGGATTGTTGCGCTAATCAAAGCAGAACACAAGCTCCATCCGCAGATCGTCAACCCCGAAACACCAACTCATCCATCCCCTTAATCAAAAGGTGATCCTTGGGCAGCCCTTGCACCGGAAACACCTCCGGCTCCCGCCTCCCAATGCTCCAAATCGCCTTGTAATCGTCGTAAAACGTCCAGCTCAAATCCTCATCCAAATGATCCGCCAACCAGCTCAAGCTCTCCGCAATCTTCCTCACGGGCTCGTCCACAAAGCCCGACGGGACTTGCAAAGGGTTCTGGCTACACGGCAGGCCTTCGCCCTTGTCGCAGCGCCGCATGCCCGTCTCCCCGGACCAGTTCTCGCGCAGGTGGAGGACTTGCACGTTGCGACTCGACTGAGGGTTTGCGCGGCACTTCCAGACTTCGAAGACGCTGTGTTGCAGCTCGCCTGGGCTGTTGAGGATGAAGAGGACGTCGTTGGAGACTCTCCGGTAGAGGTTCAGCAGCATGGCCTCGGGATCGACCGTCACGGTGTGGTTCGAGCAGGCGTGTCCTTCAACCGGGGCGCTGAGATGTTTCAGTCAGTCATGCTACTCAACTCATTCCTAAGAGTTTCTACTCACGGATGCCACTTCATAGCCTTCCAGGTGGACTCGTGTCCTTCCAGCCGAAATGGCGTGCCTCTCGCCACCTGCAGCCCATACCCGCCGTAGAAGACCACCAAGCCTTGCTCAGTGCCCGGCTCGATACCCGAGACGAGAGCCTGGTAGCCTGCATTGAGATCGTTTTGAGCCTGTTTGGAGTCTTGGTTATCAAGAGTCTGCAAAGTGACATCCCAGCCCATGCTTCGCATGGACGCTCCCAGCGCTTCGGTGGCGCTGGCCAGGTGAGAGTCTTTGAAGATGAGCAGGAGGGCGCGGTGCGGTGCGACGGACTCGTCTGCCATGGTTGGTAGCGGCGGACAGGCGGTGGTAGAGAGGCCTGGGATGAGTGGGAGTGGTAATGGAGCTATTTGTAGATGGGGTGTGTTGTTTGCGACATTCTGGTTAACTTGTCGCTTGACTTCTTCGCTTACATTCTATTTTACTTGTTCTTTCACTTCTCTGTTTACCTGTTTCTTTACAATTCCTTTCACTGTTGCCTTTAGTACTCCCTCTACTTCCCTTCACTGCTCCCTTTACTACTGCCTTTTGCTACTACCTTTACTATATCCTTTAGTCCTCTTTTCACTACTCCCTTTACCGCTCCCTTTACTGCTCCCTTTACTTCTTCCTGTACTCCTTCTTTTACTTTTTGGACTTCTCCCTTTACCTGTTCCTTTACTTCCTCTTTCACTCCCTCTTTTACTTCTGCGTTTACTTCCTGTTTCACTTCTCCGCTTACTTCCTACCTCACTTCTCCCTTTACTTCCTACTCTACTTTCCCCTCACTTCCCTACTTGGCAGTCTTTAGATCCTCCCTCAACATGTGAATCTTGGCGTTGGAAATAACTTAGTCACTTACGATACTGGCAGAGTCATCGTATTTTACGACTGTGCTATTATTATCTGTTTTTCTTGGGGCGCCAACTTTGTCCTAGCAGTCACTTCGCGAAGGTTCAAGCCTCTTCGAACAGTGGCGTGCTTCTGGCTATTGATTCTTATTCACTCGAAAGCCAAAACGGAGGGGTATGTCTCAGGATAGATAGACAAGGAAAGGGGTTAAAAGACTAGAAATGAAGAGTGCGTGACAGGGGCAGTGTTTGTTCCATCTCAGCTATGGAAGGCGAAGGAATGACCATTTGTAACGGAATTGGGGAGACAGTCTCGCTGCAAGACATCATTCATCCCTAATCCAACTGCTGGCGACCAACCTCTACTTCTCCTCCTATGGTCTTAGACATCTCCCAGTGCGTGGAAATACGATAGCCGTCTTGAAGACCGTTTTTGTAGCGAAGCGACACATGCTCCCTGTGATGCAACATCTTCTTGTGGTTGATCGTCTAGCTCTACTCCGGAACCTTATAGTGAGGGCTTCTGACCTCGTAGATCTCTTGCTGGAAGTCCGGGCAATGGACAGACAACTCGACGTAGGCCTTGGTGAACCCAGGAATAGCGCCGATCAGATCCATCTCTTCAGAAGTGTACCAACTGCTACCGTCCGCCTTGAGCTCCGAATCCAGCGCCAGTTGGAACAAGAAGAGTTCGCGCAGCTTGGATCCCTCGGACGTGAGCTCGAATGCAGCAGAGATGCCAACAGCTCTTGCTCGGGAGAGTTTGAAGACGTGTAAGAGGCGATCTGTGGCGTCGTTTTGGAGCTTCGGGAGGAGATACATTTCACCCGCTGCCCAGAGGTGGGCGAGCTGTACTTGGGCGTCGGAGGTGTCGTCCGGGCTGACATCCATGATCGCGATCTTGCGGTTGGTCATCCAGAATAGCAGGTGTTTGAATGTGTTGGTAGTGCAGCCGGGTAGGTTGAGTGTCTTGGTACGGCTCTCTTCGAAGTCTCCCTGCAACGCCGCTCTGAAGTAGCTCGAGAGGCTGCAGAGGATTGGCTTTTGAACCCAGAATGTGCCGCCGTCTTCGAGCTTGATGTTGACCAGGTTGGGCTGTTCGAAAGCGCTGTCTCGAGTGTTAGTATCGGAAGGAGTATTTAAGGCTCTTGTTCAATACACACCTCGCGACTTGATCCGCAGTCTCCATGTTGTCCTGCATACTCTGGCGCATGCGAGTGAGTGAGCTGAGAGAAGTTTGGCGGAGGTAGACCAAGATTTAAGTGTCGGCTTCGAATCGCATGTGACGCCGCTCTTCGCATTCACCAGGGCAAAGCCTCAAAGAGCGCTTCACGCAGCCATCCCCCAAACCACCACACTCCCGTCACCTCCAGCACTAGCCCACTGCTTCTTCAACTGATTCCACGCCACAGCACTCACAACATTCCTCTTACTCGCCTGCACCTCCGCCCCCTGCCCTCCCTCCCTGACATGCCACAACCGCTGCACCACAGCCCCCGTCAGCACATCCCACACCACCACCCTCCCATCCTCACTCCCACTAACAGCATACGCATCCCCCACGGCCAACATACTCCTCACCCTATACTCCTCATTCACGAAACCCGCCTCACCCCCCTCAAAGCTCTGCAAACACTTCCCCGTCCCCCGATCCATAAACCGCACCTCACTCCCCAACGAACTAACCAGATACCCATCCCCCGCCCTCGTAGGCATCACACTCGTAACCCCCTTCCCAGGCGCCACAACATCACAATCCACCCTCCCAGCCCCCAAATCATACACCCTCACCCGCCCATCCACACTCCCGACGAAAATCTCACTCCCCAGAACTTCCACGGACGACACGCTATCCTTCGCCTCGGAGAACGTCATGATCGGCCGATTGTCGTTCCTCGCCTTCAAGTCCCACACCTTGACCGTCCCGTCATAACTCCCGCTCACGAGAATGGAATCCCCTTCCCCGCCGAACCGCACGGCGTTCACCCGCGCCGCATGCCCATTAAACCTTCGAAGCGTCTGCGCCGTCGCGACATCCCAGAGGAAGACTGCTTTATCGCCCCCGACGGAGGCGAAGCGCGCGTTGTCGGCGGAGACGGAGAGGTCGAGGACTTCGTAGCCGTGGGCCGAGTAGGTTTGGATTAGGCGCGAGGTCGATGGGTTGAAGAGGCGGACGGAGCGATCTTGGCAGCCCGTGAGGATGTATTGGCCTGTGCCGGCGGAGAATGTGACGGCGTGCACGGGGCCGTTGTGGTCGGTGAGGCGGGCGAGGGGGGTTGTTGGGAAGGGTTTTGAGGTCATGTTTTCTTCATCTTATTGGGGGTGTCCTGAAGAAGTGAGGTTGGATTGCCAAGAGTGGATCCTCAAGGTTGCTTCTCTCGAACCAGCGGCTTGTTTTCCAGGTCAAGTCTCTCGGTGTTTTGAAATTGAATCTAGAATTGAGAGAGAAGTTCGACAGGTGACGTTCAAACTTGCCGCTTAAAGCATTCACACGTGATCCAATTGTAATTTGCAGTGATTGATTACAGTCTGCCTCGATTACATTCCTACAGCTACTACAGGAAAGACTACTTTTACTCGCACTAGCAATGCTCCCAGTACATGCTAGTCTCGCCATCCATCAGCACCAACGCTTGCTCCCAGCCCAAACCTTTCTTAAATAAACACAATGAAAGCAGTATCGAGGTATCTTCGCACGCAACAAGTCAGTAGTCTTCCGGCCCCACGCCTCCCAATGCCTGGCTTGGTGACTTCTGCTGGTCGCAACTGTTCTGCCTTGGCGCTGGTCGGTGTTGGTCTGCTCGTTTCTTCACTTCATGTATCCAGATGCATTTAGCGGCGGCCGGTTCGGGACATGCTGCCCTGCAGGGCCTCGACCTCAGCCTCCAGCTGCTTGATAACAGCGTGGCTCTGCTCGAGGTCCTTGTTCAGGCGGTCCCTCTCCGAGATGAGCTTCTGCTCCCACTGTCTGAAGCGCTGCTCTTCGACCTTGACTTGCTCAGTGAATCTCTTCCTAAGCTGCTCCTCTTCTTCCTTGAACTTGGGGTTATCAAGCTTCCTTGGCCGTGCCTCGCCAAACTTTCTGGTCTCCATCTGTTGAGCGCGGTATGCCTCGTAGTGGTTCTCTTCGGTGGTGTGGATCAGGTCAAGCATGTGTGTGCGGATAAGGATAGCGCGAAGCTTCTTGAAGTCGCAGTGGTCCTCGTTCTCGACCTCGGCGACACCCCAGGCGTATTGGCGACCCTTCACGGTGCGGCCATCTGGAGTGCTGACGTCCCTCTCGGATCCTATCACGGAGAACGGCATGGCAGCGATCAAGCTACGAGCGTGCTGGAGGCCGGCCTCGTCGTCCTCCTCGAGCGGTGGAGTGTAGATCTTGATGCCTTGCGCTTCGATGACGTTTCGAATCTAGAGACTTATCAGCAAGAAGAACCGCGTTGGTATTGTTGTCAGAGCTTACGCGGTGCTTGAACTTGGCGAGATCAGCTGGGGAGAGTGTATCAGCCTTGGCCACGACTGGGATCAGGTTGACGCGCGTGCACAGGCGCTTCATGACCTCAATGTCGAGTGGCTTGAGGGTGTGGCCAGTCGGGCGGATGAAGTAGAGACAGGCGTGGACTCTGAGATCAATCTTCTCCGTTCTCCTCGGCTGCTGCTCCTGGAGCATGTAGCTCTCATGCTGGTCGTCCAGGAACTCAATGATTGGCTGCCAGCTGTCCCTGTTGTTCACGTAGTCGCCGAAACCAGGGGTATCAATGACGGTCAAGCGGACCTTGAAGAACTTCTCTTCCAGCTCGGCCTTGGTGATCTCAATCTCAACAGTCTTGTCCACCTGCTTAGCGTGACGGCGGCGGTGGTCGGCGTAGTTCTTGATGGTGGTGCTGAAGAGGGTGTTGATGAAGGTCGTCTTTCCCAGGCCGGACTCGCCAGCGACCATGATGGTGAAGGCAGCGCCGCGCTTGGCGACAATCTTGTGACGCTGGTTGGGGAGCTGGAGGGAGCATTAGCGAGTGCGCAGACGATGGGCGATGCGATTGATTGCGCTGCGACGTACATTGGCAATGCCAATCGGCGAGGCAGATTCGGCCATTGTGCGTTCGGGGTGTGGTGAGGGAGTCGTGTGAGGAGGGTACAATTCGGTTGATGGGCGAGTCTGCGCCGGGAGTCGCTGCAATTGATGGAATTGGTCTGTAGCACGAGACTTGTCAGTCACACGGTGTCCCCAATGCTTCTCCACGCTGGCCGCCAACGCGCGTCGCACTGGAGTCCAGCGGTGCGGGTGGGAAACGTACCGCCGAGTGGTCAGATGGCGGGTGTTGAGTTTGCGAGCGCTGGCTCGAGGATGAGAGACGGCAGGAAAGTAGCGATCGGACGAGGAGCAGGCGAGACGAAGCAGCAAGTTGGCGGAGTGGTGCGGCCAAGGGCAAGGTCGAACGTTCAAGACCCCTTTCTATTCCCAGGAACTTGCCGAGAATGCCTGCCCTGTGCTTGCCTGCGCTAGCGGCCCGGTTCGTGGTTTAGAGTTTGTGGGTGAAGAGAGCCGCACTGCATCTTTGCAACGACTTCGACAAACCATCATGACGACGAGGCGATCACCACAATGAGCATTGGGTGGCAGTGAACAATTTTGCAGTCATGAAGACCGATTTCAAGGTAAGTCGTGAGCTGGTACTCGCCGCGACAGGAACACCCGCAAAGACTTTTCTGGACCATGCACTAACACAAGGTAGTTCTCGAATCAGTTGGGAACAGTATACCGGAAGGGCAATCTGGTCTACACAAACGATGGTACATGTCTGCTTTCACCCGTTGGCAATCGAGTCACTGTCTTCGACCTGGTCAACAACAAATCACACACTCTTCCATTCGCACACAGACTGAACATTGCCCGAATCGCTCTCCACCCGAAAGGCCAACTGCTATTGACGATCGACGAAAGTGGGCGAGCGATTCTGTCTCATTTCCAGAGACGAATTGTCCTTTATCACTTCTCCCTCAAGAGCCCAGTCTCTGCACTTGCATTCTCCGCAAGTGGCAAACACTTCGCTGTTGGCTTAGGCAGGAAGATCGAAGTTTGGAAGACGCCATCAACCCCTGGGTCCGCGGAAAGTGCCACTGGAGATGACTCGGGTGGTCTCGAATTTGCCCCTTTCGTACGATATAGGCAATACGTCTCTCACCACGACACTGTTCAGCACATCGAATGGAGCAGTGACTCGCGCTTCTTTCTCTCCGCCAGCAAGGATCTCACGGCTCGGATATGGAGTTTGGACCCAGAGGAAGGATTTATGCCCACAACACTGGCTGGACACCGAACTGCAGTCTATGCTGCCTGGTTCAGCAAAGATCAAGAAACGATACACACTGTATCGAAGGACGGTGCGCTGTTCCAGTGGCAGTATCTGCCTCCTGCAGACGTTGACCCCGACGATGTGAACGAACAAGACGAGCGATGGCGAATCACCGAACGACGTTACTTCTTCCAAGATCAGGCTCATTTGACGACTGCCGCATTCCATCCGGCCTCAAATCTGCTGGTCACGGGATTCTCGAATGGCCTTTTCATGCTTCACGAGCTGCCGAGCTTTTCTGAGATCCACAAACTCTCGATATCCGCTTCACATGTTGATACAGTATCGATAAATCAGACCGGCGAATGGCTGGCTTTCGGCTCTTCTGCACTCGGACAATTACTGGTGTGGGAATGGCAAAGCGAGTCCTACATTCTCAAGCAGCAAGGTCACTTTGACAGTATGAACACATTGACCTACTCGCCCTCAGGCGACAGGGTGATAACTTGCGCCGACGATGGAAAGATCAAGGTCTGGGATACGACATCCGGATTCTGCATCGTCACCTTTACCGAACACACCTCAGGGGTGACGGCATGTGAGTTTGCAAAACGAGGAAACGTCCTCTTCACTGCATCACTTGATGGTAGTGTACGAGCTTTCGACTTGATTCGATATAGATGTTTCCGCACGTTCACAGCACCTAAAAGACTGAGTTTCAGCTCAATCGCCGTGGACCCAAGCGGCGAAGTGGTCGCGGCGGGCTCATTGGATGACTTTGATGTACACATTTGGAGTGTGCAGACCGGGCAGTTACTTGACCAGCTCAGTGGGCATGAAGGTCCAGTTTCAAGTCTGGCATTCTCGGCTGCAGATGGCAGTCTGGTGTCAGGCAGCTGGGATCGCACAGTCAGGATATGGTCGGTGTTTGGCCGAACACAGACGTCCGAGCCGCTACAACTTCAAGCAGACGTATTGGCTGTCAGTGTTAGGCCAGACGGTCGCCAAGTGGCAGTCTCGACACTTGACGGTCAGCTCACCTTCTGGAGTCTAAGTGAAGCCACACAGCAAGCTGGCCTTGACTCGAGAAGAGACGCAAGCGGTGGACGGAAGACGACTGATCGGAGAACGGCCGCGAACGTGGCTGGAACCAAAAGCTTCGGCACCATTGCCTACAGCACCGACGGAACAGTACTTATCGCTGGCGGAAACAGCAAGTACATTTGCTTGTATGCCGTCGAGACTGGAGTTCTCTTACGGAAGTTCACGGTCAGCGTCAATCTCAGCCTCGAAGGAACGCAGGAATTCCTGAACTCAAATCTGCTCACAGAAGCGGGTCCACGAGGCTTACTCGACGAGCAAGGCGAAGCTTCAGATCTCGAGGATCGTATCGACAAGAGTTTGCCAGGATCTAAGCGAGGAGATGCAGCCCAGCGGAAGTCTGCACCAGAGGTGCGGGTACCTGGCATCGCGTTCTCGCCTACTGGAAGAGCGTTCTGCGCTGCTAGCACTGAAGGTCTGCTTCTATACTCGCTCGACACCGGCGCCGTCTTTGATCCCTTTGACCTCGATGTCGACGTCACTCCTGAAACCACTTTGCAGGCTCTTCGACGGACCGAATGGCTGAAAGCAATGGTCATGGCCTTTAGACTCAGCGACACTAGGCTTGTGCGGCAAGTCTATCGCTCAGTGGCCATCTCAGATATTCGCCTTGTGGTGCGTGACTTGCCGCAAGTCTACCTGGAGCGGTTGCTGCGATTTGTCGCCAAGGAGGCCGACCAGAGTCCGCATCTAGAGCTGAACCTCATCTGGCTGGAGAGCGTACTGAGCCAACATGGCAGATTGCTCAAAGAGAAGCAGGGCGATTACGCAGAGGTCGTTCGGATGGTGCAGAAAGCGACTGCCAGGATTCAAAATGAGATCATGAAGGTTGCGGACCAAAACACGCATACGATCGATTACCTGTTGGCACAACCACTGAACGATCCATTCTCTGGTATGCAGCTGAAAGCGATTACTACCGGCGGGGCTGAGCAGGAGGAATCGGATGATGATGAAGAGATGGCAGATGACGATGAGGAGTGGATCGGACTTGAGTAAGATCTGTTTTCCGAAAATGCATGAAAGCCTGGCGTTGGGGAAAGGGAAAGCATCAAAGCACCTGTAGACATAGACAAAAAGCAGCCAATGTGCTGCATTGAAACCACCTATTATTTTATGCAAATGCCACGACTTTTGGCCAACATTGTGCAAAAGCCTTCAAGAAGAAATGCAGCAATTTCCGACGTCCGTCTATACGATCTCTACGCCTCTCTCGCGACGCCTCGATTTTTTTGCTAATCCAAAAACTACGCCTCCCGGAAAAGAACGAGATCTGATGGAGGATTGTTCTTCGAGAACACAACATCATCGAGCGGCTCGGAAGGAAGACGGACAATAAATAAAACCATTGAAGAAACAAATAAAAACGACTCTGGTGAGTGAGTGAAACTCCCAAATATCCAATCTTCCAGTGTTGTGTCCGTCTCCCTCGAGACAGGACCCATCCACCCTCTTCCTCCAAAGTTTTCCCCCGAAGCCTCCGACCACGCACTGACCTCGACCGCTGCAGTCCACCCACATCAACAACATCCTGCACCATGTCCACCAACAAAAAAACCGTCTCCGTAATCGGCTCCCTCAACATCGACTTCATCACCCGCACAACCCGGCTACCGCTCCCGGGGGAGACCCTCTCGGCGCTCTCCTTCGACCAAGGCTTCGGCGGCAAAGGCGCCAACCAAGCCGTCGCGTGCGCGCGACTCGCCGGCGAGGACGTGCGTGTGCGGATGGTGGGGCACGTGGGCGGGGATGGTTTTGGGCGCGAGTATCTGGAGGCGTTGGGGAGGGAGGGGATTGATGCGGGTGGGGTGAGGAGGTTGGAGGGGGAGAAGACGGGGGTTACGAATATTGTGGTTGAAGAGGAGAGTGGTGAGTTTACTTTTTTTCCTTTCTGAGAGGGTTGGTGAGGGGGTGGGATTGTGGACTGACGTTTGTGTTTTTTAGGTGAGAACCGAATCATGTTTGTGGCGAATGCGAATTGGGCGTTTGGGAAGGAGTATGAGAAGTGGTGGGAGTTGGTGGGGAAGGAGGAGGGGGAGAGTGAGGTTTTGGTTTTTCAGTTGGAGATTCCGTTGAATGTGGTAAGTTTTGATACCCTTTAGCTTCGCCCCATCGATGGCTTGACGATGGCTGATTGTTATTGCAGGTTCTGCACAATATGACCAGAGCAAGACAAGCCGGTAAACATGTCCTCGTGAACCCAGCCCCGGCGATTCTATTGCCAGCGTCCGCCTACGAGAACATGGACACACTGGTAATGAACGAAACCGAAGCGAGCATACTAGCCGGCACAGATCCAAGCCAGGCTGAAGACCAGACAGCCGAACAACTCATCAGCACCGCAAAACAATTCCTAGGCTGGGGTGTCCGCGACGCTGTAATCATCACTCTTGGCGGCAAGGGGCTTGTCTACGCCACCGCAGCAGGAGCTCAAGGCCACATTGGCGCTCATAAAGTCAGCGTTGTTGATACCACTGCTGCTGGAGACACTTTTGTGGGTGGATACGCTGTACAGCGGGCAAGGAACAACACGGCGAGCTTTGATTATCGAAAAGCGTTGGAGTTTGCTACTTTGGCTGCGTCGAAGACGGTTCAGAAGCGTGGAGCTATGGCTTCGATTCCGTATCTTAAGGAATTATAGAATAGACGAAAAACCGAGAGACAATGAGACTTGTGTGTGTATATGATGCATTCAAGATATAGAGCCAGCTCTAGTATTCGATCCATCAAAGTCAACCATTGCCATCTTTTGAGTAACCAGATCTTGAACAACTCGACTGGCGACTTCGAACGCTGTCCCACACGCAGCGGCCTTCACGATGGGCGCACGCTATCCTCATGGTATACGCCCACACCTCTCATTCCGATAGCAGCGTTGCCCCCAACCGCGACACTCCGGGCAATAGTGATCTGGGTAGACCATCGGTCGTTGAGCGGGCGGAACGACGAGTCGACGAGGTTGTATGTATGGTCTACGGATGGCGTTCCCGACGTTCGAATCGTTGTTGTTTTGGTGGTACTCGAGGTTGACGTTGAGAGACACTTCGAGGCGGGCGTGGCGAGGCATTGTTGTTGTGGTGAATTCGTGGAAGTGGAAGTTGGTGGGTCTTGGTGGATTTGGGGAGGTTGGAGGTCTTGAGGCCGGCTCGTGGGTGTTTTGGGGCTGTTGGTTGTTGATTGGGGATTGCTTGACGAGGACATTGTGTCTACTTATATTCTTGAGACGCCCATACTCATCGTGTGGTCTTGTTCATGGTCTTCTTTGAGGCTAGACTGTCTGTCACGGGTTGTAGGTTGAGAGACAGTTGTCTGTGCGAGGAGATGTTTCTGTTCAATGTCTGACATATTTCTGGTGGAAAGTTCAATCCCTCGTGTGTCGAGGAGTCTCATGCCGAGCCATTATGAATGTATCTGAGCAAGATATCAGCAAGACATCTGGCTCCGGGATCGAACGAAGGAACAGACATCGTGCTTTCCACAAGGACTCTCAGTCCTCATATGTTAGCCAAGCTGTGTGAAGCCTGGTAGAACCTTGGACCACTTTGAGGAAGACATACCTCAGATCATGACCCTCAAACGAGCCAATCTTCGCATACTTACGATTCTTCCGGTGCAAGCTCAGGACAAGCAGACTTCATCCCTTCTCTTCAACAAGCCATCATACTAGTCTTGATGAGCTGGTCTCGCGAGCTTTCTCTTCTCAGGCTACTACCTCTTCAATCCCAACATATATCAACACCGAGAGCCGGCCTCTCAACATCGATTTCTGTTCCATCAACGCACGCGAAAAAAATTATCGACCGAACACCATGCCGTACAGAACTCGTTTTGATGGGAACATCCGCTACAGGGACTACGGATGCAGGACTGTGGTCAATACAGGTGGTACCAGTTTCAAGTACCATACGATCAACCCGGGTGAGAGGGCTCCGGCACTCTGCCCACGCTGCTGGACGAATCATCCTCGGTGCAACCACAGGACATACCGTTGCTACGTCACGAATGCCATTGGGCCAGGACGATATGATGAGGTGAGTGAAGAGAGCAGAGAACATTATAATACATTGTGGGTAAGAGAAGGGGTAGATTGATCCTTGAGTGACCGAGATGATGAAGGTCGGGAATACTTCTCGAGTTGCCCAGTTGTATTTGTGTGAGGTACTGAAGCTTCACAATGGGGTCTCAGGGCTGCAGTTGCGAAGAGGCGTGCTGTTCAGGGGGATGCAGTGGCCAGCAGCGGGCGAACATGTTTTCGATGTAGCCGGATTTCGTACGTAGGGAGCATAGCTTTCAACCTGTGTTAGGCAGCCACACAAGCCCTGAATTTGCGTGAGAATCAGTCTCCAGTATGCTCCATTGCTTGACGTTGCTGCGGCAATATGGATGAGACAGGTCTTCAGTCGAAATTTCCAGCGCAGCTGGTGCCATCGTTGATCGCCAAGACAATCACCGATCGGGGCTGCTGATCCATGTCAGTCATTTCAGCCTCAAATGCGTCGTGAATGCGTCGTGTGTAACAACATTCAGCTCATTCTTTGATGTTGTACGTGGTATCGAAGAAGAATCCAAGCCCGAAGAAGTCCAGCAGGTGAGGTCGAAGATTGTCGTCGCCAACGAAGCGAAGGAGCCGCGCGCCCGTGGCTGGAACGAGAGCCGTTGAACCTCTTTCGATCTTCAACCAATCACGATGCTCTCGCTTTCTGTGGCGCACGGCAAGGAGTGGCTAGCGTCGTGGCTGCAAGTGATCGACCATCGAGTCCTGCTTTGGCCATGCACGCATCGTGACGAGTCTGGTGTACCTGTTTTACATTTTTGTTTTGCCAAAAAGAAATCCATGTGCTACTTCGTCGGTTCCGAGCCTTCTTTGTCAACAGCAACAGGCAAACTGGGATCCTTCCGAGCCCCGCGATTACCCAAGATTGCCAGCAGTTCAGGTTAATTCCCGGCATCGTCGACCCCCTGCCCGCTCCTCGTCATCGCCACCGCTTCCCAGCACGGAGCCAAGTCCAGTCTGCAGTCCTCCGCCAGCGCCATCTCCGCCGCAAGATAGTGCCCTCTTGAAGAAAGGCCGGACCACGTGCGAGTCGCCATACACGGCGGCACCATGGCCTCGTCGCAGTCTGCTTCTGCTGTCAACAAGCCTAAGAGCGCGAGGAAGTCGTTGCTATACGAGGGCAGGCGTGAGCGCGAGTTCTACCGGTAAGCATGTCAAGAGCGGTATCTTCTCAACGAGTACTGACACTCCCATTTAGATACTACCAACCCATTCGCGAGCTGACCAAGGCTGGACCGCCATTATGCGACTTGTCCGACGAGAAGGCTGTCGAGGCCCATCGGCCATTCTCGTCACCAGATCACGCCTTGACTGCGTTCTGTCAACTCGGGGCATTAAGATTGGGGACCCGCCGGGCCATGCTGTTCTTCTTTGACTCCAACTATGCCTATGTTCTAGCCGAAGCTACGCGATCTCTCAGCCTTCAGGATGATTCCGTTCATGGACAGGAGGATGACCTTTGGCTGGGCCACACCGTCATCCTTCGTGGCTATTCCGTCTGCGAAGCCACTGTAATGCTGCCGCACAACGAGGGTTCCAATAAGGAGGAGCCCAGTGCCAGCATCGCCCACGTTGTGAATGACCTGAGCGACGACACCAGGTTCTGCGACCGGCCCTTTGTTACACATGGACCAAAGGCACGTTTCTATGCAGGAGTGCCAATTACGACTCCACGAGGCATCAACATCGGGGCTTACTGCGTTTTGGACGACAAGAAGCGCGACGGACTAGACGATGCGAGTGTCTCATTTCTTCGTGATATGGCTGCAACCGTGATGACTCATTTGGAGATGGTTCGTGCAACTGCAGGGCACAAAGTCGGCACATCGATGATCGCTGGTCTGGGTGCTTTCATCGATGGTGCATCTGGTTTTCGCGACTGGGCCGCGCAAAATGCAGACTGGAATCTGGACGAGGACCCAAATATATCTCACCCGCTTGGTATACAACCAATGACTGTCGAAACATCTGCCGTCGCACAAGCCGCAAAGCAAGCCGGCGAACAAATGGAAGATGAGCGGAGACGAAGTGTGACACGTTCATCTCCAGCACCGCAGCGCTCTCGAGGGTCTACTATCACGAGCTCACCGAGCAGAGGGCCGCAGATCCTCAATCCGAGGACCTTGAAAGGCAAGAAAAGTGCGGACAGCTTCGAGGATCCGGTTGCACAAAATATGCAAAGAACCTTCGAGAGAGCCGCTACGTTAGTGAGAGAGGCCATGAACGTTGACGGCGTCATCTTCCTCGATGCCGCGGTTGGGACCTTTGGAGGTCTCGTGGAACATCCTGATTCCCTCAGCAACACCGAGCAGAGCTCTGACTGCCACAACAGTGCGGCGGAAACCACGACTGGTACTGACGTGGACGAGAAAATTACTAAAAACAACGATCAGCTTCCCAGGCTCTGTCACACTCTTGCTTATTCCTTCAACACCCAGGCCATTTCCAACCTCGAAAAGAATATGAATACGATCAAGCGACCTGGAGATATAACTGAGAAATTCTTGCGCTCTTTGTTGCGAAGATACCCTCGAGGAAAGATCTGGAGTTTCAACGAGTATGGCGACGCCTCGTCCGACGACGAATCCTCCGAAGGTAACACCGATGGAGGACTGTTTCCGTGTTGTTCTAAGGCGTCCAACAGCGATCATGGCGCTTCTTGTCCCAAGAGACATAAAAAGAGTCGCATGGACGATTGCAAAGAGATCCTTCGCCTTCTTCCAGGGGTTCGAAGTGTTGGAATTGTGGGCATGTGGGATCACACTCGCCAAAGATGGTATGCTGCTTCTCTATTCTGGTCTTACTCGCCTTTGCGCCTCTTTTCCGAAGAGTCAGAGGTGAAGTACATGACTGCTTTTTGCGATGTCATCCTTGCAGAGCTTCAACGAATTGAGGCCCAGAACTCGGATCGCGCGAAGTCGGACTTCATTTCTACCATCAGCCACGAGTTACGGAGCCCTCTGCATGGGATCCTAGGAAGCGTGGAATGTCTTCAGGAGACGGAGACGGACTCTTTCAGTACTGATCTGATTTCACAAGTCGAAATCTGCGGCAGGACCCTGCTTGATATCATCGATCATCTTCTGGACTTCAGCAAAATCAACCACCAAGCAAAAACAAAAGCGGTGAACCGAGGCAAAATCTCGAACAACCCTGCCAAGCGAGATCGTATGGGAGGTATGATGGCTTTGGACGCCGATGTCTGGCTAGATCAAATCACCGAGGAAGTGGTGGAGACTGCTGTCTACTCTTTCTGCTGCAGTCGAGAAGCAGAGATGATCATGAACCGGAACGTAGCGGTGATTCTGGATATCGATCGCTCAGCCGACGTTGACTGGAGATGCCACGTACCGATTGGAGCTTGGAAACGAATCTGCATCAACCTCGTCAGCAATGCCCTCAAGTATACGAGCAGCGGCCACATTCGCGTTTCCTTGAAAGCCCACGCGATCCCGGATAAGCGGAAACGGTTCAACGTTACCTTTTCTGTCAGTGACACTGGACGAGGGATGTCGCGAGACTTTCTGGAGAATCACCTCTTCAGAGCGTTTGCCCAAGAAGATAGCTTAGTTGAAGGAACTGGTCTTGGCATGAATCTGGTGGCCAAGATTGTCAAGTCACTTGATGGACGCATCGAAGTTCAAAGTGAAAAGGGCATAGGTTCGACTTTTGCGATTACTCTCCCCTTGGAACGAAGCCGACCGGCCAGAGACGCAACGGGCAAGAGCTCGCGAAAGACGCTTGAGTCCTCTGTTAAAGGAATTGCTGTTGGGGTCATCGACAACAGCGCCACGCCGCTTGCATCTGTGGGAGAGGTGCCTGATCAGACAGCCCGGTCCCTGATTGTCGAGAGCGTGCACAAGACACTGACCCAAGTAGGAGTTGACACACTTCAATGTACTTGGGCTGGCGACGACAAAGCTGAGGTCTATCTTGTCACAGAGGGTGAGCTGAACGACGAGCTGAAACGTCGACGAGATATGGGCTGTGCCGACCAGCTTATGTCACCGAGTGCGTTGAGCAACAAACCGTTCATCGTTCTATGTGACAGCACCTTGTCTGCACGTCGGATAAGAGCACCAGGTCTTGGCAATATTGCCAATGGATACATCGAGCTGATCGCACAGCCTGCGGGTCCCGATCGTTTGGTCAAGGCCATTGCTTCCTGCGTACGGCATAGGTCACTCACCAATGAGCCGACGCCATTGGTCAGTACCATCCAGGATATCGCTGCGATCACACCACCTGCAGATGAGCACATCAGCACTGATAATCTGCCGTCTCGGTCCCGCAAGGACACCTGCTTGGACAATCCCACTGCTGATGATTACAAGAAGTCCGACGCGAAAACTGAAGCCCACAAAGCGGAGGCAGAACGACTGCGCGTTGAGAAGCTCAATCGCGGGCTTGCAAGCGACTACAAGTTTCCTCGGATTCCAACGCCCTCACTCAACGGTTCGAAGCCTAGAGTCAGCGCGGCCGGTTCAGCTTCGAAAGCAACCCAGACAAAAAAACCTCCTGAGAGAAAGGATGCGGGCGTCTCGCTTCTCTTGGTGGACGATAACGTAAGTACATTTTGACCTCAAGGCTTATACCAGTACTGACATGTGACAGCCCATCAATCTTCAACTTCTAGTCACGTACGCCAAGAAGAACGGCCACAGAAAAGCGGTCGCTACCGATGGCCAACAAGCTGTCGAAGCGTACAAGAAGGCTTGTGACGAGGCTGGCTATGACAACAAGATCAATCATCGGCCTGTAAGCCGCGACGGAGTCAAAGCTCCTATCAAACCGCAGGTCGTTCTTATGGGTACGCCAATTTGATCTGATCATGATTGTTCTTGACTTACCATCCCGCAGATATCAACATGCCTGTCCTAGATGGCTTCGAGGCTACGAGGCAGATCCGTACTTTCGAGAAGTCGAAGGGCATAGAGCCTGCAAAGATCATCGCTTTGACGGGTCTGGGCAGCGCGAGCGCACAGCAGGAAGCGTTCACTTCGGGTGTTGATCTATTCCTAACGAAGCCTGTCCGGCTCAAAGAACTCACGAAAATCTTGGATGGTATAAAGAAGGATTGAATAGGCGAGTGGGCGTTGCCTTTACTATTATGATGGCTGGCGTCCGAACTCTTTTGGCATGCTTATGGCCATGGGTAGGCGTTACGAAGGTGCTTTGATCTGGGTATAGAGGAGGGCACACGACGAGCTTTAGCAGCCTTGACTGCATGAAACGGGCCTCTCACGAGGACGTCTGACGAAATGATACACATTTTACCCGGCTGGTTTTCCTGTTCAATCCCCCATTCCTCCTTCGGGATTTGAATTCCGCTCGGAGCACAATCCCGAGCGGCCTCAGTTGCCAATTCTCGAGTTGCCGCTTCTCCTCACCTCGACTTCAACTTAGGCTCAATCGTGTAAACTGGCAAAAGCGATGACGAAAGTGAGTCAAGAACAATTTTAAGACTACGAGCCCCTCGATTGCAGCTTGTTGAGTGTAAAATCCACATACCATGGCTCCAACCTCACCTCTCACCCGAAGCCGAGCCTTCACAGCAGCCGCCTCGATCGCCTCAGTAGCAGGCCTGCTAGGTATTTTACACTACCTGGACATTCCCTCGCTCCTCCAACAAAGAGTCAAATCCCGCAAGGTCTCATCGAGATGCTACTCCCAAAACGAAGAGCCCTCCCTCGCAGCGTTCAAAACCCTCGTGGAACAAATCACGCTGAAGGAGACATATCCACTGGCCAGCGATATCCAGAAGAACATCCCGATCTACGACTGCAGGACGATCACACGAGAGAAGGAGCATGCGTGGCAGGATGAGTTGTACCACGTCCTTGTGCATGGACCGGGGGTGTTTGTTCTGCAGAACTTCTTCACGGACCATGACCCCATCGATACCGCCAACGCGGCCTACGAGACTATCATCGCGGACGAGCTCGCTGCAAATGGTGCGAAGGGCGACCACTTCGCCGCCGCAGGCACGAACTCCCGGATCTGGAATTCGTTTTCGAAACACTGCCTCCAAACCCCCCGGTCCTTCCTACAATACTATAGCAATCCGCTCTTCAAACTCGTCTGCGAAGCATATCTCGGTCCCGCATATCGGATCACAAGCCAAGTGAACATCGTAAGACCCGGCGGGAAAGCGCAAGTCTGCCACAGGGACTACCACTTGGGTTTCCAAACCGCCTCCGACTGCGCCAAATTCCCCAAAACACTCCACACCACGACCGCCTTCCTCACCCTCCAAGGCGCCGTCGCGCACACGGATATGCCCCTCTCCTCTGGCCCCACGAGGTTCCTGCCGTTCAGCCAGCTCTTCGAGGAGGGCTTCATGGCGTATCGACGGGCGGAATTCAATGAGTATTTCCTGCAGAAGTACGTCTCGTTACCGTTGGAGAAAGGCGACGCGGTCTTCTTCTCCCCGGCACTCTTCCACGCCGCGGGGGAGAACACGACGAAAGACTTCTCGCGCTCGGCGAATTTGATCCAGGTTAGTGCGGCGTTTGGGAAGACGATGGAGACGGTGGATTCGTTGCCGTTGATTGAGGCTTGTTATGAGGGTTTGAGGGCACAGGTTGGGAAGAATGGCGGATGGAGTAGGGACAGCGAGGCGTTCGTGAAGGCGGTGGCGGAGGGGTATTCGTTTCCGACGAATCTGGATCGGAGACCGCCTGCGCCGGGGGGTATGGCGCCGGAGAGTGAGCAGGAGGTCTTGAGGAGGGCGGTGGAGGAAGGGTGGAAAAGAGAGGAGGTTATGGATGTCTTGAGGACGATGAGAGAGGATTCTTCGGGGTAGATTGGTAAAACCGGTACATATCAAAGTTCGCTCGATGAGAACCTCATGTACATCGTTGTGGGACATTATTCTCACCCCCTCCGACGACTCCACCCGCCGCCACCGGGCCAGTGGCCACTCTCAGTATCGTCCACAAACCTCGACATGTCGGCCACACTAATAAAGCTCGTCACTTCATCCACATTAGCCATAAGGTCTGCAGAAGACTGCCTTGGCAACGCCGGGCCCGATTGCTGCGGCTGCGGCGAGGATGGCGAAGTCGAAGGCGAGACTGGCAGTGTCGATGGAAACGCTGTCTTCCGAGGCGTGACCGCGATCGTCTCCTCGTCGTCCTCATCCTCGTCGTCCTCGCCAACGCTCTTCCGCGCGAAGCGTGAGAACAACGATGCCCCTTGTGCCTGAACCTTGGTCTTCGTGCTTCTGCCCACGGGACGCTTGGCTTTACTCGCGGGTCCCTTCGGCGTGACCGCATGACACTTCTCCGGTCTCTCGAGCGACAGTTCGTCTTCGTCGGTGTCGACTGCCCACGTATCCCGTTGTGCACGAGTCACTGTGGGGTGGGAAGTACGCTTTCGCTTTCTTGGACGAAGCAGCTTCCCCTGTGCGGATGGTTGGGCATCTCGTGCTCTGGACGATTCAACGTCGCTGACGAAGAGGCTGGACTCCTGTGACATGGCGGACACGGAGACGCCGCTGTCCGCTCGCTGCTGACTTGGAGACCGAGACGTCGGATTCGCGGAGGCTGACTGATGGTTTTGCTCTGCCTGACGTCGAATGGGCATTGGTGATGGCGATGGCTCTGGCTCCAGCTTGGCCATCGGACTGTTCCTCTCCGTAGCCTTTGAGAATGGCGAGACCTTATACTCTGGACACGCTTCGTCTTTGATGGGGAAGTAAGAGCGGAACCTATCCCAAACCTCTATTCTCTTCTCAGTCAAAGGTTGATAGTCGATGTCAACTCGTGCTTGGCCTATTTCGTCGTATTGCAAGTCGTCGGCCTTGATCACTTGAAGGACAAGGTCCAAATGAGTGTCGTCGCCCTCAATCGCAACGATTGTGGTCACGACGTAGTGATCACGTCCATTGATGGCAACGGCTGGGAAGTTGTGCTTGTCCTTGTCCAAGTCGCCGGTCATATTGGCAAAGCGCACGGTCCATTTGGTCAAGCCAGCTCGTGGTTCTCCATCCTTGCGGTACGCCGGCTGGTGCTCCTTGCGGGCATTGGTGGAATGGAACAGCGGGAACGTGATTCGGCCAGGCTTCGATGCCAGAACGTTGAAGATCATGACCACACGTCTGCCGGTGGGCTGTTCGCCATCCCTCTTACTCATGATGGTAGTGAGCCTATCATCCACCCAGTCGATCCGTGTCCGCTTCTTGACTCCATCCGTCTTCACGAAATTCCGCCTAATCAATCCACTTCCCTGGATGACATCGGTGTGAATGTTCTTGTCCCATTCCTCTCCACGGCAAATGTATAGAACACCGGCAGGAAGCTGCTGCGGGTGATTCTCTGGGTAATGCTGGAGGGCGGCATGGCAGGTGGGATGTCGGTCTTGGGGATCAAAGCAGCGGAAACCCCTGTTCTTGAGAAAGTATTCATCGAGCTCCTGTCGAACGTAGGCGTTCTTGGCCCCGCCGGCGGTTGAGATGGCGCCATGAATCTGGATAGGTTAGTGGAATTCCATTTCCAGATGAGATGCTCACGATGCGGTAAGACATACTTTCTGACCAGCATGTTGCAGCAAGTGGCTGTCGAGCAACTTGGTAACTTTGTTCAGCTGATGATCGAAGAACTCCTTCATTTTCTCCCTTTGCATTTGGTCAGATTCCCACACCATGTCCAAAGACACTGCAATATACCAAGGCACATCAATATCCACCTTCGCAAGACCGTTGTTGATTTTGTCCCAGCCGGCAGGTGCTCGAATGGTCAATTGGAAATCCATCTTGTTGGGGAAGTCTGGCTTTACTCTCTCGAACTCGTCCGACACACGGTACCGAAAAGCCTCGATTGTGATGCCCATACGTCTGCACACTTCATGGACGTCCTTGCCGTGCTTGAGGACATCAGGACAAGTTTCGACCCACGCTGCGCCAAAGTCGTTTATCTGCTGTCCACCCGCCATGCCGCCTTCATCATGGTCAGATGCGTATCGAAGCAAATGTCTCACGGGAACTTACAAGTTGAATGGTTGCCAACGAGCTTCAGGACACGTGTATGAGGTTCCAACATGCCACTTGAAATGTCCTGTGAACGTCAGAAACGACAAATGCTTCGGGGTTGAGATATACTGACCACTGTGCCTCTGCCGATGTCTGTCGTTACGATTACATGCCCTTCCTACGATATGATCAGCCCCCGTGAGTTCTGTGGCGGCATGCATTACTCACTGCTACGTGTCTGTTTTCTTCTGCACAATGAACTTCGGAGGCGACAGCCACCAGCGACTCATACACCGGTCCAACGTTATTGAAACCGGCATCCGTTGCTGCTGCCACCATGATGCTTTGTGCATCTTGACTCCAGCCAGCGGGAACCATGAGCAGAGTCTCAACCTGGACGGTGTTGGCCCAGTACTCTCTGGCCTCGGCTCCGGGCTCTAGACCTGCCAAGTGGGAATGGTGACTGACCAGTCGATCGATGATCATCTCCCGAACTTGTCTGAACTGCATTGTGAGAAACTCCTCAAACGTCTCCATATTACCATGTTCAGCCCCAATCGCCTTGAAAACGGCTCTGCCTGTTGGCGTATTTCTGTATCGCTTGTGCAATACCAGTTTCCAAAGCTGACAGACTTTGCCAGTCTGTCGCGGATGGTGTCTTGACCACAAGTTGACGTCGCGCTCTCCCCAGATGAGACGACCATCGCCAAGATCGCCTTCGAGGACAGCCTTCTGGACGACTGAACCTTGTCCCATGAGTCGAATGGTGAAAGGCGGCGGGTTTCGCTGTGAAGCACCTGCCGGGATCCATTGGGCGCTGATCTTCTCTTCTCCAGTGCCGTGATCGATGACGATTCGAAGAAGATTCCTGTCATGGTCCATTTTGGAAGCAGATGGTGCCATGTTGTCCATGAACTACCAATGAATGAGGAGGGTGACTTGCAACGAAAGGTCTGAGCACCTAACAGAGATGGAGCAGATTGTGGACGAGCCCAACCCTGGTCACCCAAAAATATTGCTGTACCAAAGCTGCTGCTTGTCCCGGACGGGAGGCATTGATTGAGACAGCGTCGGGCACTAGTATTGGCACTGTTTGCAGAATGCTCTCAAGCTGGCAAGACGGCAAGCCACATGCATACATCGGCTCTGTATGTGACCGGCATGCAGGCGGATAGCTGTCATTGGTACCTGCAGGATACAGTAAGGGGCCTGTGAACAGTCTTGTTTTGGGCTAGACATCTGCAAAAAGTGACGTGCATGACGGATACGTGCTGGTAGCATGCAGTGTGTTTGCCTCTCGGGTCTTGGCACGGATACAACAACGAGGTTTTCCGTACCTACACTCGTCTAGATGGAATCAGCTTGAACAATATTGCAGCATGCCTCCAAGCAATCGGGAGGTGTGTGGGTTCGGTCTGGCTCGCCACACACGTTGAGGAGCATGCCGGCTGCTTCCCACGCGTGGCTCGACGCACATGAAAGCTGCAAGTCTATACCGGAAATGCAGCGTTCCTGAGGTGGAGATGGTAGAAGACATGTCGCATCGTTCAAGTTGAGGAGGAGGTTGGAGTCGCACACTGGAGTTGAGGAACGAGATTTGAGTGGGTCTCCGGGAGCACCCATCCAATCACAGGCCCGTTCTGTCAACGTCACTCTCTCTCAAAGCCAACACCGCAAACACTCGACATGACGTTTACATACGCATGTTGCGGTGACACTGAGCCATGCAGGCGTCCTTACGATGCGCTAGATGGCTCAGTGCAGGGCGGCGGCACGGCTGCGCTCTTCCCTAGCAGACGCACGCCAACAAGACTGCGCTCGCGGGTAAATGCTGCCAGGTGAGTCTGAAGCACACGACAATGCAGCATCGACGGCCAGCAATGCATACAGCTGCAGCTTTGTCTCTCAAAGCTTGTAGGAGTCTCATTAGACGCAGTTCGCTGCCACCACACAGCCTGCACGGGGACAAGCAACAATACAAAGCCACTCGCTCCCTCATCGCCAGAGATGGGCGAACCCAGTTGGGATCAACTCTCAAATTCATCGCTATCATCTCCGACAATGTCGAGACTTCGAGATGTTGAGCGACAGAGCCCGGTGAATCATGCGTTTGACATACTCATTACTGACGTTGATGCTGTCAAGGAGCATCACAAGAATCCCGACTACAAATATCGGAGTGCAGACAAGATCAAGAGTGCTCTGCACCTGCTGGCCCGACAGTACAACCTGCAGTATAAGCCAGACAGACGTACGAAGACACCATTGTCACCACTCACGGGTCAGAAACTGTTCGACCTGATCAAGAACAAACTCAGCTTGACCGAACCCGCCCTCGCTCCGTTCTGGAAGACTGGATCCGAATTCGATGCCATACCACTTAAAACTTTCAACGAAATTCGACAATACAGCAACTACGCCCAGAAAGCGTACAGCATGATCCCTCATGGATTCGCATCCGTCACTTGGCGACACTCTGAAGTGGAGAAGATGTTACTGGAGTTTGAGCTCTCCGATGCTTCTTTCATGCACCCAGACTCCCGGGATCATAACGACTCAACGCGTTACTCCACTCCTTCGCAGCAACCTGAGGACTTGTCTACGAGCTTGCCGGGACCTGCGGTTCTTGGCAAGCGATCTGAAGGGCAGGCCAACCCAGACTGGGAAGCGGAAGATCCTAACACCGAGCAATCGAAAGACACAACGATGGTCCCGCCGAAGCCACCAAAGCGCCGCCGGACAGAGTCCAAGTCTGGCGAAAACCTCCAACCCATCGACCTGAGCTCGACGACAGGATCAGATGTTCAACAGACTACCATGTCCACCCGCGAGGACGAGTTCGACATCAACGAGGTCACCAACGCCATGAAACGTCTTTCTGGGGAGCTCGGCACCTTCGTGACTCAGCTCTTCAAGCATTTCCATCTCCAGCAAGACTTGGCTGTGGTCTTCGACCCCAAGATCAAATCAAACGGTTTGCAACAACTGTACAAGGCCTGCTGGGGCGATGAGTGGCGGACTGTGGTCAAGCAGAATCGCAAGCTACTCTCCGCGTCCGATGTCGTGCAGTCTCTTGTATCGGCGTACCTTCACCTCCACGTCTTCCAGTCCGATGACACCCATTGTATTGAGCTGGCCAAGTCGATGGAGGCAAACGCGGCTTACACATTGGTGAAAGACGTGCTCAGACCAACATTCCGCCTGAATGGTGAGTCTACCGCCAAGCTTCCTGAAATAAAAAGCTAACATATTTCCAGATCAGAACGTCAGCAGCGCGCTCTCCACGATGCTTCTCAACGGCGACATTGCACAATTCCAGCACTACCACAACATTCTCATGCAACAAGTCCCCCTCTACATCATCAACCACGAAGACACAGGCAAGAGGGCCTGCATCACCTTTGCCAACGAGCTCTTCGACACTCTTGAGCCTCTGATCAGTCAACTCAGCAGAGTCGCCGAAGCCTGCAATCCAGACGAGGAGTTTGCAGACTGGAAGACGAAGCTTGAGATTCCAGCCTATCAGTTGATGGATCAAGCATTCCAGGTCAAGCGGAACGCGGCGCCGAACAGCGAGTACGTATTTGAGTACGTCTGGCGACAGAACGGCACGCCGGTCGACCCTGACTTCATGGAGGCAAAGGCGCCCAGCGCTGTTGGCGTTCCTGTTGTGGTCCTCACGACTCTGGTTCCAGGTCTACTGTATCAGCAGAAGGGTCAAAAGAACTGGTTTACGGTACAGCCAGCAGAGATTCTTGAGAAGGTCCAGGACGACAGGTCGGCTCAGGTACAAGTGCATCAAGGAATGTGACTGGACAGACTGTTCCAATGGGTAACTTGTACTGGAGAAGCGGGTTGCAGCATTTCTTGAGATGAATGTATCGTTGGTGAAAGATTTTAACATATTGCAACAAGTGGTGGCCGCTTCAACTTTCTTCACAACCTCGTCCCCTTCCCAATCCCCTTCTCCCTCGACCCCTCAAAAACAACGTGCCCATACTCCGCAAACCCCTCATTTCCACACCTCAACACGTTTCCAAACTGCTTGAAATGCTCCGTATGGTGATACACATGATGCTTCTCCGTCGTCTCCCACCCAACGTAAACCACATAGCCCGTCTCAAACCTCTTCTGCTCCCCCTTCCCACTCAAACTCACGCTCAAAGGTCCTGGCATAGTTACCACAGGCTCAAGAAGAGGTCCTCCAGAACATCCAAGACAGCCGTCGATGTGTCGGACTATGTGCGTCCACAAGGGCCAAGCGTAGTCGTTCCAGACTTCGGTGGTGTTGTAGTAGATTGCCGTGCCTGTGAAGGGTGCACCGCGGGCTAGGGAATGATCGGTTGGAGTCCACGATTTCATCTGTGCATGCCGTGTAGTCTTGACTCTGACCGAGAGCTTTCCGAGGATAGCGAGGAAGGCTCGGTGGCTGGCTGAGTTGAGCCAGTCTTGATGCTGGGAGATTGACTGCCGGACTATTTCACAAAATCTCTCTCAGCACAAGCACAATTGCATATGTCCTCCAACAGAAGTGTCGTCTCATGGAACAAATCGAAATAGGAAACAAACATAGCCTGATCTCCCCTGATTCGCCGCTTCGTATAGCAGAGTTTCCCCTAAATTCGTAGTAGGTGAATTGCAGATCGCAAAGCCAGAACTTTCACTCACCGAGGTGCAACTCCACATGCTCCGGATGCTCCAGACTGCGTGCCCAATACAACCGCTGGAGTCCAGGCGACTCGCAAGCGTCGAGAGCCTCTGCCCAGAGCCCGGTGTCGTCCAACTTCGCGTCCGGGTTTTGCTCGAAGCCGAGATGTATAATCTGTGTAACCGGTGCGGTGCTCGTCATGGTGCAAAAGGTTGATATCGCCGGTGAATTCGCCGAGTAGCAAGACGGTTGTTAGGCTGTGATGCCGCGTTCATATATTGGAAAGAGGGCAAGCCTAGCTATTGTAGGATCGAACGGACCGAGCTGCCTAGCAATCCCTGGCATTGAGGGGTTGGTGAACATGTGAAGTCGGTACTCCACGGCTGAGGATCCATCCGAGTGGCTCGTTAAATGTTCAGTTGTAGTAGCTGACGATAGCTCGTCCCCAGAATCCTGAATAGGCTCTTCTTGGTCACAGCTGATCTCCCCAGGACCCGGCCAACATGCGAGAAGCTGAGAGCGTGACGTTAGCTGACTTGTCACTCCTCTTGCTGAGGGGTCGCTACGAGGGCTGAGAGCCACCACGAAGAAGGGAAAGGATTGTTAGGGTGTTGGTAGTCCTGCTCGAAACTTTAATCAGCTGTCAATCGACTATTATAGCAATAAGCGCCGGGCAAGAACTGACCTCATCTCAACATTCCATACCACCATCTATTCTACTCTGCTTCAGTTAAGCCAACCAGAATGCCACCATTCACAGAATTCGCAGTGAAGGAGAAATACACTTACCTCCATGGCTTCGACAGCTATCATGAGCATGTTGTCTTGCAATGTCATCCAACTGAGATAGACTGACAGTAAGCAGAACCGAGGCCATTCCAGGTGCGAGTCCACTGGTCAACAATTCTCCTCAAAAGCCATCGTATGGCCTTCGAACAGAAAGAATCTCGGGTACATCTTTCACAGCACCAAGGGAGCAACTCATGCAGACATGGATGTATCGAGCGAATCCTTCCCTGGATCACAGCAAGTTTGAGCCAATTCAAGGGGCACCAGCGGTTCCCAGCAATGTGACGCCCGACTCCTATATGTGGCCGACGTTTCCAGGGGATGACCAAGCCGACTGGACGAAACAGAAGCTGCTCGCTCGCAACGGGGATCCAATGGCGAAGACAGGAACGGGGATATGGGTCTTCAACATCGCCAAAGACATGGCTCCACGAACGGCATTCTCTTCTCTGGACGGAGACTGTCTCATCATCCCACAAGCCGGCGCCCTCGATATCCAGACTGAACTGGGCAAGTTGCTCGTCAGGCAGAACGAGATCGCCGTCATCCCTCGAGGCATTCGATACCGCATCACATTGCCAGCAGGTCCAGCCCGCGGGTACATCTGTGAGCTCTTCCAAGGCCATTACAAGCTTCCAGATCTCGGTGCTATCGGATCGACCGGTCTAGCGAACGTTCGTGATTTCCAGATCCCTAAAGCGTATTTCGAGGGGCAGTTGCATCAGGGCACTGCGTATGCCAACGATGAGGGCGAGTGGACCATCATATCTCGGTTGGCCGGCCGACTGTGGTCATGCACGCAGAATTCTACTCCCTTCGATGTTGCAGCGTGGCATGGCACCAACTACCCCTACAAGTACGATCTCGGTCGCTTTTGTGTCCTGGAGAATGCTGCCTTCGACGAGCACGACCCCTCCCTGTATGTCGTGCTCACAGCACCCACGTACGCAGAGCCAGGCCACGGAGTCGTTGACTTCGCATACGTGCCGCCGCGCTGGAAGACCTCTGAAGACACTCTATGGATCCCCTACTACCACCGAAACGCAATGAGTGAGTTCTTTGGCCCAATCATCACGTCGCAAGATCCGAAGCATCCTTTGAATGTGGCCAGTAAGAACAATGAGTTCGCGCCATTTGCGGCCGGTCTAAACGGATGTTTGACTCCTCATGGTGCATCGGAAGAAGAGTTTCAGAAGGCATCAAACCAGGACCTCAAGCCGAGGAAGGACATGAATGAGGGCATGTCGATATTCTTGTTAGAGACTTATCTGCCTCTGTACGTTAGTGATTGGGCGGATGAGGTCGCCGTCAAGAACTTTGGAGGTCGGAATGAGAAACCTAAGGCAGCCAAAATGTAGAGGAAGTGGAAAGTGCAAAAGTGAAGCAGGGGAAGTTGCCAAAACAGCCGAAGTCTGAACGGAGAGCAAAATTTTTCGATATCGACCCACTTTCGAACGAAGGCTCGGCGATTGGAAAGAAACAAAAAAGAACATTGAATAGCTCATCGCTTTGCTCGTGCCATGATTCGAACTAATAATGTTAGCCACTAGTCTTGCTTCAAGGGATCGAATGCTCTACCATGGGTTTCTTCGGTATCGGCATTTGACCACACTAAGGTGGAAGGTTAGCAGTTGTCGTAGACTCGAACCAGGGCACTTTATGCTCTTGGGTATGTATACGTACACGAAACGTGCCTTTTTTTAAGGTCAGCGAATGACTTATACTCGAAATGGGGTACTTTGAGTATACTTACTCTGAAAGCAAAGGGCAAGGTCAGCGAATGACTCAGACACGAAACGGGGGTCCTTGAGTATACGTACGACCACTGCACTACACGAGCTCTCTGGATGATGGCGGCATTGGTTCTCAAACTTACTATAAATCCCCACCGCCGTGCATCTTTCTGCAGGCACATCTTGTGCAAACAGCACATGCACTCACAGGAAGGCCACGGTCACTCTTTCATGCTCCTACCCGTGCAAGCGAGCACTAGCCCGTGGAGCTTTGGTCATAATTGGGCCTTGGCGCCGTTTCGATATGCCTTTTTTCTTTTTGGATCGGGGGATGGTTCCTATTACTTCGTCGCAGCCGACAGGCCACTCTTGGTACCGACAATGGACACGACGTCTTCATCAGACACCACATGCGACAGGCCCACCCGCTGAGGGATATGCCTCGCACTTGCTCCCCAGACCAGAGCATACTTGAAGCTCTCCTTCAGCGTTCGATGGATGGCATCGCATACGTCCTCGATCGTACTGTTGTTGCGCACGATCAGTGCGTCACTGAAGTCAGGCTCGATACCCTTCCGCTTGGTGTAGATGCGCATGAGACGAAGTTCCTCCCAGCACCGCTCTACTACGTCTTGAATGCCCAGGTCAAGCTCGCAGCTCATGACCGCCGCGTTTGGTTCTCTGGCAAGCTTGTCCAGGAAGTCGAGGCTGACGCTGTCGATCTTGTTGTAGACGTATATGCACTTGATGTAAGTCCTGTGGTTCTTCATGATCACATCAATGAATTGGTCGACAGTGGCTATGTATCGTCAGTGGGCGTTTTTGCATGTTGAGTAGCTGCCATACCATTTTCGTCTCGGACGAGCACTTCGCAGTTGAGGATACGGTAGTCTCGTAGGATGTTGTAGAGCATCTTCTCATCGAGATACTTCGGCGGTGCTTGGAATGTGATCTTCATGCCACCAGCTTTCTTTTCCTTGAGGTAGATATTTGGCGGTTCTTGGTTCAGTCGAATACCCACAGCCTCCAATTCGGCCTCGAGAAGTGCACGCTGCTCGGCTCGTTTGGTGGCATCTAGGACCATGAGAATCATGTCGCTTGTCTGCGCGGGATTAAGCCTTGATAAATGTTGATCGAAGTTGATCTGCCACTGACCTTCGCCGCAGATATGACCTGGCGTCCACGACCTTTGCCTTCTGCAGCACCCTCAATGATACCCGGCAGATCGAGTACCTGGATCTCAGCACCTCCATACTCCAATACCCCAGGGATCGCCGTCAGGGTGGTGAAAGAATATGCCGCCACTTCGGATTTCGTCTTCGTGACTTTCGAGAGAAATGTCGACTTTCCCACAGAGGGAAAGCCGACCAGGGATATTCGAGCGTCTCCAGATTTTGAGACATCGAAGCCAGTTCCTGCTGCTCCGCCTGCTCCCGGGCCTGGTTCGAGTAGTTGCGCACGTAATCGGGCGAGTTTTCTAAACATGAGTTAGTGCGTGAGCCGAACATCGATTCGGCGTTTACTGACCCCTTGAGTAGACCGAGATGATATTCTGTGGCCTTATTTTCTACATTGAGTCAGCATTGTGAAGCCGGAAACTCGATAGCATATAGCGATCATACTCTGTGTCCTCCTCATCTCATCCTCAATCCTGATGAAACACATTAGCCACGAACAAACTTCACGAAGAAATCGCTCTTACTCCTTGATCTTGTCTGTGATGTTGACCATCTTGGCCAAAGAGGCTCTCCAGTTGGAGAACTAAGCCTGTTTCGATGGGTAGGTTGCCCTTTCGGCTGGTGGAGAAGGTGGATGATCGATTAAGAGAGATGTTAATTGAGGTGTCGTTGGAGCGAAAGGATAGCAAGCTCGCAGGAATCCGATACCGAGATGTCGACGGATCGTGCCGTAATCTTAAAAACACGTGGGACTCAAACAGACGTCACCATCCACATGAGCAAGAGCGTTCGACTGTGGCAGTCTTCAACTTCGACACATTTTTGTCAAAACGGAGTCGGAGGCGGACGATAATTTGAACATGTCAGGTCCGTCTTTTGTCAAACTTCCCCTTTCCTCCTGGCGATAGCACGAAACGACCATGCTGCCTCCCGGACTCAAGACCGCTCGCGAGGTCAAGCGGCATTATGATCAAGTCTACGAACAACATATGGTCTCTGGACAATACTACCCCTTTCTGTACCCCTGGGCCACGGTTGGATTCGCAGTCGTCTTGATCTACCTCCTGATCGATCATCGACGTTCTCCAACATTGCGTTCGCTCAGGAACCCCTTATTTGGCTTTCTGTGTGCCTTCTCAGCATGGTGCATCTTGACGAACAAGGCTCGAAGTTCGGCGGCAGCATATGGAGTTGGCTTGGTATCAGCATGGGGTACGCTTTGGACTGGAGCGATCATGTTCTTCCATGATTGTCAAACGGACTTTAAGCGAATAGAGCGTGCAGACAACATCGCTTTGAAGAAGATCAGCGGGGATGGTCACGATGGTCACCCGAATGGCTCATTATCGAATGGTTCCATCCACAAGCCAACGGAAGTATCGACTAAGAAGGACGAGCGACTTCTTTCGAAAGCAGACAGAGTCGCCACACAAGGTTCTTGGCAACGAACAGGCCCACTCTTCTGGCAAGAATACCCAACCGCTCCCTTCATCGAACGACTCGACTGGATCCTCGACGCCTTTTGCGCCTTCCGAGGAACAGGCTGGACGTTCGAAACCCACGGCATAGCACCTTTACCGCCCTCAGTCACCGCCGAACTCTCAGGCACGCCAACCAAAAACCCCGACCCAACAATCATGACCAGCCGGTCAGGAATCCGACGATTCACCAACCGCACCGCACTGCTCAAAGACTGCCTAACCCGCCTAACAATCGGCTTCTTCATCCTCGACCTCATCAAGACCCTCATGCACCACGACGCCTACTTCTGGGGCTACATGGACGCCTCCGCACCGCAATGGTTCCCCTCAACCTCGCCCATCCTCCTAAAATCCTACCGCCTCCTCCTTTCCCTCTTCGGAATCCACTGCGCCCTCCTCCAAATCTTCCACCTGGGCCCCATCTTCTTCACAACCCTCCCCTTGGGCGTCCGCTCAGAACCCTGGATGAACCCCCCAGATTTCTACGGGAACTACTCCGCCGTGTGGAACAAAGGCCTCGCAGGCTGGTGGGGAAGCTGGTGGCACCAAACCTTCCGCTACGCCTTCGAAGCGCCCGCGACACGCCTCCTCGAAGCCCTCAACATCGACAAACGCTCCCAAAAAGGAAAACTCATCTCCCTCTTCGTCGCCTTCGGCTTATCAGGCACGCTCCACGCTTGTGGAAGCTACACGCAATTAGGAGATACACGTCCACTCATGGGTCCCTTTCGCTTCTTCATCCTCCAGGCCGTCGGGATAGTCCTGCAGATGCAAGTCACACAAACCCTCCGAAGAGCCGGCATCACAGACAAAATCCCACAACCAATACAAAAGCTCGGCAACTTCCTGTTCGTGAACATTTGGATGTACTTCACCGCGCCTTTACTCGTCGACGACTTCGCGAAGGGCGGTGTGTGGCTATACGAACCCCTGGCAATCAGTCCCCTACGCCTGCTAGGCTTCGGAGCTCCAGATGACAACGGCTACGATTTATGGTACGGCCTCATCTTCTGGCGACTAGGGAAGCACTGGTGGGATACAGGCATAGCATTCTAACTAGATAGATTCAAAGATCTTCAAATCCACACTTATTCTGCCAAGAAAAAAAAACCATGAAGAGTATACGTAAATTTCTGGTACACAACACACATCTCAAATTTGTGACAACAATGCTTCTTTGGTATTGATCCGAGTTTTTCACCTTTTCATTCCAATCAATCACACAATCAATCCGGCGGAAGTGACCTCAACCATAGCAAATCTTCAGGAGTGAGAAATGCACTATCCACGGCTCCCCGTCTCGCGACGCCGCGCTTCTGCTGCCATTGAGCCGGCTAGACTCCTGAATATGGAACGTAGCGCCAGATTCTCGCCTTCATGTCACCAGAACCAGTTGCGAAGAGGCCGCCCATTGGCGATGGGGCGACGGAGATGACTATCGTTCAATGTTAGTAAGTTGGGTCAATGAGAAGAGGTGATGTTGACTTACCGCTGTTCTTGTGGCCTTGAAGCATGAGCTGAGCGGCACCAGTCTCTGGATCCCAGAACTGCACGCCTCGATCCTTGGACCCAGACATGACCCAAGAGCCATCTGGGGTGAGCGCAACGCTGAGCACAAAGTCCTTGTGGCCTTCGAAAGTGCGGATGCATTCGCCGTTCTTTGGGTGTGGTGGGTGGCCTCCTGGGATGTATTGGCCACGTGGGTTGAGTCTCCACATTCTGATGGTCTTGTCGAGAGAACCAGAGACAAGGTGCTCTCCCGTAGGGCTGAATGCCACCGAGTAGACACTGTCCTTGTGGCCTTGCTCGCCTTCAGTGCGCTCGACAAGAACACCAGACTGAGTGTCCCAAATACGAACGCTTTTGTCCAATGAACCTGCCGCGACGAAGCGGCCATTCGGAGACATGGCGACGGTGGTGACTCCGTCTTCTATCGACAGTGTGAGGACGCACTGATCGTCTCGGAGGTCCCAGATGCGGATGGTCCTATCGCCCGACCCAGATGCAATATACCTGCCGTCAGAGGCAAAGTCGAGGGAGTAGATATCCTGGTCGTGACCAGCGAATTGGTGTCGGATCTGCTTCTGGGCAATGTCCCACACGCGAATGATCTTGTCTTCTGCGCCAGTGGCAAGATATCTGCCATCAGGGCTGAAGCAAACGCTCCTGATGTAGAGATCTCCCTCGCTGTTGTTGCCATTGTCTTGAAGGTGGCAGACCTGCTTGCCAGTGTTGACGTCGAAGATCTGTGCAGATCTGTTACATCCTGTGGCAACGAATCGTCCATCATGGCTGAAGCGCACGCAGCAGACAACACTCTGGTGAGGAAGGTTGTGAACGAGATCAACGTCCAGTCTTCGGTGCACCTTTGGGTTGAAGACTGCGTGCCAATCCTCACCTTGGCGCTTCAAGTGTGGTGGAAGCTTGTCGGGATCGTACTCTGAGAGCTGGTTGCCAATGGCGTCCAAATCCTGATGAGTGTAGCGGAAATCGGTTGCGATCTGCGCATTTGGGTTCGCAGGTGGTGGTGTCGGTCTAGGAACCTGCGGGCTGCCTGGGTAGGCATTCGCTGGGTTTTGCTGTGGTGTAGCTGGACCGCGTAAAGGGCCAGGTGGTCCACCGACGCGAGGCTTGCCTGCACCTGGAGATGCAGTTGGCTGGGGCGGTTGCCCTGGACCATAGCCGTTGATCCCGGCCGGCGGTTGTTGGCCATAAGCAGCGAATGGATTGTGAGGAGGGCCTGGAGGTGGGTTCAGACCGGGAGGACCCCCACCAGGAGCCATGTGACCAGGCATCCCAGGTTGAGGTTGCTGATCTTGAGGAGGAGGGGGCGCAAGACCTGGACCGCCTGCACCGCCCGCCATGATGCCTTGGAACAAGTTAGCTGGACCGTGGCCAATGGCCGGCGGTGGCGGCTGTGATGGAGCAGCATGTGGACCTTGCGATGGACCTCCTCGTTGCTCCAGCTCATGGCGAAGACGAGCGATCTCTTCTTCGTATCTGGGTCGTGTCAGCTACATGTACCGAAAACTTGAGTTGCTGTCAGACGAACTTGTTCTTCATAGCCACATGGGTCGTCTCGAGCTGGTAGATCTTGGTCCGTACGAGCTCCATCTCCTGGATCTGAGCGTGCACTATGTTCAGAAGGTTGTTAGCAAACGATTGCTGGGAGACGCTGGCCCTCGACATGTGGGCCATCTTCGTATGGACAACGTTGCGTGTATTCGAATGTAACGCTGTAATGTTTCTCGCGCAAAACAGAAGAATGTCCGCGATGCGCGCTTTTCCTTTCTGAAGCGCGCACTCGCCCTCCCGTCATCACGCCCCTGTCCATTTCCGCACCACAGGATTGAGCGACTTACACTGATGCTCGTGCTCGGTGGAACGGCCTGCTTGCTGTTCAAACTCAGCGCGCACCTGCTGCAGCAGCTCATTCAAACGGTCTGCGGGCTGTTGCGGCCCTGGGCCGGGGCCCATGGCGCGGTGCGCGTTGTACATGTTCGTTTGCCCAGCTCTTGGAATGATATGCGATCCGCGCGGAGATGGGTGTTTGTACGTGGGCGTTCGCGAGGACCGACAGCGCGGCAGCGGCGGTCAGCTGAAACGGGGTTTCCTCGTGAGAAGGCTGGCCGCGGAGGTTTAGGTCGAAGACGGGCGTAGCCGGCGGGGAATGCGATGCTGCGATGGCGATGGCGATGTGGTGATGGCGGTGGTGGTCGAGGAGAGGCGCGGCGGCGGTGGAGTGTGCAGAGAGCGACACCTGGAGCAGCGGCGGAAGCGCTTAGGAGGCACCCAAGGCTTTTCAGTCGGTCGCCTGGCAGCAAGAGCGACCAGTGGACCGATGGACCAGGGCAAGAACACCATGCTCCACAGTCGCAAACGTGCAGGGATGCTCCGCGTTAGCTCAGAGCTTCCCGCTGCAGCCACAAAGTCAAAGGTGGCGGCTCGTCACCAAAAGCTTAATCGCCAAGCTCAGCATCACCACCACCGCCCTCCCCTCCTCCTCCCTGCTCGCAGCTCGCGTGTCACCGGTGTCCCATGCCTGCCTGTACCCGTTGTCGTAGCGCAGTTGCCGCCGCGACCCCGGGCTTTGTACAGCGGCGTTATCACAGCTCGTGTTGCTGCTGACCTCGCCATGGCTTCGACGAGGGCGACGCGACCGAAACGAAGATGAACCCGCCGCCCGCCCAAGATCGCAGCCTTTTGCGTTCCCGCTTGCCGGTCAAAACGGACGCTAGTGTGTGCGTTGCTCCGTGCGGCCCAGCCTTCTGCTGCGTGCTCGCCGGCTCTGGCATTTGCTTTCTTCGGCCTCTCTGTCCACGCAACCGCGCTGCCATGGTCATCGTGGTAAGCTGATGCACTCCATGCCTCCGGGAACCCGCCATCGAAGCACGCAGCTGGCACAGCCTTCCATGTATCGCTCCTGTCTCAATGACGATGACAGTCCGCTCTCGACACAGTCGCACACGTACTCATCTCCCACGCACGCATGTCACCACAGCCCAGCGACACGGAGTGCGGCGCGGGTTTCTTGTGTGTCAGCATTAGTAGCATTTTGTCCCTGCGGCACAGACTCCTCTTGGACGTTGGGTTGCAACACAGTGCCTCTGCCGCTTGCGTGCAGGACGAGATGTCGTTCGGCAACATCGCCGACCAGGGTGTCCCGACTTCGTCACAGAAACCTAATCCTTCACACACTCTCGCTCCAGCTTCCTTTCCTGCACCGAGGTTGCACGCAAGCGGGCATCTCCCTCCCGGCACAGCGTGCCAGCCATCGCGATAGCTCTTGCTCGTCATGAAACCCAATCTGCTCTGCGGCCTCGTGCTCAGGGTGCAACCTTGTGTGCAGAAGCATGGTAGCATCACGGTTCACAGAGTGAGGCGACGCCAACCGGGAGGCATCTTTCCATTCCCATCACCACGAACAAGCGACACAGGCGTCGCGCCTATGCCTTGCTGAAGAATGCGTGTCTCATAGAGCGATGAAGTGCAGTGCGACAGTTGCCTCTGTGTGACACGAGATGTCTGTCTGCTCCAAACCCCTCATTTGGACTTGGACATATGCAGTCCAGCGTGCAGAAGGCAGCAAGCGATGAATGCAATGTGACCAACTTACCCTGCTGACTGCTAAATCCTCGGCCGCCGCGGTCCATCACCAAGCTGATACGAGCAGACAACCATGACGACTTGGTATATTTGGATTTGATAGTTGGGAAGAGGAAAGGAGTAACCACGAGGAGCAATTGGCTTTTTCGCTCATTACTCGACAGAGTTTCGGGAACAGTGGAGTCATCCCAAAACCCGCTGCAGCGGGAAACGTGGGAATGGCGCATAAACGTCCCAGCTTTTTGACGCTTGGACGCGATAGGCTGGTGCGAGTGCGACATCTTGACATTTGAGTTCTAGAAGAGATGACCTCCAGAGACTTGCAGAAGCGCTGCGCAGGCACTATCTCCGCTCCAAGTGTGATGGAATGGGTCGCGGCAGTCGCCGGATATTTTGTTCCACTTCTTCTAGCCAATGACGGAATGTGCGAGAGTTCATCTCCGCTGCATTTCTCGTTGGCGTTCTTCGACATAAGCTTCGCGGCATACGTATGCGGTACGTGGATCCGAATTTGAAGCTGTCGTGCCGCATAGAAGTATTCAGCAGGATGCCTTGTCGTCAAGACGCTCTGGATGCTTACCCGGCGTGGTTCGAAACGAGTACATGGTGGTCATCCTGCAATGCTGCATTTCTCGTGGCGTTCGTTCGAAGGCTGTCCGTGTAGCAAAGCGTCGCCCTAAAGATAGCTCAAGGCATACCGGACTGGAACCGGTCTACATGCTCATAGAGCCATTTCTCGCTTTCGAGCTTCTGGATGACTTCGGCCTTGAGACAGTACATCATGTCTGGTCGATCTCGTTCGTAGTCTGCTTTCCATCAGTCTTCGAAGCAGTGCATAGAATGTTCAAATCGTACCTTCATCAATCCGTCTCGTCGTTGTCATGGCAGCTCCAGAAGTGAAGTACTTTTTCGCCAGAGCAGAGTAATATGCATTGAGCTCTTCTGCCCGGGAAACATCAGCACGTATCCCAGGTTATTGGGTTATCAGGACGTCAACATACCCATCCTAACTTCATCTTCATCCTCCTGCACCAAAGGCTTCACGGCCGGCACCCCTCCTGCCACGCCCAGCTCACTTCCCCCGAGTAAATAGTTCCCTTGCGCATCTCTCTTCACGATTTCCTGCTCCTCAACTTGTTGCTGTCTGCTCTTATGCTGCGGCCGCAGTCGTCGCGAGCGCCGCTCCTGTTCAGACGACGAATCGGCGAGAACCTCGTCTTCCACGCGGGTTCGCGAGGTTGGGCGCCGCGATAGTGAGGGCGCGAAGAGCTGGTCGCGTTGGGGTTGGCGGGTGCGGGAGTTGGAGGTCGAGGCAGCGCTGGCGGTGGAGCGGAGGGATTGTTGGGAGGCTTGGGTGCGGAGGCCGGTGTTGGATGCTGTAGAGGTTGTGACGAAGGGATCGTGGGGGTTATGTCTGGTTGGTGGCATGTTGGGATGAGATGTTGTGTTGTTGTGGATGTTTCGGTAGAAGCGAGCTCGGTTCTGTTGTGTTTACGTGCGCTTGTGAAGTTGACTACACGTCATGTCTCGCGTCAACACCTCTCAACTTTTTACAGTACATACTCCAGTCATGAACGCCAAAAACGACAACTACTTGAGCCCAACAAGCACCTTTTGAAAGTGGATGTCACGGTGCGCGCATTGTTTGGCATTACTCTTACTCCTCTACCATGGCCTGAAAGTTCTATCTACGCTTTGATCTTGCGAACTCACGAGGATGCAACCGGTGTCAAACGTCTTAGCATCATGGCCTGGAGCGGATTCACTGCTACTCAGCAGAGTCTCGATCAAGCGGCAGCTGCATCGACACAGAGAAAGCCAAAGTTTCAAGCCCAGCGATCTAGCGATAGGCTATCGGGTCTCGAGAAATCTGTTCCACAGCTACATCTTTCGAACAGCACAAGACTCAAGCCTTGAGAGCGTTTAAAATCCATCGAACCAGCTCCAAGTCGATGTGCCTACAGATACTAGTCTTTAAGTGGATCTGGAGGAGCAGGATCATTCTTCAAGCTACGTTGGAACTCCGTTCGCAGTTTCATCATCGGCTGCATGACCCAAGTGTTGTACGAGAGAACATCCTCTTCCTCTTTCGGATCTCGCACCGTGTTGAAGAGATAAGGCGACTCCAGCTTACCAGTCGACTGGTTGACCTTTGGCTCGTAGACGAAGTGCAGCTTCCAGTCCTCCCACTTTATGGCACGCAACTCATCTTTGATATAGAAGACGAAGCCAGTGCGAGTTGACTTCGTGTTGACCGGATCTCGGAAGAATGCAGTTTGATCAACACCATCGATGGGCCGGTCTTCTGGCTTTGGAACTCCAGCCACAGAGAGCAGCGTCGTGAAGATGTCTGTTACATGCACAATCTCGTTCGAACTCACCCCCGTCGGTACTTTGCCCGGCCAACGAATGATAAATGGCACTCGAAGGCTCCCTTCCATGGCCGTGTGATAGGTTCCAGTCCATGGTCCGGCGGTCCCTCGATACGGCGGACGGAACTCAGGGCCATTATCGGAGGCGAAGATGACGATCGTGTTGTCTCGAACACCTAGATGATCGACATGGTCCAAGACCTGGCCCACACGGTAATCCATCTCAGCCATGGAGTCGGCAAACTCGCCTTGCTTCGTCGTTCCTGCGAAGTCTGCATGTGGCAGTGTCGGGAAATGCAAATGAATCATTGGATGATATAGAAAGAATGGTCTCTTCTCGTCCATCGTCCGTGAGAGCCACTCATTTGACTTCTCGACAAGCAGCTCGTCGATCAGCCGACGCTTCTCCAAGTCATACACGCATACATTCTCGGAGGGCTGCCCTGCAGTGCCTGTCATGATATATGGCAGCTCTGCCACTTCCGCATCGTAGCCCAACGTCGAAGTGAACTGGCTTTCGTCTGTGGTCCTCGGTATACCAAACCACTTCTCAAATCCTCGATCTGATGGATACCGACCAGGAATATCGCCAAGATGCCACTTGCCAAAATGGGCAGTCGCATATCCATGTTGGTTGAGCAACTCAGCCAAGGTCTTCTCCCAGGGTGTCAGACCTTGCGGGAAGCCTGCAGGGACAGACTGTCGACAACCAGTCCTAATCGGATGCCGTCCAGTCATCAACGCAGACCTCGTCGGAACGCAATCGGATTCGACATTGAAGTTTTGTAATAGCAGGCCTTGTTTTGCGAAGTCGTCGATTCGAGGAGTCGCCGCACCACGTAAGATGCCTCCCCCATAGCAACCAAGCTCTCCATAGCCAAGATTGTCGGCCAAGATGAGGACGATGTTGGGTCGCTTGGGATCCGGCGACATCGTGGTGAGAGTGTCATGAACACTGAAAGCGATCAGCAGGATCCAAGAAACCGTGAGTGGTGGAGTCAAATCCTTGCGTGCGAGCTCCCCACCATGCTGACCTTCTTAGGCTGCCTATGTCACCGTTGCTCTGCAACCTTTGATGCCATTCACGCCGATACCGTTGGATGACGAGAGAGAGAAGCCGTTATCGTGTGGACGGCGAATCTTGAAGGGCCTTGGGCATTTGTGGTTCATCTTCGTTGATAACATTAAACAGCCTCGCTTTATCCCGGCCTCAAGATCACTTCCAAGCTTGAGTGCTACCATTACGGTCCGCATCCAGGGGCACATGAGACTTAATGAGGCGCTCGCCCTCGGCGACCTAAACGCCATTTTCGTAGAAAGTGAGAGAGTCCACAGAAAGAGTCGCTCTCGGCGAGAAAATGTTCGATGATGAAGTAACGAAAATCCTTGACTTGATACTACCTGACCTCCAGGGCCTACGCCACGTCTCGGAGGATGCGGTTGGTCTTCATACGCAAGTTGTTGAGTTCCTCGGTCGACTTGAGGCCAGGCAAGAGAGAAAATGTTCTCGGGTAGCTTCTCTCGGGCCGGGACCGGCCCTAGCTCCGGCTTGTGAAGCGAAGAAATGTTCTTTCCAGTTGTGCAACATCACATCCCACTCATTCACCTACAATCTCGTCAGCCACTTGCGCCATATTCCTCGCCAACGCTCCATGGATGGCTTTACCATGTCCTCATCTTCACCTCATCTTGTAAAAGCCCGGAGCTGAACCACCACAAGCACGCCCTCGATGGGATAGCTCGCTTGGATCCGTTCGGATTCGTCAACCCGCGTTGCGGCCCATTGGTCGTCGCCATTCTACGCCGATGGGATCCTCGACGCAGTTCGCCTGCTATACCGTGGGATGTCGGTGGCGGTGATGGTGTGCGACCGAACTTCACCGACGGCTCACTCTGACTGGAAGCCCACCATTGATTGCGTGGACGGCCAATGTGCTGGGGAATCCGTTATCATTTATATCTCTTTGTGGGCGTGGAGAAGGAGTCCGACAGCCAGGTCGCGCAGATCGCGCCTCCGTACAGATGATGTCGTGGGCGCCTACCCTGAAGATGGCGGACCTACACGCCGTGATGCGCGATCTCTCCACACCACCGAGGCTGCGTGTCTCTCCGGTTCCTGTGCGCTAGCCGCGAGCTCTGGCGCCACGAGGGTGGCAGCCTTCGATGAGAGCTCTCACACGGGAAGTGTCCGCTTACTGCATGTGGCAGCAACTGGAACCACCCTCATGTGCCAGAGCGCATTGTCTGAAGCACCAGCGCGTGTGGGTTGTGAAGAGGAAAACTCGCGCGACGAGGCAGTGATTGGCCGTAAAGCGGACAACAACGGCTTGTGTGCTCCTTCGAGCATTCCCAGCAATCCCACCTGCTATCCTGGTCCGAGACCGTCCCATAGATCTCACGATCTGAGCGCGCGAGTGGTGTGCAGACAGGGGATCATCTGCGACGAAGCTGTGGGAGCAGGCACGCTTTCAAGCTTCGCCTTGCCCCGGACTCAATTCCTCAACTCTTCACACTGAAAATCTGGGGAAGAACTCGCGAATACGTCCATGGTGCGAAGTCTATTGGGGCCATGGAACCAATAGCGATCGTCGAATTTACTCAAATATCCAAAGAGCAGTGCGATCGATTCAAGGGAGCTGTTCAAGGCGCTCAGCCTCTTGAAAGCGGCTTCGGCTCATGCCCAAAACGGATGTGTGTAGGCGGCGTTATGCAGCGCATCGCAAGAGAGGACCTGGAGGCAGAGCTTGGGCGTTCGTGTGGCTGGCCACTATCAACAATTAGGGCTAGGGCGAAGGCATGGCATCACACCGAACGGATGGGATGGCAGAGGATTTGCACCTCACATCACCCTTCTCGCAGCGCGCGCTGCTTGAGCCGCGTCTGATCCCGCATGTGAATCTCGATCTCAGAGCTGTCCACCTTCGAACAGACTTCCTCCGCTTCACACCTCCCGCCGACATTATTCTAGCTTACCCTCCCGGTGCTGGACGCCTGCATGATGGGGCTCTTGTGGGATAGAGCCGTCCCCACTGGCTTTTCGTCATCCTGGCAGAGCGTAGCGAACAAGCACTCGTGCATGTATATCAACTTGGTAGCCGCGAGGTCGCTCAGATGGGTGGTACGTACATTCGGGTCAGGAGCTCGCTCCTGTTCATATAGCCCTCTTATTTCCTCGCGCGAGCAGTGTCGAAAGACTACTCTGCAGCTTCACAACCCATCTCATTACTTGTGGGCCTTCTGATTGCTTACCGTCTACCCACGCTTTGGTTTCCACCCAAGGGCACAGCACCACCTCAAGTCAGGGCAGATCTTATCAGCAATCATGGCGGACGTCCTGCCAGCTGGCAAACTACTCCAGCGTCGATTGAGTCAAGCGCAGTTCAATCAAATGGAGATGGCGAACTTGATGTCGCAGTACAGTGTGGCCTTCCGCCCAGATGCCGCTGCAATGCCATGCTTCATTTCTCAAGAACAACGAAAACTACCCACGAACCCACAATCGATAGCTCCCAGCGACCTCATGAACAGCAATCCAACAAACGACTTTACCAGCATCAACCTTGATAGCATGTATGCCAACACCTATATGGGCAACAATGGCTTCAACAATGCGACATTTGGGAACCTTACGTTTCCGGCGCCAATCGTTACCAACCCACAAGCCATGCAACAGCCAGTCATGATCAGAAACGACAGCTACAGTAGCGGCACGAGTAGTGAACCATTCATCAAGTCGGAAGAACAATCGCCCATCAACCCTTCACAAGTGTTCTTCGATGCGACTCAATATGCTAGCAGCCCTGAGTCCCAACCACCATCAGACACATCCGAAGAGAGCAAGCCAGCAGTGTTTTCGACCGACATCGACACTTTGATGCGCGCCATCCAATCGAAGACAGAGCCCCACGAGCAACGAAAGGAAAAGCCCAAGGTTGAGCCCACCGTGAACAAACCCAAGACACGTTATCAATGTGACGTGGCCGACTGTGGAAAGGCTTTCTACCAGAAAACACACCTCGAGATCCACACTCGAGCGCACACCGGCATCAAGCCATTCCTCTGCAAGGAGCCATCCTGCGGACAACGCTTCAGCCAACTGGGCAACCTCAAGACACACGAACGACGGCATACAGGCGAGCGACCATATCATTGCGACATCTGCGGCAAGACATTCGCGCAACACGGCAACGTTCGCGCACACAAGATCGTCCACACCGCCGCCAAGCCTTTCACATGCAAGCTCGACAACTGCAACAAGCAATTCACACAACTGGGCAATCTCAAATCCCACCAGAACAAGTTCCACGTTGAGACCATCCGAAGGCTGAAACTACGATTCGAGAACTTCAAGGAAGGCGACGTCGTCGACGCCTGGGAGAAGGAAATGTGGGAGTACTTTGGCAGCCTCTACAAGAACTGCAACAAGGGCATCAAGGGCCGTGGCAAGGACAGGAGGATTAGCAGTACGTCGGGCATGCACAGGAGGGACAGCATGGTCAGCACAGGCTCTTCGAGTGGCAGCCTCAGCGCGGGGCACAGCACCATGCAACGCGGCATGTTTTGACGACTGGCGCATGACTTGGACGAAAAGGCGTTTTCTTGGGGGTTCAAAGAAGAGGCTTTGACCCTTCTACGGCTGCCTGAGTGAGTGAGCTGGCGCTTTCTTGCCACTGTTTTATTGATACGACTGATACCCAAAAATCGAGCGAACTTGTTATTACCTGTCTACGAAGCTGAAGACAGACCACCACCACTAGACGGGCGTCCTATTCCGAAGGTCCGTCTTTGCCGTTCGCACTTCTCTCAAAGCACCGCGTGAGCTGTCACAAGCCGCCCCTTCGCCAGGACGTGTCGTCCTGTGCAAAGAGAGTCATGCGCGCCGTGCAGGGTGCATATGCATAGTGTACCTCTTTCTCTTCTCACTAATAACCACGAACCTTGACCCCTCACTTCGGCAAACCTTGAGTTTGATCTTCGCCCGCCGCTGGGAAGACCGCGAGGGAGACAGGATGATGGGTGTCCAGGAATCGAAAGAGCCGTGTGCTCGGGACGGGGTTCTCGTTGTGCTATTTGAATGATGTGAATCCTGGTTGGATGGTTCATTTACTGTTACTGTACTCTTCGGTTCAGACTCGAAAAGGCGCTTCGCGGGTCGCCTCCTCTCCATGAGCTGAAGAGTGTCACGCGCATTTCGCCATGGACGGGAGCCTGCTACGTCACACCTGGATCGTTGATGCGAGGACAGCAGCCTCCGGCTCAACATTCTCATCGCCGCGTAGTAGCAGCCTCGCTGGTCGAAGCTCACATTACCAGCAATGACGCGATCTTGCTGCGTTATTGATTGATAGAGATAAGAACCCAGAAAGAGCCGCATCTCCAGATCCCAGCATGGGCAAGATAGGAGATGTTCGTTCCTGACATGTCCGTCCAATGATGCGAGCGGAAAATGGCAGCTTGTCGTGGGTGTGGGTTCTTCAGAGGAGGAAGAAGAGCTCCATCCAGTCACTCTGCGATCAAAGATCTCGCCATCGGTGATGAGATCTGCGTCTCGTGCCCCTCCTGCGACGGACTGCAGCCCTTCTTCCTCTCGCGCTTAGGTCCTGACCGGAGTCTTCCGACTGCAGCTTCTCTTCGTTCGTCAAACAACTCTGTAGCTTGTAAGCGCCGGTGGCCGACGGTGTGAAAGCTGTGCGGCTTGGACAGGTCGCATGGGGAGAGACGTCACTCGGCATGTGAGGGCTATTCCGTCGTGGTATTGACCATATTTCTGCTTGATGGGAGGGAGGTGGTATGAAGGATTTGGGTCGAATCGAGATCTGGGATAAGAAAATTTCTTGTCGTGCAGGAAGGTGTGATATTTGAAGCTGATGATGAGTTGCTTGGTGAGCAATGTGTCTTCTCGGCCGCTTTGTAGATGTGCTTCGTTGGAGAGAAGATTCCTGTGCTCTCCATTCAGCCGATATACTGTAGTGCACGGCTTTTGATCTTCAGGGACTTTGCAGTGTACCCGCTTTTCCTTGTCGTAATATGTCAACGCCGTCGCAACTCGTTCGGAACGTCGTGTCTTGCCTGTCTATACCCTACCCTAACCAGCTCCCGTGGTCCCCGAGCGATGTAGCGCAGCCAAATCATACAAGAGCCTTCCCCCAAAACGCCGCCGTACAATGCTATGCTTCTAGTCCATGCAATGAAAGGAAATGCAGATTTGGCCTCCTGGATCAAAAGATTCCTGGGTATCATCCCCCCTTTCCAACTCCGTAGTATCCAAGGAATGATGTCGTCCATGCGTGTATATCTGTCGTAGTCAACGTGGGTGTCGAGATCGCTCACAACCCAGAATCAATCTGCTCAACCACATCCTGTCCAGTGTACGTTGACCAATCCCGACACGTCTGCGCCATAATTGATGGAATTTGCATGTCTCGACGGATATCTCGAGGTCGTTCGAGGATGTTGACGTAGAGACCTCCGCTGACGTGCCAGGCGACTGTGAGGAACGTTAGGAAACGATACACGAAGGGCATAGGGGTTCTTGAGACATACTGTGACAATGCAGCGGCCACACACCAGGGTTATCCGCATCAATCTGCACGACAATATAAGTCGGCTCAGTTGCACTCGGTGCATTGGGCAGAATGTGGACATCTCTTCGTTGGGGGTTACCCGCATTAACGACAGATCCATCCCAGGTTCCCGTTCCTTCGGCGAGGATGTACATATTATGACCGTGCATGTGCATGGGGTGGCTTCCTGTTTGTGCGTGGTTGTAGATGACGAGGCGGATCGAGTTGGACTCGTGGAAGTTGAAGACGTTGTATTCGGAGGGGAACTTGTAGTTGCCGACTTTGGCGTCCAGGAGGACGGGATCGTTGTAGTTTACGCGGAAGGTTGAGTTGTTCACGAAGAAGAGGTTGTGAGCTGGGAGTTTATAGGAGTCAGCCTTCCATTCCGGTAAGAAATTATTTCATAAAAGACTCACTTCCGTTGCTGTTAAAGGTAATATCAAGGTTTTGCGATGTTTGCGGTCTCGAAGGCGGCGTGATGGGGTAGTAAGGCTGAGTCTTGGAAAGATCATCGTTCTGGCACGTCGTAAGAGCAGACTGCGAGACCGAAGATTGTGTTTGGGGAATGGCGGTGGCGTTGGCCTTCTCGTAATATATCGCCGCAACAGCCGTCGGAGACACGCCATCGTGAAGCGAACAGCCTCCTTGAAAAAAGCTTGGCCCCAAAGTCGATCTCATCCAGACGGCATCTGTAGACTTTCCAGTCGCCTTGACGACAACATCACTTCTCTGTCCGATTGCGAGAGTGAGCACGTCGGTGGTGTATGGCACAATAGGCACAAAGTCGTTGGCGATGACCGTCATCTGGTGGTTGTCAACGCTGAACTTTTGAATACCCTCAGCGCCAGCATTGATGACTCGCAGTCGATAGCTCTTGCCAGACTCGAACGAGAATTTGGCCACACCAGCGTTAGGCGTGCATTTGTAGCCAGTGGCGTTGACGCAAGGATAGTTCATCTTGCCGTTGATCAGAACGTTGTTGCTAAAAGGCGGAGGCAGCTTGTCTGCAGCTGGAGCCATGACCTGCTCGACCAAGCTGAAGTAATCCTTGTGGAACCAGTCGTTGACCATCACAGGCCCGAGATCAACATCGTATTGTGCATTGTCTTTGGGCCCGTGGATGATCATTGGGCCGAACAGACCACCAGCGTACTGAGCAGAGTAGTGAGAGTGGTACCAGCTCGTGCCGTAGAGGTCAGCCCGGAAGCGGTAGGTGAAGCTGGATCCTGGCGCAATAGGGCACTGCATCACACCTGGCACGCCGTCGAACCAAGGCGTGTCTTTTTGCAAAAGACCATGCCAGTGGAGAGATGTACCTTCATCGAGGTTGTTGTGGACGGTTATTTCGAACCAGTCACCCCAGTTGGCCTGCCAGTCGTTAGTCGATCACTTCTTGATCACTTCCAATCGATTGACTTACCTCGATGGTCGGTCCAGGAAACGCTCCATTGATGACAAGTCCTTGCTTCTCGACGCCATCAGGAGCTATGGTCATTGCACTGACCGCAAAGTCGTATCGTCTCGTTATGCCAGTATTCGGCACATCGTCGTAGTAGTTGGTATTCTTGGCAGTTCTACCTCCCCAGGGGAATCCCTGAGGCGTCGGGCCACCACCAATGAACCAAGGTAGCCTGGGCGCTTGGAAAGTGCCAAGATTGCTTCGACCATTCGTCTGCGACTGAGACAGCTGCGGTTTCGTGCCTTGACCAAACGGCAGCCATGCTGGCGTGTGGTATGCGTGGCCTCCTGCACCACCCAATGGGGCGACAGCAGCCTGGACGAGAGACTGTTCTTGGGTACTTGCGGGCTGGTTGCCGTCGTCTGTCAAATTTGATGTTGCAACATTAAATTGTGCCTGTGGTGAAGGAATAGCAAGGCCAGTGGCTAGTAATGCGGCGCCTGCGAAGAGGCGTACCAGCGAAGGCATCTTTCTACAAGAGTAATGAGAAGTCAACTCAATGCAGGACACAACCCAAAAAGAAATAAAGATGCTGGGCCCGGGCTAGAAGCTGGACGGACCTGGCCCTTATGAAGACACAGGCAGAGGCTCTGACTCTCCGAGAAACACGAACGAATGATGAAATAAGTTCTCCCCGTATAGGCTTCGTTGTCGCGTATGAGGCTCAAGCTGTCATCATGGCTGCCTCGTGGCCGCGGTGTGCTAGTCTAGCATCCATCGCTCGATCATCCCGGGACCGAATGCACGACCGGTGGTCGCCCACACGTACGATGTCCCTCTATGGCAAGGGTGCCAGAACATGGCAAGTGCAAGTTTGTGGGCATGCAGGGCTGAAGGATGCCACGCTTGCGCGCTCCACGTACAGAGTCTGCATATGCAAGCGTCCAATACTCCGAACTCAAGCAATAAGCCGCAGATGTTTGCACAGCCTGGATCGATGTCCCGGAAGAGTTCAACGTATTAGCCCTTGCTTGACCTTGATGCTCGTCCTGCACCATGTGTTGCATTTCACTCGAACCTGGAACTCCCCGGGAAGCTTGTGACATGCAGTTCACTAATATAGCAGTCTTTCGTATGGAGTCCAGCCTTGACCATGATCTCTCGTGAAGGGCTTCAGGATCCGCCGCACCGGTAAAGATGGAGCCACAACAGACATGCAGCACCGTGTTGTGGATCCAATGAGCGGGATCCGCTACTGCGATGCTTGCATCATTAACTCCATACTCTCGTCATCTTCTCGCGAAAAAATCAGGCTCACGTATAGACTGAGTCGAATAGCGCAGCCGACGTTCGAGAACCCCGGTAGGTGAAGCTTCTATAGATAGCCGTTTCAGCACGCTAAGCCTGAGTGACTACCTGTTTCGGCAATCTGAGGTCGGCTTGAGTGGATCGTCTCTGAACCTTAGCTAGCTCTTGCAGATGCTTGTCGGGTATTGGAAGGATGAGGGTTGTAAGCGAGAATTGTCATTGGTCCCATCGTAATCTTGGGTTGGGTCCGAATCGATATGTGTGACGCGATTCGTTGTCCTAGCCGATATGGAGATCCGAAATCAATATTGGTGGAAGGAGGATATAGAAGATCTTCCGTCGCCACAGAGAAGTTCGCATCTTGGCTTCGCTGTTAGTCGCGATACGTACGAGCTCAGCCCACCTCGAACGGCGCAACTTGGCAGGCTGAAGTCTGGTGGGTGTCAGCATTTCGCAGAATGGTGGAGGTCAAACATCAGCCACCAGAAACATATGCATTGGTTAACGATCCCAAGGTCAGAGGGGGTGTTAGGTCAAGACGGACTGCCCGGAGTGCGTAGGAACGTCGAGGGTTGCAGAGGGCTTCGAGGCAAGTTTCGCCGTCCTGTGCGCATACCACACAGAAGTTTGTAACGTTATAGCATGTTACCATTGCTCACTCCAAGCGACGAAGCTGACGGACAGTCATTCCGTACCAACCAAGTCAACACCGCTGTTCAGAGTCAACTGACGTTCGATGGCAGGGATTGGTAGAGGTGGTCCCGCGACCACATGGACTGCTGTGTAACCACACTCATTTCAAGATGACGAGTGAAAGACAGGGAACCAAATGCTCGGTTGCTTGCGCGACCGTACGGAAATCGATATGCCAGGCGTTCAAGAGAGCAGTCAAGAATCAAGGACGTGATCCGGTGGATCCGCGTACAAGCACTGTGCTAATCCAAGCACCGTATTGAAGCCTTGCACCAGACATCCTCGGACATAGTCGGCCGCTGGCCGTCATGGACTGACCAGGGCGTTGTGGCAATGTTCTTCGGCGTAGTTGCATGCCCTTGGCGAGAAAAGGAAAGGGACGCCACCACTGCCCTCGCCTCTCTCCGTGTTGAAGAGTACATAATTTGGCGGACAACATCAGCGTTGATCGACCCTGCAAGTTGCACATAGAACGTCTCGATGAGGGCCAGGATAAGAGTCCAGAAACATCAGGCCAAGACTTTTCGTCTGCGTAGTACAGACGACTAGCGACAGGATGCCAGCGTCAGGGCATCTTGATGCGTTGTATCGCCTGTGGAGCGATCTGGACATTTGCGCTGACCGCTCTCTGAGATGTCAGGCGAGAGTGAGTGACCAATGCTGCAGGTTGGCAGGTCGGGTAAACCTCTGAGGGTGTCCTCGAGGAGTCGCAGCGGAACCATCATCCCATCCATGATCTCTAGCACACTCTCCAGCCTTACGAGTGCCTCACAATGGTGATTACCCGTGATCGAACAGCTGAGGCCGGCTGAAGGGCCTAGAAACGAAAATCTCGTCATGGCTTTTGGTTCAGGTCCAAGATTAGCATGCCGGCCGCAGGTCTTGTGGAGAGATCTTCTGTGGAACTTGTCTGGCGCTGAGGAAGGTAGGGACATCCTGGGTTGCCACCGTTTCGTGTCGAGACTGCGAGTCGTGAGCGACAGTGGTTGGCAGAGTGTCAGAAAGGCATATGTGTCGCGATAGATCCCGAGGTAGGGTTATCGCCATAGGTCGGTCGACTTCTGAGGCACATATTTCGTCTTGCACTGCTTGATCGAGGCCGCGATGAGCCGTGTTGAGGTGTAGGAATAGTTTGGATGGCGTCCAAGTCGTGTTGTCCAGGAGTTGGGCAGAATGACCCAATGATTGGCCATTGATTGGGCATTGATTAAGCTTTAGCTCGGGACTGGACCCTGAAAGTCGTCGCGAGCAGGACGCGTTGAAACACCCTCTACTGCATCCACTCCAGACTTATCAAACCCGGTCGCGCAAACGGTCGCATCAACACCAAAAGTCAACTTCCATCGCTGTACATACCGATTCAACCACAAGACATACCCCAAGATGCAGGCCATCCGCTCCCAGATCCCCAGCGCCTCGCGCGCATTCGCCAACAGCTCTCGCACCTTCACGTCTTCGGCTCGCCGTCCTCTTGCGCGCATGCAACTCATCGGCCGCCTCGCTGATGCCCCAGAGCTGTTTGCGACTTCGACTGGAAAAGAGCTTGTGCGATATGCGGTTGGCGTCCCGACTGGACCAAGAGATGAGCAGGGCAATCGTCAGGCGTCGTGGTACCGAGTCGCGGCGTTCATTGATGAGGGCCCACAGCGGGACTACGTGTTGAACTTGCCAAAGGGGTGAGTTGAAGATCCATTCCCTCATTCTATGGAGATGTGAGAGCCGTAAATAAGGAAGGGCTCCTCGAGACGGACTGCGAAGTGGAGATCCGGCGCCTTGTCGTGCTGAATGCAGTGTCTCCAGGGGTTGCATGCTCGAGCAGCCTAAGAACATTCGCTGACGGAGTCACTGCAGAACTCAAGTCTACGTTGACGCAGATGCGAAGATGGACAGCTATGAGGTCGAAGGCGGCCAGAAGCGCTCCTCGCTCAACCTCGTGCAGCGTAAGTCAAAACGCTGACGCCCCATATCTTGTCGCGCAATATATGCTGACGAACCCCCAGGCTCCATTGAGACTCTCTCGCGGCCTCGCAACCAAGAGCTCAACCAGAGTGAGGCTGCTACCCAAGCTGCTGCAGGTGCCCAGTAGGGGAGCATGCCTTAAGCAAAAGCCGTCCTAAAATACGGCAAGCTTGTGCATGAATGAAAAGAAGATGTGATAGTTTGTACAATACCCATTGGATTTGTGAGCAAGGCGTTGGCGTACCAAGGCACGGTGACGTGGTGAATGTGACGATTGGAGCTTGGCTCCTTTCACGAGCTGGACCGGTAGCCGACGGAGAACCATTTCATATGTAGCTGATGAGAGCGAGGGAACCAACCCAACTCAATTCGAAAGAAAATACCTAAACGCAAGGTACTGTTCCCCAGTTGCAGGCGCTGTAAACGAACGTGAAACCGAGACGTCCGTCACTGCACATTGATTCAAAGTCTGTTGGTGATAAGAGACACAATCGATCAGACACGACATCCATGGATGTTGGCGAAGCTGACATATCACAGTACTTCTACTCTGCCCCTGGAGAGGCGTTCTAACCCGATGGCTCCAACCCGGCACAGTGCGTCTTGGCCGCTTCGGTCGCTCGTGGCTATACCCAATCACAACATATCCAACGTCCAGATCAGCTCAATCATACAAGAAGGCCTATGCCTAGAGAAACTGCCCCATGCGAAGAAGAGACGTCAAATTCGTTTTCCTGAACAATATGTACTGCAGAAATCCTCTGCCAGTCTTCAAAACCGTGGGTATCACTCCTTCCATCTCCCTCACTCAATCAACAGCCGCCTACTTTCACCACAAATCAGCATCCCGCTTCCATCATCAACGCAACATGCAACAAACTCACCTCCCCCGCCCCCTCCCCCGCCCCCTCCACATCCAGAAGCACCACCTCCTCCACCTCCACCACAACCTACACACTAGCTTAGCCTTGAGCAATAACTGTAGAGTGTTTGGCCTTACCTCCACCTCCACCAAAGAACCCAGCCCCTGAGCTGGTGTAGTAGCCTGATCGGTAGCCGTGGGCGTGTCTCGACTTTCGGGCTGGGAGGGAGTCAGGACTTTTCCGGTGGGGCTGCCGTTGAGAGGAAATGATACGCACGAGGAGGTCGTCCATATGTGGGTTTGGCGTGGTAGTAAGGAGTGTCGGGGTAGTGATAGTAAGGCGAGGGTTTGGAGCCGCCGCAACCCATCTTGGATTAAATCGAAAGAAGTGTCGTGGCTGGGATTGTGTCTCGTTCTGGGTCGAGTATTCAATAGGTCATCTCTTGTACTTAAGAAATCTTACGAATAAATCTCAAGGAACGAGGCATGAAAAGAAGAGAGAGATGTCGCGTGATACTTATGTCCTGTCCCAGCCCCATAGATTTCTTCAATTCTCCGATCGACGACACACCAACATGCTATAGCAAGGCTTAGAGCCAAAGCAAGCATGCCTGGTTCGAAAGGATCGTCCGCGCTTGCCAGAGGCTGAAAATGTTCGTCCAGATGACCCCTTGCTCAGCCACGAACGTGACCTCATAGGAGAGACGCTGAAGCCTGAGGCATAACTTCGGGTAGGAGGGCTGTTGGCGAATGGTATGACGCTGTGGTCGATCTCGGCGAATTGTTGAAGGCTGAGGGCGATGGCCTGTGTAGCTGGTGTTTCTGATTCGTACTCGCCAAGTGTGGGTGGTTGGGTTAAGAAAAGTACTCGTAGAAAATATGTAGGTGCAGGCTTTCTTCCATCAAGAGAAGAAGGTGGCAGTGAATGTCTTTAGCCTAAACTGAACAAAATCGCAAAACAGATTCGAATAGAAAATAGCACAAGAATACGAAAATGCTTGCGTTGGAAATCTTCGAGGAACGGAAGTCTGAATAAATGCAGACTCTATCATTTTTAACACCCTCCCCCTCCTCCCGCCGCAGCAGCAGTCGCACTTCCCCCGAAGGCTGAATTACTACATCGAAAGGACCACAATTAGAACGATTCGAAGCGACATCGACATCGACGGTAGGAGGGAACTCATAGAAAGAAGTATACGCATAGCTAAGGGCCCTAGCTGCGATCGATGGGACCTCGCGCTTGGGCATAGCCACCGCTGCTATTCGTCGAGGTCATGGTGCCGGAGTAGGAAGGCTTGTAAGGCGATGTCGATGTCGTTGGCGCCGAAGGTGGTGGTTTGGAGGTTGTGTCGTTCCACCAATCGTCTTTGTCTTTCGATCTTGGGGATGCAGTTGATGGCGCGGTCGTCGTTGCCGTTGGAGATGTCGTCTCAATCCCTGGAACTGCTGAGGAAGGGGCTCCCGACTTCCTGACTTCCTCCTTCGTCGCCGTAGGTTGGGACGGAGGGACGTCTCCTCACTTGGCTTGCTTAGAACTCATACAACCCATTCTGGCGACTTGACGTCTCATGTGCAACTTCCACCATCCCTAGGTACATCCCTACCTTCTCTTCTTATCATTTCTCCCCAATACGCAAACCCCTCTCATCTTCACCAACTCTCAGCCTTTCCTCTCATGCCGCTTGATCCGTAGTCTCCATTTTCGGGGCGTAGTCGTAATCACAATGCTGCAATCTGGGTGCTTAGCGATGATAGTGAGGCATTCGAAACATGCCAGGCACACATCAACGTAGGCGATAGTACCTGGCGTGGCGGCCTCTCGGCTATCGACGTCGTTCAATGGTTCCACGTCTTGATATCGAAAGGCGCCACAGCAAGGCTTGGCTTCAAGGTTCCGCAGCATCGAAGGCGTCTGCATAAAGACTCTGGCATCTGGCGAACCTCAGGCAGAAACCTGGTTTCGACGAATGTTCTGCGACCCTATATCTTGCACGTCAGTTCCCACATTCCTAAAGGCTTTCATCCGCACTCTGTATGACTTTTCGAAAGAAGCTCACAGTCCCGGAGCTTGATCATCAATGTCATCTTTCTTTTTACTGGTACCGATCCCCGTCTATGTACATGAGCGCGCATCATGCAAGTACCGCAGCAGGCCGCCTGTCGTCATGCCTGGACCACGATTCATTCGTCATGCTCGAAGTCTTGTCTACCGGCTTTCGTACCATCCAAAATCAACCATCCGCAATCGCAAAGATTCCAAAATCCCCCAAAATGCCTTCCCTCAAAGCCGTAATCTCATGCGTTGGAGAGTCGTTGCGCGCTGGTCTGCTGCGAGACAAAAGATGACCGGAGAACTGAAAGGGTGTGATCGTCTGGTTTACTTGCGATTACTGCCGTGAGCGAGCGATGGAATGCTGTGCTCGCTCGCCTGTCCCCTCCGAAAATGCCCATTGCCCTCCTTTCCTTATCCAGTCGTTCGTTACAAAAGGTTGGGGTATGCTGCTCGATTTTCGCTCGCTGAAAAACGCTTCAAAGTCCACAGGAATTCAAGAAAGGGGCTCTGCCCCGGTCGCCAAAAGTTCGTCGGTAATAATGAATCGAAAACGTCAAAGTGAATGTCTGGGCCGAAGCGTCATCGTATGGTCGTGCGCTGTGTGCCCGTTGGCTAGTGTCATAGGCCCTGTTCGCCCGCCTTGCAAAGTTTTATGCCCTTGCCCCATTCCGAGTTGAGAACTTGATGGGCAGATATGCGGCGTGATGCGTTCGGATCTAGGATGCTGTAGATGACGTTCCTGCAGCGAGCCTGACAGGAGCTGTGAGCACAGTCCGGCAACAATTTCCTACTAGACGAGCAACTTACTCTGTGGAGGGTCTCAATGGGTCCGTAACCTTCATCGCTCTTCCTGCCACGGATGTAGTTTTCGTAGAATTCATCCTCGTCCCGTTTCGCCACGCGCCACAGGTGTCGACCGGTGCGCATAGCCATGTAGATGACACCGCAAGCCCAGACGTCAACCGCGCGAGGATCGAACTCTTTGTCAGTGTACTCTTCAGGCGCAATGTACGGCGCACTTCCGCAGAGGCCGGCCGTCATGTGTGGTTCAGTCTCCCAAGCCATGCGGAAGCACTCGCCGTTGCCAAAGTCGGTGATCTTCAAGGCGCCGTGGGTAGTAAGGAGGAGGTTCTCAGGCTTCAAGTCCCGATGTGCTACACCCATTTCGTGGATGTATTCGACACCACGCATGAGCTGAGCAAAGTAGCAATCAGCCTCGGCAACTTCGAGTTTGCCGTTCGCGAGGACCAGCGAGTACAGATCGCCACCGGCGCAGAACTCCATGACCTCGCAGTAATCGCCCTTTGCGTCCTCCAGCAGATCTAGTGTATGGATGACATTTGGATGTCGTAGCGACGAGGAAATGCAGAACTCCGAGTTGAGCCGTTTGCTGTACTTCTTCGCGTCTTCCTGTGGTCTTCGTCTGAACTCTTTGACGGCGTAGAGTTGTTCGGCCTTCGAGTCCGGATCCGACTTGTGTGCAATCCTGACAATGCCAAATGCGCCGCGACCGACAATTTCATGGCACTTGCCGTACTTCTGAACCAACGATGCGGTGTTGTTAGGACCGTTCTTCTTCTCCTTTGCCTCGGCCGCATGTGCTTTCTCTCTCTTCACTTGATCTACCCAATCAGACATGAGCGACAAGGGTTGTTCGCCAACGTTATCTTTCTTCTTACCACCCAGCATCTCTCGTAACATGTCTGACAGCTTGTCCTGTCGCTTTGCGCCCTTCAGGAAGTGGTAATGTTCGCCATCTTCTTCGAACCAAAAGCGCCTCTGGGACGGCGCAGTCTCTTCGCGTTTGTCCTTCTTAGAATCTGAACCGCTTCGAGTCACAGCACCCATCTTCTCGGTCTTCGATGCTTGTCGCGTCGGCTTTTCGGGGCGTGACTTGGTCGATGAGCCTTCGTCGGCCTCTTCGACAGCGGTCTCTGGGACCTTGTCGGCGGTCTCTCGCTTCGTGGCTTCTCTAGCTTCGGCGTTCGAGTCCTTCTGCGAGAACATGCGACTGAGCCGCGAGGTAAAGGTAGGTTTCTTTTGCGGACCTGCGGGGCGCTCAGGCTTGTGGCCGTTGGGTTGGCCGTTGGGTATTTGTTGGTCAAGAGGGACGGAAGGTGGCGGTAGGACAGGGTCAGCCTGCTTAGATGATGCCAGCGAGGCTGAGGATGATGCGGTGGGCTCGGGCGATGCACCCGGAGACACGGCCATGGTGGCTGTCTTTATCTGGTATTGGCTATGCACAGGATGCGGCGACTGCGTCAACGCCAAGCGGGGCCGTCTGGTGTATGGACTGAGGTGCGAGTCGAACAGCAGCGATAAGGCCGCTGATCGGTCGCCAAGGAGGATTTGTGAGAAGCGCAGGAAGCTTCTTCTCTAAGCCACCCGGCGACCCTGCACTGGGCAGAGGGAGGGTGTGCGTTTTCGTATAGGTGGTGGGTGGGCAGAGCAGAGCAGCTGATGACAAACTCGAACGAGCAGCTTCCAGTTTCCACGGCGCGCGCGCGCTGGAATCCAGAGCAGCGAGTCGGCGCGGCGGCAGAGCGGTCGGGTTCGCAGCAGCAGCCGGACGGGTTAGGAGCGCATGTTGATGAGCAGACGCATGGTGACTGAACGAGGCAGGACGAGGCGCTGTGTGCGATGGGCGATGGTCGAGGGGCAGCACCGCAGGCTCGGCCGTCGTCAGTAGTCGCTGGTGTGATTTGCGCAGACAGGGAGGGAAAAGCGAGGTGAATTTCGATGGTGAAGACACCGAACGAGCGAGACCCAGAGGCCCGCACCTGACGCTTGCTTCTGTAAGCCTGGGGAGTAAAATGCCTCACCACATCTGGTGTTGCAGCAGCCGGAGGGGAATCTGCCCGCTAGAACTGACGCTCGTCGAGGCGCAAAGGCGACGACCGATCCAAAAGTCGCGGCCGAGCGCGCGGCTGGTAGGTTTGATTAGGATTGATGGTGAGAATAGGTAAGGAGCAGAATTTTTTTCATTTAACATTTGGTTGACCGCCTCTCCCCAAGAATAGGTAGCAACTGCCAAGCATCACTGAGTTCACCGTAGGCCGTTGCAGTTGCACGCACGTGGAGGCAGGCGACGACATCATCTGCTCGTGCCGTTTGATTCAAGGCCATGTGCATGCACGCGACCTCCAGGCACTTCCCCGACGCTGCTGAGACGACACTCGGAAATGCGACAACAACAACCGGGATGCTCACCGACCTCACCTCCTCGAATAGTCATGGCTGGTGAGGCCAGCAAGACTGATGGCCACAGCTTTTTCAGGGCACCCACGCACAGGGTCAACTTCCTCGTATCGTCCTTCGTCAGAGTGCAGCACTGCCCTGTTGCCATTTTTCTACATCTACTGCTCGTGTTGCTTTCGTTCGGTATCCATTCAACTCCTTCAACTCTCCACTACCGAGCCAACCGAATGCCGGCCATGGGTCCCCTACCTCACTTCATCTCATCATCACTTCGCCCAGCAACAACACCATGCTCGCCGCTGGTCATCCGGACAACTTCGCTGGACGTGAGTGGGCGCGAGAAGGAGGAGTACATACATAAGCGGCTGGATCACCCCCCGGGCTTTATGTAAAGCGAGCATTTAATCGCGCAAAGCTGCTACAGCCTGTATGCTATGAAGTACAGATTCAGAGCACCGGTTCCGATCTTCAATGCCAAGTCGGGCCCACGAAGCTTGTGGCTTCTGTGTCACCTGTGAGCGGTCCTGGATGAGCTTGGCCGGCATGCCGTGGGCTGTATTGCATCGTCCTGCTGCATTGCGACGCCATTCCACAGGACTTGGCCTGACGTACTTCCTCCAAGCCTGCATCATCTCGCCAAGTAACTTTCGTTCCCTGTGCAGTTACGGAGGTCTCGGGCTGCGCATCCGCTCGTATGAGGCCTAATCCCTGAACGTAATGCCTTCTAGTTAGGGCATGGCTTCCGTTGGTGGTTCAGATGGTGAATGATCCGGGATGAACATTGCGAGGCTCAGTAACACAAAGAAAGTAGGGAATCTCATTTCAAAGCAAGACATCCGTACTCGACCCACTCTACGACGTTACAGACGTCTTCAACTGCCACATCGAACCACACGCTAGACACCTTGTTCGACATCATGGGAGTTGCTTCGTGCAACAACCGGACGAGAGCCTTAATGCCATACATCGAGGCTTCGACGAACTCCCGCGCAGGGATTGGATCCCCTTGGATTCGCACAAATAATCGGGTCGTCGACACCATCAAATTGGGCAGCTCGTTGGGGCAAGCTAGCGAAGAATATATGCAAAGTACTTGCCAATGGCCAATGAACCAACAGACAAAGGGTATTCGAACTCAAATAATTGGGGATCGGGATGCTAAAGCGTAGATGAAAGAGTGCGGTGCCGGTAGAAGCAATGGACGAAGCTGTCCATTCTGGGTGGTCAGCGATGGAATCGATCAGCGGCTGGAGCAGCAGAGGAGTTGGGAATGGCTGCAAATGCTAGAGAGGTCAATTTGGCTATAAGACTGGAGATGGAGAGATACCTTATTTGTCGGCGATCGAGTCTCCTGACACAGTTGGAGAATGCTTTGCACGTGTCTCTTCTTCTTGGTCTTCGCAAACACCTCTTCAACCACGACGTCGCAGTCACCGCACTTGGTGCGCTTCACATCTCTTGAACCGCCTGACTTAAATAGACTGACAGCGACTTCATAGCAAGCATCATGGCAGGAAAGACTCCTCGAACGCCACGCACGCGGGCTAACAATTCTCAACCCAACACAGGCAGTACTCGTACGGTGCGCGGCGGTGAGCTTCGTGCTCTGGGCATCTCCGACGACAGCCCCAACCAGAATCAATCGAGCCGTCGTCGCAATGGTCGAGCATCTGAACAAGAGTCCCCAACCACACGCCGCATCCGTCACATGAACCGACAACCCGCTCCACGACAGCAGCCCGCTCCTCAGCAGCAGCGTGTCAACAACCAACCCGCCGCTCAGCACCAGCCCGCCGCCGCTCAGCAGCAGCCCGCCAACAACCAGCCCGTTCCTCAGCTTGCGGGAGACCAGGTCAACGCTCTGTTCGCGGCGAATCCAAATCTCATGCAGTTCCGGGCTGCATTGGTCACTGTCCAGCCCAATGGAGTCCAACCTGGTGCTGTCCATGCCAATGGAGCCCATCCCGGTCCAGGTGGAGGAGGGCGAGGAGGAAACGCAGCCGACCAGCCGGCCCAGCCAGGTCCCCTCAATCCTGCAGATGGTCATGGTGGACATGGTGGAGTTGAGAACGGCCAGGGCGGAGTCCACCCTGGTCAAGCTGGAGGAGGACAAGGAGGACAAGGAGGCGGCCAGTCAGCCCCTCCAAACATGACAGAGAACCCTGACGTACCGCTCGTCCTACCGCTGGGTATCGCCTCACCGAACGACTTTCAGTCGTACACCAGAAACTTCAGCTTCAGCGTGGGGTTCAGTGGGTCGTTCGATTGGAGGGTGTAAGCAACGCCTGGGCGGTAATGCAGCTCTATCATCTCTTCGCTTCTGGTCAGGACCTCGCCTAGTTGGCCGGCCACGACCTGATGCAACGCAAGCGCGACAGCGACAACCTCGACACCACGAAGAGTGGCAAAATCGCCGACATCGAGGTCACCGTCGATCCAACACAACGAGACTCAAGTCCAGAACGTCGCCCAGTACATGGCCGCACTGCGCACCCTCAAGAATATCGAGCTACGCCAGATGAGACCACGGTCGATCGTCGAAGCCCGCATCACGGTTGGTAGGTACGTCCAGATGCACCCAAACTTGTGCGAGCCAGAGCATGCTAGAAATGTCGCCTTCCTCGTTCGAGACCTGCTCGACGGACCAAAGGCGATCCAGAAGGATCTGAGGCTGGCGAACCTGGGTGACAGGGGTTGAGATTGTATTGTGCCGTGATCGCAAGCAACGCACGAACGTCGAGCTGCATGAGGAGGTCAATTGGGCCAGCGGCACATGACAAGACATGGGAGTGGTAGTTTTGGAGAGCAAGACTCTGCACTGTGAGTGAAATCTTCAGCATGCTCGATCTCAGACGGCCCAACCTCATAAAAGGATCTCATGGTTGTCAGGCGAATACAGCGGAGGAAGTATTTGGCAATAAAAGAGGATATGGGAAAGAAGCAGAATCAGTACAACCACCATGCATATCAACAAGAACGAATAGGTGCATTGGGTGTGACTAGCATTGCAACCACTGCTGGAGATGTTATTGCCCTATAACATCCCTTAGACTGCTGCACAAGAGAAAACCCTACAAGCACAGTCAAACAACTAGCACGTGGATCCCGTTAGTGAATGATCACGTTCTACCGCTGAATAGACCCTATTGTTTCTCGTGAACGTCCGCGTGATTGTTTGCGACACAAATAAAAATCCACGGTACCCCTAAATGCGACAGACCTCGACTACATCCCACAAGCGACATCAACCTCGACCTCGACCTTGACCTCGACATCACTCCTGAATCACTCCCGACCCACTATGGCCGAAGACGAGTCCACCCGCCGAAAAACCATCACATTCCCCCCTTCCCTCTCCCTCAAACCACCCTCCGTCATCCAACGCCCCAGCACAGGAGGAACGACGTCCAGCGAAGAAGAAGAAGCCCCACACCCACGAACACCAACACCAACGAAACCCCCTCCCCCAAAATGGAAAGACCGATGCAAGAAATTCCTAGGCCTATCAACACCCAACACCCACGAAGCACAGGAAAGAGGCCGCGGGAACGAACGCGAAGGGGATATGGAGTTTGGGGTTGAGGGAGGGATCAAGCCGTACAATGAGAAGGCGGCGGCGAGTCTGCCGGAGATTATCAGTGCGAGGAGGTGGAGGCGGCCGAGTCCGTACCCGGATGGAGGGTAAGTTTGAGTATCTTGGAGGAGGCGAAGGAAAGAATGAAGTTGTGTGGGGAGACGGTTGCTTACTTGGTGTAGAAAGAGACCGCAAGCCACTCGTAGCAAGACGGCGCCTCAGATCCGTGTCTTTTCGCCAGAGGAACAGGGTCAGGTTGATCAACGGCAAGGCGATGGTGACAACTACGACGGCGAGGAGTGGGGGGCGAGAGCGCTGGGGACTTGAGGGTTGACTTTGAATTCGACGCGAGGCGGTCTCTGAGACGGGGGTGTTGGCTCTACGGTTTTCCATTTCGTGAAGCTTTTCTCTATGCCTTGATGGCGATTCCATTCCTCTTCTCATGATGCGTTGCTCCATGTATTTAGGGACTGCAAGACTGCGTCTTTCATTCATCAGTGCATCTCGTCGAGCATACTTAACGCTTTACGCCAAAGTCTTCTCCTTGAGCTCGATGCCGTACTCGAGCAGCTTCTTGCGGATTGGCTCGACGTACTTGGGGGTGACAGGCGCGAGAACACCCTTGTCGGAGATATCGCCGTTGAGAACAGCGAGCACAGCAACTGCGCAAGGGACACCGACCAATCTAGCCATGGCGCTGTAGCCGCCGCTGCCGGTGGGCTCACCGTACTCGGTGAGAGTCGACGTCCGCATCTCCTTCTTGCCATCGGGCCAGGTGATCTCGAACTTGTGCTGGAGCATGACAAAGTCACGCTCGCCTTCGAAGTACTGCTGCTTCTTCTCGAGGGTAGCGCAGAGGCAGTCGAGGGGAGTACCGCGGGGCTCGATCTTGTCGTCGCTGAACAGACCGTACCAGCGCAGACCTGTGAGAATCCGCTCCTTCTCCTCGGTGTTCTTGAACTTGGTCTTGGAGTCCACTGCCCAGGCGAGGTCTTGCTCGTTATGGCTGCTGGATCCAACGATTTTGCCGAAGGCCTCCTTCCAGGAGATAGGAGACTTGAGGTAGTCTTGCTCCTTGTCGCTCAGCAGACCGAGGTCTTGGAAGGTTTGAACGATGGCTGGGTTGCCTTGGTAGCGGAGCGTTCCTCGAACAACGGTCTGGGCCTCTGGGATGTCGTATCGCTCTCGGAATGGAGTGCTGTCTCTGTTGGGGTAAGCCTCGAATGCGAAGCCTGGGTAGATGAAGTATGGCTTGGCGGTGCCCATCAAGTCAGCACCGCTAACAGTCTCGATCTTGCCGTCCTTGTAGAACTTGGCAGTGTTGCTGGCGGCCAAAAGGACACCGCGAGGAGACCAGGAGAACTTGTAGCCGAGCGGGTTGTCGGAATCCTCTGGAGCTGGGAGACCACCACAGTAGGACCAGAAGCCGGTGATCTTGCCACCTTGCTCGTGGACCTCGGAGATGGTCTTGACGGCGTACAGGTGGTCAATGCCAGGGTCGAGACCAATCTCGTTGAAGACAGTGATGCCGGCGTCCTTGGCCTGCTTGTCGAGTGCCATCATGGCATCAGAGACATACGAGGTGGTGACGACATTCTTCTTCTGGTTGATGGCGGCTTGAATGACCTGAGCGTGGAAAGTGTATGGGATTAGGGAGATGACCAAGTCGACCTTGGCGATCTCCGCCTCAAGAGCCTCCTTGTTGGCAACATCGAGAGAGATGGCATTGGCGTACTTGAGACCTTCTGCGAGCTTCTTTGCGCTCTCCAAGGTTCGGCAGGCTGGCGGATGTTAGTGGTGTTTGCAATACGGGTGATAGGAGTCGACATACCGACAGTGACTAGCACATTGGCCTTGTCAAGCTCAACGGCAGCTGGTCGCGTGACGAAACCAGAACCGAGGAGTAGTACCTTCCTATTGCAGCCAGTCAGCACGCCGCCGCTGGCTCATCAAGTGAATGATTCGGAATGGGGGAGCCTTACTTGGCTCTGCTGTTCTGCAATTCGGTGGCCATCTTGGTGTTGTGTTCTGAACTTGTTAAGATGAAAACAATTCGTGTACCTTTATAGAACGTCGACGGCAGTACGGCGTTCAATGGCGGTGATTCGCAACAGTCACCACGATGGAGCCAGCACAAATTTCGTACCAACGCCGATTCCGGCCCCGCCAAGAATGGTGCTCGAAGCAGATGGCACAAAAAGCCACACAATTGTGCAATGCACAACAAGGTTCGCCCCGTCGACGCCTCATACGCTCGGAAAGCGGGGGTTCGCGCATTCTCCGGGCGATCATCACCGCAGATTTGGGAAGCTCCCAGGTCTGTCTGACTTTCAGCACGCATTCGATAGGACACCTGTTCGACATCGAAAGCCGAGGAGATCCAGCCACCGTCCAGTACGCGCTGGCGCGTATTTGCTTATGCCCGATTGAATACTAAAGCAGTCGAGCCCGGTGTCTTCGTGTTGGACCAGAGTGTACTACTGGCTTCCCTCTTAGCAGACGCTGCGTCAACAACAATAGCCATGGCAGCAGAAGCTCAGAATGGGGTCTCACCGCAGCTGCGGAAGAAAGTCCTGCGGGTTCTTGTGATATCCTTGATTCTGGATCTGGTATGATTTGTAGCAGCTTGGCAAGACCTCGATTCGTACTGACTCCTTGCAGATATCCTTCACATTCATCCTTCCACTATTTCCCAAACTGCTCGAGTTCTACCGCAACCTCGAGACCAAGTCGACCAACAACCTTTTCTCGCAAGTCCTCTACGGCTTGAATGCTTACAAGGCGTCGTTCAAGAGGCCCATCAATGATCGCCATGACATTGTACTACTCGGAGGAGCACTCGGCTCGCTGTTCTCGTTATGCCAGGCGGTTGCTTCGCCCATCATCGGGACTCTTTCAGATCGGTATGGCCGTCGAACAGCTTTGCTGTGGGCCATGGTTGGCAACATCGCCTCAGTGGCTCTATGGTGTGCCGCATCAGACTTCAGAACTTTCCTAGCCAGCAGAGTCGTTGGAGGTCTCAGCGAAGGCAATGTTCAACTCGCTATTGCAATCGCCACCGATATCTCGACCGATCAAGATCGTGGCAAGACAATGGCTTTGGTGGGAGCTTGCTTCTCCATTGCCTTCACCTTTGGCCCAGCTTTGGGAGCTTTCCTCGCCAACATCAGCACCGTTGCTGCCAACCCATTCGCAACCGCTGCAGGCGTCTCTCTGGTGTTGATCGTCACTGAAACAGTCTACTTATACTTCGCTCTCCCCGAAACGAACCTCAAAAGTCAAGAGCCGAAACAGAATGGCAACACCGAGAAGGCCAAGCCACAGGCGAAACACGAGCGAACAAACTCCCACCTCCTCCTCAACCTCACCCACTTCAGCTTCATCCTCTTCTTCAGCGGTATGGAGTTCTCGCTCTCCTTCATGACATACGATCTCTTCGCCTACGAATCGAAGCAATCCGGCCGTCTTTTGGGATTCGTCGGCCTCGTCGCCAGTATTCTGCAGGGTGGTGTGACCCGACGAATGCATCCTTTAAGAGTTGTCCAGCTGGGTGTTGTGAGCGCAGCCGCAGCTTTCTTCACGCTCGCGAAGCTGCAAAGTGAGAAGACACTGTACATTGCAGCCGTGCTGCTTGCAGTCACCAGCAGCACCGTCGTCACAGGCCTGAACAGCCTCTCAAGCTTCGAGGCGAGCATAGACGATCGTGGAGCGAAGCTGGGCAATCACAGAAGCTTTGGACAAGCTGGAAGAGCAATTGGTCCGATTCTGTTCTGCTCGCTTTACTGGTGGGCTGGAAGAGATATTGCATACATTATTGGAGGTTCAGGCATGGTGGCAGTCGCTGGACTTGTGTTTGGAGGTCTCAAGCCACCGAAAGGGCTTGAAGTCAAGAAGCCAGCAAAGGCCAATGCAAACGGCAGTGCAGTCAAGAAGGCAGCTTAGGGACGTTTCGTGATATTTAGGGCGTACAGACTGTATGGGAAAGCATTTATAGATACCCGGGATATGGATTGGATATGTAGTCGTCAATTTGAACATCGGCATTCACGTGAATGCGCGACTGCCCCGCGGTTCAGTGAATCTTTGAACCCCCAACTTCACGTCCTTCTAGCCGCTGCGACTACCACGGACTACCACGCATAACATCAACCACCATGCCAGCCCCGGTAGAGCTCGCACTGGCGACACTGCTGCCCACAGTCGCATTCCTCCCACCCGACCTCATCTCTCTCGCAGGTTCTCTTCTCTCACAATCACGCGTCATAGCCGCGTCCTTGAAGCCCGAGGAAGAGATCGCCCGAACGTACGCTTGCGCACACATCGCTTGCGAGAGACTGAAGAAGCGACTGGATCTGGAAATCGGCAAGCCTACGCCTCCAGTCAAGCCAAGAACATACGACAAGCTGTACAAATATCTGGACGGCGCCTTAACGACGAGCACGCCAAGGACGCCGACTACGAATCGAGTCAAAGATGCGGTTGGGAATGTCAGTGGGAGAGGGAATGATGCGACGCCTACGCGGAAAGTGCAAGAGGCGAAGACACCGACGACGAGTGGGAGGAAGAGGACGAGAGAGCAAGTAGAGAAGCCAGAGAGCGGAGCGCCCGAGTTCGCCATGCCCCTGGTACGAGCGATTTGCAAGGCGAATGGGGTTGCCTCAGCAGCACCGCACATAATGGTTGGGGCGATCTCTGTGGTTCAAGAGATAGTATCAAGAGCGCAGAGGAGAGTGAATGGAGACCCGCCGAGTAAGAGGAGAAGGAAGACGCCTCAGTCTGCTAAATCGGATGTGTCGACTTCAGCCCCTGCAGTGGCTGAGGGCATCCCTACGAGCAAATGGCCAGCGTTGCTGATAGCGCTGCAGCTATTCACTGCAGCGAGGATGAAAGGCGTGGAGGTGGAGGACGAGGAAATCAAGGCTATGAAGAAGACCGCTACAGAAGCTGTGAAGACAGTCTGCAGGGACAAGAAGGACTCGCTACCGGAGGACCTGGGGGCAGGTCTCAAGAAACTGGACTCGAATATCGACTTCTATATGCTCGAAGCAGAGGATAGTGGCTGGCTCGACATGGAGTGGTTTCAGAACATCCCAGAGGGACAGGACCTGGAGCCTGAGATCGAAGACAGCGAAGAGAATGATGATGAGGACGTGCTGGTGACGTCGAAGAAGAGACCCTACAAGACGCCATTGCAACGTAAGGAGAAGCATGGAGGCAAAGCCGCATTCGACTTGGAGGACGACGTTGGGGCGGCTGGCTTGCTACCAGGCCTAGGGACCATGTTTCAGCCTACCATAGATTGGCTGAGTGATGAGAGGAGACGAGACTTTGTCCAGTGGAAGAAGGGCATTCTGAAGGAGATCAATGCGATGGAGATGGAAGTCTCATGAAGAACGACAGACGAATAGGACGATACCAGGAAACTCTGACTGGTCCTTCTTGGACAGCTTATCCTATTGCAATAGAGAAGTACTCGCTATGAGGTAAGTCTTCAAAACAGCTGACCACAGAACCTCACCTTACACTGACAATCGGCTTCCACCCATCCTCCTCCCTCTTCGAAGTCGCAAAATCCCTCGCCTTAGCAAGAACATACAACATCCTCAAATACGGCGTCTGCACCCCCAACTCATCCGCCTTCCTCACCGCATTCCCCAAAATCGCCTCGACTTCAATATTCCTCCCATGCCGAATATCCACCAGCATACTAGGCTCCTTCCCACCCGTCTTGAGTCGATCCAGATGCCGAGCCATATGCTCATCGATCTCCTTGTCAGTGATGGCATTGACGATCCCAGCTGCCGTAGCGACACTTCCAACCTCCCTCATGACCTCCTTGGCCATATCGACAGCAAACCCCGACGACCTCAGATAATTCGCATCATCGCACAGCGTCAATGCGGTAATCGGATTGAAACACGCGTTCAACGCCAGCTTATTCCACCGCCTCGTCTGGATATCCTCATGCACAGGCGCCTTCGCCCCGCCCGCCGCAAATAGTCTTGACAACCTCTCCGCCGCCTCTTTGTGCTCGCGTGGAGCATCGATGGGGAACGTCCCAATCTCGAACTCCTCCAGCGGCGTCCCGTGCTCCACGACCCCGGGCTCCACCTGCGTCGTAGGCAGATACACGACCCCGGAAATTATCGGATTGGAGGGATACAGCGCCGCATAGTCCTCTTCAATTGCAATGCCGTTCTGCGCCAGCACGATCGCTGTCTTGTTCGGCGTCACGGCATCCTGGATGAGACTCGCCGTGCCAGGGAAGGCTTTCGAGCAGACTAAGGCGTAGTCGAAGGGTCCGAAGGCTCGGGCTTCGTGACATGTCCGGACGGTGTTGGGGTGCGTGCGGATGTGGCCCCATTTGACGGAGCGGACGAGGATGCCGTGGGTTTTGACTGCGGTGTAGTTTGTGCGGCAGACGGCTGTGACGGTGGCGCCGCCGCGTTGGAGGAGGGCGGCGTAGATGCTGCCTACGCCGCCGGCGCCGAAGACCAGAACATTCGCTGGAGACGACATTTGGGAGGTTGAGGCATGGTGCTTGTTGGGAAGTGAGCAGGGAGATGTTTTGCTGGGTCGTATCTTGTGCTCCTTCTAGATATCGCATTCACTTCGCCGAGTTCGGATCAGTTCGGTGGAGCTTCACGCGAGCTTTGTGGTCGGGATCCATGGCCGATTGAAGAGTATTCGACGAGGCTGACAAGAAGTGCGCATCTACATTCATACAGCTATAGGACTGACGACCTGCCTTCTACACCGCGTACCTAAACTCGCGATTCTGCAAGTCCGTCTTATCCTGAAACTCATGATTCAGCTCCACCGTATAGTCTACTCCGCGTTGCTCCTTCTCCCCATCACGCTTCTTGTTCCGCCTGACGAACACCCATCTCATGATGGCGAGATCCACGGTGATGAGGAAGTATATGATAACGATAGAGATCTTTGCTGGGAGGTACCTGGGTGCATCTTTCGCCTGGAACGTCTGGGGAGAGATGATGTTGCCAACAGTATACGCGATGGTGCCAATGCAAGCAACCGTTACCTTCTTTGTTGATCCTGCCACATTCGAGGCTTGCAGACCAAGAATCGTCGTCCAGCCTATGGGTACTCCACCGGACAAGTAGTATCCGACCAGGGCAGGAGCTTTGTCCGTTGTAGCCATCAGAATCGCTCCCACGATCGCGGGAATGTGTCCTGCGATACATGCGTAGAGGCGCTGGTTGGTCTTCATCGCAATGTATGTCAGGCCCACAAGCGCCACGATCTCGTAGGCTCCCAATGGAGTGACCAGTAGCAGAGACTCCTTGCTCGTGTATCCCATGCCCTTGACGAGAATGTTTCCAAAGGATGTCGCGATGCTGTTGGGGATGTTGGCGGCAAAGACCCAGAATGCATACAGCCATGTCATCGGGTCAATCAGGGCCTCGCGGAATTGCTCCCATTTGAAGGTCCTCGATCCGATGCCTTGTTCGTTGTGACGAATGCGTTCGATGTGGAGAGCCTTCTCGTCTTCTTTGAGAAAGCTTGCTGAAGCAGGCGAGTCTGGCATCACGAACCAGAAGCTGATCCCGATCAGTGCAGTGAGGAGTCCAAGGAAGAGGAAGATGATCTGCCAACCCTTCAGAGCCGCATGGACGTCCCCACCGACGTGGTTGGCAACGCCGTACGCGAAGTAGCCTCCAAACATCTGAGCCACACCGCACATGGAGAACCAGATGCCCACGCGGAAAGCCTGCTCTTCCTTCGTGTACCATTGCGAAGTGAAGATGACCCAGGCCGGAACCACTGCTGCCTCTGCAGCGCCGAGAATGAAGCGACATGCGAGGAGGGAGCCATAGGACTTGCATGCAGCCAGAGAGGCCAGAACAGCGCCCCATATCGTGACATTGACCGCGACGTACTTGGCCAGTGGGAACAGTTGAATGAGTCGAATCGTCGGAAACTCGAACGCGAGCTGTCCGAAGAAGAAGATGCTGGCGACCCAGTTGAACTGATTTCCGTGAAGGTGAGTAGAGTCGAGAAGGCCAGTAACGCTGCCGTACGAGATGGCAGTTTTATCGATGTATTGCAAGAAGTACACGATGCAGATCAACGGCATGATGCGTAGATCGATCTTGCGCAACAGCTTTCGTTCGAGCTCCTTATCTCGTCGGACTCCTCCTTGTGCGTTGACGATATCGAGGGCTGCATCTCGTCCTGCTATCGCCTTCTCTGGATGGCTTAGATCTTGAAGTGTAGCATCAGCATGTTTTGACTCGGCCGTGCCTTTCGCCAGCTCCTCTGGGTGTGCCATCGTCCAAGAAGTCAAAGTCGACTACTCAGTCGTCCGCGAATTGAGACCAAATACCTGTCGACATAGGCAACCCAAGCGACCTTATACCTATCATGCCAAGAGCATATCTCTCCCACGTTGCATTGAATGGAGCACCGCAGATCCACCGTAGGAACGGTTGAAATGACGTCTCAAAGTTTTCTCGGCCTATGATTGATGCGCCAAACATGACTGCTGCAGCACGCCATCAGATCCCGAACTCACGTTTCTCGCGTTGCTCGTTGTAGCTAGATCAGCATCGTGTATTGGAAATGCTCGTCGCCAGTAGGAACGTCGGCGAAACAATGAAGATGTTCCTAGATGGCAATGGGAAGCGTTGAGATCAGTGCACTATATAGCTGACTGAAATATTTCAGTCTCCCATTGCGAAGAGAACTCGCATGTTGATTGGGAAGCTTGCTGAGAGCCCATGATGGCACCTTGGAGGTCGGTCCATATATGCCGTTGCGCATAGTGAAACCAGCAGTACAACAGTGTTGGCAGTAGTCACTCTTAGGTACAGAGACAGTTGTGTGTTGTGTTGAAGAAAAGGGACAAAGTCTGGGACGTGAAGTCGAAACACTTCCTCTTCCTCGATCCCATTTCCCGCAGAAAGTCGTGGCATGGTCGGCCAGCTTGTGACACTACCACATGTCCGTTGCTATCAAGTTTCTGCGATGCAGACATATTAAGGACAATTCAGACCACGATCAACCAAAGACAAATATCTCGTTGTAAAGACTATCCAGCACAACGGACTGGGAGACTTCGACGCCATCCTACGGTACCAAACGGAAGACCTTTCTTAAACCCACCATCAATGCTGTTGCATCCATCGAATAGACCCAACGATGCTTCTATGAAAGTGAGCCAGGACGCAAACCGAGACTGAAAGATCCAGGCGCCTCAAGACCTCGCAGAGAAATCCCTTTCCTCGTGAAAACTCTCCAAAATGAAGGTCGCCGTCCTCCAATTCAACCCCATCCTGGGCCGGGTAGCCCACAACATGCACCACGCCGAGCACATCCTCTCCTCAACCCAAGTCCACATGGACGTCCTAGTCCTTCCAGAGATGGCCTTCTCCGGCTACAACTTCTCCAGCCTGGAAGCAATCCGGCCATTCCTCGAACCCACAGCCGCAGGACCGACATCACAATGGGCGACGAAAATTGCCATGCAGAGGAATACGACGGTCATTGTCGGCTACCCTGAGATCGCCACGGAGAAGAGACCTGATGGGACGACGGTCATGACGAACTACAATTCTACCATTACGGTGGGTCCTAATGGCACCGTGCTGTCGAATTACAGGAAGTCTTTCCTCTACTACACCGACGAGACGTGGGCGGCGGAAGGATTCAAAACGACTGGAAACCAGATGCCCTTTTTCACGGGGCAGCTGGGAACGCTGGGGAATGTGGGTCATGGCATTTGCATGGATATCAATCCCTATCGATTTACGGCCCCATGGTCAGACTACGAATTCGCAACGACGATGCTGAGGAACAAGTGCCGGGTGGTCATACTCAGTATGGCGTGGCTGACAAGACTGGGGCCGGAAGACTGCCAAATCAACCCAGAGAGACCGGACATGGAGACTGTAGCGTACTGGCTGGAGCGGTTCTGGCCGTTCGTCGACTCTCAACCTCAAGATCCGATCGTGGTGGTATTCGCGAATCGATGCGGTAGTGAAGGAAGCTCGAAGGGATCGGTGCAGATGGAGCATGGCCATGACATCGAGATAGGAGATCGAGTTGCGTATGCTGGGTCGAGCTGTGTGATGCGGTTTCAGAGCGGGTCGGTGAAGCTTTGGGAGCATTACACGGGGCCGAAGAAGGGTGATGTCGGACTGCTGGGTAAGGGTGAGGAGGGCATGCTGGTGGTCGATACTGGAAGCGCAGCGAGTTTTCTACTGCAGCAGAAGACAGGTTAGGTGCAACGGCAGCGCGCCATCACAGCGCCAGACAGACTGGAACGAGGGAGCGACTTTTGAGGCACATCACACAGACAAGCAGCGCTTTCAGAGGTGTTCATTCCATGTCCGCTATCTCTTCAGCAGGACAATTCATAGAGCAGTCCCATCGCCCCGTGCGATCTCAACGCCGTAGAAGCCCGAAACCATGCATCGTATCCGCTTTCGGGCCATCTGCTTGTTTTCCATCGCACCAAGTCCATGCTCACTCTGCTGAGGTCGGTATTGCATGACATCCTCCGCTCGAAATTCGTGGTCGTTGCGAGTAATCTAGATGCCGATGCGGGTCTTGCGCCAGTGCCTCCGCTTCGCGTTGTAGCTGTGATATGTTAGTCTCGTGTTATTCTTCGTGCGATAGATTCGTTGGGCTCTCGCGCGGTGATGGAGGGGATATCGTACCGGATGGTGTTGCCAGTCCTAAGGCGGATCCATTGTGGGATTGGGCGATTCTGCTTCTGCGCCTTTGCGAGCTTTTGCTTCGTCCTGAAGGACTTGTGGGACTGTCGCCGCGTCAGTTGATATCCTAATTCTCACTCAACCGCCTGCAATACGTACAGGCATCTTGACGTTGCTCGGCGATGTCTTCTTCGTTGGTGTGTCGTCGCTGCGAAGCCGACGGCGAGAAGTGTGGAGGGCAAATTCGACTTGCCAAGCCAGGCTTGGCAGAGATTATGTAATGACCGTCGGAGTCGTCAAGGAAGTTCAAGCCGACGTCGCTTGGTCGCCCAGTCAACCGGCTTGTTTGCAACGTCAGTCAGGGCAGGAAACCGACTTTGCACCGGATCAGGATATTAAAGACGACACATCTTCCACACGATCGCTGTTACACAAAACAAACCTCGCACCATACGTCGCATCTCGATACACCTGTTTCAGCATACCAACAAGACATCATGGCCGCTCTCACCGACCGCGACACCAACGTCCAGATGGCCGCCGCTCAGCAAGACACGAACGAGAAGCAGCAGCAGAAGAATGCGGGAGAGCTGAATAAGAGCCAGCGCACATTGCAGCAGCAGATCGAGGATCAGAACAACAAGCAGTCGGGCAACTACATCAGTCCTTCGGATGCGATTCTGAGCCCCGCGAGTCAGAAGTTGGCGGGTTTCAAGCAGAGGCAGATCAACAAGCAACAGTGAGTCGCAACACCGCTTTGGAGACAGGGATGTGCAAGACTGACAGGCTCTTTAGAAATGGCAGGACTCCAACTGCGCGCTCGCTCTTCTCTAGAACGGCAAGCAGCGTCAGCAACGCCTCCCTTGAGGACGGCGGGGACGTCGTATCGAAATGATCGCCTTTGTCTCGATCAACACCTGGATCACCATGCTCCATAGCGGCAGGCTCCTGAAGCACATGCATTACGAATGACTTTTCTTCCGGCGTTGACTTTTGGACTGGACTACGCTCGCAGACTGCTTGAGCTTTCTTTTGGGTTGTTTGTTTGGGATATTCAGATTGAAGACACTCTTTCGTCTTTTCATTGCGTTTTTGGATACCCTGCAATGGGGGAGATACCACGAAAAATGATAGAGCGTACGTACCAGGGTACGAGAGACCTGCTACACGGAGTACGTTAAAGGATTGGAAGACCGCAGGTTTTAATGTAGCAATACAGAGTTGTACGATGATTGTGTCGGTCACGGAATTGAATGAATTGACAGGCGTTGGTATTGTCGAGCCTCATACATCTAAGGTGTAGTCACGATCTGCTCTAGCATTGTTCGTCTTGGGCAGAATTCGCCGCCACATTCCAACCGCAACAAGCAACGTCCCCTCTCTGTTCATACAGCAAATGACTGTTGTACCCTTCCCATCCGTGTCTTTAAACGCCCGCTGAATGTAGAATGTCAACACTTCGAAACCCGAGCCATCTTGGCATTGCGCCTGTGATACAGATCTTCACGAGACATCCATGGCGACAGGCTCTCGGGGAAGGGCATGGCCATTCAGACCGAAGCTGTCCGTTGCAGTGGGCACTTTCGAGTACTGCTCGGAACCTGCAGGAGCAGACGGTAGAACGACTTGTGGCTCGGAATGGGCTGCAGTTGATGGCAGAGGAGCATCGACGTGGCCATTCGGTGCAACGACTTCCTTGGCCTCAGTCTTCGCGGTTCCAGGCCGAGCTTCCTCGACAGCATCTGCTGGAGGAGGAACGCGCACCAAGGGGTGGGTCGCAGATTCGTCTTTGACGTCCACCTTTGCTGTTGGTAGCCGTGGCTCCTTGCCCAACTTCAACTTGACGAGAATACTCCTGGGCGGGCCACGCTCGAGCTGGTCATCCTCGTCATTGTCGCTGATCGGTGACTCCTCGTCGTCGGCATCAGGCATCTCGTCATCGCCAGAACCATTCTTGTCTGAGTCCCATTCGTCTCCAGCATCGTCTTCATCACTTATCTCATCGATGGAGTTGTAGCCCTCAATGTGCTTTCGCTGTCGAGGATTACTGGGACCCTGACCGGCACCACCTGACCGTGTGGCTCTGCCTCCACCACGCACAGGATCCGACTCGTTGCTTCCAGCACGCTCGACACCTGACTCGTCGTAGTCTGGCGCCAACTCGTCGGTACTCATGACATTGTTGCTCAGCAGGCTCTCGCCGTAATCACCGACGCGGGGCCGCTTGGTCTGGCGACCACTGGCGGTAAAGGTCGGACCAGACTCGAATGGCGTGCTGCGAGCAGACTGGTGGCGTGTCGAACGTCGGGCCGAAGTGGCATCTGACATGAAGTCCTCGCCGTCCTCATCCTCCTCGTAGTTATACCGCGTGCGCTTACCACGAGTTCGGCCTTCGTAGATGCCAAAGCCAGGCTCTGGTCGTGTGAAGGCGGCACGACGTTGCTGGCGGTACTCGCGGCGGCGGCGTTTCTATACGGTGTTAGCATCTGTGTCGAAACATACGTCAAGTGGTGCCAAGCATACCTCCTCGGTGGCCTCAAACATGGGCACAGCATTGAGCATTCTGCTGGCGAGCCTACGAGCTGCCTGTGACCGGTCTTCGTTCTCCAGCTTTTCTGCAAGAGCCTTGACCTCGTCGATGGAGCCCGCGACGCTCCACCAGTGTGCGTTCCTCGTATACCGGCTGCCCTCTCTGTATACTCTGAAGCTGGTATCGTCGAGACCTTGGACCAGGAAGTACCTCCTCTTGTCTCCATCTACTCCCCATGGTTGCACAGACAGTGGTTGATTCTCATCGTCGTTGTGACGTTGTTGCTTGTATTTGTCTTTGATCATGCCAGAGACAACGTCGGATGAGGAAAGGGACCAGAGGACGAGCGTATGGAGGAGGTTGAGCTGCCAGTGGGTTAGCATTGTATGAGACAGTCTAGAGTATGATCCCCGACCTACCCTCTCAGCAGGTGTCATGTTGGTGAAGTCTTTGCCTCCGTGGAGTGGGTTCTGGTGGCCCCATTTGCGCGGCCATTGGTTCTTGTGTGAAGCCACGGCTTCTTCGAGTGCTCGCCCGTGATGACCACGCCTATAGTGCGCACATGTTCGTCAGCAAGTGTTCTCCATAGTCCCATGTGCCATGCGCAAGGTCAAGTGTTCCATTCCTTCAATCCTCCCTGGAGGGTATACATACTCAACAGGCTTCTTGCGATTCAACACCAACGCCAGCAGCGCGCAAAGCAGAGACTGAATCTCCGGGCTGGGTATACTGTCCACGACTCCTCTTTCTATATCTTGCGGTCCGAAATGGGGTGTCTTGCCAGGGAACGCCTCTTGGAATCGCGATCGGAACATTACGATGAACTATTGGCAAAAGTCAATGGACGTGTTCCAGAAGTCGCACACGCGTCCTAAGCGCGCCATCTCGTGTTGAAGCCATGGGCGACTCACTGCAATGTCGGGGTTGTCTGCCAGGACCTCTTCATGAGGTGGTGATGGTGCTCTCTTGGGCCGAGGGGGCGAGACCACAGGCGGTGGAGCGACGAGCTTGGTCGCCTTCTTCGCCTTGACGAAGATGGGCGCAAGCTTTTGGACTTCCTCTTCAGGCGCCGACGACAGTGAACTATCCGAGTCCGACTCCATGGTGGGTATACGTGGGTGGTTGTTGGATGGTGTGTGCGGTGGAAGTTGTCAGGCACGAAGTTGGACTGGAAGCTCAGGGTTGACGATAGCGTCACGGGCAATTTCAACGGCGGGCAGAGTGACTAAGCCACCGCAGCAGTTTGGGCAGCAGGGAGGTGATCAAAGGATGATGTCTGCTATTCGCTATCTATATTCCTGATGTACAAAGAATGTCTGAGCCGCACATGCGCGCAATGCGTCGGTGCCAGGTTCTGATGGTTCTGATTCGTGTTTCGCGCGACTCGGTCGTGCCAGAGGATTCGCTGATGGTACGCATAGCCGTGGACTATCGCCAGAAGCCAGCAATGCTTCTCGAAGGTCCTTTGCAACTCTTATGATCCACCACAGAGGCCTCGCCCTGGTTTCACGAGCGGATAGCCCGTTTTCCTTGCCATAAAGCTTTTCCAGGTGTTCTAGCGCGTGAGCCAGCTGCACTGAGGCAAGGTGAAGCCCTCGAGATACGGTCTACCATGAGGAATGTTGAACCACAAAGGCTGGTGATCTCAAAACAGCGGTGCCTTGCTGGTGGGCATGATATAACCCGTCCAAATCGTTATTTGGCTGATTGTTTGCGCGACCCGTGTACATTCCAATGGCAGTCGTTGGTCGTCGCGTGGGACTGCGCCTGCACCGCTCTGTTTCTGTAGAGACTTAGGCTGGAGAAGAGGGTCCTCGCTTGCAAGCCTTTTAAACAGCTATTGGCGTCTTGTTCGTGTCAAGTGCCCACGGTAAGAGTGGTCTTGCAACATCGATGGCATGGCTCCAGCCGTAGGCGGTCGGGTAGTAGCCTTCGATATCAGGGCTGGTCATCGTTTGTCCATGATGGCCACGAAAATGTCGCCGATGCTGTAGATTCCAGACTTAATCCAACCGCCACTTCCCGCCCAGCTTGTGCAAGCCTGGATTCTGAGAGCGTTCCTCGGTCGCATAGTAGACGCTGATCACGTCGAAACTTTGCGTATTCAACGACACCAGCACTCTGTATTGCCTTGCATTTTCTGATGCCTTGAGAAAGGAAACACGAAATATGGACTTATCTGGTGTCGATGTGGGCGAGAGTCGGAGGAAGGACGCGCATTTCGGTCCCAGAGTGCTCAAAGTATCACCGCAAAATGTTCGACGAGGCATGGACGATGCAATACACTGTAGAAAGGACGTGGTGATGCATAGAGACTACAAGTTTGGCTTTCGTGAAGGTGTTGTGAGGTCGGAAAGCCGCACGGGCACCAAAGTGGCTTAGCGCGCCAAGCCGCACGCAACTGAGAAATGGAACTTGTTCGCGAGACGACACTCCAAGTCTCGCTGAAGACATCAACGCCAACACACCCATCCGCCAGCGCTCAAGATGGTATGCAGCATTCAGGAAGATGAGGACGCACATGGAAAACTGTACTGATGATATCAGGGTCGTGTCATCCGCAACCAGAGGAAGGGCCGTGGCTCTATCTTCACTGCCAACACCCGTACGAAACTCCTCCCGCGATTCGAGACTCTATTGCGATACTAACTGCTCCCTCAAGGCCTCAACAAGGCTCCTGCGAAGTTCCGAACCCACGACTACGCCGAGCGCCATGGTTACGTCCGCGGTGTCGTGAAGGAGATTGTCCACGATGCAGGCCGTGGCGCACCACTCGCCAAGGTCGTCTTCCGCAACCCATACCGATACAAGCTGCACACCGAGACCTTCATCGCCAACGAGGGCATGTACACCGGTCAATTCGTCTACGCCGGCAAGAACGCCTCGCTCACCATTGGCAACATCCTCCCACTCGGCTCCGTCCCTGAGGGTACCGTCGTGACCAACGTGGAGGAGAAGGTTGGCGACCGTGGTGCGCTGGGCAGAACATCCGGCAACTACGTCACCGTCATCGGCCACAACCCAGACGAGGGCAAGACTCGCGTCAAGCTCCCATCTGGCGCAAAGAAGGTTGTCAAGAGCTCGGTCCGTGGCATGATTGGTATTGTCGCTGGTGGTGGCAGAACCGACAAGCCTCTCCTCAAGGCTTCCCGCGCGAAGCATAAGTTCGCTGTCAAGCGCAACTCGTGGCCAAAGACTCGTGGTGTTGCCATGAACCCCGTCGACCATGTAAGACAAGCGAACAGGCAGGGCAAGACACGGATCGCTAACATCTTTGACAGCCTCACGGTGGTGGTAACCACCAGCATATTGGTAAGGCCTCGACCATCTCCCGCTACGCTGCACAAGGTCAAAAGGCCGGTCTTATTGCCGCCCGGAGAACGGGTCTCCTGCGTGGTACCCAGAAGACCAAGGACTAAATGCATCATTGAGGATGGCGGTGTTGGTGGGTTTCTTACGGTTCTGCACTGCGTTCGGAGCAGCTGCTGCATGGGTCGTAGCTTAGCTGAAATGGCAGAGAAAGCTACAAGTTCAGATTCCTGTGCAATCCAACGAGTTCATGTGCAAAGACAATGCTTCATTACACTTTCTGGTGGAGCTTACAGTTTAACGGCTTTTTACCTCCGTGCTTCTGCTTCGCACTCCATTCCACTTCCCTATCTTCCCAGAATCCTGTTGTACATGTATTCATGTACCTCCAAACAAGCGCGGCGGCTAAGGAGTTTTCGTGCTTCTAGGTTCACTTCTGAGATTGAAAGGGCGGCAACGTCTTGGTTGGCTCTCACCCCACCCAGCCCCAATGGACCCCCCGCCAAAAAGTTCCCTGAAATAACATGAAACACTGAACATAACAGCTCACCATCAATCTCTCTCCTGTTGAGAGAAGACACATTCGTTGATTCGACAGTCGTTTCTGCAAAAAGACCCCCTTTTTTCCTTTCCAACGAACAAGACGCGCTTACGTGGCCTGGCATTCCGATTGTTCCAGTGGAGGATACGCAACGTAAGACCACTTGAACCCTTTCCCTCGAAAACCTACTTGCGAAGAAGTATACTCGCGGCGGAGCTGGCGGAAAGCAAAAGGCGCGTGCGGCACTCCTCGTTTTTTGCCTCCGTGATCCTTGTCACTTGCCCGCACTCTCGTCACTCGCTTGCTTCGCGGCGTTGGGGAAGAAAGCAGGCTTGCTGGAACTCGCCTGATCTCGCTCTTGTTCTTGGCTCGACACTCGACACTCTTCTTATCCAACTTACGACTACGCAGTCGGCGAACAGACTCGATTGACAGAGGACGAATCGAACTCGGAGAAACACCGAACCGGCAACATGAACGTCAACAAGAAGCTCGATCGCTTGAAGCAATGGGGCAAGGAGCGGATGGGCGGCGAGGTCAAGACGGAGACGACGGATGAGTTCAAGTCCTTGGAGATGGAGATGCAGCTGCGACATGATGGTACAGTATACAGTCCGGCTCGCCCGCGTGCTTTGCTTGCTGACCAGAGATTCAAGGCATGGATCGCTTGAAGAAGTCCGCCGATGCCTACATTCTACACACGTCCAAGAGGGAGAAGTACCAGGATAAGGAGCAGCAGTTGCCAGTGGGATACTTCGGCTCGATGATGGTGGCTCATGGAGACGACTTCGAGCCGGATTCTGAGTTTGGGCAGTGTCTGTCGACACTTGGCCGGGCCAACGAGCGGATTGCGCGAATGCAGGAGACGTACTGCGCCAATGCTACTAGCAGTTGGCTGGAGTCTCTAGAAAGATCCCTGGTGCAGATGAAGGAGTATCAAAGAGCTCGTAAGCAATTGGACACGAGGAGACTGGCATACGATACTGCAGCGATCAAGATGCAGAAGTCGAAGAAGGAGGATTTCAGGATGGAGGAAGAGCTGCGTCAGCAGAAGATGAAGTATGAGGAGAGTAGCGAGGATGTATACAGGCGGATGCTGGATATCAAGGAGGCGGAAGTGGAGTCTGTTCAGGACTTGACGAGCTTCCTAGAGGCGGAATTGACATACTACGATCGTTGTCGGGAGCTTTTGCTGCAGGTCAAGAGGGACTGGCCGGCGTGAGTCTTACCCATCATCTCTCTGCAGGACCAACGCTAACATCTCACAGACAAGCAATGACCAACCGATCCGGTACAGCCAGCCCCGTCAACGGCGGCATGATGCGTCGCCAAACCCGATCACGAGCCAGCTCCATGAACGACCGCTTCGGCCGCATCGACGAAGACGAACCCCTCGAACCACCCCCTCGACCCACCATCAGCTCCAGAGTCCCCTCGGGGGCCAACTCCCCACGCAAAGAACTCCCCGGCTTCGACCTCCCCGTCCGAATCAACAACACCCGCAGCACTTCAACCCCAGGCTTCGAAGGCCCCACCCAACTCCGCGCAGACTCCCCAGCAGGAATGCCCCGTCTCGCGCGCGTGCCAACCGAACCCTCCCATCTCCTAGGCGCGAGATCAAACCTCCGCATCACCAAGTCCCGCGAAGCGCAAGCCCACGGAGGAAGCGATGTCTTCGGGGACGATCAGAGCGAATACTCAGACTCCCCCAGCACGGCCTTCGACGAGCACCACAGAGCGCCTAGCTGGTCGACCATGGGCCAAGATGGAGGGAGTCAAGCTGCTGTGAAGAAAGCCCCTCCGCCACCTCCTCCCTCGAGAGCGAAGAAACCGCCTCCTCCCCCGCCCATGAAACGCAGCGCTCTTAGTACGAGCGAAGTACCTCACTATTGATCGCAAAACAAGGAAGCGAGAGCAGAAGGAGATGAGCGGGATGGATGTCGTTTCATGGCAAGAAAAGAGACTGTTGCCAGACATTCCTGGTTGAAGTCTGACAGTCTGATGAGAGTGAGCAGCAACCAAAGCATTTCGTGGAGTTGTTGGCTATACCCAATTCTAGATGGTAGCGATTGATGAAAGCGTAGTTTTTCTCGTCACATTGGGAAAGTCTTCCCTTCATTCATTCATGCATTCGGACCTGTGCGCTTTGTGTTCCGTGGTGAGACTCCTCGGTTTCGTGCTCTTCGAGACAATTTCTCGGAATCTTGATCCTTTGTCTCAGCGGACTCGAAAAGACGCTAGGCCGAAGCCGGGACGTCGCATATGACGAAATCGGCACATGTGCAGGGAAAGCGGAAGGACTGATGACTGGGGGTCGGCGGATGGATGGAAGGAAATGGAGACAAGTGAGAGAGGGAGAAGCGTGAGTTTGTTGATCATTCATTTGATGTTGCTGTTTAGATACAGCCCCGGCGCCTTTTGCGCGATCCAATGCATGCTCTCGTGTCGTCAGCCGCTGGTCACAGAAGTGTCCTGCCGTCGCTGACAGCAGCATGCATGTGTTATTCATATCAGTCATGAAAAGAAACCATTCAACCCTTCCCCTTCGCCTGAACGCCTCGCAGCAAAATCCACCGCCGTGGCAGCCGCCGCTGTGATGCATCTAGCAATGGTACCGAGCCGGGTCAAAGCAGTCGTAGATGTTTGAAGAGTTGTAGAGATGGGGAACCGCTTAACGGTCCTCGGCCCACTCGTTCTCGCGGCGGATCTGGTCCTCCTCTTCAGGGGTGAAGTCGTTCTGAATGTTGAAGGTCTTGCGAATCTCCTCTGGCGACTTGCCCTTGATCATGTTGGCGACGGTCTTGCAGCCGACATCGAGCAGAGCCTTGATGTCCATGTAGTTGGCGGCCAGGATGATCTCGAAGAGCATCTCTTGGTCGACCTGCATGAACTTCTGATCCCAGTCCTCGATGTCGGTGGTCTTCTTGCGGGAGTCGGCATCGTCGTCTTGCGATGGGGCGGGGTCGTTCTTGTGGTGGGTGCACCACTCGAGGACCTTGCGGAGGACGGCCTCGGAGACCTGTGACTCGAGGTCAGTATCACATGCGGGGTTAGAAGAGTTGAGGGAAGGTTGCGACTCACGTTCATGATGGGGATGGGCTCTTCGCCTGGAGCACCGAGATCCTCGATCATGTTCTTGATGAGCATGGAGCGCTCAGCCACCTTGCGCTCTGAAAGATGAAGTCAGTACATGAAGGCGCGCGGTATGTATGAATGAGGCGCCGCGACCTACCGGTGACGATCTCGACATTGTCGGAAGAGACGAGCTTGACAGTCTGCTCAGCTTCGGAAGCCATGACTGATGACGATGTGGTTGGAAGTGGTGTTTGTTGTTGAATGTGGGTTGTTGGTGATGGTAGCAGGTCGCGGTGGTGCTTGGAGCCGGTGTCGCGAGAAGTGGTCGGTGGTGAGTGTGTGGTCGGAGTTGAAGGTTGATGGAGTGCAGCGCGGAAGTTATAGCTGGCGGTGCGGGCTGGAAAGCTTAAAGTTGTGAGGCAGCCGTGACCCTAGCCCCATCAAAATGTCCGTGCGTCGTCGTCAAGCAAACCGCAGCGACTTGATTGCTGCCTGAGAAGAATGGCAGTCACCAATCGATTGTGGATGCGTTGCGGGTGGAGATTAGTGAAGAGTGAAGAGTCTGCAAGGTGGCTTCTGCTAGATCTTCACCATTTCCTTTGTATTGTCCCTTCCGCATGTGTCACTCACAAAGCCGCTCAAAGACGTGTCACGTGCGAGCATGCTTGCTATACGACTGAGCCAAACATTGTGTATACCGCTTTATTTAATTATTGATTAAGGAAAACAGGCCATCGCAGCTTCCAGCAGGCTTTTCATTGAGCCGTGCTGTATGTATACTGACTGTATCATCTGCCAGCAATCAGACGCTCTGATGGCGGCGGTCTGTGCGTTTCGCGGTCTCACGGCGCGTCAGTCAGTCACTCCTGTTCTGCACGCGAAGAGGTGTCTCAATCCATCGTCTCTCATCGCCATCGCGACATGATATCTGCGACACCGCTCGCTGCACATGGCAAAGCGTGCGACATCTCATACAACAACGGCGTGGCCTAGCCCATTCCCTGCTTGATCAAGATGTGGCGCAGGCTTTACCTTTGTCTCGTGTTGGTGAGGCTGTACTTCGCCTTGTCGCCGAGCTACATCCATCCCGATGAACACTTTCAAGGGCCAGAGATCATTGCTGGTAAGCATCGATAAGCACATGCATCGAGCCACGTATTGATGATATTGTAGGCGAGGTGTTTGGATATCCATCGTACAAGACTTGGGAGTTCACTTCATCACAACCCATTCGAAGCATCTTCCCCTTCTGGCTGATATACGGCTGGCCTTTGACTGTTCTAAAATGGATCTGGGAAGGCCTCGGCTATGGACCTGTACCACCCTCAATCGCTTTCTACACCCTCCGCCTCTTAATGTTTCTTCTCAGCTTCATCCTCGGAGACTGGGCCATTCATGAGCTTATACCTGCCATCAACCAACGACGAACTGCCATCATCTTGGTGGCCTCCTCATACGTGACTTGGACCTTCCAAACCCACACGTTCTCCAACAGCATTGAGACGCTGGTCGTTCTCTGGTCACTCGTTCTTATCATCCGACTCCGCGATAACATTCAAGATACCCAAGCCAGCGCTTCTGGCGTTCTGGCCTTCCTAGGAGTACTCGGCGTCTTCAACCGCATCACCTTTCCCGCCTTTCTTGTGATACCCCTGGCCCAGATCGTTCCTGGCCTCTACTACAAACCGCTTCGCATTCCAGTGATGCTCTTCGTTGGCTTGTTTACGTTGGCTGTGGCAATCACGATGGACACCGAATACTACTCTGGACGTCGACCACATCTCAGAGGATTTCACAATGACGCTGTCATTACGCCATGGAACAACCTGGTTTACAATGCCGACGAGTCGAATCTGGCCAAGCATGGATTGCATCCATTCTGGCAACACTTCGTTGCCAACCTGCCACAACTCATCGGGCCAGCAATACCTCTTCTCTTCTTCTCAAGCACGAAGAACACCCTCTTCTGGTCTGGGGTAGGGGGAATAGCAATCATATCTGCTTTCCGCCACCAAGAGCCTCGATTCTTGCTGCCTGCAGTTCCGCTGCTGCTCTCGAGCATCAAGGTCCCGCGACGAGGAGCTCGATGGTGGGCTGGTCTTTGGGTCCTATTCAACGTCCTTGCTGGCACACTCTTTGGTGTATATCATCAAGGAGGTGCTGTTCCGTCCCAGACATGGATCTCGCAACAACACAACATCGAAAGCGTAGTCTGGTGGAAGACCTACAGCCCGCCAAGATGGTTGTTGGACGGCAAGAATCACGAGGTGACCACGACAGACCTGATGGGAATGCCTGGTCAGCACATGATTGCCCAGCTCGAGGAGTCTGCAGCTTGTGAGAGTGCTGCCAATGGCACCTTGCTGGTAGCGCCTTCGAGTGCCACGTTTCTGGATGCTTTTACTGGCGACGCAACACAGCACAGCGAGATCGTCTTCACGCGTCAGTGGCAGTACAGCCGGCACATTGGACTGGATGATCTGGACTTTGGAGATGATGGGGTCTGGCCAACCCTGCAACGAGTAATTGGCAGGCGCGGGCTTACAATATGGCGGGTCAGTAGACAATGCTAATGTAATCGCTAATCAGAGACCGTCTCAAATCCCGTATTTCCAGGTCTTTCGATGACTTCATTGCCAAACTTGCAAACGACGGTCTCGTCCAGACAGAGAGCTTTACTCGCTCGTACCTCACTATTAACGACGTTATATATCTCACCGACGAGGACACCAAGTGCGCACATCAGGCATGTTGAACGACCAATGTCGCCCACGCGACACAACGTGTGAGATGCATACAACGATGAGCAAAGGAAGAGAGAAGGCGAAGAGAGAGAGAGAGGTACGATCAAGCCTACCTGCCTGCCTACTCATCCAAATCCAACAACCGACTCCACTCACCTCCCCCTTCGCCTCCCCGTCGAAACTCAACCCCCTCCCCAAAATACCCAGCATCGCTCCAAGCCTTCATCGTAGCCGCATCGTAAGGGCCGTGGATATCTCCGCCATCTCGCGCGTCGCTCCAGCGGTATTCCCACGTAGCGGGTTCGGCTGTTCGAGGGGGCTGCCAGTCCTCGCCCGTCTCCCGCCTGTACTGCCGCATGAGCACTTCTCGCTCCGCGTCGTAGATCTCGTGCTGGCCGCGAGCGTAGAGCCCGTCTGCGGCGCCTGTGATGGCGTCGACGGTTTTCCTTCGAGCTTCTTCCGCGGGGTCCACGGAGGTATGGCCATTCGTCGCAGCAGCCTCATCGACATCCATCCCACCTCTCTGTCTCTTCAACTTCCACTTCGGTACCTTGGCCTCCTTAGTCTTCCCCTTGTTCAACCTCTGCAACGCCTCCAAAGGCGTCTCCCCCGTCTCCAACGCCCCGATCAATGTGGACAGCAAATCACTCGTCAAAACCGCATCATCCTCAAGAGCCTTCTTTCTCCGCTCATCCTCCCTCCTCTCCTGCGCTTCCCGGGCCCGCTTCATATCCTTCTTCGTCAACCCATCCATCCAATTATCATTCACCGCGTCCGGATCCGCAGCTTTGCGAACATAATTCCCCGATTCATCGTACCGCCCTTCCTCCTCTTCCGCCTTCAAATTGAAAGCATCCAACCTTGGCGCGTGCTTCTTCTTCCCACCAGCACCGATCTCCGCCGCAAGATCATCTTCCATCTCCTCATCCAATCGATCCCTCTCCTCCTCATCCCCCGAGGACTCCGAATCCTCTTCCCCTTTATATTTCTCCTTCCCCTTCCCTCCAAGCAGAATATCCGAAGAAACCCTCCCCCCAGATGTACTATTCATCACCTGCCCTTCAATCTCCTCCGGATCCAAAAACTTGACATCCTTCTTCTTGCTCTTCCCCTCCCTCCCCACCTCCTCGTCCTCGTCCCCGTCCTTTTCCTCAGCAAGATCGGCGAACATATCGTCATCCTCCTCGTCTACGCTCTTCTTCCCCCGCTTCTCCCTCTCCGCCGCTCGCGCGTTGAAATTGTCGTTGTCTGAATCCGATTCGTAGCCATCGATGTTCACGGCATTGCGTTTCGGTTGTGCGCCGGATTTTCCTATCACGTCTGCGTTCAGGATGAGGTCTTCTTCTTCGTCGCGGGCGTCTGCGGCGAGCGTGCTGGGGTTTCGGTGGTCGAAGCGGGGCTTTTTGTTCGAGTTGTCATGGGTGCGGTTGAAATCTTCGCCGGCGCGTTTGGGGCGTGCGGCTGAAGTAGGCTTGGACATTGTTGTGTTGTGGTGAGGGTTTTTGAGAGGGAAATGCAGTTTAATTGTTTGGATGCAAGAGGTGTGAAGTGCTTCACAAGCGAGAGCGTTAGACTGAAGCGCAGAAGTCGTAACTGTGGAGTTGTGACAGAATTGGTTATGTGAGCCTGTGACAGCAACGTCACTGAGAGATCGATGTCGTCCACGTGCTCTCCAAGATGTCTACAGCTGTGCACTCGAGTACTCTTTATGCATTAATACCAGATATCTGGGTTTCCCTGCCGGCTCTCGTTCTCCTCTCAGTGCATCACGCATTTCGTTCGGTCCCAAAGCAGTTGCATCCTCAGGAGTCACTTCTACAGGTGCTCGAATGCTCCCTGCTCGACGTCCAGCCTTGTGACCGCGTCACGATGTGCGGTATCCAGTGTTATCCAGCCGCTGTGACTCTCTTGAGTCGCATCATTTCCGCTAGCTCCACTTTGAGATCTTCTTGCAATTCGGAGCCACTTCCTGCGAGAGCGAGGTTTGGTTGCATGCACTTTCACCCCGAGTCACCAGCATACGTTCGACTTGGGGCCCGGATGGGAGGTCTCCTGTCGTGGTGGGCGTGAGACGCCTCTGAGCTGCTCTGGAGCAGCATAACCTTTTTTAAATGATCCAACTTTCAATATTGTCCTCCACCTCAGCCACCACTCCCGGACGACTTGTCTCGCGGATCGACCGAGTCATCCATACGCAGCGCAGCTTCCAAGTCGAGGAACTCCGTCTCCTCCCCTCGAGGATTCGCCGAGTCCTTTGTCTGTACCTGCGAAAAGTCTCGGGATATGGAAGACGCTTCTTGTAAGGCCAGCTGATTGTTCAAGGCATTTTCATCCTTCCTCTTTCGTGCTTGTTCGACATCCATAAAGTCGCCGCGGAGGCCGTCGCTGAGGACGCTACCCATTCTTTGCATCTTGTAATGCTTCAGTCGATCCAGAGCGACTTTGAAATCATCTAGAACCATTGTGTCTGACAGACATTTGAACACGAAGGCTAGCTTCCAGAAAGGGTTGATGCCATCTGGTAATGACTTGCCGCCAATGACATGGGTCACTGAGAGGATGTCGACGATGATGAAGCCAATGCTGACGATCATGGCTCCCAGCAAGACGCCAAATCTCGGTGATACTCGGATGAGTTCCCAGTAGCCAAACTCATATTTGGACTTGATGTTCCAAAACAGGCTCAACACGGTAAAGACCCACCATGGATCTCGGCAGAGTGCCTCATACGGGCGTGTGTGGGTGAAGAGTCTGCTTTTTCCGCTAAAGTAGAGCTGTGCCAGTCAGTACGGCTCTCCGCGGTGCCGGTGTTGTCGACATCGGTGTTGAAGAAACTCACAAAGTTTGCGGTAATCTCCAATACCCAGTAAGGTTGGACCAGGATGACTGTTCCAATGTAGAAGAGGCTTGCTTTCTTGCCCAGGAAAGGCTTGTTCTTCATCCAGGCAATGACATTGTGCAAGCTCCAGCTAATATTGAGGAAGATTGCGGTAGTACTGAGACGGGTTCAGAAGCCAGATTAGAGATGGAGGATGAGGACGTCTCACCTCAAGTACCAGTTGTAAACGGGTGGGTCTACAACAGATGTTAGTCTTGGAACACGACACCGACATGCAGGGTTAAACCCGATGGCTTACTGGTGAAGATGAAGGTTCCATGAAGAGTGCCGAACAGGAGCTATGGATGATTTAGCAGGGAATCCTACACTCAAATTCTCTGCCCTCACCTCTATAACGATGAGCTTGTGCAAGAGGACATGTCTCCGCATGTTGGCCACGGCAACACAGGCCATGATAATCAAACTGCCCACCATGTAACCCTGGGCCCATGCCTCGATGGTGAGACCCTCGGGGTCGGACGGTTTCGCGACGTCCAGAGTCATTGCGGTGGGATCGCTCCAGTAGGTAGTCCCTTCGGCCATGCCCCAGGTTGCCAAGGCCTATGATGCGTTGGCTGTAAAACCGTCAACGCTGCAGCAGCGTCAAGACATCGGCGACCCGACACAGTGATCGGCGGCGAGGTGAGTCTGCAGCAGCACGAGAGGGTGTTGCCACATGAGGAAAAATGAAATGGGCACGATCATGGTGAGCGAGCGGGGATTCGCGCGGGTGGAGTCTGGTGACATGCATGGAGAGACGCGGAGGCGAGAGGCTTCCAATTGCGTCGACGGCTGATGACATTTGGCAGCACCCGGCTGCTCGGCTGGCCCATCGACCGTGACACGGCGCCGTATTGCCAATGCTGGACGGATGAAGCGTGTATTGACGCTCGAAGATGCTCGGCGCCGCCACGTGAGGTTGATGATGGTTCTGATGCTGCTCGCCGATGTCTCAATCCAGCCCCTTGGAGATGGAAGAAATGGCGGCGATACTCAGGTTAAATGAGGCTCTGCCGTTGCGCTGACTCGTGTGATGCCATTGCAATTGGCTTTTCGGACTCGTGACCTCAGCAACACTCGGGGATTTTCTTGTCAATGCATCCTGCGCGCAGATCAAGACACGCGTGCGCGCAGTGACAGCACCTCCATCGCCTCCTGTCCTTTCTTGGAGCATGATGCCTCGCCTGGGCTCACGCAATCTCCACGGTGCGCGGCTGGCTTATGCTGCTGTGTCCAGTCCACCGCCGCGAGGGAGTCGAATGCCAGGCTAGAAGTCACACGCAGCGCCGACAACCACCGAAGGAATCGATACTGTCACTGCTGTGTCCAGCTCGTCGTCCAGACCGGCCGCGAGGATCAGCAGTGTTAAGCTCCCGGACTGGACTCGAAGCCAATTGCGCCATCTGCAACGTTAATTGCCCAAGCCAATTGTGCATGGGGTCGGCCTGGCCTGTATCCTCACTCGCCCAAACCACGCGCACCTGCCTTGAAGATGGCGTCCACAGCAGTCACCTCATCTGGAGAATGCCTGCCGTCTGCATTCCTCCTGCCTCCACCACACCCACACCCACCCGACTTGCGCCATTGATCTGGGGCAGCACGTAACCCTCACACCTCTTCGACGCCGCCTCGTTCGCTGCACGCCGCTGTCACGAGGCTTTTCGCCGTCCACGCCCTGCACCACCGTCCGCCCTGCATACGAGGAGATGCCACTGCGTTTGCGGGACCTGGACAGGGTCGTCTCCTGCTCGTTGACGTCGAACGAGAAGCGGTGGGTCGGTCAAGACGATTATCTGCCCCATCTGGCTGTTATCGTCATCCTCTGATCGACTGTCTCGGGCCTAGCTGTGTGCTGGTGGACCATATCTATTTGCTCCGTCCTTTTACCACCCATCAGCCCGAAGCCCGTTGACGTGGGCAGCTGTGCTCAAGTTCAAGGGCTCGGCGACCAGAGCATGTATTCATAATGAGTGCTCTGGAATGCTGAAAGCTCCCTTGTCCGTTTTCTCCTTCCTCCATCGCTACACGAAACCCACCGGGCAGACTACTTTGGATCGTTCTCACTCAACATGCGGAGCTTCTGGTTATCACTCTCCCTCTTGGGATCATCAATACAGCAAGTTCTGGGTGCTCCAGTAATTGACAGCAAGGTCCAAGCTGTTCAGAGAAGTCTCTCCAAACGAGCAATTGCAGGTCCCAAGATCAACGGAGCCAACTTTGCAGGTGAGCCCCAAAATCATCAATCAGCAAGCAAGGGGTCTTTATTAACAACTTTGGAGACCCGGCCATTATCAATGTCAACGGCGTCTGGTACGCATTCGCAACGAGAACGATCGGCAGCGGCATTCGCATACAAGTCGCTACTTCGAACGATTTCAACAGTTGGTCGCTTGTCTACAACGAGGATGGCTCCCAACACGACGCATTACCAAACTTGCCCAGTTGGGTGGTACAGAGTGCTCCAAACACTTGGGCTCCGGATGTGAACATCCTGGTATGGTGCTCGAGCCTTGGCGGCGTGTGACGCTGTATGCTGACCCTACGCTAGGATGACGGATCTTTCGTCTTGTACTACTCTGCGAGCACGACTCAGGATGCTTCAAAACACTGCGTTGGCGCCGCAACTTCGAAAAACGTACTCGGGCCGTATACGCCGACTGGCGACGATACTCTCTTTTGCGATTTGAGTGTCGGCGGTGCCATTGATGCTGCAGGATTTAACGATAATGGGCAACGCTACGTGGTCTACAAAGTAGACGGAAATTCCCTGGGTAATGGTGGCGCATGCATGAATACCGGTGAGCCTCAAAGACAAGAAGATGTCTACATATGTGGTGGATGATACTGATACGTCTCAAGTCGAACCTTTGAAAGCTACACCTCTCATCCTACAACCAGTAGCAGCAGACGGCTTCACCAAAACCGGCTCAGCAACAACACTCCTGAACCACGAAGGTCTCAGCGACGACGGCGTCCTCGAAGCCCCCGTCCTCATCAAAGTGAGCGGAACCTACTTCCTCTTCTTCAGCTCAGGGTGCTTCACGACATCAAACTACGACGTTTCCTACGCCACTGCGAGCTCAGTCACCGGCCCATATACTCGTGTGGCGACATCTCTGCTGAAGACTGGTAACAGCGGTCTTCAAGCCCCTGGTGGAGCGGACGTCACTAAGACTGGCGATAAGATTGTCTTTCATGCGAATAATGCGGGTGGAAGGTCGTTGTATACCGCGGGGCTTACGATCAGTGGAACGACGGTGGCGATATCTTGAGTGTGATTGAAAGCGGCTTGAAAAGCGCGGCATAGCCTCATGATGAAGCGTTGTAACGAAGAGAAAAGCAGGGGCAGAGAAGAACGTGCTTGGCTACGAACGAATAACAAACGACTTTTTGGATTGAAACGAGTCCTTACCTATACCTCACACAACAGAAAAAGTTCGCTGAACCACACATATCCTCAGCTAGAAACCTACGACAACGCTATCCAAAGAAATCCCTGTCCGACTTCGTCATGTGAGGTGCGTATGTCTGCACCCCAAGTGCGGCAATACGCTGTCTTGCGGCTCCTGAGAACATGAAACCCTCCCCACACCTAAACATCAAACCCCCTTCACCCCAAGACCTTCTCTAAAGCAACAACCACCTCCAAAACCGCCCCCCTTCCCTCCCCCCTCACAACCCCCACAGCCTCCAAAACAGCATCGTCCAAATCCTCCCCCAAACACACCCTCCTTCCCCAACACCAACCCCCCGTCGCGGCGGCACAAACACCCACATAATCCGGCGCTGCGGCGTCCCCATCCTCATGTCCTCCTAAAGCAAACCCAATCTCCCGATCCGTCATCCCCGCCGCGAGGCCGTGCGGATGGACATCGTTGATACTCTGTCTCGGGGCTTTCCAGCCGCCGTTGTTGAGGATGATGGTTAGGAAGGGGGTCTTGTGCCGGGAGGACGCGAGGAGGGTGGGTGTGGGGGAGGAGAGGAGGAAGGCGCCGTCGGCTGTGAGGGCGCAGATGAAAGGTTTCTTTTCCGGGAGAGGGTCAAGGGGTAGGGGTTCGGTGTGCGGGCGATTGGTGGTGGAGTACTTGGAGAGGGCGAGATAAGCGCCTATGGCTGCGCCCGGGGCCCAGCCTAGGCCGCTGCCGCCTTTGGAGTAGGAGGTTCCTGGGAGGGTGGATTGGAGGTGTTCGTGGAGGGGGATTGTGTTTGTTACGGCGTCGTGGAGGTAGATTGCCTCTGGGGGGAGGAGGCGGCGGAGGGTGGCGAAGAGGTGCGGTGCGGTGATTGTGCCGTCGGGGCGGGGCAGGGCGCGGAGGGCGAGGGATTCGAGTTTGAGCATGTGGTTGTCGAGGAGGTGTTGTGCGCGGGTTTGAAAGAGGGTCTGGCGACGGGGGAAGTCTTCGTGTGAAGCTATGTGGGTGGTGATCTGCTCCAAGGCGATCTCACATTCCGCCATGAAGGACGCCTCGGCGTGGATATCGAACAACTGCATCTTCTCCTTCCTCGGATCGATATCGATATGGAAGATCCTCGCCGCGTGGTGTGGGCGAACTTTTGTAGGCACCCAGGGGACATCGCAATCCAGCACCAGAATGACATCCGCTTCATGCAGGGCTTTGGGCCCTCCTGTCGTGCGTGTGATCCACGCGGGATGGTCGGCGGGAAAGGACATTTCTCTGAATTCCGAATCGAAGACTTGGAGGGTGTTGAGGAGGTTGGCGAGTTTGACGAGGGCGTACACGGCGGCGTGGTTCCGGCCTAGGTAGCCTGTGAAGACGAGTGGTTTCTCGGCGAAGAGGAGGGCGTCGGCGATGAGAGGGATTGCGTCTGGGGGAAGGCCACCGATGCGGCACGAAGGGAGGGTGGGAGGTCGTGAGGTCATGGCGCTCTCGCTGCTGGGTGATGCTAGGACTTCACGGGTTGCGGTCAAGTACGATGGGCCTGGCGATCCACTCGAGGCCATGAGGAGGGCGCGGTTGACGATACACTTTACATGCTCGGTCGACTTGATCTCATTCGAATACCGAACGAAGGGCGCGACAATGGCTTCCTGCCGAGGCACATCCTGATACCATTGGACATGCTCGGATCTCGAGCCAAGAAATTGGGAGGCGCCGCCGTGGAGGGTGTATGGTGCTAAGCCGGCAAAGATGAGCATGGGACTGCGGCCACTGGAGGCATTGTGGACGCCCTGGCCCAGAGCGGAGGTTCCGACGTCGACGTGGACGATCACGCATTGCGGCTTTGCTGTTATTCGAGCGTAGCCGTCGGCGGCGGATATGGCTGTGAACTGGGAGGCGTCAGCATTGCTTCTGGTAGTACCGGGCCGATTTACCTCATGTTGAAAATGCAGCCACTTGGGCCATTCTTTGCCCTCCTTCTGTCGACGTAGGTACGCTTCCACAAGGGATGGATGATCTGATCCTAGGACCGTGAATAGGTAGTCGACACCGTTCTGAAGCATGGGTGAGCAAGGATGCGGGAGTATCGTGAAGCACAACATCGGCCTACCTCTGCAAGTGCTTGTAGGAAGACATCAGCGACAGTGTAGGGGGGTTGACGGCTGTGGGCGTGCTCTTCGCCGTCAAGGATAGGTATGATGGTCGACATGGTGAGCTCAGGTTGTCTGTTGATACAATATGTCTTCTGTCCAAGGCCTGCTACAGCAAATTCTCTTTAGGGTTGCGGAAATCAGCTTCCAAATTGGTTTGCTGGTCTGCGTAGTACATATGGTCATTTGATAAGGTCACGCTCATTCGAGGTCGAAGTTGCCGTGGTGCTTGCTTCATTGCCGTTGGCAGGCGTCGTCATTCACCGTGGGGTTCGGCACACAAGGAAGTAGCGTTTGCAGTAGAGACTTCGAAGAGTCGATTTAGAGGACGACAACTGCTTGGAGGAGGGCACAGCAAGAGAGCCCCGTGTCGTCTTGAGGGGCGATGCACTCTCTGGCCTCCCCCCCAACCTGCTTTCGTCCCCCGCCCCCCGGGTCCCTTTCACCACTTCTTGTCTGCCTTCTCTGCCCTGTTCGCCTTCCTGTCTCCTTAATCTCGACCCTCGCTATGCGGTCCTGGGCTCGCTTTTTCAGCCGACGCAGATAGACCTCTGAAGTCGCCTCTCTAATACTCGTCTCCTCGTTTTCAGTCAACTTGACAGTGTAATTCTGTTGGAGATGCTTTCACACATCCTCCTTTCTTTCTGCTGTTGGCACAATTCTGCCTTGTACTGTGCAGAAACGTATTTCGTCCGCACCCGCTCAATCACCCACGAGCAGGCCTTGTAATCTTGTGCATGTCGAACATCCTTTTCGTCTTGGTCCGTGAAAAACGCTCCATGGGACATCTTCTCTGCATAAGCCAACCGTTGCTCGTTGTTCTCTCGCTGCTTCTCGGGATCCAGGACAGGGTGTCCCTCAGTAAGGGGTTTCCTTCTCCTCATACGTGAAAACACCAATGAGCAGCCCTTTCTGTCCGGTGCTCGTAGCATCTCCTCGACATCCTCGTCAATAACATACTTGCTGTGCTCGGGTTTCAACAACTCATCCAGCCGATCCAAGATTTTCGCTTTCTGGTCCTTTTTGGTACGACCCTTTGCAGGTGGAATCGTGATGAGACCCTCGGCAGGCTGATACGGCGTTTCCATTTCATCGCTCGGGCGTTTGCATCGCAAAGGAACCCTGTCAGAAGATTGGTCCTTGTAGTTTTTGCTGTTCAGGCGTGCCAAGGCATTACACATATCGTGCGCGGTAGAGGTTATCTCTCCTTGTGAAGCGTTTGATGTCGCATGGAGTTGGCCAGGATCAGACATGTCCTGTACGCCCTGCACGCCCAGCATGCTCAGCATCTCATCCACCGTGCACGTCACGTTCTCTTGTGCAGGCGTGGTTCTCTATCTCAGCGCTGCTCGTAAAGTCTTGCATCTTGAGCACAGCAATCCCCATACCCAACTCGCTCGCAGTCCCAGTCGACCTGTCAGAGCATCTCGTAAGGCGTACCATCTCACGGATGAAGATGTAGCTGGCACCCCAGTCGTGCCGACCTGAATGTTCCTGGAGCCATGGAATCAAAGTGCACTTGCCCAGGTTCTTCTTCCTCTCGTCGACGCTGACCTGATCCAGGACCTCTGCCTGGCGTTGATATTCGTCGACGAACACGGACATCTTATCCTTGCTCACTACATTTGCGATCCCAAGGTTCCTCTTGGCGACTTCAAAATCGCCTCTCGATACCACGTTGGGTTCTCGTGCTGTGCCCTGCTCCAAACGATTACCCTCCTCCAGAAGGATTCCAATCAAGTCGATATGATTGCAGCCAACATCGTAGTGTCTCCGGAAGGTTGATGACCCCACAGCGTGTGCGAGGACCTTCTGTGTGTCCGCTTCTCCTATCGACTGCTCGAGAATACTGGCCGTCATAGCTCGGAACGAACAGAACGTATGGATTGGTGGAACCCCAAACATCAGCTCTCGTCTTTGCAAGTAGTCCTTGACGAATGGTTTCGCCATGAATCGCTCGTATCCGTATACCTCGTGAAAAACTGGTAAATCGAGCGACTCTCGCTTCACCACCAAGAAGTGTTTGCCACTCATCACGGGCTCGACATTGTCGTGCCCTTCCAGCAGATTGCGCGCCAGGAGCTCCGAGACCATCCGCTCTGGGACAGAGATCGAAACCAAATTGAGATCGCTTGGTGTCCGGAAAGGCAATGTGAGTCGCTTTCGTGCATCATGTGACGTTGCATTCGTACGTGCCTTCAGTCGCCGGAATGTGAGCTGGGCCATGAAGCCATCGTTTCTTCCCTAAGGGCGATTCGGCATCTTCGCCATCTCGCTTCTTTGCTCGTCAATCTATACGTATCGTGGATGTCACATACTTTTGGACGACATGTAGAAGACATTGACGCGCAGCGACATGATAGTAGGAAGTGTTGCTTGCTCAAGCCTCTTGAGAGCGCTTGAACGCGAGTCTTGTTGAAAGATCGTGCCTTGGCGAGATCGGATTCTCGAGGGCAGTTCACTAGCAGGTGAACGAGCGACGAATGCAGGCTTCGTGTCTCCAACAAGCCTTTTGAGGTCGTTGGCGAAGTCTGTGGTAGACAGCGATAGAAGGAACTTCAATATTGAGAGCCGTCATCCTCTCCATGTCTTACACCGCAACGGTCCGCATTTCTTAATCGAGGCTACAGTTGTCAGCAAGGTACGTTTGCAAGTTAGTCGTTACCGTTGAAAAGCATGGCCACATGTGGAGACTTGGCCCACAACCGTCGACCGTGCAACTTGAAAATCTCGGGTCTCTTTTTTCATTTGTCGTTCAGCCGACATGTCGGTTTCAGATCGGTTTCATAGCTACAGTTCCTCCAGGCATGCTTCCGTTGACAGGTCCAGGGTGGTTGCCGGGAAGGTGCAAATGATAGGTAAAAGTATCATCCACTTTTGCCGTCTGTCTCTAGCTCAACGGCTTCGGATATATTGGAGATGCACCAGCTGTTGCGCACGCGAGAGATGTTCAATTCATTATATTCAAAGAAATGAAGTCACCTGACGGTATGAAAATGCGTGATGGTATCTCGCATCACACAAAGATACAGCATTAGGTCCAATGGTGGTGTGATGGAGGGTGGCATATGCTGTAGCGAGGGCTAGTCGGCGAGCGGCAGGCCGAGACTGAGCCGAGCAGGCAGGCAGCGAGAGAGCAGGAGGCTTTGCTTCGGGAGGTGATACAAGGTTGCTTGCAGTTGGTCGCGCATGGCGGTGCAACACTCGTCTCGAAGCTGCTGCTGCTGTGCGATCGGGATTTAGGGTGGGCGACCCCTCATTTCGAAGCAAAGGAAGACGCAGTATGTCTCTCGCGGACGCAGCACGATGCATGCGAGAAGCAGGGGCATGGGTCGTGGAAGGTTACGTCTGCCGACCGAGAAGAAGGTTGTAAGCTGGCTTTCGGTTCTTTGCGGCTTTTGCTCGCCGACCCGGACCAAGGACCATGAAATCAAGGCAGCGCCAGTCATCCAGCCATCATCAACGCCAGCCAGGTGAGGGAGGTTCGTCGCGCACATGGGAAGTCAGCTCTAGGGGAGCGGGCCGGATCCTCCTTGTCCTCGTGCAGCGATCCGCGCCCGTCGATCCAGATGGCGAAGGGAGAGGCCAGATGTTGACGACGGAGAGGTGCAGCAGGTGCAGCAGGTGGTGGCGGTCGCGGGCGGGAGGGTGTATCGCGGCGGCTGCCATTGGTGTGGACGACTGAGACACGCCTGTCCATCGCTTGCGGACTGCATGCTGCTCATACGCAGCGAAGCACCTGCACGCGGTGCGCTAGGGGCCAGCTATCCATGTTGGATGCAGCGCAAGTCTGGTAGATTTTTCCTCGCGCACGGCAGACGGAGGGCCAGCTGGTGGTATGGCTCGCTGGCAGTGCGGTGGCCGAAGCAGAGGCCCGCCGCCAGCAGCCAGCAAGCAGCCAGAAAGATACGAAGAATGAACAGACGATTGGAGGCGATGGCTCCGCTTGCGCAGCCAACCGGAGAAAAGGTACAGCGTTTGACACTTTTGCTTGGGCGACGTGCGTTGTGCTCGCCGGGACGCTGGGTCGACAAACGCTCTACTAGAGACTAGCACTGTTGCAGACGAGGCCACAGGGAGAGGAGGGAGGGTGCTGGGACAGGCTGTGGGTGAAGCTTGTTGGGCTGGCCGTGAAATTATATGATCATAGCACAGATCGTGGCCGCAACGGCGCAGGATGGCAGCAGAACTAATTCACGATACTACGCCCTGGACTAACCGTCCTGCCTGCCCCTTTACACCTCCGTAACGTTACCGGTGGATGGGTGTGGATGCAGTCACTAATGACCTCCTGAGCAGCCTGAACCCTGCTCCTCATTCATCAAGCACTGCACACCCCATCGCTCTTTTTCCCACCTCACCACCTCACGCGCCGTCCGTGATACAACCCACCGCCCGCAACCACCGCCTCCTCCCCCATCACCACCGCAGGCGGAACTAATACCGGCGCCGACAGCATCATCCCCAGCGTCTGCTGCTGCGCGTCGTGCTTGGGCTTCACTGCTCAGGTGGATCCCCGTCCGAATTTGCTTCCAACAACCCGCCCTTCCCTGCACCGTCTGCCTCGCCAAGCATCGTCTGGTGCGCGTCGCCGCCACGCCTCGACGGCATCATCACAGGACTCGCCCTCGACACACCCACCGCTCCCCCTCGCACATCTGCCGCCGGCTCTCCTGTGCCACCGACGTTCTTTGTTCGCCGCCGCTGTCTGTCTGGCGACCGCGCGCCACGACTCGCCCATCCGGCCGCGCCCACATACTGCACCCACGCTCTGCGCACCCGTCCGCTGGCTGCTGCACCTAATACCGCATCCGCGGCCCTCTGCATCCTCGCCCTCGACCGCCCGCGACGCTCTCAGCGACCAGCGTGCCCTGTATCATAGCGCTCACCACCTCCGACCACCCCGACACCATAGCACCCTTTAGTGGAGCTTGGCGTCCTGCTACACCCAGCAACCCAGCATCGACAGGCTTTTTTCACCGCAACACCCCGTTGCACCTCTGCAACGCCGCGCCGCCGCCATGAACAACCACAACTTTGACATGTACTACGACAACCCGTCGAATCGCTCCCCCACCTCCAACCGCCAAAACTCCCTCCACCGCCAGACCTCGCGCCAGCAGTTCGAAGCCTGCGGCCACCTTCCGTCCGGCCTCTACACTGCCGAAGATCACGCCAACTTCAATGGTGGGAACAGGTTCAACGATATGCGGAACGCGACTGTGGGTGGCTATGGGAATGGCTACGATATGGGTGGCCAGTCATGGAATGCTGGCGCGTTCGGCCAGAACAACACCCTGAACGGACTGGGTGGTTCCAGCTTGAGGAAGCCTCCGTCACGCGGCGGTCGCTCAGGACTGCCACCGGTAAGTTCAAAAAACCTGGTCGTGGACAATCCTGCGAAAGCTAACAGTGGTGTAGCAGTGGATGGGCGACAACCAGCAGATGCCGCTGAACCCCTTCATGGGGGGATTGGGAGGTCTTGGTGGACCGGGCATGGGACGTCAGGACATGAGCTCTGAGCCAGACGAGGAGCTCATACCCACCGCCATCGTCATCAAGAACATCCCATTCGCCATCAAGAAGGAACAGCTCGTGGGCATCATGACTGACATGGGCCTACCCCTCCCGTATGCCTTCAACTATCACTTCGACAACGGCGTGTTCAGAGGCCTGGCCTTTGCAAATTTCACCAACCCAGAAGAGACGGCAACGGTCATTGACGCGATGAACCACTTCGAGCTTAACGGGCGGAAGTTGAGAGTCGAGTACAAGAAGATGTTGCCAGCTGCGGAACGCGAACGCATCGAGCGTGAGAAGAGAGAACGGAGAGGCCAGCTGGAGGAGCAACATCGACCGATGGCACCGCAGACTTTGCAGACGCAGGCATCTGCATCTTCTCTGTCATCACGCATGCTTGCTGGCTCACCCTCGCCGGTCTCTGCACGCAACCAGAAGATGGGCCCTGGCGCTGGTCTGCCCAGCTCCTTCGGCGACCCTAACGCTGGCGTCGATTTAGACATGAACGACCCTCAAGCTCTCCAGCACTACTCGAAGCTCCTCATCTTCAAGGAAGATCCTGCAAGGGATCTTTTGGTGTTCACGCCCACTCTCTCGCCTCCAGAGCGACGAATTGTGCATACCCTCGCACACCACATGGGGCTTGGCCACATGTCAAAGGGTGAAGGAGATCGACGAGCTGTGCACGTCTACAAGGAGGGCAGACAACGCTTGAGCCCGCCCATGCCATCCATCCCGAATCTGCAAAACGATCAACGACGAGCTCTCAACAGGGCAGCCACCACCGACTTCAGCGACGTTCGTGCCAACGAGAACTATTACGGCGGCCAGAACCTGCGTCATCAAGCTTCTGGTTATCTTGGATACCACGAGTCGCCCGGAGGTCTCGCTGCTGGCAACCCACTTCGATCGGCCAAGTCTTTTGCAGACCTGCGTTCCTACACACCATCGCCCGTACCTTCGACCGCAAGCTTCCCAGCTGCTCTCAGCAACAACGTTGCTCGGCTCCAAGAATTTGGCAGAGATACTACGCAATCTAACACGCCCACACTAATGACACCCACTTCCAGCCTCGCTGACCGTGGCGACACGACCAACTTGATCAACGGCCTTGGCAACATGAACCTTGGACCTGGCTTCGGCGGCAGCCCTCGTGGTCTGCGAGGATTCCCATCTTGGGATCGCGAGAACCCAGGCCCAATCGGTAGCAACCGATCGTTCAGCACCAACTATGATGACCGCTCTCGTGGTGGACTGCCAGGCGGTCCTGAACGCCAGCCACGCGGCCCCATCCCAGAGCGAGGTGCAGGTTTCCCCCGAAGACAGAATGGCCATGTCCAACGCAACAGTGACGAGCTGTCACAGCAAAGCAGCGCTGCGGAGATCACGGTCGAGCACTAGATATGGCGAACGTATCCGTGAGCAGCGACTGATTTGATCCACCACCACCCATGAAAGCATGACTTACGACCACAAGAGAACGAAGCATGACTAGCATCGAAAGTAGAGAAGGCAAGCGAATATCGACAGTCACTTGTCGACACCCGCCGCCTTTTGTACTCGGACGAAGCTCGACGACAACGACGAAATCAAGACCTGATGATCGGACGACCGATATGACCAAAAACCAACCACAATTCCCCCCAACACCCACGACAAAAAGTAGAGAAGACAACCCATGGAGCTCGCTGCCCAAACCTCACGAAGGAACGCCACGCCACGTGCGAAACGACCCTGACATTATTCGCATCTGCTACGATGACGACGCATCGACTTCGAAAGAAGAAGAGACGGAAGAACGATAACCGACCGACTGGACAAAGAAAAGAAAGAAAGAAAAGAAAGAACCCCCTGGTAATAATGCAAAACCGGCTATTGATTGATTTTGAATGTGTGTTTTGTAAGCTGTTGATTGATTGAAGTTTTTTTTTTCTGCGTTGTTTGGCATTAATATGGCGCTTCACAGCGAATTGGATGGAAGGAGGAGGAGGGGGGGATGGATGGGAGGGATGGAGATATCAGAAACTGCATCACTTTGCTCACGCTTGCGTGTGCAGAGCCGTACAGTGGATGGATGGGCATGGACGGACACTGCTGTGAGAATCTGAAAGGAGTGAGACAGGCTTGTTCGACATGATGCAGGTTCTGGGAAACGGGCAGATTCTTGGAGAAAATGCTTTTTTGATTGGGAAAAAGAATTGCAAATTTGAGGTTTTTTGCTCGCGCTGCTTGTTGCTGCTTCTTCGCTTCTCCTGCTCTTCATGGCCTCCTTTTCTGCGTGTATTATGATGTTGCTTGCTTTTGATGCTTTTGTTGCTTACTGATGGTGATGGTGATGGGATCCAAGAAGAAACGGTCGAAAAATGCAATGCATTGTTTTATTGTCGTTCAGCATACTTTTTCGCCTGCTTTCTGTAGTGACGCTTTTTGAGATTGCTTTCTTAGATGGTGCGTGTGCAAGAGAGAGATTAGTAGTTCTTTTTAATGGAAAGACAAGACATACCGGAAGAACATGAGTGGATATGGAAGATTCTTTGACTTCTCATCATTCGAGTTTTTCTTCCCGAGTCACAATGACTGCATTGAAGAAGATGATGCTAATCACATCTTACAAACTAAACCTCGTCCTCACCTTCTCATCCCCGGCCTTCCACTCCCACTCCTGGCCACTCGCCCTCTGAATCCCACGATCCACCCTCCGCAACTTCAACGTAAACCTCGGCCCTAACTCTTGCAGGCCCGCGCGGATGTCCTCGACGCCTTTCATGGGCTTGCCGTCGCTGCCCTGGATGCTCTTCTCGCTGCCCCGCTTGTCGCGGAAGACGTAGCGGTGGCGGCGCACGAAGATGTAGTCGCGCTGGTTGTGGAGGGTGATGACTTGGCGGCCTTGGATTTCGGGCCGGGGTGGGAAGATGGATTTGAAGAGGTGTGCGGTTAGGAGGCCGAGGGGCGTGCGGAAGCCGTTGAGGATGAGTTCGGGGAAGTGGGAGGTCGGGTTTCCGTGGCCCGGGAGTTTGTTGCCGGGGATCCAGTTGGAGATGGAGAAGTGGAACATGGGTCCCGCCGGGAGGTGGACGATGTCGAAGCCTTTGGGTTTTTTGAGGTCTTCGTTCAGGAGCACGACGTGCGTGTAGCCTCGTTCGGGGTTGGAGGCGTAGGCGCAGATTTCGCGGATGCTGTATTTGTAGCTGTGGAAGTGTGCGGTGCGCCGGATGTAGCTGCTGTTGGGGAAGAAGGCGGTGAGGAGCGAGGCTTCGTGGTGGAGGGTGGAGTTTATGGAGGTTGTGATGAGGATTTTGGGGTCTTTGGGTTCGTCGGAGAAGAGGGAGGGGAAGCGGGCTTTGAGGGCTTCGGGGCGGACGGTGAGGTCTGTCGCTGCTGAGGGTGCTGCTGAGGGTGCTGCTGAGGGGGCGATGGAGGGTGCTTCGCTGGGGGCGCGGTCGGGTCGCTTTTTTGAAGTGGGTTCGTCTTCGCCTGAGCCTTCTACCTCGGAGTCTGAGTCCAGCATACTGTCGTGGTCGTCGTCTTCCTCTGGCTCCTCATCTTCTTCCTCTTGTAACTTCTCCAGGGCTTCGACGTTCTCGCTGGTCAATCCATCTCCCTCCTCCTCAGGCGCATCTTTCTCCAACTTCCTCCGCTTGGGATCAAGAACATTCACGCTCAACCCCAACCTCGTATCATCCTCTTCGTCTACCTCCAACTCATCCCACGTCCGCTTATTATCTATCGTCTGCGGCACATTCTTCGATCTCCGCTCTTCCCTCAAATGCGGGTTCTTGTCCTCGTGCCGTCTTCTTCGCAATCGCTCGTCTCGTTTCGTGCTCTCTTTCGCTTTTTTGGTCTTGAGATGTTGCTCTTGTCGCTTGATCTTGTTGCCGATCTTGGTTGGGTTGAACGACGGCATGGTGGTTTTATGTGCGATTGTCGAGAAATCGATGTCCAAGACGCGACGTCAATCTGGAACTTTTCTTCGGTCGTCGGCGAAGCTTTCCGCGTGGAGAAACTCAAGCGAGGAGGCCCGTGCGCCAATTTTGAGTGGGATGTGTTTCGAGAAGAAAGAACACTTGGACGAGAGACTCGGATCTGTCTTGTCAAACATCAATTTCAACACGAAACTGTTCGAGGGATACTGGAAAATACATCTCATCCTCTGGGATACTCGCTCGCACTCACTACTCTACCATTGAGTCCGGCCCTGAAGCTCATTTGACTCATTTTCCTTGTTGAATGCCCTCTCCAAGACTAGTAAGAGTCACGGGCTTCCAAGATTTAAGGAGCTTCATCAAAGCCAACACTACCTGGACTTCCAATACAGTCAATACAACCCATCCGTCGAGGCCCTCTCTAAAGTCTCCCAGCTGCACGCGACCACTTTCTACTTCCACGCCACTTCGACGAGCACAACTCCAAGTCAGGACACGCAACACAGGAACAGCGCCCACCATGGCGACCGACTACAAGACTTTGGCCGGGCAAGAGTTTGACCGTGGCGCCTTCGAATCTTTGCTGCGACGGAAGGTGTTCCTCTGGCAATCTTTTGAGCCTTATGGCGCTACCAAGGGTCTTTTCGACTATGGCCCTCCCCTCGAGACCTTGGAAGCCGAAGTCATCAACATCTGGCGAGACCACTTCATCCGAGCAGAGAAGATGATGTCGCTCAAGTGCTCCATGCTTACGCCTTACCAAGTCCTCAAGACTTCTGGCCACGTGGACAAGTTCGCGGATTTCATGTGCAAGGATCCCAAGACTGGAGAGATTCTGCGCTCTGACCACTTGATCAAGGATGTGATCGAGGAGAGATTGAAGGGAGATCGAATTGCTCGTGGTGAGAATGTCAGCGATGAGCCTGAAGACCCGAAGAAGAAAAAGAAGTCAAAGGCTGCAAAGACTGCTGTCAAGCTTGATGATGCTCAAGTCAAGGAATACGAGCATCTTCTTGCCACTCTCGATGATCAGACGGGCGATGATATGGGCGCGATTATCAAGAAGCATGATATTCGAAACCCGTCGAACGGCAACGAGGTTGAGCCTCCTGTAGCCGTCAACCTTATGTTCCAGACGCAGATTGGTGCTTCTGGAAAGGAGCCTGCTTTCTTACGGCCTGAGACTGCTCAGGGTCAATTCCTGTCTTTCCAAAAGCTCGTCGAGTTCAGCGACGGTCAACTCCCCTTCGCCTCCGCATCTATTGGCTACTCTTTCCGTAACGAGCTTTCTCCACGATCTGGTCTGCTCCGAGTACGAGAATTCCTCATGGCTGAGGTTGAGCACTTCGTCGACCCGGAGAGTGGCAAGAAGCACCCTAAATTCGCGTCAGTCAAGGACGTGAAGCTACCTCTTCTTTCACGGGACGTCCAGCAGGCTGGTGGCTCGACTCCTGTCGAGGTGACCATCGGCGAGGCCGTTGCAACGAAGCTCGTGGACAACGAGACGCTTGGCTATTTCCTCGTCAGAATCATGCTCTTCATGCAGAAGATCGGTGTCGACCAGAAGAAGCTGCGGTTCAGACAGCACATGGCCAACGAGATGGCCCATTACGCAGCTGACTGCTGGGACTGCGAACTGCTTAGCTCTTACGGCTGGATTGAGTGCGTCGGCTGTGCTGACCGGAGTGCGTACGATTTGAGCGTACACATGAAGGCCACTGGTCAACCACTCCACATCCGCGAGCCCCTCAAGGAGCCAAAGCGTGTGGAAGAGTATGTCGCGCAGCTCGACAAGAAGAAGTCTGGGCCGAAGTTCAAGAAGGATGCTGGCAAGGTACAGCAGGCGCTTGATGACTTGACTCAAGACATCAAGGAGAAGTTGAGTATCAGCTTGGAGAAGGATGGTAAGGTGGAGGTAGAAGTTCCTGAACTGGGCAAGGTCGAGCTCGAGAAAGACCTCGTGGCCATCCAGAAGGAAGTCAGAACAGAGACGATGCGCGAATTCATACCCAACGTCATCGAGCCATCGTTCGGTATTGGTCGTATCCTCTACAGCTTGATGGAGCATGCCTACTGGACGAGAGAGGGCGACGCAGCACGATCGGTACGTCCGCCTTATTCCAACCCCTGAAATATGCACAAGCTAACGTGTATCCCAGGTCATGTCGTTCAAGCCTACCGTCGCACCGATCAAGGTCTTGGTCGTGCCACTGCAGAAGGACACGCGCTTTGCGTCCTCGCTAGCAGAGCTCGAGCAGCGCCTTGACGATGAATCCATCTCTTTCAGAGTCGACCAGTCTGGCGTTAGTATCGGCAAGCGCTACTCTCGCAACGACGAACTGGGCATTCCATTCGGCGTCACGATCGACTACCAGAGCTTGGAGGACAACAGCTACACGCTCAGAGATCGAGATTCGACTAAGCAGGTGCGCGCAAGCCTCGACCAGATCCTGGAAGCCATCAGCAAGATGGTCAAGGGCAAGGAGTCATGGAGCGACGTGCAGAAGCACCTGCCAGCGTTCGAGGGCAAGGAGGAGGACAAAGAGTAAGAGCGGCGTCCTCATCGTCACCGTCGCACAGCATATTGCGTCCCGAAATTCGATGCGAAACTGCAGGCACCTGCAGACGAGTGCATAAGGGGACGCTAGCGGTTGGACGTGGAGCACGTGCGGGTAGGGACGTGGGATTTTGGCAGGCCGGTGGCACAACGAGCACGAGACGCCGTGTCGGGACCGAATGCTCGTATTCCTTGGTGATGCCGTGCTGGTTTGGCTTCTGTTCGCAGCAGCGACACACGGGAGCGGAAAGGTAGCAATGTCATCAAAAGAGCGGAGATAGATGCAACAACAAAGTACATTGTGACTTGTTGCCAACGCATTGGGCGGATAGTCGACAGCCGCGCAGGCACGGGAGTCCCGATGATCCTTTTCTGCGTGGTTATGCAGGCCATGCCAGCTCATCACTTGTTCACGTTTCCCCGTCGAGGAGTTTGCGCTGCCTTGATCCCATTCGCGACGCTGCCCCAGGAAGCGAGAAAACATGTTGGCTGGGCCTCGTCTTGCAGATGCGTCATTAGTGTCAGTGTGGGAGTGTGGGCGTAGGTGGGCGTATGCGTGCGTGCTTCTGTGCAGGATGCATTGTCTTTTCTCCGACTAGATCAGACCTCCGTCCTCTCCAACCAACATCGCCATCTCTGCTCTTTCATACTGCTGTATACTGTGATCTCAACAATTACACCGTCAGCACGCTCGGGACACTTTCAGCTCTGAAAGACCCGCCCCCGCCCTCCGCCCGCACACGTGACGGCCTTGGCGAGCTTGCGGGATTTCAAATCGGAAGTCGTGCTTTCTAATTGGTTTCTTCATCGCCCTTTCCGCGCTCCTACATCATTGGCTATCGCGTAGAGGCCTGGGACAAGGAACCGGACCTCATTCGTGGACTGGACAACGAGCTGTACGTGCTAATAATGTTTTTGTTTACTCCAGGTCGTCGCACCGCCGCCGCCGCCGCGACTTGGAGCGCGTTCGCCGCGCGACTGCTGCCATCGCTGGGGTCGCTGCTCTGCGAGTTGGCAGCAATGACCCATGTCGCGCGCGCCTTGATCCATCACTCGTTGTCGATGCGCTTTGACGAAGCAGTCTTTGGCTAACGTTGGATTTCATGGCAGTTCCTCGCGACGACGCGATCATCATTTCATATCCATATCACCGCGCGACGGCGACCAAGAAAAAGAAAGGAAGCTAGAGCAGCAAGGAAGGTCGGGCTTTGCGACAGTCAGTCACCGCCTCGAAGAAGCCCACTGCGAGACCGGCGCGCGCGCAACAACGTCACTGGGAAGCACGGTACTGGGACGTTTTGCGCTGTTGTTGTCGACTGCATCTGAACGTTCGCGATCCGATATCCTTCGAAGATGCAGACGCCGTACGGTGCTCCGCCTGGCCAAGTGCCTGCCGCACAGCCAAAGAGATACGATGGGAAGAATGGCACGCCATTGTACGATCAGAGCCATGGTGGGCATTACGGAGCCAGTGCTGCTATTGCGGCTCAGGGTCATGCGCCTCCACCAGAGACGTTCACTGGTCATTGGCAGAATGTAAGTAGAGTACATGCGGGACGAGGAGTGACAATTGCTGAGCGACGTGATCGCAGGTGTCGCAAGGTCTGAGCGGTCCATATCGGGACATCCTCAACACGTATTGGCAGAACCAGGTGACCCGGCTGGAGACGGACGACCACGACTACAAGCTGCATCAATTGCCTCTCGCCCGGATCAAGAAGGTCATGAAGGCAGATCCAGAGGTGAAGATGATAAGTGCTGAAGCACCGATTCTGTTTGCCAAGGGCTGCGACATCTTCATCACGGAGCTGACGATGCGTGCATGGATCCATGCTGAGGAGAATAAGCGCCGCACCCTGCAGAGATCTGACATTGCTTCGGCCCTGGCAAAGAGCGACATGTTCGACTTCCTCATCGACATTGTCCCTCGCGAGGATGCGACTCCACAGCACAAGAGGCGTCCAGAGTACACTCCAGTCGGCACGTACACTGTTCCCGATCCGGCGCAGGGTGGCTCTGGACAGATTCAAGAACAGCCTCCAATGGGCGGCGAGTTCGGTGGCGTGGACCAACAGCACATGCCGCAGTACCAGCAGCAGATGGGTGCTTACCCGCCACCACAACAGCAACCACAGTACGGAGGCGGACAGATGTTCGATCCTAACATGTACGCACAGCAAGGCGCGTATCCAATGGGTCAGATGCAGGGAATGCCACAGCAGACCGTAAGTCACACACCAAAACCACGTGTTTAGACGACGCTGAGGAGCTGACAGCCGTAGATGTACCCACCCCCACAACCGGGTCATCCACAGATGGGCCAGCCGTACCGGCAAGATCCCCAGAGTGGTGGCGTGGAGGATCAGGACGCAGACGGTGAGCAGGAGTACGCGAACGGCTAGTGTCCACCGCTGTCCCCTCCCATCAACCCTCTGCTCCTGTGCTGTGATGAGGCTGTGGCCAAGCAAGCATGCATTCATACAGTGGAGTTGTCTCGTGGGCTGGAGGAGTGAGCGATTCATTGATTCATTGATTGAGAGCCTGGTGAAAACTATCTTTACAGGGCGACGGACCAGGGCACGTAGCAATTGGCATTGAAATAGCACGAAACGATACAGAAAGTAATTCCTTCACTTCCGACCGCCTTTCTCGTTCCTGCATTGACAGTGAAGCGAAGAGTGAAGTGAGCGGGTCGGAACAGACCCTGGCAACTCGTGCGTTCCCCCCCACCTTCCTCATCAAACTCACCTCTTCGTGCAGCCGCTGAACTCAACTCACTCAACACACACCGACTCCAAACACCGCGAGAGCTGTCCAGAACTTTTTCCACAGCTCCGTCCTTCTTCTCTCCATACCACACTCTATCACCCGCACCACTGAAACCACTCAACCACTCAACCACTCACCACAAGCTCCAACATGGTGAAAGCAGGTAAGTGCGGGGCACCCGTCCAACAAGACCGTCCACCATCGTCCATTACCAGCTCAACCATTGGCGAGGCGGTGATGATGTCCACTACGAGCACACGCTGACCCATTGCACAGTCGTCGCAGGTGCCTCCGGCGGTATCGGCCAGCCGCTGTCTCTGCTCCTCAAGGCGAGCCCGCTCGTCGACCACCTCTCGCTCTACGATGTCGTGAACACCCCAGGTGTCACGGCCGACTTGTCGCACATCTCCTCCATCGCTCAGATCGATGGCTACCTCCCAGCGGACAACGGCATGGCCAAGGCCTTCAAGAATGCCGACATTGTCATCATCCCAGCTGGTATTCCACGTGAGTAGACACTGTGCAATTGCGTGATTTCTATGCGGCCGGAGGAAGGACATGAGCAAGAGCAGCAGCAGCAGCAGCAGAGCAGAGCAGAGCAGAGCAACGACAGCATGTGAGAGCGATATACACTGACAATGGGCTACGTGCCTCACAGGCAAGCCTGGCATGACCCGTGACGACCTGTTCAAGATCAACGCCGGCATCGTTCAGGGTCTCATCGAGGGTATCGCGGACAACGCTCCAGATGCCTTCATCCTGGTCATCTCGAACCCAGTCAACAGCACTGTCCCCATTGCCGCCGAAGTCCTCAAGAAGAAGGGCAAGTTCAACCCAAAGAAGCTCTTCGGTGTCACCACTCTCGACGTTGTCCGCGCGGAGACCTTCGTTCAGCAACTCACCGGCACCAAGGACCCATCCAAGACCCGCATCCCAGTCATTGGCGGTCACTCTGGCGAGACCATTGTCCCTCTCTTCTCCAAGGCCGAGCCCTCGGTCAACATTCCCGCCGACAAGCTCGATGCTCTCACCAACCGTAAGTGCCTCCGACTTCACCCGACCTCAAGCTTCGGCTAACATGTGATCCACAGGTGTGCAATTCGGTGGTGACGAGGTCGTGAAGGCCAAGGATGGTGCGGGATCGGCCACTCTCTCGATGGCCTACGCTGGCTTCCGCTTCGCGGAGCAAGTCATCAAGGCCGCCAGAGGCGAGACCGGAATCGTCGAGCCAACCTTCGTCTACCTGCCAGGCGTTACCGGCGGTGACGAGATCGCTAAGGAGACTGGTCTCGAGTACTTCTCTGTCCCAGTCGAGCTCGGCAAGGATGGTGCCCAGAAGGCGCACAACATCGTCAAGGAGGCCAACGACTACGAGAAGAAGCTTCTCCAGAAGGCCTACGAGGGTCTCAAGGGCAACATCGAGAAGGGTGTCGAGTTTGTCCACAACCCACCAAAGAAGGAGTGAGTCAAAGAGAATATACATGTCCAGTGCTTGTCAGCATGATGCTGACTTTTTTTCCAGGTAACAAGCGTTCTCCAACACGGCACACACTGACAGCTGCAGGCCCAAGAGCCATGCTAGCGAAGTCCTCGATAAGCTGAAATGAGATACGAAGTCACCGGTACATAGCGGATTACAGGGGAAAGCATAGCCTGTGAAATGAATTCAAAAGCTGCTTGAAGACATTTTCTCATTTCATCTCTCTTCTGGCTGGCTATACTTCCAGTGTTGTGAGAGGTTCTTGCCAGGCATGTGCGTCTCTGTGCCATTGTAGCGGTGGGTGGACACTCACGGACACTGCGTGCTGCAATGTCTTGTATACGGACTGATCTGTGCAGTGCCGACGGCTTCGATTTACGTGCTCTCATTAGCGGGCTAGACAAGTTCGTCGTCTTAAGCCTTCGAACCCTTCATTTTGATCTGGAAGGTCGCCGCAGGGATCTCTGTCGTTTCTGCAGTGATCGAGACTTCCATGCCCAATCCCGCCAGGGCGCCTCTTATGACGCCGCAGGGGAAATACAGGTACTACGCCAATGTCAGTCTATCATCAACCTTCGTCAACTGGCAGCAAAGTCAGAAAACATACCGTCTGCGCCCTGCGCAACGCATCATCCACCGCTCTGGGCCCCGCCCTCCGATCGATACTCATACGACTCAGCGGCTGGAATCTCGAATCCGTCAAGACGAAGACGCCGCGATGGTTGGTCTTGAGGTTGTCGATTTGTTTGCGGAAGAGTAGAGTCCAGAGGTCTTTGCAGATGAATTTGATCGCGTCGAGAGGGGTTTGGGGCCGGGGTTTGCCGATGGAGAAGCTTGGATGGCATGTCAGTTTCATTGTTTCAACGGAGGGGGGAGGGTGGTGGTAAGTATAGATGTGGGAGAGAGTGGGTGCTTCATACCTACCGCTCAGCCAGCCCCTGCCCAACTCGATACCCCAACCCGTCTAATCTCCAAAACACCGCCTCCCGCGTCTCGTCGTCCATCACCGTCGCCGTCCCCAACCCCGTCGTGCTCGTCGCCGTCCCATCCCCACCCTTAGACGCCGACGACGACCCCGTCCCATCCGTCACCGTCACCGTCGGCGGCGCTCCCACACTATCCCTCTGTCCCTGTCCCTGTCCCAGCGTCTTGCCCTCATCATTCGACGTCGACGTCGCTTTTGTGGATGTGGACGTCGAAGGTGTAATGTCTTGATGAAAGATTTTGGATTTCTTGAACTCGTCTATGAGCGCTTGTTCGCGCGCGTGCAGTTGGTCTGTGATTCTTTGCGCGAGCGGGACGAGCTCGATGAGGAGGAAGTCGAGGCAGGAGACGGAGAGTTTGGGGTTGGAGAGGTCGTCGATGTCGGAGGGGGGTTGGGGGGTTTGGGTTGGGGGGAGGGGTTTGGACATTTTGGCGGAATTCGGTGGTTATGAGGGTTGTTGGAGGGCGACCATCGTACACACGTTTTCGTCTCGTGATTTTCGGGGTTGAGGTGACAATGTACTACTCGCTAGGTTGCTCTCGAGTGAGCTTCGACGATGTCACGTGCGCGTCGGAAGTTAGGCACTCGGCACGTGCTGAGAGCGCGTTGACTTCACCTCTTCTCGCTCTGCAACTTTCGACGCTACTCTTCGATTCACAATTCTTACTATTGAGCCTGCGATCAGCGTCTGATCCTTGTCTTGGCTCTCTGCTGACGCCACGGTCACACTGCATTGGACTTTGGACAGCTCGACCTCAGCTGCATGCGTTGAAGCATGGTCTACGCGAGGTCACCGTGGCTCGCTTAAACTCGTTGTATACCTCTGCTATGCCTAACGCCTAGCATGATGCAAGCATACCTGCAGTAACAGACGCACATCCGCGACCTTTTCCCAGGTCTGCGGGACACCAAACAGCAAAAACACTCGCAACGAGCTACAGCGTCTAACCTCCCTGGAAACACCACCCAAATCGGAATCCGCGTTGTTCTGCGGAGCATCCTCCGAATCACTTTGCCAGCTTCTCTTCACACTTCCGAGTGGTTTCTTCAAGCCGGGCTTGTCGCTGCTCAGTCGTCTCACGGCCTGGATGAGCAAGACCATTGAACGACTCTGTGGTTGTGGATGAGCTGAGCCATGCTTTCATCTTCTCGTTGGGATTCTGGGATTTCTTCTTCTCCGGGCTGCTCGGCGTCGGCTCCGTCGGCGAGTTGCCGGCGCTGAAATGCTTGAGCAGGTGGCTTGGAGTTGAACGCCGGGAATGTGGTTACACACCTTCTTCGCTGCTGCATGAAGCGGATCTTTCTCGCGGATATCGCCTACCTTGGTTAGCATGAAGAAGTGAGGCCTCTTGCCATGGACCACTATCATCGTTAAGCACTTACGGGAGTCTGGGGTCTGGCCTCTATTCAGGTTCCTCCTGCGTTTCTTGAAGCTTCTGGTCAACAAAGCATTTTGCAGTTCCGCCAACATGAGGTTGGTGACGGTGTGGGCGTCCTTCTATTTGTACCCGTCGCTGGCATTGGGAAGACGCCCGGAAGCGAGGTTTGCAAACTTCAGGATGGTACAACGCACCAACACTGAGACGCTCACCGACATGTCTTATGGTCTGCCCATGATGTTCATTGTTGCCCGGGTGCCTGCTGGACACCACGATGCGTTTGTCATACGTTGCTGAAGGTTGCGGTATTGCTGGCGCTCGATACGACATTTTCCCACCGCTTGACAGCTCGTTGGTCAGTGCCGATTCGCAGGCCGTCTTCTCACGACCGCGACGGCACTCTCAACTCGAAACCTTAGAGCGTTCTGGGCATGTCGTGCTCTAATACGATTTCCAATCGAGCTTGCTCGAGTCGTCGTCGTTGCAAGCCCACCCGGATTAACATCCACCTTACCCGCCCTCGCCGATCGATGAATGGACCACCGCTGGACACCACACATCGTGAATTAGAGTGTTCTAACACAAAACCTGCTCAAGCTAGGCCAATCGGATACCTTAATTCGAGATTGCATTCATTCCCTCGCTATAAAGCAGCGCCCGCACACAGTCTCCAGAGGTGAAGCTGCCATTCGAAGCAGAGTCGCAAGGCCCCGGCGTGACGTACCATGAGACATGCAGCTGCACGACAGCACGCCGTGTCCGCTGGATGCTTGCGTTGTCAACCCACATTTGGGCCGGATGCTGGCGACGACTGCTGATGAAGAATTGATGACTGGCCGCAGCCCGCAGCCTCAGACGACTGTGAGGCCATGGTCCTGCAGACAAGTAACCGCGCGTGCTTTAACCGGCGCAGGAGCCGACGTCTGGGGTCAATGGAGCTGCTGCACTGCCTCTGCCATCTATCAGTGGATCTCACAATCCTGGCAGCCCTCATCTACCCATTCAGAAGCAAAAGGCCCACACATCACGCGCGCTGCAGAGCCTCATTCCAAAAATCTCCCTCCGTCCACGAGCTTTTCAGCAAGCAATACCAAAGGCCCCATCCCTGTAGCGTGTCTGCCACGACCTACGTGCCAGCGCTAATCCATCCTTCGAGTGTCGGGTGTCTAGCGGGCCCCAAAGGTGGTCTTCGTGTGCCCTGTCAGCGCGAGATCACCCAGCATGTCCCTGCTATGCTCGTGTATCGTTGAGCTGGCAGTGTGAAGAATTGTGGCACAACCTTTGGTTCGCTTTCCAAGTCATTGGAAGGATTTACAGACAGACGCCGCCGTGCCACATGGGATGCTTGCGGGGCGTCGCCGCAGTCGTAGCTGTCGACGTCTGCATCTTGCCGTGGGTTGGTACTGGCTGTTTGAAGCTACAAGACCGGATCATATCTTCTTGAGTCCTTTTCTTCTTGCACCAACGTCTGCCACTCTCATTTCTAACTGCATTCAAAGGTCCTGGCTCTACTAACATACTGTTGTCCGATTCGAAGGCCATGCACAAAAGCTCAAAGCCACGAGGATGTCATTCTCCCGAAGAGTATTTCGACCGCATAAGCTATGGCGTGAACAAGACATCTTCCATGATTTCCAGTGGCCACCTGCAAACCCCAACGGCGAGGAAGCCTCCTCCAAAGTTGGCGGTAGACCTCGCTTCAAGTGGACGGCACAGATGTCCTTACACTTGATCATCTTGATCATACACACAGACATGAAGTTTGATGACATCGCCAAAGCATTAAAAAGAGAGAGTGGCGATGGTCCCAGGTCAGTCATGCCTTGTGTCATCCTCAGGCTTGATCAGTGCACTCATACGTGACAGCAAATCAACGTGGAGGAATCATTGGCATGAGATCTTTGGATATGATCCAAGCGTCGCCCGTCTTTCTGACTCTGCTGCCCAAAGGCATCGGACTGAGATGCAGGCGACTACGTATCGAGCATTTCGAAGACAGGTTGAGGTCTCTCATACCAGTCCAAGGGATGGACCATCCGCACAACCGCACGCAGAATGCGGCTTCGTCAGGAACTTCGATATCGCAAGCTACGTATTCCAACGCCTACTGGGCTACCGAACAATTTGACGACGACGACGACTTGATTTACAGCCAGGAATTCATTTCCTGGATCAAGCAATCAGGACTTCACGTTGGGCAACAGGAGCTTGCGGGACCACATTCACCCCGTTTGGTGTCGGAAGATCAAGCATCCATTCCGTCTGGGGTGAATTATAACACCCAGACCTCCATATGTGGTGTACTTGAAAGCTGTCGCGCTACAGATGATCACCTACCATCAATGACAAACGTAGTCGAACAGCTCCTGGAAAATGGTGCAACTCCAAACCAAACAAACGCCAGGGGCGAGAGTCTACTGCATCTTGCCGTCGCTCTTGGTCATATTCCAATCGTCACTCTGCTACTTGAATACAGCGCAGATCATCATCTCAAGACTGGCGCGGGAGAAAGTGTCTGGCAGTTCGGTGCCAAAGCATCCCAGAAGCTCATGCCGATTGACCTTGTTGAAGGCGAAGCGCCAGATCTACTGGCGCGGACTATGGCTTGTGCCCGTATCGAGTTTGCCAGGAACACAGTACGGTTCAATCCGAACCTCATCGTCAATCGCATTAGCAGACGGAAAGATCGACGTGGCCACCGTCAAGTCAATTCCCACAACTCGAGCCTGGAGCGGCTAGAGTGGATGGACCAGCATACAACACGCCAAGAGGTGATAGTCAACCCGATCGTCGAGCAAGGCCAATATTGGGACGTGCCAAACCATTTCGACGACCTCTACTTCTTTTCATGGTCTGGCCAATTCGATGACCCCGTGCTTGACGAAGAACCGGACCTGGCATGGCAGTGAGCGACAATGGTGAAAACGGCTACAGGTATCGTGGCGCCGTGTACCAGGTATGAACCTTCGGCTTTGCGACAGTATATAGACGGCTCTATAGTTCGTCGAACTGGGCGGCTGAGAACTTCGACCGGAGGGGAAGGCGCGACTGATTCACTCCGATGCCAAGCCGCAACGCTAGCGCTCCTGCGTTTGCGCCATGTGACACTTTCGCTTTCGAACAACCTTCAATTTCGATCTCATTTCCTCGCAACACGACAGGTACACCCACAACCGAGAGACTTCGAAATACATAGACCCAATTACCAAGCCCACGAGCTCAAACCAATACAACATGGACAACCCTCCTTCCAGCGCCATCATCCTCGACCCAAAGACGGAAAAGCGCATCCTCCGCAAACTCGACCTCACGCTCATCCCCATGCTGTGGCTACTCATGATCATTTCCTTCGCTGATCGCAGCGGGATCGCCAACGCCAAAATCCAAGGCATGGACGTCGACCTCGACCTCACCGGCAACAAATACAACATGGCCGTCATGGTCTTCACGATCGCTTATATGATCTTCGGCATCCCCGCCAACATCGTCTTCAGGATCCTGGGTCCCAAGAGCCTGGCTGGGATGATGGTCTTCTGGGGAGTCTGTGCGGGGGCGCAGGGGCTTGTGAAGAACTATGCGGGACTGGTGGCTTTTCGGTTCTTGATGGGTGTGTTTGAAGCCGGGTTCGTGCCTGGGTCTGCGTATCTTATTGGGTCGTACTATAAGAAGGATGAGTTTTTGAAGAGGTATGCGTTCTTCTTCAGCGGGGCGATTATTGCGGGTGCGTTCAATGGGCTTTTGTCGTTTGCGCTTGCGAAGGCCGATGGTGCTGGTGGGTTGGCTGGGTGGAGGTGGATATTTATTGTATGTGCTCGACCACATCAAGACGACGAGCAAGTTGACTGAAGACTCCCAGGTCGAAGGCCTAATCACCGTCGTCATGGCAGGCCTAGCCTACGTCCTCCTTCCCAACTTCCCCGAATCAACCACCCTCTTCCACGGCCACGAAAAAGCCATCCTTCTCGAACGCCTCCGCCTCGACGGCGGCCTCATCTCCAACGACGACAACCTCCGCCCAAACGTCCTCGCCGCCCTCCTCGACTGGAAAATCTGGCTCGCCACCCTCGTCTACATGTGCGCGCAAGAAAACGTCTCCTCCATCGCAGCCTTCCTCCCCTCCATCCTCAAAGGCCTCGGCTACACCTCCGTCTCCGCCCAAATCCACTCCATCCCCGTCTACTGCACCGCCTTCGCCCTGACGCTCCTCTGCGCCTACACCTCCGAACGCCTGCACCAACGCTACATCTTCGCCCTCCTCGGCGCGCTCCTCAACCTCACCGGCCTCGTGCTCCAGCTCGCCTACCCCCACGCCGTCCACGTCCGCTACATGGGCACGTTCTTCATGACATCCGGCTGCTACATCGTCATGCCCATCATGGTCGTGTGGAACGCGATTAATGTCGGCAAGGGGTATAAACGCGTCGTGGCGTTCGCGATGACGACCGCGGTGGGGAATTGCGGGGCGTTGGTCTCTTCGAATGTGTATATTACGGAGGAGGCGCCCGGGTATCGGACGGGGTTTTCGGTCGGGGTGGGGATGAGTTGTTTGGCGATTTTGGCGATGATGGGGTTATATATTGGGTTGAGAGTGGGGAATTGGAGGGGGGAGAGGAAGATTCTGAACGAAGGTTCGGAGGTTAGTGGGCATGGGGAGGAGAATGGGGTTGGAGTGAGGTATCAGTTGTAGAGTGGACGCAGAGGTTGGTCGGGTGCCGAAGGCGACCTCATCCACGGCCAAGAGTGTTCATCCATCTGAGCGCGATTGCATTTTTCTTCTTCTTTTGCTACAAAGCCACAGTTTTCACATGCCAGCTATAATCTATCACCCCAACCCCAGAAGTAAGCACATTCCACCCTAAAACCCAGGTTATAAGGCTCCTCTCTACCGATCCCAATGCTCAAACTGCTGCAACAAAACCCCCTCCCCCTCCCCCTCCTTCTTCACCAACCGTCCCACCCTATAAACCTTCTCCCCAGCCCCCTCCAACACCCTCGTCGCCTCATCAGCCTTAGCCTCCCTCACCACAATCACCATGCCCAACCCAGTATTCCACGTCCTCGCAAACTCCCGACTGCTCACATTCCCGGCCTTCTTCAACCACATCAACACCTCCGGCACCGGCCACGCCGAAGCGTCCACTTCCGCAGCGAGGTGCTTGGGTAGCATGCGCGGGATGTTGTCTTCCAACCCCCCACCCGTGATGTGCGCCATACCGAGGAGGAGGTCTTGCTGCACGGCGGCGAGGAGCGGTTTGACGTAGATTCTTGTCGGGGTGAGGAGGCTTGAGCCGACGGTCTTCGTCGAGTCCCAGGGCGCAGGGGCGGTGAAGTCGAGGTCTTTCTTTTCGAGGATCTTGCGCACGAGAGAGAAGCCGTTGGAGTGCACGCCGTTGCTGGGCAGGCCTAGCAGGACGTCGCCTTCTTGCATCGCGTCTTTGAGCGGGAGGACTTTTTGGCCCTTTTTGATGGCGCCCGTTGCTGCGCCGCCGGCGTCGAACTCGTTGCCTTGGTATATGCCTGGCATTTCGGCGGTTTCGCCGCCGACAAGTGCGCAGCCGGCTTCTTTGCAGCCTTTGGCGACGCTTTCGACGAAGGAGACGGCGTCGGGGACGTTGAGGGTCGAGCAGGCGTAGTAATCCATGAAGGTCAGGGGTTCGGCGCCTTGCACGACTAGATCGTTGACATTCATAGCCACGAGGTCGATGCCGACGGTGGAGAAGTCGTTCATGGCGAAGGCGATCTTGAGCTTCGTGCCGACACCGTCGATGGCTTGGATGAGTGTGGGTGCTTCCTGGTATCCTGCGCCGGCGAGGTCAAGCGCACCGCCGAAGCCGCCAATCTCAGCGTCTGCACCGGGTCTGCGTGTTGATGCGACGGCAGCTTTGATGGACTTGACGAGCTCATTGCCCGCATCGATCGAGACACCGGCATCTGCGTATGTCATGCCACCGCTTGGTACTTGCGAAGTAGTCTCTTGCGAGATAGTAAGGCCATCGTAAGCCGGCTCCAAGAGTTTCCACTCGCACGAGATATTCTCCTTCTTGAACTGCTGTACCAAGTGATCCGCAATCTGTTCGAAGTTCTGCGTGGCCAGAGCCAGAATAGTGGGACCAGCGCCAGACAAGCAGATACCAAGTAGACCAGGATGTGTCGCGGGAGTGACAGACTGCAGGATCTCAGTCAAGCCAGGGATCAAAGACTTCCTATACGGCTGATGGATCTTGTCCTGCATGCCGTCGTAAATGAGCTCTGGGTTAGGTGGGCTCTGGCCGAGCGCCGTGGTCAGCAAAGCCACTCTCTGAAGATTGTAAATCGTATCCGCCTTCTCATACGAAGTAGGAAGAACTCGCCGCGCATCAGCCGTAGCAACCTCAAAGTCCGGAATGATAGCCAAGCACTTAATCTCCTTCGCCCAGGGGAAACGAATATGCTTGCCAATATTCAGCGGCGGAACAGGTGGCTTGAGCCCCGTGTCCTCGCCACCCTGCGGCGCCGGCAGCACCTCAGCAAGGGGAATCTCCCTCCGCTTGAGGTCCTCCGGGTTGAGTTCCTTCAGATAACTCCCCACGAACCCACCATACAACGCCGCAGCAACATTATCCGGATGCCGCTCGATCATGAGGCAGAAATCCAGGATCCGATCCTTGGAAAGATTTAGCTTGCCTACCTCGCTCCCCAGCGCCACACCGGCGACCACCGCCGCTCCAGAGGATCCCAGTCCTCTCCCCAAAGGAATCGGGTTGACGATGTGGACATGCGTGTTCGAAGGGAAAGCTCGTTGCTCATGACAGCGCAGGACGTACAGCGCCGTCTGGGTGATGAGGTTCTGGTTGGGATCAAGAGACACACCCTCCTTGCCGAGTCCTTCATAGGTAATTCGGCAGTTGTAGGGCGCTCCAGAGGATTTCTCGTCGCCGATGGTCACCTTGAGTTCGAGCCATACTGAGAGGGCGAGGCCGATTACGTCGAAGCCGGGTCCTTGATATCTCAGTCTCGTGCAACGTACAATGGTTCAATGCAGCACATACCGATATTCGCTGAAGAGCACGGAACCCCTACCGAATTGTTAGCGAATGAGGTCAAAGTGGGATGTGGACGCCGCAATACTGATGGTGCTCGTAGTAGCCATTCTGAGAGTACGTTTCGCCAGACACAAAATTCAAGAGATTGGGCCGTCGCCCTTATGATCGATTGACGTCGTCTCGCTTCGCTTGTGGTACTGGCGCTTACGTGAAAAGTGAGTCTGCAGTCGAGTCGAGCTTCTTCAAAAAATGTCACCAGAAGTCTCGAAATTCAGCCACAAGTGGCACTCGGAAAGTGGCCCGTGCGCTAGCTCAGTTCCAACGACTTCAGTTGTTGACCCTGATGGCATTGAATGGCAGTACTGAGGCGAGAAGTATGTTGAGAAATAAAGGATTTCCGCTATTTACGTGACCAACGGTAATCTCGTCATCACATGCCAAACATTCATACATCAAGAACCAGACCCACTCGAGCCTCCATGCCCTTGCCCTTTACTCGACGACGCACCTCCCGGGTCCAACAGCAAATGCGGCTTGAGAAAGTTCTCATCCAACTTATTAAACAGCGTTCCCGCATCTTCGCCTGTGGAGTTCAAGATCTGCGAGATGGCACCTCTGGCTGTCATAGCGTTGCTCGATTGAGCGCCCTCACGGCTGCCAGATACTGGATAAGAGCCCAGGTCGTCCTCGGCGACTTGCTGGCTCTTGGGGGATCTGCGCGCTGCGGGAGGCAGATCGAGGTCGTCGTTTTCGTCGTCACTGAAGTTGTTCTCGTCCTCTTGGTATAGCAATCCTTGCTCAGCTTGGTTCTGAGCGTCGTTGCCTCTTCGGACCCGTGAGCTATTGCGTCTCTCAATGTCGGGTTGTATTGGTGGTGTGCCAGCAATGTTGCCTGAGCTGTAGCTGGCTGTACCGGCTCTACTCCGGTGAGCAACATTGTCGTCCAGGCCTATGGTTCCGTTGCCATAGCCTACGGAGCTGCCCTTTGGCGTGTGGCCAAACGCGGAGCCATTCTTCCTCGAGAATGCTCCCGAGTGCGGCACAGGTTCGATGTCGAATTCGTCATCGCTATCGATCTCCTCGACCACGCCGGTGCGAATGTTCAGGATCTCCAGCATGCGTGCCGTGGTTCCTCCAAAGATGATGACCGTCAAGACGACTGTCACCAACACTGTCGCACGAAGTGCTCTGCCGGCAGGACCTGTCAACCCAGCAGCCAGCGCAACGCCGACTGCTCCTCTCAAGCCGGCCCAGAACAACATCATCTTCCAATTCGCCGGCAGCTCCTCTGCGACGTTCTCTTGCCCTCTTCTGCGAGCTCTGTAGCGGATGAACCAGTTTATCAGGCCTGCAAGTGGGAACACTGCACACCATCTCGCAACGCAGATTCCGATCAGAGTGACCAGGATGAAGAGCGGCTTGTATTCCAGCTCCCGTTCCGTGAAGAGGGAAAGTCCAAGGTAGATGAAGATGAAGTTCTCAGTTAGTTGAGCCATGAGCGAGAACGTAAACTTTGTCGTAAGCTGAGTTCGTCTCGACATGTTGTGGTAGGCGTAGTGCTTGAGACAGATACCGCAGAATAGGAGGGCGACGATACCTGTAAGAGCTGTCAGCAGAGACCATGACTTCCACCACATGCTTCACGTACCACTCATATGGATCGCATTCGTGAAGAAGTACGAAGCGTATGCGATCAGGAAGATCAAGCAGCTCTCGATCTTCGGGTCCCTCCTGATATGCGTGAATTTGAGCAGCAAACTCGTCGCCAGTCCAATCATCAGTCCAATCGCCAAGCTGCCAAAGAAGACAAGCAAGAAGAGCCCAATACTTTCAAACAAGCTGAGTATGGTCAACTTGCCAGCCTCATCTGCGCTCTTGTAGTTCTGTGCCGTCTCGAACAACACAATGGCGATGGCATCGTTCAGAATACTTTCACCGAAGATGACAGTGTACAACTTCGGGTCGACCTTGTACGTATTGAAGATGGCGAGGATCGTGACGGGATCGGTAGCGGAGAGCGTCGCACCAACAGCCAAGGCATCCACGAATGTGATGTTGAGTCCTTCGAGCGGTATGCGTGTCCACAGCCAGAGAATCACACCCAGCACAATGGCAGATATGAACGTCCCCGCAAAGGCGAAGGTCAAAATACTCCCAATATTGCGGAAGAAGTTTCCCTATGAAACCAAAAATATCAGCTTTATCCACACCAACCAGTATCTCCTCTTCCCCTCTGTCTTTCTTATCAACAACGCACCTGATGCAACTCATATCCACTCGCCAGAATAATCGGCGGCAGCAACAAATTAAAGAAAAACTGATAATCAAACGTCACCACATCCAACACGCTATTCACCTGCGTCAACCGCAGGATCAACCCAATCACCATGCCGGCGAAGATGGATATCACCGTCTCGTGCACCGCCTGGATCTTCTTGCTGCGCAGCACGTACGACATGAAGAAGGCCATGATGAGCAGCACGATCAGGATGAGGAGCGCCCATGATGAGTAGATTTCTTTCTGGCCGGCTTCGGGGTTCTCGTCGTCGTCCGGGTCGGAGGAGTCGCGCGTCGCGAGGCGGTGGAGGAGTTGGTGGGTTGCGCCCATGGTGGGAGAGGAGAGGGTGTTATGATATGCGCATGCTCGTCGGGGGTGGGATCGAGGGGGGATCGGTGCTGCTGGGGGGATCGGGTGGTGGTGCTCGCTTTAGTGGTCTCGCTCGCTCGTCGATGTTGTGCTCGTGATAGGCTGTGATCGACTTCGCAGTAGCTCCAGTAGGGACAGTCTTGCCGGGTGTATGGTCGTTGCCTAAGTGAAGTCGGTTTTGTGCGGCAGGATATTCAAGGTTCAGAGGACAGTTGGACGTCAGGCCCCCAGGTTAACAAGGTTCACTGCTGCGAACCGCGCACGAGCCACGCGGAGAAAGACAGCTTCGGTGGCTTGCACGTGCTTTGAAACTCTACTTCAGCTAGTATAAAGAGCAGTGCCTATTGCACATTTCCGTCCTCCAAATCTACAGAGCAAGGAAATCAACTGCCCGGCGCAGATTCAAGTTACTATGCCCTGCCTAGACTCCCTACCCGCCGAGCTCCTGCTCCAAATCTGCTCATACATCGACCACACCCACCGACCCAGCCTCTCGTCTCTCTCAATCGTAAACAAAACCCTCCTGAAACCCTGCACAGCCCAACTCTTCCGGACCATCCACATCCACGTTTCCAGTCCAAAAGCCTGCCAAAAATCGATCCAGCAATGGAATCGACTCCTCGCCCGACGCAACTGCCGGAACGATGTGCGGTTCGTGGAGATCCACGGCTTCCTCGCGAACGAAGAGGATCAAGCGAGTTTTCAAGATTGCCAGTACTGTCAAGGTCTCTTCGACGACGAGTGCGGCGTAGAATCTCACGTCCACGATCATAGTGGTGGCTTCAGCGTGGAAGCTGAGAACGAAGCCTTCACGCCCATTGCCGCGTATTTAAAAGAGCTACCGAGCGCGACAGACCTCATCTGGCGATGCCATAACTTTGTGCCTCAGTGTATCCTCGACGCGACCAACGCGACCAAGCCACCTCTCAGACTGCATGTTCACGATTTCAAGCTCCTCCACCTTGACAGCAATGAGATCGGCCGGCGTGAGTTGGCCATCCTCCAGTCGCCGAGCTTACACAGTATGACTGTTCGCTATCTCGGTTCGGAGATCAACGGCGTGTATTCAACCGTCAAGCCCAGACGAGCCATTTCGAAGTTGCTCGTTGGTTTCTCGCCTAATTTGAAGCAGCTGCGGCTCATGAGCTGCCAGGACAAGATATTGCCCTACCGAAAAGAAGACCGCCGGGATCTAGACCAGTTATGCTCAGAAGCAGGCACGACGAGGCTTGCTCGGCTGGAGCGCTTCGATTTGCGGCCCAGCACTGTCGTTGATAGTGACGACATTCGAACTTGGCATGAGCTCCTAGATCCTGCCTGGCTGCGTTGCCTTCACCTCGGCGCTGCGCTTTCCACGCCCACAATACGTTGGGCTTCCAGGAACGCTCACTTCGAAAATCTCCAGAAGTTGATCTTCTCGTTCGATAACCCGGATTACCCACAGGAGGAGAGATCCGCCAGAGCTGACGACACTCAAACGTGGCTTCTGAGTCTTCCCCGACTGAGAGTGCTTGGTCTCAGCGGTCCACTCTATCGCGAGTACGCCCAGGCAATAAGATCTGCGCTGGGGTGGCATGGTCAAACGCTGGAGAAATTTGTGCTCGGCCCTCCGCTGTACGGGAAGAATAACCACAGTGACGCTCGAGAGACCATCGATGCTGGAATGGAGATGCTCGTCGATCTGTCACGCACATGTCCTGTCCTCCAGGAGCTATCGATACCTTTACGACGGAGCCGGTCCAATCGAACGGAGATCGAGTTGTATCAGTACTTGGCCGAATTTCCAAACCTGACCAAGATATCGCTGCAGTTCGACTGTTGCTGCTGGGGTTTGATGGTCGTAGATGGAGAATCAGACCTTTCGCCTGAGGATCGCGAGCCGTGGTTTACGCACACGCCCATAGACTCGGAAAATGTCACGACCGGAAGAGTGCGCAGGGCGATGATCAAAGCTGCGCTTGATGAGAGCCTCGTAGGTCAGATTTGGAACTTGATATCGTCTCAGAGGAAAGGACCAGCTCTGAAATCACTGCAAATCAGTACCTTCAATGGAAATCCAGGTGAGGTCTGGTACAGACGGCGACAAGAACCAAGATATCGACAACGATATCTGGACCTGCTTGCCATATTTCGAGAGTTCGAACGAACGTATGTCGTGTCGCGGGGCGCGGGTCACATCGTCGGACCTGTTATCCGAGAACTCCATAACTCAGTGGCTGAAATGGAGCGGTGGCACGTATGTCATATAGACGGGCCGGAGATGAAGCTGTTTAGAGAAATCTGGCCAGAGACTGCGCCGGGTAGTGATTGGCGAGATGACTGGCACAGTTTCCCTCTTGATGCAGCTGCATAAGTTCTCGTGTTCATCCAGTATGTATCTCTATGAATCCGCGTGATTTCAGAGCATCCGCTGCTCCTCGGCACCATTTAAGTTTGGATACGTTTCCCTTTCTAGCATACCATTTGGCAGCCAATTCGATTGGCGCCGCGCAGCACATCAACCCGATGAATCCTTGAGTGGGTAGCGACATGTAAGGCAATGACATGCACAGATTGTCCGCGCAGTCGTCTGCAACTCGTGTCTGTGTGTCGATGCCCAGGCCGCAGAAGTCATATTCGAAAGGATACGCCTTCTTGCCCACAGCGGCTCTGATATCCAAGTGCATTATCTGCAGCGCCAGGAGACACATCCAGTAGTAGACGTGCTGCATGGCGGTGAAGGTGTCCTCAAAAGAATGCGCGTGGGGGAAAACAGACTGATCGGTCTGCATTCTGGTCAGAGAGCCCGTGAAACAGTCGGTGGGTGCCGTTCGATAAGGAGAGATCGAGTCGCAATAGTACATGTACCCAAAAGCTTTGTGCAGGACGGCGCTGGCTGCTACCAGCTCTTCAAGAACGTTCGCAACAACGTCAGCTTTCGCCTTGCGGCCTAATTGGCGGACAGATTCTCCATGCTGAAGTATCTCTGGTACGCGGCCGTAGATGTGAAGCATGTCTGTTTCCAGGCGAAGATCGTCGACTGCATCCGTGGAGAGGGTTTGTTCGGTAGCATGCGTGTCGAGGTTCACGAGTCCGTTCCAAAGTCCAAATGGTACACGAATGTGTCGTGAGAGGATCCAGCCGGCCTGTTCCGCAGACCGGCGATGCTCTTGCGGCGGGACGACGCTCATGAGAGTCTTCAGCCCGGTCATGTGCTTGCGCCAATCGTTGTGCTCACCGGCGATGCACTCGAACATTTCGCATACTTGCAAGATGTGAATGATGGTCATGAAGTAGAAGGGCTCGGCTGCTTCAGCCGCTGTGTTGAGATCTGTGCGAAGGGACTGGAGGGCGAGCGGATACATTCGGCGAGCTTCGTGGAGGAAATCTTGGTTGTTGCTCGCAGCCCCGTTGATGAGAAGGACCAGCGTGTCCAGACACACGGCCAACGATCGACTGAAACACCTTGTCTCGAGCACCGAAATGCTACAAGTGTTTTCGGCAGCCACGTCGGACCAATAGTGGGAGTAGAAGACTGCCTGGAGACCCAGCCGTTCCATCTCTGGACTGACAAACCGGATGACATCTTGCGGTATGTTGAGGGCGACCATCCTACGCTTCCGATCTGTCGAGTGCTTCGTGATCTTTCCTCTGGTTCTTGCTCGAAGCGATGCGGTCTCATAGCCAGAGTCGGTGCTTCGTTTTCGTCCTATAGCGGATTGTGCAATTGGTGAAGTGTCGGCACTGTCCGCGGTAGGTGTGCTCGAGTCCGAAGCAGTCATTTCGGGAGATGTTATGGCCATAATGAAGCCCGTGATTGCAGCAGCTGTGAGCGAGTTGGGGATTCGAGATGCGCCTTAAAACGCTGTTTTCCTGGTGATGTTCCAGTTCCGCGATTGCTAATCGGACCACGATTCACGATGTCTTGTCGGACATGGCTAAAGGCGAGCGGATGTGTTTACCAGAAGGACGCACATGCTTGCGAATGTCCATGTAACCACCGCCGGAAGTCTCACCTTTCTCACCGTCGCATCCTTCGCTCAGTCAGTAGTAGTCATGTCAGCCGCACAATCACATCCCAGGGTAGCTTATGAAAGCATTGTAGCAGTTGATGATTCAAGATTTGGTAGAAGGATTCCTGAATCCATATCCTACCAGGGTTAGGTCAAGAGACATTGCCCTAACGTCTCGAGTCTGGCAGCAGCTGCCGATGAGCCCGCATGAAGCTGGAGGCGACGTCGAAGTTCAAGTTTGGCGGAAGGCGCGACTTGATGTAAACTCGCTAGCGCCGGGTACAGCCAAGCGAGCCAATAGCAAGAGCAACCCCTTCCTGCTCCGCGATCTCCAGCTCGCGTGTCCAAATTGACTGTTCGTGAAATCGCATCGAACCGAAGTCGACAATCTCCCAATCTTCCAAGCCGTCGAAAGCATTCAAGATGCTCGGTCCCATTATCGCCCTCTTGGGGCTACTTGCAGCCTTCACCTCCGCGACCGCCCTCACTTACAAGATGACACCGAACGAGAAAGAGTGCTTCTACACATATGTCGACAAAGTGAATTCGAAAGTAGCCTTCTACTTCGCAGTACAAAGTGGAGGCGACTTTGATAGTACGGATATGCGCAAGAGGCTGGAAGCAATGCTCGGAGGCTAACATATGCGTGTAGTCAACTACGCAGTCTACGGACCTGGGAAAGAGCCTGGTAAAGAGCGGGTGGTGCTGGATGGCGAGAAGGAGAGACAGGGCGATTACGTCTTCACAGCAACAGACGTTGGAGAGTACAGGTTCTGCTTTGATAACACAATGTCTACCTTCTCGGATAAGATTGTCGACTTTGAGATTTCGGTATAACGGGTTCATCAAGTTGGGAGAGCATTGGCTTACACGCAGCAGGTTGAGAACGAGCCCCGAGCAAACCTACCGCAGAAGGCTGGCGCAAGCACTGAACAACTCAGCGGTGTTGAAGAGACGATATTGAAGCTGTCAGGACAGGTATCGACTTTGATAAGGCAACAAAAGTACTTCCGTACCCGAGAGAACAGGAACTTCAGTACTGTCAGGAGCACGGAGAAGCGGATCTTCAACCTCAACGTGATCGAGGGAGGCCTCATGGTCGCCATGGCAGGTCTGCAAGTCTTCATTGTGAAGATGTTCTTCACCGGAGGCCGGAAAGGTGGGTCACCTCCACAGCTGCAGTTCCAAACCAACATGCTGACTTTCAATCAGGCTACGTATGAGAGATCCTGCGCTGGTCGCTGTACTTCTATAGATTCCCAAACAAAAATTGCATGCACCTGTTCAAACATGCTCCCTGGGCTAATTACTGTCGCTGTCGTGTTGATATGCCTACCCCACCCTCTGACCCTCGTCTATCACCATATATTCATCGCCTACCATCATCTTCATCTCGCTCTCAACCATGAAATTGTCGTGATCCGGTGTCAGAGCCTTTGACCCAGGATCATACATGAACCGGGCAAAATCCTTGTAGTCCTTAAACACAAAGGTGCAAATCGCATCATAGTCCAGCATCTGCGCCTGGCCGTGTAGCATATCCGCCATGATCTTGCGATCTCGATTCAGGCAGTACGTCTATGAAGCATCTCTCAGCCCAGCTCTTCCTGGACCGATGCGGCATGGCCTACAAGACTGTACGTGATCACATTGTGCTTCTCCAGCACCGGAGCCGCCATCTGGGCATGTTTGTGATTGTAGTGCTGGATGAAGTCCTCATCGCTCATGCCGGGCTTCTTCTTGACGAGGATGGTGGCCTTGACGACCTTGCGAAATCCGGTGGTGTTGGCATAGCCCGCTTCCAGGACCATGTTGACGAGCAACGAAGGATGAAGAAATACGGAAGTTAGTTGAGGCTACCTTACCTAACAAACCTCCAGTGGAGCTGAATCATCCACAGCTCGTGCACTCCGCAAATCGCACAAGCGTCAGACGCGCAACTGAATCAGAGGCCGTCGTCTCGCCCAGACCACCAGGCAATCCCCCGGCAGAAAGGAGTATTCTGCGACGGGGCCACCACCGCACAACATGCAACCATTGAACCACCACCTTTCAACAGGACCAGTGCAATGTTGCTTTCCCAGGCCTTTTCGAGGACGTTCACCAGGGAATCACGCATTGGGATGCACAGGGACCAATCACCCGGATCATGCTCGACTCCATGAACCTTCAAAATGGAATGACGAGAGCCATGATCTACAATGGGGGGCTATACGTGATCGCGTCGAAGTCATCAGGTGAAGACCACAGACGCAAAACGGTCGCAATCCTCAGCGCCATGTACAGAGCTCTCGCCGCGGCGCAGGACAGAGCATGGATCCCCAATATCGAGTTCATCTTCTCAGTAGAAGACATGGCCACCGATGTGACGGGCAGCAAATCACAACCGCTCTGGGTCTTGGCCAGAAAGGCGACTGAGAGGGCCTTCTTCCTTCTACCAGACTTCGGCTTCTGGGCTTGGGACAACATGATCGAAGGCAAGAACAACGAGATTGGTCCTTATGACGAAGTCGTCGACAAAGCAATGTTTTTGGAAGAGGGCACCGACTTCGACAGCAAGATCCCTCAACTTGTCTGGCGCGGGAAGCTGAGCTTCGCCCCGAAGTTAAGAAGAGCGCTTCTCGATGCCAGTGGAGGTGCCGACTGGAACGACATCAAAGAGATCAACTGGCGAGTAAAAGACAACTTCCTCTCCCTGGACGAACACTGCAAGTACATGTTCATTGCGCACGTCGAAGGCAGATCATACTCAGCATCACTGAAGTACCGACAAGCCTGCCGATCCGTCATTGTCGTGCACAAGTTGCAATACATCCAACACCACCACTACCTCCTCGTCTCCGACGGTCCACACCAAAACTACGTCCAAGTCGAGCGCGACTTCTCCGACCTCGCCACCAAAATGGACGACCTCATCGACAACCCCGACAAGGCCAAGATGATCGCCGACAACAGCGTGCAAACATTCCGTGAGCGATACCTCACACCAGCCGCAGAGGCGTGCTACTGGAGAGCGCTGTGGCAGGGGTACGGCCAAGTTTCCGACCGCGCACATCTGTGGCACGACTCCTTGACCGGTAGGAAGGTCAAGCGTGGGCTGAGATATGAAATGTTTGTGTTGCTGTCGAGCGAGGAGATGTTGGATTTCAAGGTCAGCTCGGGCTGAGATGGAAGTCGTGCTGCTCAGAATAGGCAATGTCGCCTGGAATTTCAGAGGCCAAAGAACCCCAGTGTCGAGAGGTCATCCTGGAAGGCTGAGCCCGAGCGCGGCCGCCCGCAGGGTTACAGAACCACAAGGAAGACTGTATGAATCAGAGAGATGGAGAAACCTAGGGACCTATGCCACCAAACCGCCAGATGGCAATGAATTAGACTGAAGGAAATGCTCGGTCACCAGGAGAAGAGTGACCAAAAGGGAGGAGCCTCCATTGAGGTTCGGGATGTAAAGCAGAACAAGACCTGTCGAAAGAATCACGGTCCTATCAATCATAGCACCTACAAATCAAAACCACGCAAAATCAAATCGCACACTCTCGGCCGACCAAGCCTTTCCATTGTTTACAACAACCATGCTGGTGTCTTGAGACATCGATTCCGCTAAGGTAAGGTAAGGTATACCACATCTACCGGTGAATACGGAAGATCGACAACGGCTGTGCGTGATGAAACTGTATCGTGAGATATTTTTGGTAGACAGAAGGAACAGCGAACTTTCGGAGACTTGCTGCGAAAAGGTCGTCAATACGACGAAGCTGCTCAATACTAAAAGTTGTAAGGGAAGGGGAGCTGGACAGTAGAGTCATACTTCCGATTCTGTGATGCCTGAGGAAAACATGTCATGAGGGTAGTACATGTAACCTAATAGAGTTGGAATTTCTTGTCTACTTACACTCTACTATTCAACAACAATCCCTACTATACAAACCCCATCCCCATCTCAAGTAGAACTACATACGCCCCCACCTTACTGCAATGCTGTGCCATCCAAACCGCACCGCATGCCCTTCTCGTTCCTTCCGGAGCACAACCCCAATCCATCCCCATCCCCGACCCCAAAAACCAAACCAGCCTATAACCACAAACCACAAACTAACACCGATACCAATCACCTGTGCTGCACGCAACAGAAGTCTTCTCGAAGCCTTCTTCTATAGGTCTCAGCTCCGGGGACCTGGGACAGCCATTAGTTTCCGGCGGGGGGCGTTCCAATCGTCAGCGTTCACGATGGAGAGGGAGGAAGGAGGTGATGCTGGATTAGGACCTGGAGGGATGGAGGATGTGAGATGCTTGGATGGATGGATGCGTCGTTGGGTGTTGGTTTCGGAGAAGGGGTATGTTTTGAGCAACAAGAGTACATGGACGAGGAGCAGCGACCGAGCGACGGAGGCCTCGTCATCTCGGCGGGTGCCTTTCTTTTTCGCATCTTTTAATGTTATTGTCATTCTCCATGATAACTGCTTCATTCTTCTTCTTCTTCTTCTTCTTCTTCTTCTGCATATCTCAATTCTGCCTTCGCGCCACACACACGAGTCTAAAATGCACCCAAAAGGACAAGGACACAAGAACATTCCAGTTGCCCTTCTTCCATATCTCCCTCCCGCTTTGCGCAGAGAGAGAGAAGCAGTTGTTCTACCCCCCGTCTACGCCCAAAACACCATGCAAAACGCACAAGGAAAAGTAACACAACCCGGTCTTCCGCTGATCTTCCTTCCCCCTTTCGTCGCCCCCTTCGCCGTCCCAGTGCTGCATGCGAATATCTGTACAGTCCTAACCCAACCATGGTTGCGTGCTAGTAATAGAGACGCCCGTGTTGATGCCTTTCGTATGGGAGGTCTGGTGGCTTAACGGATGTTCAAGCTCTCGTACCTCATCCAATTGTTGCGGGCTCGGTTGGGGTGTTCGAGGCCCAGGTGATCTTCTGGTTGGAGCTTCTCTGAGAGGATGTCGTCTGCGAGATGTTAGTTTTTGCGTTCACCTTGAAAATGTTGCCTTAACTCACCATCTTCTATCCACACAGGTCTGCTGTAGTTCTGACCACCCTTGATCACAGCAAACCTGATCTTCTCAAAGTTCTTGCCCTTGATGCCTGTTCGCTTCGATAGTCGCTCCTTGGTGTCTTTGAAGGTCTCGCCAGCTTTCATGAAGAAGATGAACGGTACGCCGTGCGACTTTGATGGATCCTTCTCAAAGTGGAAACAGTATAGAAGTCGGTCACCCTTCTCCTTGTCGAGCTCCTTCTCCTCGTCGGGAATCTTCTCGGCATACACGCTCATGAACTCGTTAAGCGCAATGACACCGTGTGTCTGCGGGAGGATCTTGTACACCTTGTAGCTGTGCACCTCGTAGAATCGGATCTGATCGAGAATTTCATCAGGAAGTTGGAGTTGCTGCTTCAAGCCGTCAAGCACAGCGTCGAACTGTGCCTGCTTGTGCACAAGAATGTCTCGTGTCTCTTCCTTCGTAATCCCTTCCGAAAGCCAAGTGATGCGTACAGTCTTGCGCTGCTCGAGATCTGTCAAGCTCATCTCCAGAACCTCGTAATACAGATGATCTGGTGCCTGACTGGGTGGGTAGGTGTAGCCACCATATCCGCTAGATCCGAGGAGTATCGTGTTCACAGTAGCGCCTTGCTGACGCTTGACCACCGTCCTGGGCTTACCAGATTGGATGTTAGTCGTCGTAAAGCGGATGTGTGATGGATCGACCGGGATAGCATTGACTGATGACAGGTGTTCCGCAACCTTGAGAGCCAGCGCATCGTAGCTGTCCTTCTTTGAAAGTGCAAGCACAAACTTCTCGTCGCCTTCTTTTCGTAGTTGCAGATTTGCTGGTGGAGCGGTCTTTGGGGTGAAGGACACGAACAACCGGTTCATCAGGTAGTCGTAGAACTGTGGGGCGCTCAGACACGCGGATGGATTGACCTGTCTCAGTGCCGTCACGTCGGCCTCGTTGAGGTGACGCTGAAAGCAGATGATATCACCGTCCTGGATTTCCGAAGCCACGAGGCTATTCTTTGGCTTCATCGGCTCGATGTAGTTTTGCTTGATCTCTTCGAACAGCTCAATGTTGACGGCTCCGGGTTCCCAACCCATGATGTCGAGGATAGGCGCGGCGAGGTCGTTGGCCTTGTCTTGTGGGTTCATATAGATGTGCCCAACGCCTTGCAACTGTTGACGATCCACATCGAAATGCTTCAAGAACAGAATGATGGGCTTTTGTTGAGGAGCTACTACATTTCCATTGACCACTGGAGACGACGGTGCAACTTCATCGTTCGGCCAAATAGGCTCGCCCTTCTCGTCGCGGCTTGTTTCTTCCATGAAGACTCGGAAACCAGACGTTCGAGTGCTGAACTTGTCTGCCGCCTCTTGCAGTGTCATGTCGGGCCACAGCAAAGGATGATCGGGGCGAATTGTTCCATTTTGACGATTGACCATGATCCACGGCCTCAGCAGATCCTTGTCGATACCTTGCTGTCCAGCAATCAGTTCGGTGAAGTCCTGAATTGTCATGCTTCGTAGCAGTCGGTGAGTCTTCGGAGCTGCGTCGTCGAGAGGATCTTCGCTGTTCCACGGAATGAGGTCAACTCCCGTATAAGCCTTGTAGTTAGCCTCCAACGCAACCAGGACATTCATGTAGAGATGGGCCTCCTCCTTCTCCTTGCGTCGTCTCTCTGCTAGAAGTCGCTCTTCGGCAATCTTGGCTGGCAGGTGCTCTGGAGGCGGTACTTCCTTTTCTGGAAGCAGGATCTTGTCCAGCCTGCTTTCGCGGATGTACACCAACATATAGGCGTTGTTCGAACGCTTGGTTGACCACTGGCGGGTGTAAGGATTCTGCACCTTGGCACCATTGACACCGTTCATCGCCGCGTAGTCTCCACCAAAGTTCTCGTCGATTGCCTCCCTCTTAGTAGCTCGCGTCACCCGGTCGTCGTCGAAGCGGAAGAATTGGCCATTCTTCTCAGGCTTCAGGAATGCGTAGTAGTGGCCTGCGTTGAGATCGCCCGAGTGCACAAGGACACCGTGGAGATGGTAAATGTACGGCTCAGACTTGTCTGCGTGCTCGTCCAAGTATGGGGAAGCGTCCCAGACTTCAGGAAACTCGTAGCGGTCGTTAACCTTCATCATCGCGTCTCTCTGGAAGTCGTACTCGAATCGCTTGAGCTGTAGGTGAAGCACATTGGGGAAGCTCTCGAAAATGACACCCTTCTTGGCGTCTTGCAGACCAAAACCCTCTGCCGCGTACTTGTTGTCACCCTCCAACGTCTCGACCTGGATGTAGTCTTTGAAACTATCATCGAGACTCTTGCATCCAGCCACGTTCAGTTGCAGGTCCCAGAAGTCCTCGATCCGACTAGATTCGTAGTCGACGTTGATACATCTGAGGTATGTCTTCATCTTGCCCACGAACATCTGTTCCAGCGCATTCTCCGCCTCTGTGCCCTTCATGCGAGCTTCTAGCTTCTCCATCAATATCCGCGAGAGCTCTTGCACATCTTGTTGCTCGAAGATTTGTCTCGATTCCCAGCCAAACGAATGTGTCAGCTCTTGCGTGCTCACCGCGACGGGGTCGGCTTGTAGACGGTAGAAGAGGCGCTGTAGGGCGTATGCGGAAGATGAGGCGTCTCGTTCCTGCTGAGTAGCTGTTGGGATCTGGTATACTGCCTTGCGGAAGGCACCGGTCAAGTATAACGACTGAAGGAGGGAGTTGAGATAGCACGTGGCACCTTGATTCCGCAGACCCACCATGCCAGTCTCTTTCTTGCTGTCGTAGTTGACGAAGTTGTGCCACAAGACACCTGTAGGATCCTTCAGCACCCGCACATAGGCGGTCATCTTGGCGCAGTCATTCTCTACCAGCGGGCGATCGGAGTTCTCGAACTTGGGGGCGAATATCTTATTCTTGTCCGCAAATCTTGTGAAGCCCCAGTCTCCCTCCTCGGCGGTGAAGCGGTGATTCGCTTCATGCTTGATGTAGACTGATGGATCGTTTGGGTTGTGTAGAACCAGCAAGAACTGGGCGCAGGCGTACCAGTCTTCCGGCGGCTTGTCATCAGCAAAGCCTTGCTCGAGGTAAAATGATACAGATTCTGATGCCGAGTTGCCGGCAGGGAAGAAGAGGATGCGCCATGGATGGCCCGCGCAGTAGAACACAGGTCCGTGAGTGCGCTTGGGCTGTTGTGACCAGTTGGTGATGTCCCAGGTGTGATAAGTCTCTGCCTCGGTTTCGAGGTCTGGGTTGGGCGGCATGTAGCGGGCCATGATAGCTTCATGGTCGTCGGCGAGGGGAGGGGCCGGGTCGGCGGAGGGCTCTGGGTCGTCGACCATGCTGTCGCCGTCGTCGGGGGAGATGATGGCGACGTTGTCGTGGTCGTCGTTGGGGGTCAGGCGCTTTTCGTCGTAGTCGGAATCGAGCAGCATGTCGCTGGCGAGCTAGAGCAAGGGTTTGCGTCAGCGTCGTTGGTCGCAAAGTTGATTTAGCAATCAAGCAAATTGCATGACCAGGAGCAAGCGGGATGGGCAGGAAGCACGCGGCAGCTTACTTGATGGTCCATGGCCGCGGCGTGGGCAGGTCTGGCTGCTGCTGCTGCGCACTCAAGGCGGCAGCTGAGGCAGGTCGGTCGTGTGGCAGTGGGAGTACGCTGGCCGTCGGTCTATGAGGTGCTGGGTGCTGCGGCGGAGGGGAGTAGTAGTGATGGCCGCTCGCAGGGCGATGAAGTGTGCGCCGGTGATATTAATGGGCGGCGGTCGGGGGTGGGCGAGGTGATTATGGAGGGAGATGGGTTCGTAATGCAGGACAGAGATGAGGTACAATCCACACATGCACGCTTTTGCTCAGCCAACTTTACCACACCACGTCATTGGCCCTCATGGCCTGCTGCCGTCGACGCTGCCAGACAATGAAAGCCGCAAAAGTCCACGCAACGTCGCCTCAACCATTCACTTGCGGCTTCAGCACGGGACCGCCTGTCTGGTCAGCGGTGACACTTGGCGGCGCACACGACTTTGCATGTGCTCGACGCATCTGAGGCTGCCGAGTCCTAGGTACTGTATTGCCTGTGAATAACGTGCCCCGCCTTTGATACCAGCGCAAAAGTCGTAACTAATTCCCACTATTACTTTGATTAAGGGAGTTAAACTCTATTAGCAGCAGCTCTCCAACACATTCGAGATCCTCCACGCTTCAATATCAATGCAGCAATGTCTTCACTTCTGGGCGTGCCAGCACTCCTGCGATTACCCCCTGCAGTCCGCGCCAGAGCATATGCCGCTGCAGCAACCGCCGCTTCAGACCCATCGTCGACAGCAACACTCCCTCCTCCCTGGCGGCCCGCAAATGTCCTGGACGAGTGGGTATCACGGGAAGCAAGGCCCATCAGTCTGCGGCAACTCACCTTCTTTGGACGCACTCTCACCGAAGACCGCCTCATCAGCTCTGCCAACTATGTGCGGCTCGAACTCCCCACCAGGATCGCGCACAGACTGCGCAACATGCAAACCCTTCCCTACTCGGCCGTGACAAATCAACACATCAGCCATGTCTATGAACTGTACTACAATGCCTTTGAGCGTTTTCGGAAAGTCCCTGAGGTCCGTTCGCTGGAAGACAACGATCAGTTCTGCGATGTGATCAAAATGACCCTCAACGAACACCTTTCGGTCATCCCTCGCTTGGCTATGGGGATTCTGGAGATACAGGATTCAGTGAGCGGTGGAGAGTGTGATCGGTTCATGACTACGCTGTTGCGCTCTCGGATCAGTCGTAGAGTGATTGCTGAGCAGCACTTGGCGTTGACAGAGACGTTCCATTCGCCCTGGCATTTTCCCAACGCAAAGAAGCTTCCAGGCGGAGAGGAGGAGTTTGTTGGCGAGATCTTCCTCAAATGCAACGCGAAGGAGATCATCGAAAAGTGCGCCAACATGGCACGCGAGCTGTGCTCTCAGGCCTATGGACCTCAAGTTGCGATACCAGAGATTGTCATCCAGGGACATCTGGACACCACCTTTCCCTACATCCCATCTCACCTCGAATACATCATTGGAGAGCTACTTAGGAACAGCATCCAAGCGATGATCGAACAGAGAGGATCCAGCAATCCACCGGCAATCGAAGTGTTGATATGCGAGGCAGCTCAGCATGTCATCATACGCATATCTGATCAAGGGGGCGGCGTGGATCGAGAAGTACTGCCCTACCTCTGGTCATTCGCAAAGGGTCCGCGGCGGAACCATCGCTTGAAGAATCTTGGTCAGGTGCCAAGGCTGGCGGCAACGATGCAAGACATCAAGCCTATACCACAGGAGATTGACAGGAGCGGAGGACCTTCTGGCGACAAATTTGGCAATTCGCTAGCTTCCCTGTCTGGTCGACCGCCGGATCTGAAACTTGGTATGGGGCTGCCCATGTCCAAGATCTACGCAGATTACTGGGCAGGCAGTCTGGAAATCCACAGTCTTGAGGGCTATGGCTGCGATGCGTTCCTGCAGATTAGCCGGCTGGGCAACAGGAACGAGGTAGTGAGCACGAGGGCTGCCATGGACGCCGTCTGAGCATGTAGCCTGGCATCGAACGCGCAACTTAACGAATGAGAGCTGGTAGCCTCCTCGCACACCAAGTCTCACAGAATGTTAGGACTTCTTCTCCAAGCCCCATAAAGACGACAAGCATGGAGATGCGGAAATCATGTTTGAGACTGTCAGAAAAACCATCGCTTGATTGAAATAATGCATCACTACATCGCTATGGAACAGGACCCTAAATCATTTGGTGAGCACCTCATGGGTATCTAACTCCAACCTCCTCGCCAACTCCAACCTCATAGCCGAGTCGTCCGTCTGGAGGAAAGTCTTCCTGCCATTAGTGAACCAGAAGCCCACGGCGATAACCAGCATCACGCCAAAGACCGCAATGGCGTAGTTCATATCCGCTGGTGAAGGATTTGGCCCTGATGGGAAGAAGAAGAACACTGTCGTGACCGCGCAGTAGACCACGCTGACCCAGTTGATCACCGGCCCCAACCTCCCCAATTGAAATTGTCCACCGCGCGGTAGCTTGTCTCTTCCAGCGATGAGCAGGGTGACGATGGGCATCCCGTAGGAGACTGTCAGCGCGATGGTGCTCACGCTGAGGATAGCTTGCAGCACCGTGTTGGCAAAGAGGTACAAGATGCCCACCAAGGCGATCAAGAATCCCTGCAGCCAGAGGGCTCTCGCGGGGACTTTCCATGTCGGGTCCACGTGGGAGAAGTATCGACTCCAAGGAAGACCGCCGTCTCTCGCGAAACCCCATGTGAGGCGACTTGCCGTCGTGGCAATACTCACGCCCTGGCCCAGCCCGTTGAACTCGAAGAGCGCAATCAGCGCGGCTCCACCCTCCAGCCCAACCGTCTGCTGCACCAGCTCGATGAAAGGCAAGTCCGCATTAAGCAGGCCCTCCAAATCCTGTATGCAGAACAGACACATCACCATGAAGATGAACCCCGTCACCGCACCACACACCACCGCAAGCCAGATCACCCTCGGGCCATTCCTCCTCGGAGCGGGAATCTCCTCAATCATATGAATGACCGAGTCGAACGCCGTCAGCCCATACGCCGCCTGCACCAACCCGGTAAACCACACCACCCCATCCGGCCAGCTCACATCCGGCCCTCGAATCCACTCCCCAAACACAAACGACGCAGGCTGATACGTCAACCCCCTCTTGGTGCCCACACAGATCACCAACGCGAGGATGAACACAAAGAACAACCCCACGAACCACACGCCCACGAACCCGTTAAACCACGGCAGGATCTTATCCCGCCTACACGCCACCAGATTCGCCACGGTGAAGAGCATCGTAATCCCAAGATACACCAAAAACTGCACCCACCCCTCGTCCGCCCCGGCCCACTCAGGCTCAAACATCCTCTTCATGCCCAGCAAGAAATTCGTCATGAACCCAATCTGACTCGCCGTGAGCGTCCACCACCCGAACGTGTTAATCCAGGCACACATATAACTCGCGAACCTCCCCGTCGGCGTGTCGACCAGTCGATGCACCCAGTACGCCTGTCCGAGCGCGGTGGGCATGGCGGATGTGAGTTCGCCGAGGGAGAGCGCGACGCAGATGTTGCAGGCGAAGACGAGGCACAGGCCCCAGAGGATGGAGATGGGGCCGCCGTTTTGGAGGCCTGAGGCGAGGCCTTGGGCGAAGGTGGACCTGTACCATGTCAAACGTCAGCAAGCATGGCCAACGATGGGGACGAATCATGAAGGTGGGGGGGTATGCGCACCATGTCCCCAACACGCAAAACGCCAACGCGAGCATAGACCATAGTCCAAACTTCCTTGTGAGCGCTTCGACATGGCCCAGTTCCGCGAGGGAGGTGGCATCGTGGAGGGATTGGAGAGTGGGTTTGCGTTTGAGGGTTGAAGCTGTTTCTTCTTCGAGGTCCATGGTCGATGGTCGAGATCGTTGTGCTACGTGTGGTTGTTCCGTGTGGTCATTCACCGACAACACTGTCGTCGTTCCAATGAAAGCCACAAGTCACAAGTGATGCGCAGACTGAACATTCGGTAGCTTTCACGTGGTAGTCGAAAGAAAGCATCGACGGTCAAATTCAAAAAGGCTCTCAGCACGAGGCGGACGCGTGCGTCTTTTAATGACAGCTACTGTACCCAATTCCTACCTCCCATCGATAAGGTACGACATGTAACAGACTAGGCGTCCTACGCCGTACGGCCAAGGCAACGTCGTCAACTCCTCACTCCCTCTCTCACTCCGCACTTCGGTGCTGCGCAGCGGGTAGATCACCCTTCGTATGTTCCTTTATCACGCTTGTGCCTTCCCTTTTAGGCAAGGCTGCGATATGCGGGTGAATCCTACTTATCAGCCAAGAAGTGTGACATTGAGATTCGTGTCAAAGCTGTTGTGGAGGGGTCTATCTTGTATCTGTATGTCTGTACAATGGGAAATGCTATGCGGTACGCTCACATATCTTCTGGACATCTGCGTTCGTTCTTGGGTTTGCGTTCGTCTGTCGGGAAGAAGAGCGTTCCTGCAGCCGCGGCTGTTGAAGGCGTTTGACGGGAGCAAAGCACGGTAGAGTTCAGAGTGTTGTGTGCGTTGTTTTGTTCTTGTTATGTGCATGCGAGTGAGGCATATATCGATGCAGCCTGCGTCCGACTGCGCTCTCTGTCGAAATATCTGTCTTCGACTGGAACGTCTCGACTAGGCGATTCAGCTGAGCAGGACCAGCGTCCTTGGTGAGGAACATAGTTCGACTATCTCGCGTTGCTTCGTGATGCGTGCTGCGGCTGCGTTCGTTGCTCCTGGGAGGGTAGGGCAGTCTCCGTCGTGCGTGATAACGAAGGGCTGTTGTTGCCAGTCCTGCCGCGTTTGATCTCGAGATTTTCTCCAAGATGTGTTGACGTTGGGTTTGTGGGCCTCCGAGGAATTAGACGAGCAAGAAAACGACTGTGCATCTGCTCTCCGCCCCAGTCTCTTTGGACTTCGACGCACATCGGCATGAAGCCGTTCCTAAATTAGTAGTCCAGGACGTGAAGACGTCAGGGCTGCTCGCAGTTCGTAACGTTTGTTCTCGCAACGCTTCTCGTTCTTGTCCACAGCAAGAGATTGCCCGAATTGCCTTGTCCTTCCGCTTGAACCAACACATCAATGCCAATCTCTTCACCATGCGCAGCTCTTGTCTTTCAAGCGGAACTTCATGCTCTCCTACTCCAAACGACCCTGATCCCAACTCTTCCACCCCGTCTTCACAACTTAATCTTCCCCCCACCCCTCGGCACAATAAAAAGCGCCTCCCCCCTCGCACAAACCACCTCGTCGCCCTCCCCCTCCCCCTCCCCACTGCCAACCCACTGCCTCACCTCCGCCAAAATCCACTCCTTCCTCCCCTCCCTCCTCACCCTCCTCGCCCTAACCACAACCGCCCCCGGCGTCCTAATCGGCCTCTCATACCTCACCTTCAACTCCCCCGTATAACTACTCTCCGCACCACTCGACCCCGACAACGAATTCTCCCGCTCGCGGTTCACGCCCTGATAAATCCCACAACCCTCGTCGATCATCATCGCCGTGATGCCTCCGTGCAGCGTATCCGGATGCCCGTTCATGCCGTCGCCCATCGTCATGACGATGTTGACTTCCGGGACGTGCGGTTGCGTGGCCGGGGGTTGGGTGTAGAAGCAGACGACGGAGGTGAGCGTGCGGGGCGTTTTGAGGGTTTCGGCGATCAGGCTGTCTTCGAGGTCGGGCTTTGGGGCGCGGCAGGTGGGTGGGACGCAGATGGTGTTGGGTTGGTTGAGTTGGCGGGCGATCCAGGGGATTTGGAGGAGGGGAGCTACGGTGTCTGAGGGGGTCATGGTTGATATGTGTAAGGCTGTGAGGGGAGGGTGGTGGAGGTGGGTTGGGGCAATGGAGGTAAGAGAGGTCTCCTACAGTGCCTTGAGGTTCAGCATTGGACGGTGAAAGGATTCAAGTTCATGTTGAACACTATTCAATGGCAAGCTTCACGCAGCTCTAGGCGGGTGATTGCGGAGGACAAGGCCGAGGTTGAAGCAGTGCCTCGTAAAGGCAACCCAGATGCGAATCACGAGAGCTTCGTCCCAGGTTTCAGCCCTACACCCTACGGCCCTCGCTCCTGTTTCACTGACTCAGAAAATCATATGCTGACAGTCGCTTCACCCGCTGCAAGTGGCATCAATTCGCCATGCTCTTGATTCTTAGCGGCGGAAGGGCATTTCTTTGCGGCCCCCACAGGCTCGATCGCAGGTCGAACTAACGGCTGCGTGCCTTAGACGAACGCCATCCCAGGTCGCTTACCACTCCCACGGGACGGCCGAGTCTGAACTAGCCAGCCTATCCATCGATACAACAGTACAACGCATGTGGCACGGCGGCATTGGCGTCTTACACCGCAGCCCGCCTCGTTCCTGAAGCACATCCTACTCCTCCTACTTCCCCTCCGTCGCCTCCTTCACACTGTCAATCAGAGCATTGACCGGTGTGGGGCTGGCATTGACAATAGCATCTTCGGAAGCGATGATTTTCCTCTTCTTCGCATTGAAGTTCCCTCGAGCTTCCACTCCGCCTTCGATGGGGATCACTCGTCTTGCCGTGAAGGTGTAGCCTTCTGCGCCGCCGCGGCTCGTCATGAGAGGATGCGTCCGTCCTGGCAACACCTGCCATTCTCGAATCCGGCTCGTTTGGACCGCTGTTGCAAGCAGTAGCCGCGGATCTACTGGAAAGTCGTCCTCGTCTAGACGCTCGCCTTTGGCTAGGTGTTGAATGTATGCGGTACGCCTCTCCTTGGAATACATGTCCATGACCTTGACCAGCGGTTCGATGGTTGGGCTGTACATGACCACATGGCCGCCTCCTCGCACGAGAGGTACTGTATGCTTGAGTATTGCAATGGGATCCATGTGTGACGCGATGACCAGTCCGTCGAAACCACCCTCGCGCGTCTCGTCCACGATAGTCTTGCAGCGTTCCCAGCGTCGCCTCTTCTTGAAGTAAGTCCCTCGCTTACTACTCTTCCAGCTCGCCATCGTCTCTTCAGATGCCTGCTCAGGCTCGTTGTATGTTGGATCTTCTGACGGATGCAGCAGCTGTAGCCACGACAAGGGTTTCAGGTGAGTATGCAGGGGGTGTTCCAACTCTTCAGGTGGCAGGTGAGGGTTGCTGGTGTCGTAGCCGAAGTATTTCAGCAACGATACATTGGGTTGAACTGCTGGGTGTAGGAGCGTAATGGAGTTGGTGGTCGAGGGTATCGCAAAGTCGCGGTGGGAGATGGGCTTTGCTGGCTTAGCATCACCGTTGGTCTGAGGCTGCTGCTCGCTCGACTCGTCGACTGTGGCTGACGCTTGGTCGTCTTTGGCGTCCTTTGGAACTGGTGGGTAAAGGATATTCGTTCGTTCGGCCAATCCTGCAACCAACAGACCGCCTGTATCGTCGACAGTGAGCCACCTGCCGCCTCCAATCTTGCTGCCCTCATTGTTGACGTCGCCCTGATCAACGCCGTTGAAATGGGCGTGACTCCAAGCCCCCAGCAACCCCAATGCCTCTTCCCTCAACTCCATTATCCGCGGTGCCTCCTTGTCGATGATGTGATCGATCAGATTGCCAAGGTCCATTGGCAGCGCTGAGAACCTCTTCAAGTATTTCTTGTGTTTGCGAAGTGTGTACTTGGCCTTGGAAAAGGCCGTCTTCTCTTCCAGTCCTGCATGGTTTGCCAGGATCTTCTCAATGATCTCCTTCCCACCTGCCGACTTCTTCAGCTCTTCAATCTCGGCTTGCGATAGTTGCTGTCGGCTCGCATCATCGATCGTCAGGCGGTTGTTCTTCATTAGTACGGTTCCATCCTCGGCCAGCAAGTCGTAGCTTTCCGGCACGCCGTTCTCGCCAGGCGGTGAAGGCTCTCCTCTAGACTCCTCCGGCGCGACTGGCTCATCCAGTCCTGCCTCCGCGTTCAACTCGGCCTGTGAGACGATCCGCAACCGAGAATACTGCTCTCCATCTTGCTTCTCCAGGATCTCATATGTGTGATAGTAGGGTCTTCCGATAAGAAGATTGGAAGGAAAAGAGCCGAGCTTGCCAACATCGATGATCCTGCGCCATTCTCAGTATCGTGTATGGCTCGCAGGAATCAACGAATGTGTCGGTCGTTGCTCGAATGGAGGGGACCTACGTGTTTAGTTTGATCTCAATCAGCCTGAGCGTCTCATTGGGGAGGCGCAAGAACAGCCATGTGTCCGGGCGGATGAACGCATGAGGTCTGCTCATGGTTGCGGTTGTTTACGCGTGTTTGAAGAAGATTGATGGAGTGTGATTGAAGTTTTGAGCACAAGAAAGGTTCATGACTCGCGCAACGTCTCATCTCCGACCTCCGACCAATACACTTGCATTCAATCACAACCACACTCACTCTCTCTTTGATGCTGCCGTGTGCCAGAGCCTGGAAGCGCGGCAGCAGACTGCTTCATCTGCCATGTGCTGAGAAAGACACGTTCATAAATGGCTGCAGAACCGTCACAAGCCGGACCTTGAGCACCGCGAGTGACACCCCGAAGAAGGTCATCTTTTCTGGCATACAACCAACTGGAGTTCCCCATCTGGGAAACTACCTGGGCGCTCTCAGACAATGGGTCAAGCTACAGGATGAGAGCGATAAGTCGACCAGACTCATATACTCGCTGGTCGACCTCCACGCCATCACAATTCGCCAAGATCCAGCACAACTGCGACAATGGAAGAAAGAATCTTTGGCAATGCTTCTGGCTATTGGCTTAGACCCTACGCGCTGCACGATCTTCCATCAGAGTGATGTGCCAGCTCACTCAGAGCTGATGTGGGTTCTGTCTTGTCAAGCATCCACAGGCTATCTAGGCCGCATGACCCAATGGAAGGACAAGACTTCGAATGAGAAGGAAGGCAGCGAAAGGCTCAAGCTTGGGCTGTTCTCTTATCCAGTCCTTCAGGCTGCTGATGTGCTGGTACACCAGACGACGCATGTGCCTGTCGGATATGACCAGGCCCAGCATCTGGAATTCGCCCGCGAAGTCGCGCAGGGCTTCAATCATCTTTACGGAGCCGACACCTTGGCCATACCGGAGACTATCATCAGTCCTGCAAAGCGGGTCATGTCTTTGACGGATCCACAAGCAAAGATGTCCAAGTCTCATCCCAATCCGAAGTCTAGGATTCTTCTCACAGATTCAGAGGAAACAATCAAAGCGAAGCTCAAGTCTGCGGTCACGGACTCACTCGAAGGCATCACGTATGACCCACCGAACCGTCCAGGGGTGAGCAATTTGGTCGACATCATATTCCATGCCGAAGACCACACAAGCGCAGGCGAAGATGGTAGTGGTCAAGCAGCTTTGGCGAAGGAATTGAATGGCACGAGTCTTCGTGTGGTGAAGGAGCGTGCAGCGACAGCTGTCAACGACATAGTCAGGCCCATTCGAGAGCGATATGCTGAGCTGATCGAGCAGCAGAGCTACCTCGACGAAGCGGCCGCTGCTGGTGCCTTCAAAGCACAAATCAGCGCCGCCGAGACGATCCAGAAGGTTAGGAAGGCGATTGGGGTTGCATGAGACCCTGCTGTATTGTAAGTTCTGTACACTACACTCAAATCACTGTATAACAAAGTATTCCACATGGCTTGAATCATTTAGGAAGGAACAGTGCAAGTGGTTTCTAGTCTACTAACAAAAGTAGCGATATATGTCTGATTGAGAAGATGCCAACGGCGATTACTGGCGCCTGCATGGTTTACAGGAAGAATGGAAAACCTCAACGAGGCCGTCAGTGTTCGTGACGAGTTAGTCGGGTTTTGCGTGGGTTCATGCATAGGCTAAAGCACAGCCACCACTTGTGCGACTGTGAGGCCGCCTCGCTAGAGCCTCACTTGACTTTCTTTAATTTGCCAGATCGTCCTCAACCCGAGTTCAAGTGCAAACCAACGACTCCCACACTGACAACAAATTCTGCTAAAATGGACCTGTTCTCATAAGTCATGAGTTGGGGTGGAGGAGGTTCGTTTGGCGGCGGAGGTGGAGGAGGCTCATTTGGAGGCGGAGGTGGTGGATCGGGAGGAGGCGGCGGTACATTCAACTCATTCGATGGCAATCATCAACAAGAGAACCATGCCGCCGCCGCCTACTACGATGACCAACAGCAACAAGCTACGACCGATGGCCATCAAGATTCACAAGCAGGACAGGGCGACAACTGGCATGACGACAATACATCAAACGCAGATCAACAGGCTCCAGACGACAACGACACTCCTGACGACGCATCAACAGTCCTGGCAAGCACCGCTGCCTTCGACTGGGTCAACGACTATCATCTGCCCTACATTGACGATGAAGCATTCTCCGACATGGCCTATCCCGAAGGCATCTTCAAGAAACGTCTTGCAAAGAACCAATTCCGCCTCATCAAAATCTCAACCAACTACAAAGGCAAACCCGTCATCACCATCCACGAGCACAAGTCGTTCTCTGGCTGTCCAGCATACATCGCTTTGTCTTGGTCCTGGGGAGTCGCGAAATCAGCATACTACGTCCAAGTAGATAACTACGATGTGGATCTCTACGTTCGACCAAACTGCTACGCCGCGCTATGTCACCTCTCGCGAGACACGGACAAGAAAGACTATTACTACTGGATCGACTCCATCTGCATCAACCAACGCGACGCGGTAGAGAAGGCCCGCCAGGTAAGCATCATGGGCCACATCTACTTCCAATCCTGGCAAGTCGTCGCCTACGTCGGCGAAGCAGACGACTCCTCCCGCGCCCTCATCCACCAAGCCCAGAAATCTCCCCCTTCCGCCATCACCGCCCACGACGCGAAAGCCCTCCTATCCTTCCTCAGCCGTCCATGGTTCCACCGCATCTGGGTCATCCAGGAAGTCCTCCTCGCGCGCAAAATCGACATCCGCGTCGGCCAGGACGTCCTCCCCTGGAGCGTCTTCGAAACGTATCATAGCCGAGTCGCTGAGACTGCAAAGTTTCAGTCCCCTCAGCGGCACTCCCTTATCAACCTCCGCCAATGGTACATCCAGCAAGCCGCCCGTATGCTCGGCCCTTTACGAGGAGAATACATCCGCGCAGCGAACATGATGCAGGACCTCCCTCCGATAGGAGCTCTGGAGCACGCTCAACTCTACCAACTCATGCAAGGGACATGGGACTTCCAAGCGGGACTGCGGAGAGATAAGATCTACGCCATGCTCTCTCTATTCTCCGAGCCGTTTCCCATGAGACTCGAGCCGGACTATAGGAGGAAGAAGGGGAGTTTCAGCGGGGAGTTCAAGAGATCTGACGAGCAGGTCTTTGGCGCGTTGAATGTCTTTATGCTGGAGAACTGTGATTGTCAGATGTGGTCGATTGGATGGAGGAATTTCGAAAAGGAGAGGAAACTCGCGGATCAGAGTTCGAGGTTGAGGAGGGCGAGGAGCGTGGCGGTGAGGGCGTTTGAGCCTTTGTCTGGGCGGTAGTCCTGCGTGTCTACCCTTCGAGATGGAAGTCCTTCTACTCCCCCTTTTGACCTTGTGCGCCTTCACAACCCCGTCATATCCCCACCCGGCATCATACCCCCTTGCATCCCATCATTATAAAACAAATCCAACCAACTCACATCATTCGGAAAGCTCGACAAATCCACCGCACTGTCATACGACGAACTACTCGGCGCCGTATTCACCTCGCTCTTCGGGTTGAAAATCTCATTCGCCGCTCGCTTCAGCTGGCCGGAGACATACTGCGCGATGGCCCAGTTCCGACTCAGAGACTTGAGCACACCGATGAGGAGGGCTACGCGGTCGCGGTTTTGTTGGGTGGTGCTGCGGGGGTAGGCGGAGCAGGCGGAGAGTTGGACGATGCAAGCGAAGACGAGGCCGCAGATGAGGAAGGGCGAGTTCTTCTCCATGGGTAACGTCGCGAGGTTCGCGAGGTCTTTCGAGGCGCTCATGGCTTTGACGGCGTGTTGGGTCGAGGTCGGCGAGACTTGTTCCATGTGCTGTTGCGCGCAGGCGATTTCGGCGGCTGGGGGCATGGTGATGGGGAGTTCGGAGCGTGGGAAGTGCAGGAATATGCTGGCGCATTGGATGAACATTGTGGCTTGGAAGAGCATTTGGTCGACTTCGCCGGCGTGGTTGACGATGGTGGCTTTGTCGTTCGGGAGGTGGAATTTCCAGCCTGCGATGGCGTTGTCGATGGCTTGGATGGCGTCTGCGTGGGCTTCGTTCGTGGTCGATACTGCGATCACTCTTGAAAGGATGCGGACTGCGTCGATGCGGTAGCAGAAGGACGAGAAGCGTAGTTCGTCGTCGGAGAAAAGCCTCATGTCGAACTGATCGAGCGAAGCAGGGTTCGGCGGTATCGATCCGTCGCTGTAGTCGCCTTCTTCACAGGGCAAAAGCGTCGTCGTTAGGACGATATTACTCCTGAACGACGTGTGCCGGTGCAGAGCGGCCAAGTATCCGTCTGCCACGTACAGCTCCCACCACGTCCGTCGTAGAGACTCTTCGTAGGTAGCATCGCCGTGGCCGTGCTTGATAGCGAAATTTGCAGTGTTCATGCCCAGTTCAATCGCCATTTCTGCGGCCTTGTTCATCGCTGGCATGGCTTCCGTCGGCTCATATCGTGCATGCATAGAGATGGAGTACAGGAGTAGGGCCTGCACGGCTTCAGGAGACGATTGGTTAATCTCAGCGATTGTTGTTGCGACAGACTCCCTCAAACAGTCGCTCGATATGTTGGGAGCATAATGACTTCCAATGAACTTCACGACTGCTCTTAGACATGCTGGGTAGATCTGATCGAAGTATCGGCCTCGAGGCACCAAGAAGGGGTGGCCAGGATAGAAGTTGGAGTAAAACAAGTTGGTGAGGTGCTCGTCCTCAGAGCGGAGTGAGGATCGTGAGGATGAAGACGTTGGTGTCGAAGCATCGTGAGACGTGTTGACAGCCTGACCTTGTGGTTGGTGTTGGCGTCCAGATATGCTTGAGTCGATCCAACCTCGGTTTGGTGACACGTTTCGCAAGTTTGAGGTTGACCTTGCTGCAGATTGTCAGACAGTGTTCACCTGAAACGCTCAATGCATACCGGTCGTCAGATGATGCTGGTGGGTGGTGCCCGGTTGAACGACATCGAAAGGGGGTGTCGACGGCAACGATCCGGTGACGTTACGAGGGGACTGCAGCCGCCTTGAGCGTCCACCGCATCCGCGCCGTGATGGTGTATAGCTGCAATGCAGTCCCCTAGCGATGCAACGTGAGCACACGGGGACCACAGCGTCACACTTGAGATGCTTCCTTCTGCATTCGGTGCATGCTAAGGGGGAGGGACGTATTGGTCGGTCCACCCGTTCGCCGCTAATAGCTGCCTGTCAAGTCATTAGCATAATGACATCTTTGGTTGGTGATTGTTGACGGCGTGAGATCGGAAGTCTTCACTTGGTTGACAATCGTATCGCCGGCGAACAGGCCATTTGACTGTGTCCTGGGAAACGGACTTTTGAGAAGACCGGCAGAGCTCTCCTTACCATCGTTGAAGCTCAATTCTCGCAACAATTGTTCGTCGACTGGATCGAAGTGGATCGTGAGGGCGCATGCATGTTGATGGTTAGCTTGGTTCGATCGATGTCTTGTGAGCTGAAGGTCGGCGACCTTAGGACGCCGAAGCCTGCGGGAGCCGCCGTCTTGATCCGGCCGACGGCGCGTTGGCACGACCCCAGTAAAAGTGATGGGATGTCTTAGATTGGACTAGGGATGTGAACAGGGCCCTTCTGTACGTGGCTACAAGCTTGTAGTTATAGTGTACATATCTTATCTAAGGCAGATATACTATATATATAGCTATAAATATATTATATACTATAAAATATTTACTAAACTTAAGCTATAAATATTTCTAGAAAGTAGTATATTAATAACTTACTTAAAATATAATTAAAATATATAATAAAAGCTAAAAATAGACTAAGCTAATAGTCTTTAATAGATTAAAGTATAAAAGAATATTATTATAGTAGAAAGAGATATTATAGTTCTAATATACTATAAACTATATATAGCTTAGTAACTAAGTACTATATAATTTAGCTACTTTAACTACTTAGTTAAGCTTATACTCTAACTAAGTAATAGAGTAAATAGAGCGACTAAGTATACTAAGTATATAGATTAGGACAAATTTCTTTAGTATATAGGAATAGTATTATACTTATTATAATAGTATTTAACTTACTATTTAATTTTACTATTTAGTTTATAAAAATATCTAAACCTCTATTTTAAGATTATTTTAGTAGTCTACTAACTCTCTCTTTTTAACGAGCTCTAACTAAAGACTTAAACTTAGTATTTATACTAAGTAAAATTCTAGAATTAATAAACTAATTCTAATAAAAGAAAGGGCCTAGTACTAGATTAAACTATTTCTCTATATATATTTTAATAGCTATAGAATCGATAATACTAAAAGAGTCTTCTACTTATACTAGGTCCTAAAGCTTACTATAAGAAGACTCTTTAAATAATCTAATAAAGTATCTACTACTACGAGGATTATCTAATATATAATCTAGAAGATATTCGCTACTAAATATACTACTAAGTTCTAGAAATATATATAACTTATAGACTAGAACGATAAAGCTCTATAGATTATATATTACTAAGAACTAAAGGAATTAGTAAAGAACGAGCTTATATATAATAGAAGAGCTATTAGTAACTTAGAAAAATTAGTTAGAGTTACTATTAATTTTAATAATAAGCTCTATAAAAGAGCTCTAAAGCGCTAATATAACTTTAAGATCTCTAGAAAGGTAGGTTATATCTTAAGTAATAATTAGAGCTATAGTATTACAGTTCTAACGCGCTATAAACTATATACGACTTAGTAACTAAGTACTACGTAACTTAGCCGCTTCGACTACTTAGTTAGGCCTATACTCTAACTAAACGGTAGAGTAAATAGAGTAACTAAGTATACTAAGTATATAGATTAGGACGAATCTCCTTAGTATATAGAAACGATATTATAGTTTATTATAATAGCGTTTAACTTACTATTTAATCTTACTATTTAGTTTATAATTATATCTAAACCTCTACTTTAAGATTATTTTAGTAGTCTACTAACTCTCTCCTTTTAACGAGCTCTAATTAAGAACTTAAGCTTAGTATCTATACTAAGTAAGATTCTAGGATTAATAAACTAATCCTAATAGTTTTAAACGCTCTCTATAATAGGAGATTAATCTATACTAAGAGGAATACTCGCTCTCTCTAAAGTAGAAGGATTCTAATAACTAACTTACGATATCTCTATCGGAAATTATAGTATTAGTAATATAAAGCTCGATAAGCCTAACTTCTATTATAGCGACTACGATAAGTTTACTCTCTAGACTAAATAGATAGATATTTTCTTCTTCTTCGACGAGTCTATTAAACTAGGAAGGAAAGCCGCTTTTACTATATCGTTCTTTC